GAAGAAGAAGAAGAAGAAGAAGAAGAAGAAGAAGAAGAAGAAGAAGAAGAAGAAGAAGAAGAAGAAGAAGAAGAAGAAGAAGAAGAAGAAGAAGAGGGTAAAGGTGGAGGTGGAGGAGAAGGGAAAGGAAGGAGGAAGAGTTTGCAACCGGGTGGACCATCATCAGGACGGGAGTCGACGACGTTGGACCTTTCAGTATCGGAAGCAGCATCATCAGCACCAGAAGAGACGAGAACCGATGAGACCACCCAGAGAAGAGCAAACGGAAGGGAAATATTACGACGATGATCGTGATGTTCACCCTGGTCTCATCTATTTAGGCGTTTTATGACGATGGAATGATGGAATGATGAATGACAATGACCAGAAGGAAAATAGTTGAACAGATTGTGAAGTCATGAGGCACACAACCTTGGGTATTTTACATTGAGTATACAGAGATGTATATTACATGTGATCATGATCATTTATTTCGACGAACCCGTCCAAACCCGTCCAAACCCGTCCAAACCTGCCCTGAATTTACTTGACAAGTATGCCTTGATCGAAACAACGCTCCGTCTCCTCGTCGTGCACCAGTCCCATGTTCGAACCGCCCAGGTACCGCCACAACTGCCAAACCTCTTCCATCAAGACTTTCGGTGGACCTACGCCAGGACGGACGAGGATGAAATGGTCTTTCGACCGATCATTTTCGGTGGAAGTATTGCGGTCATGACGAAGGAGAACCTTTTTGTATTGGGATGTCAATTCGGAGAGGGCAGAGATGTCGTGGTCAGCCGCACCTGCATGGCCAACGAACATTGTACTCAGAGAAAACACAGGAAGTCGTCGTCGTCGTTGATGTGTGCTGCCGTCGTCGACGACGACGTTGATCATGGGAGGAACGAGCCAATTCGATGGCAAAGGTGGTTGATTCTCATTGGCTTCGGATTCTGAGATTGAGATCGAAGATGACAATGCACGAGTGTCTCCCTCTCCAATGTGCAAAATTATACTGTCTGGTGGGGGACAAGGACAGTCAATGTGGTTCGTCGTCAAGGAAGTGGTGACTGCAGCATCATCATCATCAACAGCAACAACCGACAGAGCCATGGCTTTCGGGGTATTCCCTGTTCCATCAGCCACTTCAGAGGTCGCTTGTTCTGCCAGGGCCTTGAGAGCGACGAGGATCCGTTTCCTCATCATTCGGGGAATCCGCTCATACATGTCCACCTGCCACTGTAGACGCGAAAGATATTCCATCTGGAGCGGTTCGGTTTCGTCACTCGCCAGAGCCCCCGTGGCGGTGTCGATCTTTCGTTTGTTGATGGAGTAGTGCTGTGCCTTTTCCAGAGCTTCCTTGAGGGGCGCTGGTACCAGCCTCGCCAAGGCGTTGGGTTTGGAGACTATCTTCCCTTTCACACGCTTCGAACGTTCCATGAGTTTGAGCGTCAAAAACCGTACCAGGTTGATGTCTGCGAGGAGCCGAGACTTTGGTCTTTGCTTAACCTTTTGGGTGCTCGTCGTTGTCGATGTCGTCGTCGGTGGCGGTGGTGGTGGTGGTGGTTGTTGTTGTGGCTGTGGGAGGATTGATGACTCGCTGGTTTCTTCGTCGTCATCATGATGTTGTTGTTGTCGTTGTGCTCTGGTCGTGTCGTTGTCATTATCCTTGCGAGTTCGAAGCCAGTTCTCTTTGGATAGTTCCCTCGCCATCCGTGCTTCCAGTGCGTCCAAGTCTGCGAGTTGCGCCGGTGCCAGATGGATGGCCTTTTTCTCAGGGTCCTCCACAAAATCTAGATCCATCATGAAAGGAGACGGCAACCTCGCGAAACTCCCCTGGCATGCCCTTAGAGGGGCCGCCAACATTTGCGCCCAGATGTTGGTTCTTAAGGCATCCAACTCTGCTTCAGTGGGCATCCTCTTCGCTTCCATGTGCTTGGGACCCGTTCGCTTGAGGATCGGTGTTCGAGGGAGACGTGTCGACTCAATGGAGACTGCATCGCTGGTTGTCGTATCCGCATCTTTTCTCCGGGCTTTTGCGATGACAGGTTTGAGCTGAGACACCAGATTTCTTATTGAATTTCGGCCGTCCGAGCTGTAAGGATTGAAAGAGGGGTTTCGGGATGATCCAGGGTTGCTTTTGTTGTGTGGGCGTAGCTTTGACCTTTTACCGGGCGCATCATACACCCATTCATTTCCATCTCTTATAGTCTCCGGTACATTGTTCTTGTCCTCGTCAAACGCGCGAAAGGTGCTTTGGTTGCGCTTCGATTTGGCGACGCCAAAGGGAAAGGGAGTGGGAAGGGCAGGAGTATCACGAAAGAATCCCGGCTCTATCGATTTACATAGACGTCGGAAGATCTGAAGACGCCATGTCGCGTACGAAACATGCCTGTAAGGACATGCTAAGCTCATGCCTCTCTCACATTGAACGAGCGTTTTCAGGAAAGCTTTGATGCTGTGAAATTGAGGCAGTTGGAGATGGATGCGCTCTATTTTCTTTTTTGTTGCCATGAATTTGGAGACATGGGAATTCGCCGGTAAATACGGAGTATATGGAGTATGTAATCAATCCGGGGAATCAATTCCATCCATCGACAAAGTGAACCTCAATTCTACCTTCACCTTCTCTCATCTTCACCACCGTCAAAAGAAGAAAAAGAAAAGGGGATTTTTGACAAAAAAGTTATTTGGAGATTCGAAGTCCCGACCGCCGTCTGCCAACGGTCGGCGCTCCTAATACTTATCCCGACTATGACCATTCACAAATCTCAACTCCCTCAAGGAACGTATTACTCCGTAATACTTGTAGAGATTGCTACAGTAGTCATGGAAACCTGTTGAAGACTCCCAGTTTAATCCACTAAGCAACTGGTTTCCAAGGATAAGCCCACCTCCAAACCACTCGAGCCAAAGTCGCATTACGACGTGGTGAGTCTTAGTAGTGGCCATCAAGGCGATTCTTTGTTGGAGGAAATTTCACTTTTTCAAACATATCTACCATGGAATAAAATAGTGGATCACTTAAGTGAATATAGACTTAGTATGTGCAAGCCAGGTACGTATTCCGTTTCACCTTCACTGAGGGATCTGATGTGTACGAAATCGAGTGCAGCAACTTGAGCCTTGTACAGCCTTGCGGGATTTGGATGTGGAACCGGGCTCACACGGGTACACATCGACGATAAGCTTACAGAGGAAAGCTTCTTCTAGGCATATAGCGATGTGAGGGTCTCGAGACTCTGGAAACGAAGTATACATTGGTCAATCGTGCTCTTCATGTATACCTCCAAAAGCGACTATATTGCTGCGATCAAAGTATTGCTTACTACCTCACAGGACTACTCGTACTACCTTCACCAAATCTCACAGTTTCTCTTGCTATCTTCGACGAACGCCATTGGCAAATCGACTCAGAAATACCTCATTCTACCTAGTCTTGCTTGGTTAGTCGCAGGAGTGTATCATCCCTAGTGCTTTGTCAGTTCTTGACTCATCTGATGGGCGAGACGAGTTTACTTTGGCTCATTGCTTGAGATTTGGAACCATTCTGTCAGGTTGGCGTAGCCTTGTTGGTCATCAGGGACGTCTTCACCATGGAGCCACAGGCCGTAGTTGCTGCTCGATCGTTGTGTTATCTCAGGCCCGTCTCCAAAAAGTCAAGACTGTATTCTACTCACGCTCCAGGCTCATACTCTGTAGGAACAGTCCAGTTATATGAACCTCCAGGTGGCTTTCCTTCTTCGTCTGACCAGAGCTTTTCCTCCGCCGTCCAACCACCATCGAATTGTTTGACTAGGAGGAGCTCGAGGGTCTGTGAGGAAAAAGTGTAAGCGGTCAGGTTCTGCAAGTCTCAGTTCCTGCGTACATAGCGCCTTTTGATCTCCCAGCCGAGTTCGTAAGTATGGTTCGGATGGACGACGCTGTAGGGCCAGTCAAGCCAAATGCCACTGGTCTGAGCATAAGCGATCTCAAGGATGCTCAGCAGACCCGTACCCATGGCTAGGCACGACAGCTTCATGGTGGTACTTTTGAGAAATAGATGTGGGTTGGCCTTTTGTTCTTGCGATCAAGACAAAAAACGCAGTGAACATGAAAGGATGAGGACTTTCTACGCTCGTATCGCTAGAGAATTACCCCGTAATTTCAACAAGTCTGGAAGAGATAATTTTAGCAACAAATGTCTTGCTACTTGTGCCGAGCCGTGTGGACGCGTAGGCGCTGACGGGAGCATAAGGGGCAGTAGTCAAGAGTCAGTGCTTGATGATGGGCTTTTAGCGCGATGATTGCGGAGATGACTGGAGTTGATGATGAGGAGAAAATGGACGCGAAGTTTGATATGTCCTTTTGATAGTGGCTGCTCCGGCGATAACTCGAACTATCTGTCCAAGGCACAACGGCCATCACGTGGCAAGTGTTTCTGCAGGGAATATTCAATTGACATCAAGTATTTATCTATCGTGCCTTCTGCGTACATATTTTCCTGCTCTTCCTTGACACATACCTCCAGTAGATATCTGTATTTAGCTTCATCTTTTTCAGTACAACTTTTCCATCAAACAATCTTGCCTTCCCCCACTCATATCACTGAATGCTGACAGTTCAAAACTTTGCGCCACACAGCAATCCACCGACTAGATGGATTTTCTGACATAGGTCACCGGTCCAGCATAATGAAATCTCGCTCGGAAGAGGTAATACATCGAAGCCGTCAGTAAAACCCCGGAATAAACCACAATGGCCCAGTTCATGGAGATCGCTGGTGGATTTGGTTCTGGCGGGAAGAATGCAATAACATATACCACGGCGCAGAAGAGCATCGAGGCAATGTTGACCGGAAGACCAAACTTGCCTAGTGACATCTTCGATGGGAGTAGGGGATGACCTCGTATACGCTTCCAAGTGATTGTGCCAATTGAGACCATGTATGAAGTCAGGAGCGCCACCGTGCCAATGGACAGGATGATGTTGAATGCCACCACAGACCCGATGTAAATACAATGAAAGACACATGAACACAATGCCGACACCAGGATCGCGTTGACGGGAACATCGTACCCAGCAGGCACTCTCGACAGCCATCTGTTGAATTGGACCCCTTTATCGCGCGCAAATGAAAACAGCTGGCGAGACGAGCCCGCCATGGTCGTTAGATTGCCGCAGACTCCAAGGAGGATCAAGATGGCCGTCATGCCAGAGGCTCCACCAGGTGACCCTGTGGCAGTGTCAAAGACCTGGATGATAGGGTATCCAGTTGGAGTTGCGAGATCCTCCTCAAGGTCACCTAGAGTGTAGAGAAATGTACTGGAAAGTGGTCAGTGGTGCAAAAGCACTGGCGTCAGCGTTGGGAAATACTCACACAAGCATCACGAAACCTAGGGCGCCGTTGACAATGATTGTCCAGATCATGGCTCTCGGCAAAATCTTGGACGCATTCTTCAACTCTTCAGCCATGTGCGCCGCAGCGTCGCCTCCCACCAGGGCCCCAGCACTTGTAATGATCCCGACCATGCATGCCAGTCCCACTGGAAAACATTAGTCTACAGGAGGTCGATGATTGGATACAGTACTCTACTTACCACTTCCCCAATCGCCACCATCCAAGAATGATGTCCACACTTGTGAGCTGGGACTCCTGGGAGCCATCACCCAGAGTGGTACCATGACCGCAACAAATCCAGCAAGATGAAGAACCAAGATGATCCCTTCTACCAGCGGGAGATGTTTGGCCAAGAAGATGTTGAATATAGCTACACATGAGCTGACACAAATGGCCATCAACGTACCATGCCATCGTTGCGGAGTGTAGGTGTCGGGATTGTTCAAGATGATGAGCCCTTGGGTTAATGTGCCGGCGACGTACGCTCCTATTGTCGTGCCGACCTGATAGCCCAAGACACCAAGCCATCCGATAAAGTAGGACAGAATCTTCTGAATATGTGGAGGGGCAAACTCAGATACCCAATGGTACTGACCACCTGATGATGAAGTTGTCTTGTCAGCAATTGTAAGATTGGGATGTGTGATGGAACAGCCGACCTGAAGTGGGTGCCATAGAGGCCATCTCGGCCATAGAAATGGTCACCAAGGTGAATCCAGTCCAAGTCGCAAGAAATGTCCAGATAAGACCTCCAGGTCCTCCATTCCCAAGACCAAAAGCGAGAGTTGGAATGATACCCTCCCAAGTTCCCATTATGATGAGAGCGAAGCCGAAGATTGACACGAAGCCAAAATTACGCTGCGGTGGGTGTCAGCAAAAGGTATGTCACCCAAATTCATCGGACACAAACCTTGAAAACCTGCTCCTTTCCAAGCCGCGCCATGGCTTTCTTGTCGGCCAATGTGCCGGTCTTCTGCCCAAGGACAACTTCATCATTGGCCTCGTCACCAGCATCGATGCTGTAATCAGCTTGCTTGTCCATGCCGGTTTGGAAACTTCAGAAGAATATGGTTCCGCGAAGAAGAGAGAAGGAGTCGACGAAGGAAGAAAAGCAGCAACAACGGCAAATCTTCAAACTTGGACGTCGGCAGATTTGTTATTCTCAGCTCTCAACAGGCATTGAACGCCATGTGGCATGGGGTCAAATATTTTTCGCAAGAGCAGGGGTTCTAAAACCCCTTATTGTGTGTGGGTGATGGTTGATGTACTTGGTAGGGTACGTTCTCCTGAATTTAGGTTCCGGATGATCTAGAACGCAGGGAGGACAGCTGATACCGTGGTCAGCTTCGAATTTCAGACTGTGCCGTCTTCTAAAGAACCACGCTTCTACGCCGCAAGCTAGCTTGCTATGCACGAGCGGAGAATGTCCTTGTCACCGAGCAGGGACAAGGTCTAACGAATACGACTCTGCAAGGACTACCTGCACGTTATTATATTGGGCCGATCCCAAGTTGAGCAGTGCGACCAAGCTCTCCTATGCAAAAGAACGACTATCATTTCATGTACCGACCAAGCATGCCACAGTTCGAAATAAAGATGAGCAGAAAATAGCAAGCATCTGAGGCAGCTACTTGTCGCTGGAGGCCACCTCAGTGTTCTGCACTGCCATGCAGACCCCAACCCAACAGGGCAAGAGCTGCAGACTAATGCAAACAAGCAATATATTGTCGCTATGACCCATGTGTAGTTTCGAAATGCCTGTGCTGGCCCACCTCGGAGCTCTGTGTGTGATATGCCCGCTCCAAATCTGGCATGTGATCGAGTTGAAGGTGTTTTCGCAAGTCTTGTTTTGTTACAATGCGAATTCCTTGGTATTGATACGGATACAAACATTACGCTGAGAATAGATTGGTCTGATCTTGCCATATCGAGTGAGGTACGTTGAAGTGAAAAGCTGGGTCAATATTCTTCTTATCGAGGGAGAATCAAATGTGACAGAACAAATATGCATCGCCGAGGCAAGACGTTGCCTCATCCTCCAAGTGGAACGGCCCGACCAAGTACCTGAATGCGTTGTACCGCTTTGTCCAAGGTAGCCAACATCGCTAACGAGTTGGATGGTCAATTTCCAGTCTGAATGTGGTCAACGATACCGTCGAATCAGGTGGTATTTTCTTCGACAACTGCATTGTTGAGGAGACAATGTACCACAGGGCCAACGACTGTGCTTCAGAGAGGTCACGATAGTCTTCTCGGGGAGATCAGGCCGGCACTACGGCACATCTTTAGCAGCAATGGAGACAGACCTCTTAGCTTGTCTAGACTCGTTCCGGGCAGTGGAAGGGGATGATCGACCACACCTCCGTCTTTAGATGGCTCAAGCGTGGGCAAGCCTCTCTTCGCTAGAGCACAAATTGACGCGCCTATTCGTATGAAACCGGGGTATGTGGGACCCGGAGCAGCCTCAATCGGTGCCCGTGCCGGCGCTTGTCTTCTTATCCCAGACGTATTCGAGCGTGGTCACTGTGACGTTCCAAGATCATGCTCTCCCAAGGTCGGAACCAGCCTTCTGCGGATGCTCACTGGAAATTCTCAAAGAGCAGTCTGTCGCCCCCATCCATGGACAAGGGCAAGCACAAGGGCATGGATGGCTCAACTAAGCAAATGCAACCCAGGCCGCTGTCCCATCTCAGGAAGATATCTCTCCATGCCTGCGACAAGCATAGAAGATCACCCGCCACCATTTACCTCCTGCGACGAATCCTTACTGATTCGCATATGCTACGTTGTGGCGTGAAACCTCGTGGGGCTCTCTTCTGGCGAGATGCGAACAAGACGAACCGCTTCTGAATCTCCAAGATTGCGTGTTTTGCAAAGGTATCGTCATGTGTGACAGTGTCCTGGGGCCCCTGGAGAGGAGATAGATAGTCCATGCAAGCGGAGCACTAGGTGCAGCAGACAGAGGTCTCAGATCCCCAGCCTGAGGACTCACCTTGTCGATCGCTTGAGGTTTAGCTGCTTGCGACGAGCCTCGTACCAGAAGGTGCTGCCAGGGACACAATACAGCAACATAGTCTTACATGCTCTGCTCTGACCCTTGAGCGAAATAGCAAAGCATCGCACACTTGTCCCGTTCATGCAGTATGGCCTACCCTGCGAACGGAACACCCATATATGGGCCACGTCCATATGGAGTTACAGGTGATGATCATCGTGGTATAGTATTGACCATGACTATCTTGTTTATGATCTACGCCAGCATGGTTCTTGCTATGAGGCTGATTGTGAGACATCGGAATATGGGGGTGGAAGACTGGTTATCTCTGGCCGCCACCGCAAGTTCAATCCTTTGATTTTGTGGAGAGACAGAACTGATCTTTAGAATGACAGTCTCTCGCATTTCCACAATTTATAACCATCCTGGTTGCAACGGTCGATGCGGGCTTTGGAGCTTCATATGCACTGCTGTCCTCTCACGATACTACTATTGTTGCTCGAGTTAGTGTTCCAACGACAAAGAAAGAAGCTCAGAGTTTTAAGTGAAACTGACGAGAGATGCTAGTGTATCCGGACTGCTGATGTGTTCTTTCTCCTGGCTCTCTTTATTAGCAAATGCTCTGTCATCTGGTTCTGTCGGCGTCTGTTTACAGTCAGTGGGCACAAGATGCCCGTCATATCCGAAATGGCCATGGGCGTTTGTGGTACGTGGTGCTTGGGGTCTATCCTGGGAGTCACCGTAGGGTGTGACTCTGTTGCGATTATTCATGCCCATGATCAGAAATGTGCAAATCTTGTTGGTTTAATGTCAGTTCGAAAAGTTATGATTGTTAGGCTGACAAGAACGTATAGGTCTCGCGATGGGCTGCCGTCGGTTCACTGGACGCTGTGCTCGAGATATGCATTCTGGTACTTGCGGTTGGGGTCATTTCCACACTCCAAATGACCTGGCACAGGAAATTGCAAGCATCGATGTGTTTTCTTTTGAGGCTACCGTATATCTTCCCCTTCGTTGGATTTGGAAGGACGATGAAGACTGATTTTGGACTGCAGAATCATCGTACTCATAGGACTCAACATCAAATACGTCGTCCGGTTCAACTCGGCCTCAAACGCCGGTATGGCACTTGTGAGTCCGGTCCTTTTCCGCCAGGCCGAGCTGTTTTATGCTCTTTTGTCTGCGGCCATCCCGTCCCTAAATCAATACCTGCGCAAGTTCGACACAACTCAGGCGACAGTCTACGGATATCGAAGCAACGCCGAAGCGTCAAGAGGGAATACATATCAACTTGAGTCCATGTCCAATGGCAGGAGCAGGAACAGGAGCATCGTCGGCAAAATGGTACCGCCAAACACTGGAAAAGGAGGTGATGATTACGACGCTGAAGCGATGGGCAAGAGCACGAGCATCCGCTTCAATCCTACTGGGTACTCAAGCTATCAAGCGCACGTCGAAGGTCCACCGAATACTGGACATCAGCAGGATGGCAATTCTACCGTGTCGCAGGAAGATGTGTCTACCGGGAGAGCTGGTAGTGAAGATCACATTATTCACAAGGATGTGGTGTATGAGGTGCGACATGAGTATTGAGGTGTCGATAGTGTGTGGGAGGCTAGAGAATGGTTTGGGGGTCAACGTGAGGGAGTGTTGTTGCAGTGACATAGTATGAGGATTGAAGTTCACCATACGTGTATAGAGGGGAGTATCAGGGGTAATATGGTTTTAATGGTGAAAGCAAAAAGACAGGTTGGGATAGAGTACCTAGTAAGGTATGGAGTATGGAGTACGGAGCATCTGTACTGTACTTTGTATTTCGGTTGTATGTCTGAAGAGGTCCTAGTTGAAGGTCGAAGAACCTCACTAAGCAGTGTGACTTGTACCCTGTAGATTGCAATCACACACTAATCCGTAGAATTGTGTACTAAATAAACTCGTCACATTGCCTCTTCTCTTCTCTTCTTGACCTTACAGGAGTACGGAGTACGGAGTAGTATTTGAAAGACGAACGTTTCCCACTCCTTTTGACCCAATTTGGTTCATGTGGGGTTTTGCTTTTCCACTCGTCTTTTTTGTGCGGCATGACACTTTGTATTCTTTCCATAACCTATACACACCGTTGTTGTTGGTGGTGGTCTCGTTTAAATCTTGCCAGTCACTATACACTTTTCAATACGAGTTTGTAGGTAAACGTGGTAAACGATGCCGGTCAGAATCGCCACAAAGGCCGACATACCGGTCATGGTCCAGGTTTACGCCGCTTCGTTCGGGCCGGACCGACTTTTCAAGGTCTTGTTCCCTCGAATGGACGAGTACCCTGGAGAATTTGCGAGGGCCCTGGAAGAACATTTGTGGTTGGCCTGGTACGACTATTCCAAGATCATGATGGTTTCGTATCGTCAAGACAGTCACGACGTCCCGGAAGAACAAACGCCGCTTCTGCTTGGCTCGGGCGGCAGCAACGACAAACGCACCGCCGCCGGTGACGCGGCCACAACAAAGAACAGTCAAATCATAATAACCGGAACAAGTGAATGGCAAAGAAATGGTCAAGGTTGGGAACATTTACATGGTGCATGGGGTAGATGGGATCCAAGTAAGTTTTTGACTTGTTCTCTTCTAGTACGCTCCTCCCCGAGTCAGAAAGTAGGTTTTTGTATATATTGATTTTCGTTTGTGCCAGGGCTATTGATGAGACCGATGTTCGCGACATATTACAGAATCAAAAGATTCTTTTTTCCGAACAAGGCTGCCATCAAACCTACTGCAGAAATCCCCGAACCACTCACGTACTGGAACCTCATGTCGAGGTGTGGACCGTTCGTCAAGGACTTCTATAGTGCTCCGCATCGCCAGAAGAACTTCTGGTCACTGGAAAGTTTGGCTGTTCATCCCGACTATCAAGGACACGGGTACGGGCGGGAACTGGTCGAGCACGGGTTCGAATCACTCGTCAAAGCGGACCCGAGTGGCGAATTACCAGCCAACGTGGTCGCGGCTGAGGGCAAGGAAACGTTTTACCAAAGGTGCGGGTTTCGGGAGCTCGTCGGCTTCATCTGTGAAGCCGTAGATGATCAAGGACGTGACAATCCCTTGAGAAGTAATGGTGTCGGCGGAGGTGCAATCTTGTGGACGAAATGAGATTCCTTGGAAGCTCGCCGACCCCTGCAGAGGGACTAAAAGACCCATGGGATGAACCGCCATGTCTTGGAGTGCCATTCTTCCCACTCGACCCCAAATTCATCCTTGAGCATCTTCTCCTCTTGCGTCACCCTCGTCCATACCCCAAACAACAAAAGTGACAGTCCGATGGGGAGGAAGAATAAAGCCTGTAGCTTTCGCAAACCAGAGTACCATCTCGGTGGGGTCAGACAACTCAGGGCGGCTCCGTCGATCCGGCCTAAGAGAGCGAGGTTGGAGAGAACGAGGATCACAATCCCAGTGTAGCTGGGGTGCTGTACGTAAGCATAAATTCCGTTCGTGGTCAGGCGGTCGGGTTCAGTCAATGCAAATGTGAAGTTGTTGCCTAGCGAAGCGTACGAGACCAAGCGTAGAGGGATCCCGGCGCAGAAGATGAGGGCCAGCGGGACAGACGTCGACGCCGACCACGTCAAGAGGTTTGTGTTGGTGAGGAGACCGTTCTCGACGGCACCGTGGCCGAGTAAGAAAGAGGGGATCCTTGGGTGACACAAAACCAGGCTCGAGGTGTACAGTGACGCAAAACCAAGCGGAGCCAGTGCTATTTTTGTAATGTGCCGGTTTGTGAGCTGTAACCAACGAATAACGTCACCTGTCGAAGGTGGTGTTGTCGAGTGTGTGCTGGTTGGGTTTGGAGGTGAGAGGGCAATGTAAGTACCGATGGTGGATGCGAGGATCGATGCTGCGAGGGAGGTTTGGGCTAGAGTCTGTGATAGCGGCATGGCTTTGTAGTTTGAAATTTTTTGGGAGTGTCGGCCAAAGGACTTGTGATAAATAGCTTTAAGTAGGTAGACTGAGATAATGGTCGAGAATGGGAAGAATACGAGGTAATCAATATCTGCCATCTTGAATGCGGATCAAAGCTACTCCGTATTCCGCCCGAGAACGCGCGCATGTCACAGCCTCGTTTATGTCAGCTTCCAGCCTTGGACACTCCAGTGGCTTCAAAAAGCGTTTCCCTCAGTTCTTTTGTAGATCCATGATACATTTGGTCACCGGTCATCATCAAGAAAAACAGTCGATTTCAAAACATTCGTCGATACAAAACTACGTCCAACGCTGATGATGTTTGGCTGCCCCTTCGTTTGTGCAACTCCTCACACAATCATCCAACAGGGCGTTCGTGGAGCATCTGCAGACGATATTTCGACATCTGGGCATCAGCCATCATGCGATTGCCTGTCAAGAAACGCCCCCAAGCACATGGATGCAGCGTCAACTACGCGGTTGATCGTGAATTTACTGAATTCCCAATTCATCTTCACCTTTATCAATAACGCTCTTTCCCCGAATGCCGGCCTTTTACGGTCGTTCACTTCCTTTTCACCGCCAGTTTTTACTCTCCCCGGTGCTTCTCAAACGGCTCAAGCAATGCATGTCATGACCGATTTATCCGCGTTCAAACGATGCGTGATGCTACGATTGTCACCAAACTCTCAGTTTGTGCTTACAGCGAGGTCTCGAAAGCAACTATATACTCGCCCTTTCTTTGTTCCACCGCCTAAACCTGTCTAACTTTATGCATATCGCAACGAGTAGCTCTTTGGAGTAAGCCTCGAGTTTCCAACCATGCCTCACCCCGATGACCAAATCAGCCGTGAAATCGATATGGCTGATCTCTCGTCGCATCCAGAGACCGCAACTCCTTCCTCGAGATTCTTGACACGAGATGAGGACGAGAGGTCGAAGGGGTCTCGCTATGGTGATGATGAGCCTGTTCCTCTGGAGATGGTGCCACCGATGTCAGTTGCAGTCATGACCAGAGTTGTAAGAACTCTTTAATCGTTTATCTGTTTCCGTCTTTGACTGATGGGCTAGAATTGGCTCAAAGCAAGTAACCCCATCCTTGACCAATTTGTCTGGGAGGAAGATGCTGTGGATTTCTCGATCCCCTCATGCAATAGGAGTACGATCCCTGAAAATTGGAATCCAGTATCAAATACTCAAGGACTTCGGCAATCAACACCTAAGTTCACCGTACCAGCCGCCCGCGAAGATGAATTTTCGTGTGAAGAGAGTGCTTATGGCTTCGCCGCAAACACCGACTACTCATCTCGATGCAGAGACCACGAGATAATGCACAACTACCTGCCTTTCCATGACCTCTCGCTGGTGGATCCAGAGTTGTCCGTGTCAGCGGCGTATCACGATGGGTACCAAGGTCCTTTTGCGCACAACGATGACTCCATTTCTCTAAACCACACTGATGGAGGGGAGGATATGTCTGGCTTGCCAAACAACTCGGGCCAAGCAAGGTCCAATCCCCCACCACGAGCGATCTTAGAGATCTTCCGAGCCGAGAAGGGATGGCGTCCGGCACCTGAAGCCATGTTTACCACATGGACATTTGGAGCAGTCGGAGAGCGTCTTATGCCGGCAATGATATCAAATACCATCAGGACTGACGGCTGTGAATGCCTATAGAATGCTTAGGTTCTGCCGCTAAGCTAGAACCGAGATACAGAAGCGTGGGAGCCGTTTGAATATGTTGACCTGGAAATCAATACCTATCGACGCCCAATGTTGAGTTGTGCCGTGGATGCATATGTCTAGCCAACTTCGGTAAAGAACCTTCAAATGAACTTTCCGCTGCCTTTTGATGTGGAAGGTTTTCAACATCTTCTGTCCAATGACTCTAGGCCATCCCCTGGCTAGCGTGATGGCGTCGCCCAAGTCCAGCTGAGACGACTTCCCTTTTCGGGCCACAGCGGCTTTGAACTATCCACACGAATAGTGTTTGCTGCTGAGCCCTGGTGCTCTTTCAAATGTTTGCTTGAAACAAGTCGCCAATATGGCTCAATGGCCGTGAGATTTTCTTTTATGCTGCCCAGGCCAAGAGCCAGGCCATGTCCAGCCCCGACTCTTCTCACTCTGGACTATCCTGAAAGTCTTCTATACACAGGTTGTAGCACAAAACACAGAACGATATCATGGCTCCTGGAAGCAAGCAGACGACGAACATTATGTTCGTGCCGTATCGGCAAGCAAAGTCGAAGAAGGCTGATGACGATATCTCGCCACAAAAGCATGCAGCAAGAGAATACCATAGGAAAGCCAAAATGATGCGACAACAGGGGGATTCAAGTACTCAAGGTAAACGCCACCCGCGTAAGAAGACCCAAGTAACCAAAGATCGAACGCCGACATTTGCACGTCCAAAGAAGGAAAGCGTTCAAGAGGCAAAGGACGATGATACCCAGGCCAACAACCTCAAAGTCATAGATCCTGGAGCTGGTCAGCTGGATCCTTTCAACATAGTCGTGCCAAATAACGTGCCTTCTTACGTTCTGGAAATGCTTGATTATGGTATGTATCCTTGACCTTGACCTTATTCACCATGCCGTTGCCGCAGAGCAAGGCTCGTATTGCAAGCAATGTCCCAAATGACCAAACGTTCCATCTAAGCTGACTATCTATTTCTGTCTAGGTGTATCGATCCTTCAGTCCGGTATAACCCTCTGTCTTCTGCATTACCCACCGGTCATCTCAAACGAGCACACAGTATTATCCTTAGAGGGAGTAAGCAGCAAGGCACCTTCTAGCACCGTCTCGGCGCTTGCAAACCTGCGCGATGTCGTCGTCAGCTGTTCGTTGCACTCTCCAGCTTCATTCTACACCATCGCGCTAGCTGGGGCAACACACAAGTCATTCTCTAGTGAGACTTCTCACAAGATCAAGATACTCCGTTTCCAATACGCAATCCAGGCTATCAAGGAGCTCAACCATGAGTTACAAACCCTCTCGGGTGACCCAGCGGATGCTCTACTCTTCTGCATCAGTCTTCTCGCCGCTCACGCCTCGAGTGGTGATCAAACTGCTGTTCCCGTCAGAGAGCTGGCTAGGTCTCCACTCGCTACGGCGCAGACACAATACTACGGTAGCTTACGCTGGGAGGATACACACATGAAAGCCATTCGTCTGCTCGTGGCGAGAAAAGGTGGTCTGCATAAGGTCAAACTACCTGGTATTGCCAATGTACTTGGACTGTACGTTGTGTTGGCCTTGTCTCTTCTACTGTTATCTCCTTTCCCTTTTATGGACCGAGGTCTACAACGCAGAAATCTTAATGAATCCATTTTGAAAGCTGCAGCTAATGGAATCATCCTACAGGGCCGACATATTCATGTCCTGGCTCAATCTGACGAAACCGGCATGGCCGCTCCTTGCCCCGACGAGCCTCGTCCTATCAACATGGCCTGACGCGCCACCGAACTTGCCTGTCATCTTCGCGGACATGACTACAGGGTTTGACGTCCTTCCCAAGGCACTCACAACCACTCTCCTCTTCGACACCATAGTCAACATTCGCACCATCACACTCGGATATGATATGTATCTCTCCCAACAGCCCGGTGCGCCGTCACTGGTTCAGATTCTCTGGGCTCGAAATAGCGTGACTCATGATCTATTGAGTCTGAACCCGACGTTGACGTCTGGAGATTTAGCTGCGGCCGCGAGTTATGATACTTGCACATGCAAGACACCTGAATTCCAAACGTCTTCGGTCGCGGAAATTGCGCACCTACAAGCTCTATATCAAGTCGTCAGGTCCTCGACGCTTGCTTACACGCTGCTCGTGCTCTTTCCCATGCCGACCGTGGCGGGCGTGCACGGCGCTCTGGCCAAGCAGATCATGACCGCCCTGAAGGGGTGCATGGGACTTGGCTTGTGGAGTGACCAAGCCAACTACTCGGACTTGTTGCTCTGGTCGGCAGTGATCGGTGGGGTGGTGGCCGAAGAAGATGATACTGCGAGGCAGTGGTTTGTGGATTTGTTGGTACGTCAGAGGAGTCCCATGTCGGCGTCGTGCTGCTATTGCGACGAAAAAGATGCGTGGGACGAGGTGAGGAGAATCATAACGAAATTCTTGTGGTTCGATGGCCCAGAGTGCGAGGGCGTCGGGAGAGATTTGTGGACGGATGTCGTCTGTGAGGGCAATTTGGAATCGGATTGACCAGCAAATACTAGGACTACCACGGAGTACAATGGCTGCTGGCCCAAGGACGGTGCCAGGTGGTCGAGAGTGTATCTTAGTGAGATGGCTCACTCAAGTACTTTTGTTTAGGATTTTTTCAATTCCGAGACCAAATCTTACCTATGAAGTCACAATCAACAGTGTTAGAGGGAGGATTGGTTAGACCATCGAAGTGACAGAGCGATGAACAGGCCAACAAGCAAAAGATCAGGTATAGTGTAGTTCATTCGACCATGATACAGGTATTGAAAAAAACCAATCCACATATACAGCACAACCCATGGCCCAGGGGGGTATCAATCTCGTGTCGTTGCACTCCCGAACAACGCCTAGCACAGCAAAAAATGACCGTCGGAAATGCTGAAAACCAAACAAGCAATGAAGCGAGCCAGCAAGTAAGCGAGAAAAAGAGGATTTGAAGCACGCCTTTTGCTCTCTCTCGTCGGATTACTGTTCGCATACCATTCCTCCCATCCACCCACCCACCAGCCAACAAGAGATCCCTTTCTTGAAAAGCAACCAACGACCTCGCGATGCACTCACGACGCAGATTTCCTGTCAAACACACTCGAATTCGAATCATTGAGTAAATCTGTACCTGTGGATCGTGCACCAGAATCCACTTTGCCATTTTGATGGGTCTCGTCCAGCAGAGGGATCTGGTCGATACTCCTTCGCTTGTTTGGGTCATTCCCGCCGCCGCCCCTGGCGCCGCCGTCGACGCTCGACACATCCGCGTCCACGGGTCCACTGGGAGGACTGAGCGTGGCACCTGGACTGTTTTGCCACTTGGCGACGTCGCGCTTCATCTGCTCCAGTTCCTTCTGGAACCTCTTGCCAAAGACGTCCATGTAGTAGTTTGCGCCGTTCCAGACGCTCCAGCTGAACACGAACAGGAGAAAAGCCGCACTGGCCCACCTGTACCAGAACCATATTGGGCAGGGGACGATGGTGAGCAAGGCATAGCTGTACTGGATGAGCATGAACGCCGGTTCTTGCAGCGCGCTTGGGAGCGAGATGACGACTTTGCCGATCCACGTCGTCGCGTATGATTTGCGCAGCCAGGTGAAGGAGGTCGGGCGGCCGGCGGCGATCTTTTCGCGTCTCCGGACAGTGATCAGGAAGTGGTACGAGAGTTGCCACACCGCGTAGGGCAGCGAGGCCCAGCCCAACATTGCCCATAGGTTGTAGTGGTCCTTTGAGCCCGGCAGGCTGGATTTGATGGTGTACACGGCCGGAAAGCGGTGGCGCAAAAACTCATCCGGCGTCAGATGGACCATGCAGTGCAGGGCGACTGGGGGCATGACGTGGATGAAGAGACTGGTCACCTTGTCCAGCGAGTGGAAGACGAGAGAGTTGCGCCACATGACAATGGCCACGGCGTTGTTTCCATAAGCCAGACAGTAGGTGCTGATGAGGAGGCGTTTCGATCGAGGGAAGCCCCAGACCGCGAGCAGCAGGAGAAAGTTGACAAAGTAGCACAGGTCTGCGAGGAAGTAGTGGTAGCCCTTTTGGCGGTAGGTGATGAGCCTGATGGGCATAAAGTATAACAGTTGTATCGTGAACCAGTAGTAGAAGTATTCGGGCACGGCCCCGATCAGGTACCCGCTGATGAAGACGTTGAGGACGGCGGAAATGAAAGATACCTTTTCTCGTACGGACACGGTGACCGTGTCGTTCCATCTCTTGTTGAGCTCGTCGACCGATCTCTTCATGCGTCTCCGGTACTTGGCGAGCTGTTCGTCGGCGGTGGGCACGCGCTTGCGCCACTCAGCCACGGCTCTATCTTTGGCATTGTTCCCTGACGTCCGAATCCGCTCTTGTTGCTTTGCTATCTTCTCTTTTTGTGCCGATAGTGTTGCCTGCCACTTTTCCAGCTTCGAGGGCAAGGCTAGGTTGTCGAAGATGTCGAAAAACGTGATCTTGTCCAACGGTATCTCCCAATCCTCCTGGTGAGATTGACTTCCGATATATGATGAGTTTCTCGACAAGAGATATGGACTGCCCGGTGAGGACGATTGCCAACCGGGTGTGAGGGCTTCGCTTCCATCGTGGGTAGATCCTAAACTGCTGGGGAGATCTGCAGCTGCGGCTTCGTCTCCGTAGGCCTCGTGGTCTTGCGCCCGCGGTATTTGTATAGGATCTGACATTTTTAACAACTCGGTCAGGTTGGTATGGGAGACCGGGAGGCGAATGCTTTCGTGCAAAGTCGTGTGTTCGAGTATTTGTGGTTCTTTGATTAGGCGAAGCCTGTAACGCGGAATCGGCGGATTCAACTCGGATCAAAAGCCCTCGTGCTCGTAGACGAAGTGGGATAATTTCTGGCGCGTGCAGATGACACTCGGGTTCATGCTTGCTGCACGCAATCACATTCTCGTGTTCGTTCTACGATAAGAAGCGATACACGTTGACAGGGCATTCGAGGCAGAGCGTGCCATCAACGAGCAAAGCCACTGGACAAAATGAAATGACCGGACACGCTACAAGACAGGAGAAAACTGTCCACAACGTCATATGAGTCAGCAATAGACTATTCCTATCAGGGACTAGACTATCAATACTTTATTTCCCTCCCCAGAAGCTTCGTCGTTACTTTGTTTTTGCTGTCAAGTATTTCTGGTCAAGGGATGCAGTGAGACCAACTTCCGTTCCAGTACGTGCGTGGCATACCAACAACATGATGTCGTCTTCAGCAATTGGTTCTGATCAAATATGAATTCCGCAAGGAGGTTCATGTCATTCAGTTCCTTGATCACCGTACTCGCACTCCCTGACCGATGGATTCATATCGAGTAACAACTCTGTGTCATCAATTTCGTGTTATTGTTGTTTCTTGATGGCCATTCCAGGCTATTTCATCCAAACTATTCCAAAATCGTCCTGCTCGTCACATCCCGGGGAAAGATATCCTCTGGTACATCTGGCATCTGCCAGACCTCCCCAAGGTCGGAGACACTGGTAGTGCCGCCAACGCGACAAGCACGATTGGCCTTTCGAAATCTAGGCTCAAGGTCACTTGCTTGGGCTTTGAGCCAGTTGCTATTCGATGTTAGCAATGCTATTCACCTAATCGGGAAGGACTTTTACACTTGATCAGTCGGTACAGCCGATCCAACACAATTAGCCGCCATCAGTGCCCTCATGATGAGAATCTGTAACGCCCGACAACCTGCCTGTAGATTGATTGGGACCTATCTTAACTATTAGAACTCTTCTGTATGGCTGTGACTATCACATACTGCCAAACACCCAGCGCCAGGCCACACGCGGGCACAGAGAGAGCACGCCTTCGACCGGCACCAGTTACAAGGTAAAGAGGAAGGATTCGGCATGGAGTCAGGGGCAGAGGAAGGACCGTCAAATCCACGGAAAGCACTGTGATGCGTCAACCATATACGTTTTTCTCCTGAGCCATGCGGAAGACTCACAACTCGGACCAGCACGGTTGGCACCATAGTCCCTCGGGAACAGGGTACCCAGCTGGATGTCCAACGGGGTATCTCGCTATTGAAGATTGTTAGTCGGAATGGCTCGGAACACTCTATTTCTGCACGTACACATTGGTCTGTACCTGAGACAACGAACAGGAGAGCAAAATAGGTGAAGAAGAATGAACCTATCTCAGCACTCGACTGCATCTAGAGTGCCAACATCGATTAAAAAGCCTTGCGGTGAATGCGTTGCCTGACTCGAGAGGAAACGATTCACGAGTGACACCACAAATGCGTTTCAATACGCAAATCAATGGTCTCACTGACCAGCAAGTGAATGGTTATTCGCACGCAAGAGTAGTGAAAGAGGAGGACAGCCTCGCTAGCAGCGCGTGGGTAGCAGACTATTGATGACTATGCTAGGCTAGATGTGACATTCCTCAGGCGCTTGCGGGTAAGACAAGTTCGCTAAGATTCAAACTCGAAATCCTCCGCTAAGAGGTCATCCTTCATAAAAAACAGAACCTATAGGTGTACAGAATCACATTTTCTGTATCATGATATACCTTATCCTCGTCCTGCTCGTAATCGTATGGTGGGGTGTACTTAGAATAGTTAATTGTACTTACCGAATGGGGAAAGTGCGGCGAGGACCCAACAACGCGCTTTCGCGCCGCGTCTGCGATCAATCAATTCAGCGGCCAGACAGGAACGAGTCGACATTTCTCGAGAACAAGCAGCACACACCATCAAGATTGTACCATCGCTTGAACAAGGTCGTGTTGATGCTCGCGCAAAAGCCATAAGGCTGCCTCAATTCCCTTTCCTTCCTCTCCCGCATCCTCCGACACCCTTCACGCCATCATGGGCAAACTAATGAGGCTGGAGCTTTTCAATTTCAAGTCGTATAAAGGCCACCATGTTCTCCTCTTTGGCGATGCATACTTCACCTCAATCATTGGCCCAAACGGTTCAGGAAAGTCAAACTCTATGGATGCGATATCTTTCGTGCTCGGTATAAAGTCCTCCCACTTGCGATCGACCCACCTGAGAGAACTCGTTTACCGAGGCCGAGTCCTGCAAAAATCTACGGCAAACGGCGAACAAGAGGCAAATGGTATCCAAGAGCATGACGATGAGGATGCGAGCCAGGCAAATGGCACTCAGGGTCGCAATGACCCCAAAGCCGCATGGGTAATGGCTGTCTATGAAGATGATGCTGGTATCGAACAAAAGTGGAAACGTACAATCACCAATCAAGGAGTCTCCGAGTACCGGCTGAACGGCGAGGTGGTGACAGCGCAACAGTACAATGAGGCATTGGAAGAAGAGAACATCCTGATCAAGGCGCGCAACTTCTTAGTCTTCCAGGGTGACGTTGAAGCCATAGCGATTCAAAAACCTCAAGACCTGACAAAATTAATCGAGCAAGTGTCCGGCAGTCTTGAGTACAAAGCAGACTATGATAAACTCAAAGCCGAATTAGATGAAGCCGCGGAGCAACAGGCCTTCCAACTGAACCGTCGTCGTGGCATCAACTCTGAGATCAGGCAATACCAAGAGCAGAAGAGAGAGGCAGACAATTTTCAGAAAAAGGCTTCTGAGCGTGATGAGGCAATTGTGACTCACGTCCTGTGGAAACTATATCATCTTCAACGGCAGATTGAAGAGTCAAGTGCCGAAATTCAGAAACACCAAAGCGAGCTGAAAGATTTTCGACGAGGCATTGAAAAATATGAGCGTAAGCTGGAGGCGGCAAAGAAAGATCACGCCTACGCGGCTCGTAGTGTCGGCAAGGTAGAGAAGGCGATCAAGTCCAAGGAAAAGGAAATTGAGGACAAAAGCTCATCTCTTGTGCCCATTGATGAGCAGATCTCGGTATCGAACAATCAACTCACGAAATACGCCAATCGTGTCAACTCTATCCAGAGAGAACGGAACGCGCAGGCAGAGACGGTCGCACAACTAGAGAAAGATCTAGCCAGGGTCAAGAAGGCGCAAGCGCAGTGGCAGAAACAATGGGAGCAGAATGCAAGTCGCCTAGGTGGACAGCTGAGTGATGCCGACCTTCAACAATATACGCGACTTCGAGAGGAGCTCAACAAGCGTGCGTCGGCCGATCTCAGCAGAGTTGAGCGACTCAAAAGTGAAAGGGCTCCCATAGAAGCAACGTACAACAACCTCAGGAACAGTGTGAACAGCACCGAGTACCGACTCCAGTCTCTCGACAACGAATACAAAGCCTTCAGTGAGCGCAGAGACACTGTGAAAGAAGTGGTGGCATCCACACAATCTGAGATAGATGCAAAGAAGAAAGAACTTCACGCTGCGACTTCAAGACGACTACAGGCTGCACGTACTCGAACGGAGCTTGACGAAAAGTTGGCAGAAGTTGCTCGGAAGCTTCTCGAAGCTGACGACGGCCGCCGAACAAGCGAAAAGGAGTTGCGAATGAAGGAGACGATTGCCATGCTCAAGCGCACATATCCTGGCGTCAAAGGCCGTGTACACGAGCTCTGTAAACCAAAGCAGAAGAAGTACCAAGAGGCTGTCAGCACTGTTCTCGGTCGACATTTTGATGCCGTTGTGGTTGACACTGAGGCCACCGCGAAACAATGTATCGAGTACCTCCGGGATCATCGATCAGGACAAGCCACGTTTATTCCATTGGACACGATTCAGGTCAAGGCGCTCAACTCTAACTTGAAAGGTATGCATCGCGGTATGCGACCTGCTATCGAGACAGTCGACTATGATCAGTCGGTCGCTCGTGCCATTTCCTTCGCCTGCGGCAATGCTATCGTTTGTGATGACCTGAACATCGCCAAGGAGCTATGCTACGCCCGCCACGTCGATGCTAAAGCTGTCACCCTAGATGGCAGTGTAATTCACAAGGGAGGTCTCATGACGGGCGGTCGAGGCAGAGAACAAAACACCCGCAGATGGGACGATGCCGAAGTTGAGAGACTCAACAAACTCAAGGATAAACTAATGGACGAATTTTCAGCATTGCCACAAGAACGAAGTCGTGTTGCGGAGGAACAGACCCTTCAGACTGAACTCAGTGGCCTGGAGGGCCGACTCCGCTTTGCTAAGGAAGAACTTGATGCCCTGACTAAAAATTTGCAGAGCAAGAAGAGAGAAGTCGATCATGTGAAGCAACAGCTCAACGACGAGCGCCCGAAGATGCAGGCTGAACAACGAAAGCTCGAAAAGATTGACGAGGATATCTCCGACTATCAAGAGTCTGTCAATAATGTTGAGAATGAAGTCTTTGCCGATTTCTGCCAACGGCATGGCTTCGACGACATTCGAGACTATGAAGCCCGCCAAGGCTCGCTACAACAAGAAGCTGCGCAGAAGAAGCTTGAATTTGTAACCCAAAAGGGAAGACTCGAGGGTCAGCTCAGTTTTGAAAAGTCACGGCTTCAGGCTACGGACGATCGCCTCGAGTCACTGAGAGATAGAGAGCAGCGAGACAAAGAAATCATTGACGAGCTCAATGAACAGCGCCAGGGCATTCAGGACGACCTAGAGACCCTCAAGAATGAATTAGACGAGTTGAATGCACAACTGGACCAGCAGAAAGAGCTCCTATCAGACGTAGCAGATACGCTGGCGGAGCAGAAACAAGAAGTTCAAAAACGATCCAAGGAAATGGAGAGCACATTCAGAGCCATCAGTGCACTTGAAGGTGACATGCAGCGTCATTCATCCGCACGCTATAGTCTGCTGCGTCGGTGCAAGATCGAAAACATCGCCATTCCTCTCGATAGCGGCTCAGCCAATCTCGACAGCGTGCCAATAAATGATCTGCCTCTAGAAGATGCAGACGCTATGGATGTGGATGAAGATGACCCAACTTCGGCTGCTCTCAAAGCACACAACGTCATGGACTACGGTGTTGTCCCAGATTTTGATGTTCTCGATGATGACCTGAAGGAGGAAGACAATGAGGCAATGGAATCGAAATTACTTGACGACATTGCCAAGTTGAATGCTGCGTTGGATAAAATGCAACCCAATGCCCATGCGGCACAACGTTTGGCTACTGTCGAAGCCCGTGCTCGTGACACGGAACAAGAATACGAAGAATCGCGCACCAACTATCGGGAGACCAAGGCCCAATTCGAGGACACCATGCAAAAGCGCAATGAATTGTTCCACAAAGCATTCTCGCATATCTCGGAACAGATCGAACCCATTTACTCCAACCTGACCAAGTCTGATGAGTTCCCAGCTGGTGGTCGAGCATATCTCACAGCTGATGAAGACGAACCATATCTTGCTGGAGTCAACTATCATACTATGCCACCAACGAAGAGATTCCGAGACATGGAACATTTGTCTGGTGGAGAAAAGACCATGGCTGCTCTTGCACTTTTGTTTGCGATTCACAGCTACCAACCGAGTCCCTTTTTTGTTCTGGATGAAGTTGATGCCGCACTGGACAATGCCAACGTCGGCAAGCTGGTCAATTACGTACGGAATCATGCTGTAAGTTGTGACGTTGAGTTTTTTTGGGAAGTGAGGACGTACTAATGTTGACTGTTCAGGGACCTGGAATGCAATTTATTGTCATCAGTCTAAAGACTGGTTTCTTCCAAGGCAGTGAAGCGCTCGTAGGTGTGTACAGAGACCAGGGTGCCAACAGCTCGAAAACCTTGACGCTTGACGTACGTTGCTATTCCCCAAATTGCCGACCGAGAGGCTTTGATGATATGACTGACATGACCTACAGCTGCGCAAGTATTCGTGAGTGCGACTTTAAGACGAAAGGACATGCTCGGTAATGTCCGACGAAATGACATGGTTGAAATGGAGGAGATACGATGTGACAGGTAACCACGAGCTCGACGACTGCAAGTGAGATTAATGATGAGCGTTCTCATATGAATACAGTACACGAGTCTTGTAGTAACATTGGAAAGATTGTGTACTTGTGTACAAAAGATTCGATTCAGGCTACACTTTGTTTTACTTTTCTCAACAATAGGACGCTGTCTTGCCTTTTGCCGCGATGTTCCTTCTGAAACCCCACGGATAAGATTACGTTGACAGAGTTAGTTAGCTATAGTCGAAATTGTCAAACTAGATTCGGTTTTTGTTTTGGATTTTGTCATCAGAGTTTCGTTTGTTCTTTTGTCATGTGCCACCACAGCTACTTGAGGTAGGTCTAACATAGATATGCCACTACCTGAATTCTGGTTCAGCGGGGAGGTTTTTACCCATCGATGGGGATGTTATCAGGGTACCGACGTCCCACGACGGTAAAATTTGCCAGAATGTCGTCGATGGCCGCCATCTCGTCGGGGGTCAGGACGATTTCGTCCACGGCGTTCTCGCGCACGCGGCCGGCCGTCGTCGACCCCGGGATGGGGACGACGACGTCCGGCATGCCCGGCTTGCCCGCGAGACCGCGGACCCAGGCGAGGGCCAGCTGGGCCGGGGTGCACCCCTTGCGCTCCGCGAGCGCCTCGACTTGGTTCACGAGCCGGAGGTTGACCTGCCACGTCTCGGGTTGGAAGCGAGGGTAGAGGGTGCGCCTGGGGTCGTCGGGGCCGAGGTCGTCGTCCACCGACTTGATGCGGCCGGTCAACGTCCCCTGACCCAGGGGGGAGTAGGCCACCAGAGGGATGTTCAGGTCGGCGCACGCCGCGGCGACGCCGTTGTGGAGGACGTGCGTCGACCAGAGACTCAGCTCGACCTCGACGGCGACGACCGTGGTGATGCTGGCGGCCCTGCGGATGGTCGCGGCCGAGACCTCGCTCAGCGCGATCCCCCTTATCACCCCCTTCTTGACGTACTCTTCCTCGAGGTACTCGAGGGAGACCTCCAGCGGGGTCGTGGGGTCGACCCGGGCCATTTCGAAGATGTCGATGCTTTTGGTCCCGGCGAGGTCGTGGAGGATCTTGTCGACGCTGGCCTTGATCGCCTCGGGTCGACCGTCGCCCACCATGGCGCCCCAGACGAAGGCGCCCTTGACGCTCAGCACCACCTTCGCGGCGTCTTCGGGGTACTTGCGAAAGTACGACGCCATCATGGTCTGGGTGTTGCGCTCGGGGGTGCCGTAGAACTCGCCGGCGTTCCAAAAGTTGCAGCCCGTCTCGAGCGTCGCCCGGAGCGTTTCGAAGATTTGGGACTCGGGGAGGGGAGGGGTGCGCGCTGGGAGGCCTATGGTGTGATGGTCGGGTCAGTCAGTCGCGGGTGCATGGTGCGTGTCTGTGTGCGGGAAGAGCACAACAAGATAATGCATGCAAGCGATGCGCGGAGACAAGGACGACTATGTGATGTGATGTGGTGCCGACAACGTACCCATGAGACCAAAACCTGTCGCACCAATCTTCTTTCCTACCAGTTCAGGCATTTTTATTGATGCTTATTGATGTTTCCTCAAGGTGTAGAAAGGGTTGAAGTTCGGAAGGTGGGTGGGAGCTACGTCGAGACGTTTTTTAACGGAGACGAGAGAGCTTGTGTGGTTGTGGGTGTAGTTGTCGTGTCGATTCAAGGCTCTTGGTATCCTTGGGCGAGAGTATCACTTCCATTTATAACTTTCTTGGGCAGAAGGTCATTTGTACGTGGGACTTCTCCTGGAACAAGTCATCCTACCACAGCCCCCAATCGAGTAGTACTGTCATCGGACTCAGGGAGATATTACTTGCCTAAGTCGTGGTTGGCCGTCGCCGTCGACACGGATATAGTTCTTCAAGTCCGATGCACACGACATGTGCTTTTTCTTGTTTTGCCAAAGCTGTCCAAATGAAGATTGGAACATGATTCCATTATCCACATCGTGCCTGGTTTGATGCACCATGTGGTTCCTTTCCTAATTAGGAAAATCTTCTCTCATTGGCTGTGGTTGCTAGTGCGGTGGGTTTGAGGGAAGTACTGGCTCATAGCACTCCGTACAGATGGCAATGCTTGGGCACGGATATGATGGCTCGTCAGAGATCGTGATGGTATCTCCATGCTTTGAGGGCTCGCTCGGCTGGGAACACCTTTGATTCCACCTCGGCTTGGAGGACACTTTTGCTTGGCCTCAGGACCGTCGCTAAGCTACGGGAACTCTTCTTGCTGTTTCCAGAAGGCTTCTCCCGCTTCGTTGTGAAGCAAGTTGATCCAGGGGAATCGAACCAGACATGATTGGGCATCCTTCCAGCTGGTCACCTTGAGTAATCGAGCTGCCTGAACTATCCTCATCTTCAGCCACGCTGAGTCCAGGTTTCCAAGCACCGATACACCGCCGATGAAAAGAAGCCATAACGTCAGATCGCTATACCCCGCCTCCAAGCCTGTTTCGATGACGCTTTTGAGCTGTTGTGCAACAGGTTCGTATCTCATGAAGCATCGATCACCACGGCGTAAGAACAGAGTCGTCAGGAAAACGATAAGTCCAATATGGCAGGCCCGGTCCACCTTATTCTCAAGTTGAGGCTCGGGACCGCCTATGGGATGAAAACGAACGAGGCGATATCCGAGTGAGACGATGAATTCTTGAAACATGTACGGATCCAATTTGTACCCCATGTTGAACGAGTGTCCGATGCATGTAACTTCGATGACTAGCTGCTGGAGAGTAGTACTCAATTCATTGAACCATGGATTTGAGTCAATGGAGGGTTGACTGATTGGGAAGCCCTGCGCGGCCAAATACCATACTACGTCCGACATGCGGTCTCGATAGAAACACGGTGTCGTTCCATAACTGAGAGCACAATCGAGATCGGTCCTACGAGTAGTAATTCGATGAGTATCAAACGATCCTTCAATACGAGACATTGACGCGACTTACCTGCAGAATTTCAAAACCAGCAGAGCATCTTCACTTGCCTCGAGGTTGGCCAAGCCTCCACGCAGACTGACCATTTTCCGAAGTCCTTCCAAGTGGATTTCCGCTTCAATTTTAGACTCCCGAACTATCTCATGCACGACCAGGAAGTTGACCACTGTAAGCGTGGAGCTCGATAAGGCTTTCGTAGTTTTGAGATCCTCGTTGACCAAGCTGACTGCTCGAGTAAGGTGGTAGAGGGCTTCGTGTGACACGATTATACTGCCAAAGAAGAAGTCATTGAGCGTGGCCAGAAGAGCCAGAGTACAGTGGTGTGCTGAAGACTGTCAGCACATTTGAACCTCCGACGAAATGCTATCGTCGAGGTTTACCTGTTTGATCGGCAAACAGGAAACGCCACCAGAAGGAGGTGACTTTATCCAACGAGCAACATATCTGTGGAGGAAGCAAGGCTTCTGTGACGTACGCGAAGACTATGCATCAACGTCGGCATGAGTATCAAGCTCACACAATGTTGGAGGAGCCTTACATTTGTTGATGGTGTCCCGGCTCTGTAATGTAGTCTTGATCGGAAATGACACCGAATGCGACGGTGCAGGCCAGTGGTTGAGTGTGACTGAGCCAGAGTTGTACGAGAGCGTCTTTGCAATCAGCTGGTGTCGGTTCAAGTCCAGTCTCGATCGCCGATGATGCCTTTTCCCTGCATTCTTACCCTTCATCGCATGACTGCGCACTAATCTTTGTGAGAGGCGGTCGACTTTGCTAGAGTCGATGAAGGCGAAAGTCTTGCCCTGTCGGCCGGCCTCAGACATGATGTGCAGCAGATCCAAGTGGGCTTGGAGTTTACTCTGATCATGCCGCCCTGGGTGGTGAAGACAAACTGTGCGTACTGACGGAATGGGTCATGAGGACTCTTTCCAGCATCGTTTGTCCAAAATTGCTCGTGCTTTGTATGGCAACTCCGAGTCTCTCTTATGTCCGAGCGACGAGCTTATGTCCGCCGTGGAATATAACAGACAGATGGGAGACATCTGTCGGTCATTCAAGCTGAATGGAAATTGGTGCATGAAGAATCAGGGAACAGAATGACCAAGATTTGATGTTATTGAAGCATCAGCCTTTTTGCCAGGCTCTGTTGATTCTTCGCCCCAATCTATAAGTGTTTCCGAGGCCTTCCATATCATGTTATACTCTCGTCAAATCTATCTAAGAAAATGGAGCCGAGAAGGTCGCGCATAAAGAAAAGAGTGTTGACAATTGTAAATGAAAAGCATCTGGCGCAAAGGGGTCTCAATCCTTCTTGACCTCTGCTTCTTTTCTCACTGGCTCTTGTTTGCCTTGCTCTGATGCATCATTCTCCGCCTCGTGGGCTTCTGCTGCTGGAGTGGGATCCTTGGCCTCGGCGTCAGCCTTGGGCTTAGGTTTCTCATCAATATCCTTGTCATCTTTGACACCCTTACTAGCAGATTTGTCGTCTTCCGTCTTGGTGGATTCAGCCTGTTCATTCTCTTCCTCAATGAGTTCTTGTTGCTCCTTCAGCACTTCGAGACGCTGTTTGTTGGTGGCGGCACCTTCTGCGTTGTGTACTTCAAGTTCAATTTCGTGGAACAACTCCTCTGGAATGCTACTGAGCACAGCCTGCAAGGCGTCGATTTGAGAGTCGATTGCGCTGTCCTTGCCCGAAGCATACATATATGCATTGCTGAGCACCAGCAAAGTGGACGGAATGTTGTATTTCAAACGGAGATCAAGCCACATCTGAAGATCTTCTCGCAGCCGACCGGGCGACATGCCGTGTGTCCGCAAACCTCGGGAGGCGCACGCCATTTGCAATTCTGGCACGGATAGCGAGTCGACTCCTTCGAAAGAAATGGCCTTGTCATCTCGTTTGATCTGTCTCATGCGGTGACGAATCTGATACCGCAGCATGGCATCTGTGCCAAACGTGTTCAGATTCATGTATTTGCACATGCCCACCAGCTGAGGCCGGGAAAGATTGTCTAGCGTCAAATCATCTTTGAAAGTCTTGCAAACTTTGATCACGTCCTCTCGCGAAGGAGATTCTCCAGTAGCCCGGACCTTCCGGAAGAATTCCGTGAATTCCTCCTTTTTAGCATTGACGGCTGAGACTGGCAGGCCGGTCTCTCGAAGTGTATTTCTGAGGAACGAAGAAACGCCCTTGCGCGTTTCCCGTAGTCTTGCAGCCTTGTCTTCGCGAGATTTCTGCCCTTCAAATGTCGACGGCAACATGTTGGGAAAGAGCTTTAGTGCCACTGGCAGCAGCAATTCGGCGAAGGGAACAATGACGAAAACGGAGAATGGGACTAGACGACCCAGATCTTGAACTGTCCGTTGAAGCTGTAAATCATGTTAGCATTGCCACTGAATCATGGTGTCAAATGCAGCAAGACTCACCTGTCTGTTCTCCCTCCTACTGAGTTCGTAACCAGCAGCCATCTTCAAAGCTAACTTTGATGAGATCTTGACTTCGGCTGCCAACAATTTGGTGCCATCCCAATAATGCATGATCTCTTTTTTGATTTTTTGGCCAATGGTCAGCTTCTTTGCATCCTCCTTTTTATTCGTCGGCACAGAAGCACTGGATTGCGTCGATTCAGTAGCAGCCTTTCCAGCGGCCAAATCTGTCAACGACGCATTCTCCAAAGCCTTGGTCTTGTCTACCATAGTCGCCTCGCCCTTTGGTGTCTTCAGCTGCTCATCGGACTGCTTGAGTTCAGCTACGGTAGGAGTTGGTGACGCTGTCTTGTCTCCCTCCTTGGGCAAAGGCTTCTTCGCTTCATTCATATTGAACCCCGGTGGAGGTCCGCCATCAGAATTATGTGTGCTTGTATCGGTGGCATAATTTCTCTGAGGCAAAAGAATGGCCAGCGCCTGGACTTTCGATGGTAGAGAGCGACTGAATTGCGACCTGGTGGCTAAGAGAGAAGAGTGTGGTAAGCGGGAAGATGCTGTTAGACGTCAATATATAATATATCATGGTCAACATTTGAAATGCTCACAATGAAGCAATATTCTCCGTGTCGCAGCATTGCTGACGAGCCTGGAACTAGAACTCATGATGGGCGGCGAAATAGACGGAAATCGAGGAAGGGTAGCGACAGGGTCCGAAAGAGAAAAGGGAGTCGTGTGGTAACGAAGAAGATTAATACAACAGATCCGAAGACTTTCTAGAGAATTAAAATGATGGAAATACAAGTTGGTGGCATTGTTTAAGGAGAGACGTTTTGAAGGGCCATCAGGGCGCAGTTTGTTCTTTTGGCCAGACGCAAATCGCCAGTTCCAATAGTCGCCTTCAGGTCACGTGCCCAATAGGCTGAAAAGGCCGTCGGAAATGCCAGAAAATACTCCGAACGGCTTTAGATCTTGATTGGCGCCATGCGCTTCATCAATTTGGCAGAGTCCGATTAGCTGGATCTTTTGAACGGGAACTACTGTCATTTCTCACGTCCTCGGAGTGCTTTCTGCGAAACGGTGGAAGGAAAAATGATAGAGCATCTGTGGATCATAGCCGAGATCCGTTCCAATAAATATGAATCATCACGTCCGGCTTGTGCTTGCGAACAGTAGCTCGGCTATCATCCTAGCGGAATAGCTGATTCCCGGTGCAGGCAAGGATCCATTACGTGTAGGTTGATGCCAATACTGACCTTCAAAATGAGCAGTGATAGTGATGTCCGTAATTAATCGGTATCATTCACCCCTTCCGACTCATCGCGCTTGCGTCGCTTTTGTTCGGGTGATGAGCCACCGGAGGATGTATTCCGTCGTCTTCGAGCTGCAGGCTCATACCGACGTAACGAGCTTCGCCGCTTGGGATGTCTTCCTGCACCGGGACTTGCACTGCGGCTCGCGCTGCGTCTACGCCTGTATGGCGTCGGGCTCGGACTTCGGCTGAGACGACGAATATCGTGTGCATTTCGACCTTTAAGAACATCAGCGCGCCTGTTGCTTCCTCGATCGTCGGAAGAATATGAGGGTGATCTCCTATAACGTCTTCCAGCTCCACCGTTTTTTCGCCTTCCATTGAGCGACCTAGACCGTGATCTTGAAGGCGATGAAGCATAGGAACGGCCTGAATGGCGGCTGCGGCGCCGGGGCCTCGGACTTCGACTCATCGTTGATCTCGATCGGCTTGAAGCTTTTCTTCTAGGTGACGGTGAGTGTGATAGATCAGAATGAGTGATAGATCGTGCACGTCTTTCACCAGGTGAGTGAGAATCCCTTCTAGGCTTCTTGAAAGCCGGGCCTCCCGAACTACTCCTGCTCCTGCTCTTGCTCCCAAGTCGAGCCCGCCGGCGAGGAGGTGAGCGACTTCGGGAAGACGGTGGGGATCGCGACGATGAAGGAGAGGATCGACGTCGACGCGGAGGTGGTGATCTGGATTGTGATGGAGTCAGGGATCTGGTTGGCGAACGTCCTCGGCGCCCCCCTCTTCCTCGGCCACGCCCACCAGGTACGTATGAATCGGCTTCTCGTCGTGGAGGTGCATTTCCGAAAGGAGAGCGTCGACGCGGAGGAGGCGATCTTGAGTATCTAGGTCTTCGTGAGTCAAAGTCTCGACCACCTCTGCCACGTCCGCGACCGCGACCACGCTCTGCTCTTTCTCTTTGGCGAACTGTATCCACTTCTCTCTCTCTCGTCTGCTCTTGGTCCTTAAGCTGCTGCGCGTTCGCTGCGGCCTTTTCGGCGTCGATCTTCAACGGGTCAATATAAGGTTACACTGAGCAGAGGACGTCTCTACCTTTTCTTGGAGCAGTTCCAACTTTTTGGCTTCTAGCAACTCCTTCGGCACGCCTTGAGGATTGCTCTGCGCGCTTAAGCATAAGTTCCACAGTTCTTTACAGAATCTTGGAGTATCCTTGTCAAGAAAGCCGGTGAGCGAGATTTGTAATGCTTTGATGTCAGGCTAAAAACAAATCAGTAAAAGCTCTCGCCGAGAGAATACAGCTGTGTCTTACGAATCTCGAGCCCTCCAGCAAGTTGAAGACGAGCTCGATGACAACGTCATCCTCAGATCCAAGAATCTCGGATATCTTGCCTGCGATCCATCTGTACGTGTGCGTGAGCATTCTCGTGTCGAATACTGGCATTTGGGGGGAGGGCTCACTTTTTCATAACCTCAACGTTTACCTTCTTCATATCAACTTTCTGACTGAATTCGGGAGGGAACTTTGTCTGCCGGAGCAGCTTTTGATCAACCGCCGTAGCCATATTGCAGGAATGACCAGTGACGAGGTATCCTGGTGCGTCGTTCTATTCGTGAGAGGAGATTTGTTGATGATGCGACGGGGGAAAGTCGAGGAAACTCCGCAACCAAAAAACGCAGCAGAGAATCGGGAAGGTTGAGCGAGATTGTATTACACGCCAACAATAATATACCATCTGTACGCAATACAACCACCGTTCAAAGGATATGTCTAGCTAGATACTTTTCCTTGAGACTCGAGTCCTCTTTTTGACCATGTTAAGTCGTGCTGAAAGCTCATTTACCAGGTAGGTCTTGCCTGAGCTCGACTTGGACCATGAACCTCAATGCATCGCAACTGCACCGGCGTTACAGTGCTCCATCAGGCAAGCGGCGCCGTGCTCCTTGATCTTCGTCTCACCATATTCATTTTGTCGTTGTCTACCAGCTCCTGATTGTGCTGACTTCCACGTCTCCCACGCCCTCCTCATATCATTAACTCAATTGCCCAGTATGAGTAATGAACATATCCTGTCCATGTGGCTCATCAGTTAGACGTAATACTCCTCACTCTACTGGGCTGGGCTGGCCTTGGCCAGAACACCCTGCCTGCGACCATCTGGACTACTCTCCCGAATTCGAAAATATCTCGTTTGAGGAATCAAGGCAGAGGTTGAAGCCCATTAAAGAAGGTGTAGGGTCCCTTCTGATGAGAACGAGACGGTTCCTCACATCTAACATGCATAGAGTCCGCGACAGACACCGAAAGACGCTTTCCGCGGCGTCCGCCAACAACAAAGTGGTCACCAGAGTACGACATCCTCCCATCCTTCTTCGAGTCACGGCATACCTAGGGCAGCTCGGGAGTCAGTCGACCGCTTGGTCGATGTTTTCGAAAAGGTATGGGGCTTCACTGATGTGGTGAGATCATCCTAACATGTGCTGTATCAGAAGGAGAGGCTCAGCAGAACACCCACAGCACGACTAGACCGTCGTTCCACCAACCCATCGCCCTCTTTGCAACAAAGATATTTCACAGCTCTTCAATCACAGAGGCAGCCCTTGTCTGACTATCGACTCGAACAAGCCTACACTTCACAGCCTCTTCAAGAGGAAGCGCTTCGAAGAGTTGAGAAAGTACTGAGTAACCGATTGTCCAGCACCTCTGTAGCACCTTCTGAGAGTACACAACCGAGTATCCCACCCCCAGGCAGATGGTCGGATCAGGAAAAGCCAAAAGTCAGAGTCAGAGCATCCTCCAATTCTATCTCGATCATCATCCCTGAGGGCTTTGAACTACCTCTTGTGGCAACAATAAGCTCGGCTGGCTCGTTCGAGACACAAGTATCCAGTATAGAGAACGATAAAGAGAGCGAGGTAAGTACCATCTCAGGTGAAACATCAGGGCCTCCATTACGATCACGTAGAGCCACAAATCCTAGACAGAGCACGACTTCAAGTCGAGACAGCGAAAGTCAAGATATAGCAGCCGGCCTTGCGTTGCCTTTTCTCGCGAGAATTAGTGAAGGCCGACTCAACGTCTCTGAAGCTTCGTTACCAGCACCTCAGCATTCAGATATTTCAGCCCAAGGTCAGGTATTTGCACCTTCTCATCAAGTCGCTGACGAGGCCACTGCTTCTCAAGACCGTGACCGCGAGGACGACCACGACCACGACCACGACCACGACGACAATCATAAATCTACTTCGCCACCTCTTGGTAATCCTGAAGACGGTGAAGCTACTGGAAGGACGAGTGTGCCGAGAGGCATCGTTGATCAAACCGATTCTACAGCTTCCGTCGCGGTCGCGGCTGAGCCCATCGGGTCAGACAGAAGCAGGAATGAAAGCCCACGAGAGGTTATCATAGGTCCTACGAATATTGTGTCGATTCCTGAGTCAAGGTCTGACCCTGCCGTCAACCATTTGTCGGGTGCTCTGCCCATAGAACGGCCCTTCGACACATTTGACTTGCCTCAAATCCGAGTTCACAGACCGAGTGGAACGATCATAACCGCCATGGAGAGCCCAGGTGTCCCTCCAACTCCGGCTCCATCAGCTGTTGACCAGACCCCAGGAGCACCACACGGCCCGCTAGACGCTTTTCCTTTCACCAATGCTGCAGCTCCACAGCCAGCTGGGTTTCCAAACATAGCGGCGGTCACGGACGCACTTCCTCTCAATGCGGCGGCCAATGCCCTCCCAGCGATTGGGCCTACAGGTATATCTGCTCTCTATGGAAAAACTCGCAGACGTAGAAAGGTGGTCCAGAAAGTCCGTAAAACAGTTGTCAGGAAGAAGCTGCTCTCCCTCATCATCGGCCGGGAGCTAGCCAACCTCGTATATCCTGTATTGAATGAGGCAACAACCGGGCTCCCGACTGGGCTCCCGACTGGGCTCCCGACTGGGCTGCCGACTGGGCTGTTGTCAATGGATGGTGCGAACGACTTTCCTGACTCATACTCAAGACCGAAAAGGAGACAGCGTTCGGACCGATTAAGCAGGGCAGTTGCCGTGGCTATCGTGGAGGCCGAAGAGGAAAACCGTAAATTTTGCTCCAGATGCAGGGGTCTGGTCAGCACGCAACTCCACCAGAGACTTTATCGATTGGAACTCCTACGAGACCGGCCCAGAATGAGGTTCAGCAAAAGATTTGCAATTGCACTGGCGAAGGCAGAGCCCATGGAGTGTCGATGCCACAAGATGAAGGTGCCAAAGAACAACTTCAGCAATCTAGGTTATGGCCTCTCGCCACTACCATCATGAAGGAAGGATGAGGGCGAGATGCGTTCGCTCGGCTGAGGGAATGAGGCACGAAAACACTTATCACTAGCTTCGATTGCCTTGTGCAGTTCGAATTATTATGATAGAGAAATGGTCTACCATTATTAAACTATCCAATATGCCCTTCGTTCGGACTTGTTGAGGTCGCGAATTGTGTCATCTTCTCAAGTCTTGAATAATGTGATTAACCATTGCCGCGGCATGTTGTAACTCTGGATCTGGTCCAGTTTCGACATATTTGACCTTGACGTTGTAATGAAGTGATACAAGCTCATTAGCACGCGCCAACTCTAGGTCATTCCCAGGTCCCGGCGGTGACGGTCGCGTTGTAGATGAATTACCCGTATCTGGTTGAGTCGATGTCTGGCCGTGTGACCCAGCATTCTTAGGCGCTACAAGGGCAATTGCGGCTTCGTGAGGCTATTCGAAATGAGTTGTCCTGGTACATGAAACATGACAGGTAGGTAGGTCATTTTTGTCGACTTACACATATACTCAAAGACTTGAGATCAGAGAGAAAAGCGGCGATCTGCATAGTGGTCACTCCGTACTTCAGGAGGATGATATTTTGATCATTGACAGAACCCTCAACGTCAAAATCATTTGGGCCGTGAAAGGAATTCCAGATGGGGGATGTCGATGAAGATAGAATTGATGTCAGTGATTTTGGGTTGAAGGCGACGAGGTTGAGAAGGCAACAGAGAGTCCCTCAGAGCAAAATAATCAATGTCTGACGACTCAGTTTTTTCCATTTGATGGGCTTGTACAACGCAGTGCTCAGTCATGGTCTTGTCTGACATGGAACGCTTTTTCCACATCAGTTTTTCGTCATTGCTGCTTTACACTTATTTGCTGGGGATTTGTCTCTGTTAGAAAACAATCTGTAGTTTCAAGTTTTTAATATGCCTTGAACCGCACAAGAAGCCATTGCAAGAGGGACTGAGGTATGACAACGGTTGATACTTCTGACTGATAGAAAAGCAATTTACAGCATCTTGTGGCAACAAAATCGTCTTCTCTTCAGCCTCGAACTTTGGGGACACGACAGGAGGTGGTGGAAGCCGAAACTCACCCGTCCCCCTTTGAATCATAGAAGCGCGACACTACCACCTCGCCATCTCACAGCTACGCTAGAACAGCCTCAGTTGTGTTTTGTTCAGACACTTCCAGGATGGCTCAATGTTTGAGGATTTCTATCGCAATCCCAGGAACTGGACTATATCCAATTCGAGTATGGTAACTTTCCTCGAGGATGCAAGGCTTTCCATCCCCTCCATTCAGCACTGAACTATTCGTACGTATACGACACAACCAATCATGTGAAAAGAATCGGTGCAAAACATGTTCTGCCCTTCGCTTCGAGGGTCCCACAGCCCTTCGAAGTGTGGTTCTGGACAATGGGTGTTTTTGGGGGTTGAACGTTTTTTCAAGGGAACAACCTCTGGCGAGACTTCAGGCATCCCAAAAGACCCTGTCTCCTGACAGGTTCTTCCTTCCGGCACTGCCGAACATCACAGAAAACCCTGTTGGATGCCTAACAATGGCTTCGGATCAGCATGGCAATTGCTAATCCAAGCTCTTCTTTGCCGAGAAGTTTCTTGTCGGTGGCATGCAACTACTACAGTAGGGTCTGGTAAGTAACGGAGAGCCGTTCTATTCCAAACCACAACCCAGATTGTGGGTACATACGGGCAGTTTGAGGGAAAAAGAGGTAGTAATTGCATACTCTCGGTACTCCGTGTGTGTGTGTGTGTGTGAGAGAGAGAGAGAGAGAGAGAGAGAGAGAGAGAACGCACGCAGCCAAACCACCTTTTCAAACCTGGTCCAGCAATGCGAGGAGTTTGAAAGGAAAGTCCCTGCATATCAAAAATGACAAGGGTCCAGGAGTCCTGGGTCGGCTCGATCGTCTCCTCTCATAGGGCTGTTTTGAAGCGATGCAGACATTGTCATCCACTTCCTAACCAGTCGGGTTTTGATCATGGTGGTGAACTACGACGTAACCAAGTTCATTATTCGACTTGCAGGCTTGCAGGCTTCCGGATCGAAGGCGGGATAATTATATCTCTCACGCGACGATCAACACACCATCCAGGGATGCCAGCGAACAATCTTCTCGCGGTTCATTATGATTCTTGGTCAAGGGGCTTCCTAATGTTGTTACACAATGTCTGTGGTTTTGTTCTTCTCTCTCTTTTTATCACAAGTGGAATCAACGATCATCTTCCAGCCTGATGCATCAAGTAAGTATGCGCGCTTGTCGATTGCCAACGTGCAAGACCACCGTAACCAGGTTAGCCAGACTTTTGCCACATGACCCAGCAGGAGGAGCGCATTAGCTCTCGACCAGGACCGTTTTGAGTTACAACATCAGTCTCAGACGGACGGTTCGAGCGCGTTCATGCACAGGTGTGTCTTGCAGACTGGCATCGTAATAGTTCAGCACCCGGTGGAAGACATACTCTCAGACTTGTATCTTTCGATCTTTATCGCCCACAAGAAGGCTCTTACGGGATCGTTGATGCGTTGGAATCAATAACCCACAGAGTTCTAGGCCGATCCAAACGCCACTGTCCCGTTCCACATCATAATCTATGAGCGGACTTACCTACTGTAGCTAAACTAGTCCGCCCATGTAAACGAAGCCAAGTTCCAGAAACGGTCAGACTTGCGAGGGGTTGGTTTTGATGTGTCAGCACCCGCCTCTTCTTTTTTCCCCCCTCTGGACTTGAGGACCACAGATATCGGCGCATGCCATTGTATTGTATTGTATCATGTCGCCATCAAAATGATATCGAGAGAAAAGTGTCGGGATAAGGGTTTAGGTGTCTGGAAGGACAGAGTCTAGAGTAATGATGTTGGGCGCAAAGTAAATACGTGTATCCGTACGTTTTTTTATTCTTCTTTTTCATAATGGTGACAAGAAACCCCCGTGGATTTGCTACGCCACGAGTTGTGTCGAATGAAAGTACGGAGTATCTGGTTTTGAGACGAGCGATGCCCGTGTACCGAGAAGGTCGGATTTGTATGGTTACCGTAGTACCGTGTTTTCCCCAAACAAAAGAGAAGTTATTCTTTTCGGATCCGTGATTGATGCACCTTTAAGGTAGGTAGGTTCTCCTTGGATACGAGTACTGTACAGTACCTACGTAGACATGGAGAATGTGAATATGAATACGATGGAACGATACCGAGTAACGGGAGTAACGGATACCAAGAGAATTCAAAATACGAATTACGAGTTCATCTTGCCTTTTGGTTTGAAAGGTCAAAAGACATTCATGATCAGTTTTGGGGGTTACACAACCAAAAAAAATTGTCATTTCAATTCCTTTCTGGCCCCCCCTTTTTTCCCTCAGCCTGCCGCGGTTCCTTCAAGGTTCAGCCTCGCAGGGCCCAAAAAAAAAATCAATACCCGAATGGAGTGCCGAGTATGGAGTACAAAGCGAGGTGGGCGAATGTACATCAACACCATGGTGAAAACTTTTGGGCGGTGAAACTTGTGTAACACATCCCGTGGCCGTGTGGACAACTATCATATCACGGGTTCTTTTACATACGTTGATTACTGAATGGACAGGTTGTAAGTCCGTACGATGATACAATATCTCGCATACACGGTTACGGACAATTACACTGGTGGTAAGTACGGAGTCACAAAAGACGACGAACCGTGAGGCTGTGCAGGATCCAAAAACATTAAATTATGGAGAAAGACGGCTCAAGGTATTCTTTTTGAGGGTAACAAGTCCCACTGCATAACCACCCATAACAATAACAAGTACCTGATTGATGTCTCGTCGTCCTCGTCGTCGTCGTCCTCGTCGTCGTCGTCCTCGTCGTCGTCGTAGTAGTAGTAGTATTAGTAGTAGCGGGATGGGGAGTTGCTTTTTACGAATGGTTCTGTTTTTATAGGTATCGTATGTACTCCGTAGGTACTCATTTAATCCGTACCGATATCAAGGTTGTTCATAATAATGCCACGTTTTCTCTCTCTTTCACTCTCTCTCTGTAATCCATAGTTATAAAAATAAGAATTGATTCGCTCCGTAACCATGTCCTCCTCCTCCCCCGTAAGAAGGAAGTACGTGATAATTTCAAGGCATCCAAACCATTCCTGGGGGTTGAAACCCCAAATTCTGATCGTCGTTCGTCCCGGAGGAATGATAAATTCCACCCTTTTCTTCCCCCAGTACTCCGTACCTGATTGGGGGGGTCTTTTTTTACTTCCCTGGTATTAGAATGGGGGTAAAGAACCGGCGGAAGATTTTTTTCAACCGGGCTCATCATTCCTAGGAAATAGAAAATACTTTCCAGGGTAGATACCACCGACCTCTAGAGGTACTCTTTGATAAGATGTACAATAGGTACTTGGTTTTTTTTGGAGAACAAAGTTACAAGCTGAGATTTTAGAATATATGTACGATAAGCGGGCATTACGGAGGGAAATCACCCTCGTCCCAACGGAACGTTCTTTTTTCAACCCATCGAACCAAGCCTTGTGAAACAAAAATGTTTCCCCTACTTGCACCTCTACCTCTATCTATCCCTATCCCTATAACTATACCTATACCTATACCTATACTTGTACCTGTACTTGACCACATGACAACTCGAAAACATGTTCATATTCCAGTGTCAAGAGCGAGAACCCCAAAAGTCTTGATACCACAAAGTGCCACCGCGGAGCATTCTACGACTAGTAACTGCCTAGTCAAGTCATTTTAAAAGCGACTGACCATCTGAAAGAGCAGCGCACAGTCCGGCGTTTTATGTGTTCACTCGAGCCAATACATTCAAGGCATCACATGCGTGTGTACACCGTACTTCGTAGGCAAACGCGAAGTGACCCGTCAAATTTAAATGAGACACTGACGAATGAATGCTTACCGGCAAGGACAGAACAAATCAAGTGTTCTTTTACTGAGCGACATCTTTTTGAACAATAGTCTCAATGAACTTCTTTGCGGTCTACACTCGCATTTGCCCTTTACAAGAAAAGGAAGGCTGCTAGTTCCATTCGCAAGGTACTCACACCACACTCGTCAACACTCATAGTGCCCGTACTCGCACTCGTGCCAGCACAAAGGTTGACCATGGTGGACTTGTTCACACAAGACCGGGACGTTGCAGCGAATCCTTCAACTCTGCAATTCTCTACTTCATCCAGTCGACGAGACTTCTTTGATCCATATTTCGAACCCACCTTTTCCGTGATTCGTCGAGGCACGAGTACATTGCAGACCGACTGTTCCTTCAACTCGTACTCGGACTTGCAGAAGCACCCTGCAAGTGACAATGTTGGCCTGGCATTGCCAAGGGTTTCCATGATCGACAATTTACCGACATGGCCAAAAAAGCTGCAAAGTAACATTGCAACGTAGGTGGGCTGAAACCGTCAAGACAGAGGCACATTGACGCCGCGACAGACCATCCCAGTTCTCGTATATTCCTTCAGAGTGTTCGGATAGGCTTGCCGAAAAGGCTAGTTGCTGGCGACTTCGGAATGACCCTGAAAGTGCTGGTAAATGACCGACCATGTCATCGTACTCGTACGCGGGTACAACCTGAAACTTGCGGCCCGGTTTCTCGATTTCACAGACTTACCAAACAAGGCTTGGCAGGAATAATGAGGCGTTCTACTTGACCAGAAATTGTAGGTCAGAGCCGAAAATCCTTCCAACAAGATGACTCCCTTGTCCATCCAGTGATGTCAGCCCAACCAAGTTCATTTCATGCTGGTCATTTTTCGATCGAGCTTCATGCCTATTTCGCTGATCGATCTCGTGGCTGTCGAATCAAATTTGCCAACAATGTCTCCAGAGGCCCGCCCGCTGGAAGGGGTCGCGGAATGCCCGAAAGATAAGCACTAAGGAAATCGGATGAGGGGTTGACGGGCTGCTCTGTGTCGTAAGCATTCAATCGAAATCGTTGCCGTGGCTTGTTAGTTGGCAAGAGCCCCATGAGCATGAGCCGAGAGAGAGCAGACAGAGGGTGCAGTCAAAGAACGACGTGGCCAATGAAGGTTGCATGAATGTGGTGAATGAAAGCCTCAAGGAGCTAAATGGTACTCTGCTTGTTGTCGAAGACCGGGGACACCTCCAGGCGTGGCATGATCCAATAGGCCTCCTCATGCAGGACTCAACAGACTTCCTTTGACCTAGATACAACCTTCTTTGACCGATGATCCTCGGGCGCTAGAAACACTCAACCACCTGTGACTCCCACACCATCACGACTTCGCAGGTCAACTTGAATCCAACAGGTAAATCTCAATGCTTTTGTTGTCAACGTAATCCGCGTCAGATTTCAGTCTTCACAGCCACAAGACACACTTATACAAACAAAATAGATGTCAGTAGAGCCGCAATTTTCTTGGTATCGTGGGGGACAGCGAATATGGGTCGTACCGAGACGCACTGTTTCCGTTTGAAGACGTTCTGGATGAGGGGAAAAAGGAATGGCTTACGAGACCCACTACCAGAAAACAGTGTGCCTCGAGAAAGCCCCAACCTTGTACTTCTTAGCCAGCGGACGCCTGCCTGTGACGTTGATAGGACAGTCTGTATCGGAAGTGTGCCGCTGTGAGAGTGCTGCAGGTGTGGATATGCTGGAAATATCCGGAAGAAACCTTGACTCTGTGACTTCAACTCTGAAGTGTTAGGCAAATGTCAGGCGGTCCAGAATCCGGATAGCCGAGTTTTTGGCTATCTTGACGTGAGGTTCCATTGTTCCATTCTCTCAAATGAACTCGCGTAAACATGTACCAATGCCGTGGCGTAACGCATCATTGTGACTGTGAATGGTAACCTCGTCGTGCATGCAAAAAATGAGTTTGGTACTGCAACGGCCCATTTCAAGCCGCTTGAACGTGCGAGACGGTGTGACAATGAAGCCTGCGTAGGCATGGCCAACAAGCAAGGGAGAAGAGCGACACGACTTGGATCAGCAGCTCGTCTCCTCTGCAACCAATTGCATGGACCACCACTAGGAGTAGTCACGGGCATTTGTCATTGCGCGGAAACCCAAACAGGGCATGGCGGGGTTGAGTGAACTGTTAAGACGCTGTAGCAGGTCAAATTTCTGCAACTAGGATCTTGCCGCCAACCCGTAGATAACACAACGATCATGACCTCAAGCGCCTGCCCCCTCTTCATCAGAGGACATTGAAGTTTTAGGCCGTGCCGTCTCCCCCTGGAGGGACAGGCTACTTCATGTCTCATTGCGAGATTCACTAATGGTTGCACCCCCCATCGGTGGATCAGGAAGGCTGCTGGGACCACGACCCGGGCTGGGTTCACTGCCGGTGGGTGAAATGCCAGCAGAGTCTTGAGGCAATTCTTCGCGAAGACAAACAGACTCTAGTATGTTGGTCCACTTCCCACTTTGTCCTGCATGGCTGTGTTTCAAGTGTTGTCGAAAATGATCGGCTCTGTAGAATTTCTTTGCTTGGTTGCATTCGCCAAATTTGTGCACGCTGGTGAGGTGGTCAAGTCGACGTTCCCAATTAGGTTGTGGCAAGTTTGGAAATTCCTCCCCACAATAGCCGCATGCATCGAATTGAGAGCCTCCCGGGCTTGAGCTCGTTGGGGTTGAGACGGGGTGGAAGGCGCCTCTGAAGTTTGGAATAGCGGCGCAAGACCAAGAATAACGACGTAGATGGAGAGAATTTTGATGGCGTTCTGCCTCGTTTTTGTTCTTGAAACGATTGTTGCAATACTGGCAAGTGTATTGTTTCTCCATCTGATGGTTCCTGGTCAGAAGTCAGTACTGCGAATTGATAGTCCTTAAAAAGTCAATGTATCGGTGAACGTTGAACGTCATCGACTTACCGCAGGTCGTCTTCCGTCTCGAATTTTTTGGGCTTTTTGGGGCAGCAGTCGCATATGAAGGAGTTTCCAACGCGATTCAGCGGTGGGATACTGATCGGTGGCCGGTTCTCACCTCCAGGATTCTGGGTAGACATGGCGCTGTGAATAGATTTGGTGTCCAGTGTAACCTGCGGAAGTAGTCGCGAAGAGGCGATTGACGTGGCAGGGCTCACTACGGGATGGGCCGAGGTTATATATGCAGGGTGTGCTGGGTCTAGCGGTGACTGCTTGTCGAAAGAGGAGATGCTGGTCATGCTGCTCCCAGCAATGGAAAGTGAGATTGAGGATGCATATGAATTTTGTCGTGCACTTGAAGCCGTCGAAGACACCGATCCATGCTTGGCCTGATATTTGGATGCCGGGGAGCGTCCAGATGCAGGCAGGTTGAATTTTGGGAACAAGTCGGTGGATGAGTTGCCACGTGATGGGGATTTTTCGTCCCGAGCCAAATCAGATGGGGGTGAGCGAGCCCGGCGTTTCATGCCTTGCTTAGAAGAGCGTCGTTCCCCAGAACACTGGGAGTCGCCGCCCAAGTGCAGATTGCGGATCCCACTGCCTTCCTCAGCAGCAATGTCGGACTCGGTGTCCGGAAACATGCCATGTTCATAGCTGCCGCGTTGAGACCGGCTGCCAATACTCACAAGGTCATCGGGGCCCGCGAGCGAGCTGCCTATGGACAGCAAACCGCTGGGACGAGGCTGCACGAAAAGTTCCGGGTCCAATACTATCGAAGCGGCAGCGCTGTCCATCGAAGGGCTTCGATGGTCCACGTTGTAATCACGCCATCCAGGTCTTGAGCCGGGTGATAGACCTGCAGAAGCAGGACTGGCGATCCATCTAGAGACCGGGTCGAAAGAAGCCGGTGGAAGCTCATTGGCCGAGAGGAATTGGACATTGGGGTCCTTTGTTTGGAGCGATAATTTTTGGGAAAACGCTGTGGTTGACTCGGCGGAACCAGATCTTCTAGAGTGGCGAGGAGGCGAAGTTGGTTTTCCAATCTTGGACAGGAGCCTCTGGTCATACGCCTGGGAGGAGAGGTTGAAATTCTGCTGTGCCAGTGGCATATCTCCTTGTAATCTAAAATAGGAACGGTTGTCAGCTCAAGTCCTTGTCGAGTTGCCGAGGGACGCAGCTAAGAGGCGGCAGAATCAGCCCCCACGATGGCGAAACCGCCCAAGTTCATGCACCAAGATCAGTAGACCCCAAAACACAACGCATCCAAATTTAATTTAAGATGGGCGATCATCGTTAAGCACGTCCTGCGACTAACTTGACTCACCTTTGATTTGCTGGGTTTGGCGATGACTGCTTGCGGATTATAGGAGGCACATGCGGGCCTGGTAGTTGTATATTGGCCTGGGAGGGCGACCGAACTGTCGAGACAGTGCTTCCTCGGCGGGCGAAGTCGTCGTCCAAATCCATGTCGTCAGGATCACGGGCATGGTCTGGATTCCGTCTGGCCTCCATGTAGCCGCCGTGAAGGCTCGAGCCCGGCTTGATGGGAGCAAGGCGCCGGTTCGAGTTGAAAGGGTCGCTGTTGCCCCAGCTCCAAGCCACGTCTATGCCTTGCGCGAGCTCATCATTATATCGTGGAGGTGGCAGTGGCGGTGGTGGCTCGTCGAAGCGGGCGCCTGGTATCCTCAGGCCTTGTTGACCTCGATGCAAGTCCTCCTCTGAGGTATTGGAGTTGGACCGCGAAGCCGAGCCAGGTGCGGGATTCTGTTGTCTGTATGAAAGTGTCCGCGCCGCAGAGGCGGCGGAAGTCCTACGGATATCCATGCCCTGTTTCACGTTCGCTGTAACATCGGAAGACCCAGGCGATTCTTGGAGGCGTTGACAGATGGAGCCCGTGTTGCCGATGTGAAGGTGGCGAGTGCCTCTGCCCAGTAGTGCACTGGTCCAAAGACCTGGGACTGCTTTTCTTTTGCGTCCAGTTCAGCTGACGTAGGTCGGCCCCGTCGTGTATATTCTGGTACGGATACACCACACGGTGGGCACATTCGTAAAGGCTGGCTGATGTTGACCTCGGCGGGTGGAACAAGGACTTGTCAAAGTTCGGATGAGGCGATATGGATGGATATAGCGGTAAGGACAGTACGTAGAGCAAACCTCTAGAGGCGTCGAGGGTTTGAAAGTTGGGAAACGGTGCGAGGACCAGTCAGAGGGACAGACGTAGCATATGAGGGAGCGACAGGGTGCCACCGGAGGGGTTGTTGGAGGGATTCAGGCGAGCAACAAGCGGTCGTCAAGCGAGGAGTGGTAGGGAAGACTGAGTATCGTTGGACATGGCTGCAGTCAGTCAGTCAATCAATCCGTCAGTCGAGAGAGTTCGGGATGGGATTCGCAGGGCAGATTGAGATTTAGTGAATGGATGGAATCGCAGGCAGCGTCTAAGCCCAGTCAGTATTCCGTACAGAGAGTAGTTCAATACATGGTACGGAGTATCCGTTCCCAAGGCCAGGGTTTGGTGTGGGTGGTGGTTGTAGGGCAGAAGGACGGGAACGTGGGAAAACAGCCCAGGCATGCACAAAGCGGGTCGACGGCGCGGCTTGCAGCTTGCAGCTGTACCAGCTCCACCAAGTTATTTTTTTACAGTTCCGCACAGTGCGTATGGAGTAGCGTTGGCGGCAACAGCCAGGGACCAACAGCGTCTCGGGCGGGTGGCAGGATGGGTGTGAGCAGGGGTTGTGCGAGGCCAGCTAGCTATCCTGTACGAGGGTCTGACTAGGGAGTTGGACCTACCTGAACATTACTAGACTTGGGTCTGTGGTAATACTGTCCTCTGTCATCTGTCATACCTCATGTAATGTATGTACTGTAAATACCTCTAAGTAGGTCTGGTCTCCTGCGCCCAGATCGACCTACCTAGTAGATACTGATATGATTGTCCTGGGTTGTACGTTCGGCGCCTGAGTGCATACCTCGGGGGTTCTGGGACTTAGTAATAGTCCTCCTAGGTACCAAACTAACCTAGAAAGTGGCGGTATACGGCGTGCAAGGCAGCTAGTATGTACTCCGTACTCCGTACTCATCCACAAGGCAGATAGGTAGGTACCATACGAGCTCCCGGAGCGATACTTGCCTCAATACCTACTCTTAGGTACTAGGTACATGTAAGGTAAGGTAATAATTCTCGGTCCGGTGGCTTCTCGCATCCACTAAACATCTTCAGCACACCCGGCAAGGACCCCCTACAAGGCTCTTTAGGCCAGTTACATTTCTGATCCAGGCCTGTACCACTCCTCCTGGACGCTGGTACGGTATTGTACATACAGAATCCTACCCCCGGTGCTTCAGCCCTACGAGGGGTGTTCGAAGAGGCTTCTCCCGCGACGTCGTTCGGTGGAGAATTGCAGGGGGCCTTGCTTCATGCACTCATCCTTGACCATTTTCTGACCTAAATCTGCCATGGATGGAACCTCGGAGAGCGCTGCGTGCTTTGCCTTGGCCTGCTCTCTCATCTTCTTACGGAGTACCCCATCTTAGCATCCATCTTCGCTACCGAGTATTTCTGACCACACCCATCAGAATCAACTCTTGTGCCTGCTGCCTGGTCGGGCTGGTTTTGGTTTGTCACTCATGCGATGATGCTCGTATTTCTTGCGGTTTTACCTGGAAGACGCTGCTTTCCATTATTTTTCTCTTTCAACTTCGTAAGCACTTTGTCGAGCAGCGCAGGATAATTCCGGATAGAATACAGAATACGGAGTCTTTGTATCAAACGTAGACAAGGTCATCATGACAGGTGCTCCGTACGAATACTCCATTAACTGCCCAACAAGGGAAAAGGAATCTTTGAAAAGTGAACTAAAAACGGAAGTCATGGCAAGGGACTAATCATGGCCAATACGCAGTACAGGACAATACAAAGGACTCCTCTACGGAGCCAGCAAAAGTTAGTTGACACCCTGGTCCAGCTGCATTGGGATTAAATAAGAGGTTGGTTTACCAAGATCCCGTCCCTCGCTGGCCTGGAATTCGGCACATTGATTTGTACCTCAGTTGTGCATAGCCCTATGAAACCACCCCTAGACATTCAATTCCCCCGGCCCCAGAGAGGCAGGTCGCTGGCTCACCAGGCTTATGATTTGTAGGCCTCAGAATGCTTATCCCAGTCGTATGACATGCAGCCAGCCCAGTTCTACATACATCGTCTCACCTTTTGCACTTGATGCGCGCCAACCGTCCCCGGGCTCAGCTGAGCCTTGCACGGCCTTGCGCTCCTTAGCCTTGGGGTAGGTGGGACACCCGAGGGAGAGCCCTCTCCCTGTCCGTACGGGATGATATGTTGGGCCTTAGCAGCGATTCCCACTGCTCTTTGCGATTTCGCTTGGCCCCCTTAGATTCTCCGGTATAGATAATACCTCCTTTGGTCCATTAATATGTATTGAACCTTTGCATTGTTACTGCAGTGTCATTAAAAGCAGCAAAGCAAGGACACGCACTGCATCGGCTCCCTCTGATGCGAGTTACGGCATCAATACGAGGGCCAAGGATCGTGGCTTGACTATGCGACGCCTTTGCTGTCCGCCAGAGCATTGACCACACAAGGTTAGTCCCGTCTTCATTCTGTGCTGCATTGTGACAGCTTGCCATGCGAATGATCAACGTCATGGGGCTTGGTGCATGCTGACAGGACACGAGGCCTCGTTTGTGATTGTACTGAATCTCAACGAGGCATCCTTGCCAAACACACAAGGGTCAGCAGGATCTCTGTCACTGAATTGTTCTGATTGTTCGGTTTCGGTGGCGGCGGAATCCCAAACATTGCGAATCGGAGTCGCCGCGTTTCGCCTCTCTCTCCTCTGCAAGATTGTACTCCCAAATTCCAACTTGAAAGAACTATGTCATGGGCCATCAATTGACCGCCAAAACGGAAAGCTTTCCGTGGTGCAATCACCCGTCGTTGGACTACAACTGGTCGTTCGTGGCTTTCAAGACCATGTTAAAATTTACACGTCAGAAGGCAGACTCGGCCAATGAAGGCCCCTCCAGGGGACTACGCTCTGTAGTGTGTATCAAAAGTCGCCATGAATCGTTCAACGATGCTGTTTTGGGCTTCACCGCCGACATCGACGAGTCAAGGAGCAACATTACCATATACAGCGAACATTTGATCCCGCCAGGGTTGAGATCTTTCGATCCCCTTGCTTGACTTCGACGTCAGAGGTGACCCTGCGCCCCGGTTATTGCACATCCCGGCAGATTTTACGGAGTACCATTGATTGCAGCAAGATGTTGATCAAGTACTCCGTACGATACTCTGTACGAGACATCCAAGTTCCGAGGTAAGAAAAAGGAGGAGTGGATGAGAGTTATCTGTGGCATGGGTTTCAGAATGATTTCAGAGCGGTGGAGTTGATATGTCCGCAGTCAAGGGCCTTGGGCAACTTGATTTGGCTCAACAAGGCTGGGGTAACAAGCACCCAGTGCGTGACCCTCCTGTGTGCAGCCTGTGTGAAGCCTGAAGAGGCAAGGTGATGGTGGAGAGTCGATCGACTAGAACATAAAGAGGCAAGTGAGCATAAAATGGATCTTCTGGAAGCCAGATTTTCTGGGTCGCTTCTTGACTTCTTCGTACTGATGTCGGAGAAGGAATCCAAAGCTGGGTAGAGAGCCGGCAGATAGGCAATGGGGCATTCCTACGAAAAACCCCATACGCCAGGCACCCCTTCGTATGAATGGATCTGAATGTGACATTGGATAGGCGAAGGATTGGTACCACGTCGGTGCAAGATACTCGGACTCTCTGGAACTTGCCAGTCCACATGTTGTTGTACAATTACTCGTAGCAAATCTTTAGTCGGTTCCTGACCCAGATAGTTTTAGTCAACGGCCAGTGCCCGCCATGGCAATGTCCTAGGGAGATGAATTAGTTGATGGCCGTGCAAAGAAGAGACTGCCAAGCTGGTTGATGGCTTTAAGACCATCTGCACTTTCGGCTATGCTAAACCAGGAAGGATTAGAGGATTCAAACATTGGTCCGCAGTGGATTGTGGACGATCAGCGCGGAAGTCTTTTCCTAGAGAGATGTTCTACTGTAGTTCGCACGAGCAAACCGTGCAAATATACCGTCAGATTGGATACTCTAGCAGTAGAACGGAGCGCTTTTGAGTGATGGTTTCGCTAATAATGTCAACGTGTTCTTTTACGGATACGGATACCGTCCAAGTCAATTATCCTGCTTAGTCACTCAGTGTGCACGTGACCACTTTCCATGCCGAGGCGCAGTTTTGTTTTGTTGGAAGAAATTCGTAGCCTCGGTGAAGTCGAGACTTTATGAACTTATGTACAGAGTAGCCTTGAAACACCACTCATCAATCTTTTGCTTCACCTACAGACAGTCGTTTCAATTTACAGTCGTTGCTGCTAGTTTGCCAATTGCAATCTCGCAAAACCCTCTCCGGACTACGACCCTTTTTCCTACACCTTTGGCCAAAAAAACCACGAGCCGAGGTTGGCCTAAACCTTTCCATTCTTCGAGATGGATGCACCTACTCTGCCCAGTAAATGTCCTGGGTACAATATTTACGTTGATGGGTGAGTTTGTGCGCACTAGCCCCTACGGTCTGCTGGATTCCGATTGATTCCCGAGTGGTGCGCTGACTCGAACGCGTGCTGTAGGTTTCAAGCCTTGCGACGGCCTCAGGTTCTGCAGGCGTCCAATATCACCCATGTTGTTTCTGTCATTGATTGGAAATTCAAACCAGGCTGGGCCCCGCTCCGTGGGGTTCAGCATCTGCATATTCCCCTGGATGATGTCTACGATTCCAACATCCTGGAACATTTCCCTCGGAGCAATGCCTTCATTCACGAAGGCCTGAATTATTGGCCCACCAAATCTTCTGAAGGTCTTGATCAAAGCGGAGTGCTTGTTCATTGGTAAGTTCACCTCTGCTTGTGCGACTCCCTTTTATCCCTTCGTCGAACCTGGACCTTGCAACGCCTCCCTCAGCTCGGTCTTTCGCCGGCTGGATGCTTTGTCCCTTTACACCCAAAAGGCATCATAAGCCAAATATCATCGGTATGGCCTTTTGCAGCATTCCTGGGAGGCAACAGTCCAATAATCTCAGTCCACTTTGTGGCTGGACAAGACTTTTCGTACAGCCTACTCCCTAGAACGCAGCACCCATGCGGTCCGATGTCACCAATATCACAAATGACCTCCTCAATACTTCCTTGTACGTCTGGCGTTGTGCGAACGAGCCAACGTACCATCGAAAGACTTGATACGCCGGCTTGGCAGATTTTCGCCGCGCTGAAAGGTCCAACGCCACAATGGATCACTTTGTGTGTTGTGCACCATTCCAGTAGTACGGTACTTTTGTCGAGAGCCTTTTCGACATCTCCGTTGCGATTATGTTTGACATGAGGATCTTTCTCGAGCATTCAGCCCATGACAGCAAGATTTAGCAAAAGTCGAGAATTACTTCGTGGTCACGTGAAATCTGCTTGGCTTCCGCAAGGCTCAGGCTCAAGCCCAAGGCAAATGTGATGCGAGGCTGAGAGTCACGGGTGAAATGCATCATTTCATGAATTTGCTACACCATTCCACCATTTGTAAAGCAAAGCTAACATTTGTATTAACAGTGCTATGGGCGTCTCCCGTTCGGCGACAATAGTCCTCGCCTATTTGATGTGGATCTCACGTCAACCGAGATCCATTCAACACCCAGAGAAGAACTCAAACCCAGTACCTTCATCAGCAACGGAAGAAAGTAATGACTCGACTCCAGAGATGATCTCTCTTCCACCTACGCCGCTTACGGTCGATTCTGCACTGGCTCTCCTCCGTGAAGGACGTCCCCATGTCGAACCCAATTCCGGTTTCATCAAGCAGCTGCGCATGTACGAAGCCATGAACTGCCCTACCACGCAGGAACAACTCGAATCACACAAGATTTACCGCCGCTGGATCAACTCCCGCAATGTAATGGATGCTCTTAGCTCAAATCGTGCACCTGAGATGGCCAACATAACCTTCCGGGATGAGGAGGACGAAAGTGATGACGAGTCAAACTCGAACATCAATGACCAAATGAGTGGTCTCGGTCTATCGAGCAAGGATGCCGAGATAACGGATCCGGACATATCTACCTCATCCTCCCCGAATGAGGCCGCATCACCAGCTCCAGAAGTAGAACTGAAATGCCGCAAATGCCGGCGGCTCATTGCCAGGTCCAACTTCATCATCCCACACAAACCGCCTCCACATCGTGACCCGTCTGTCGACGGCTCCATGGAGCCTTGCGCACACGTCTTTTTGCATCCCTTGTCCTGGATGCGAGACACGCTGGCTCAGGGCGAGTTGGACGGACGTTTGTCCTGTCCCAACCTGAAGTGCGGTGCGAACATTGGAAAGTTCGCTTGGCAAGGCTTACGATGCAGCTGTGGCGGCTGGGTGACACCGGGCTTCGGCATCGCCAGGAGTAAGGTGGATGAGGCCCGCAGTTTCAAGCGAGGCTCAGGATCGAGGTTGGGAGGTGCACCTGCAGCGGGCAATGCAGTGAGATTGCCTCCAGGGATGAGGAGGTCGAGTGGGAACGGGAATCTGTAAAACGCCTGTGTCAATGTTCGATGCACCAGACTGTATGTGTGGGTTTTGCGTCGGGAGTCGCACCTTTTACAGACAACACCGGTTCGCGACAACTCCATTACTTACTTGACACCCCTTGTGACGCATCTAGAACATGGAAAGAGATGACCAACACGAATGATGACGATCAATGGTTTGAAAGGGGGAAAGGAGAATTTCTTTTGACCAACTATTCACAAAAAGGGTGTTGCTAGGAGGGATCCACTCATCCATTGGAGACACATCGAATGAGACTGCAATACGATGCAGCCAGGCGTGGAAGGGGTCACGAGTCCAGGTACCTGAAGAATGGTCTTTTCTGTGGGACCATCTCCTCACGGTGTTTGCTTTTGTGATGGCCCAAGTCGCGACGAGGTCATGCACGAATCCAAGAGTGAAGTGTTGAGTTGGTTAGGTTCGGAATGATCCACCAGATCCCCCTTCGGACGTTCCTCCGTTGGCGTCTGTGTGGAAAGGATGAACCGAAAGCAAAACCCGACACGAGGAAAGACATCATCTCCGGCCTTACCTTCGAAGCTTCAAATGAATGAGCGACAGGGTTCCCACGGCGGACCAAAACACGACCCAAGGCTTATGTGCACTCTCAAACACAAAAGGGGCCGAGGCACATAGCAGCGAGGTGGGCGGGGGCGAGAGGAGTGTGTCCGACGACATTCCTTACCCCGTACCCTATAAGGCGATGTGTTGTTTTTGTCCAAGTACGAGGATTCCAACCGGTTACATGCTTTGCGAGCATTTTTCGTTAGTCTTCCTTTCGCCACCAGAACCTCACCAGCCGTGTCAACTCGAGAGCGGAGCAATGGCGACTCGGTACCTGGGCTACTGGATGCATTGGGGCTTGTCACGGAAGAGGAAGACACCCCCCGGAAAAGAAAAAGAGAAACGATTAGTGTCCATGTTCTGGCCTTTGGGGAGGGGAGGCTGGGCGGGGGGTAGGGCCCGGTGATCACGAATGATGACAAATAAGCAACGCCCACACACAAGACTTGCGCAAGCCTTTTTGAGGTGATTTTTCTCTTTCTGGGCATCAAGAACGAACACGAGATTAATCTAGGTATAAAAGGGGACTAGAATATATACGGCACGAATGAAAATGGCAAGGGTTTTGTGAGGTAATTTTTGGCTGTTAGGACCACAAACGAGCTATCCAAGTGAGGAAAAAAAGTCGCATGTGGTATGGTTGCTGTTTACATACCGAATCAAGGCAAATACCGCTGTACAGTATGTGATTTGGGAATTGACGGGCTGAAACCCCCCCGTTCCCACCACCACGAGGCTGGCCAACTCTCGAACCGAGACATCACTCTCACACGCACACACACATTCCACCACCTACTGAAAACGAACCCGGTTGCTTTTGCCCCTACGGAAGGAGTGGTATGTAGTAAGCGACGCAGTTGACACACGCACAAGGTACGCGAATTTTTTGAAAAGCCAACAACTAAACATGGCAATGGTTGCGACGCCCGATGCGATGCGAGACGACTCCGAGTATGTCAAAGGGCGAAACACAGTACGGAATATTATCATCGTCCTTGTACTCATCATGGGACGTTTTCTTTTTCTCTCGTGTGGACGCCACACGTAATACAAAGTGATGGATGGGAACCCCAGTCCCCCCTACCGTACTTTGTCGTACCCCTGCCCGTGTGTCTCGCAATGTCGCAACCCCCCTCTCGACGGATCAGTCAGTTGACTTGGCTTTTTGCTTCCCCCAGGCCCATCCTTCCCGAGTAACGCAATTCCGCCGGCCATGGACCGATGGCTGGCCTTTGGCAGAAATTATGATCGCGGACACTTGGAAGGAAGGAACCAAGAGGGGATGTCGAGAATCAACTTTCACACACCTAGGTAATAAGCCATCTCCACAGTCAGCAAAGAAAACCCGGTCAGAATTCGTCCGTCGGTCTCTGATCGGCGTTGGCGGACTGCTGCAAAAGATGCCTGGGATGAGAGAGCCTTCTCTCGTCCGTCTGCGAGGCTAAATAGCTTCGTACTCGCTTATCCCCCTCCTCCTTCTCCGTAGATGATGCTCAGACCCGGGCCGACCTAAGAACCGAGTCAAGAAGTAATAAAAACTCTCCTCCCTCGTACAAATTCCGATGGATATCAGAACGACCACGAGTCGTAAACTCCTTTAAGGAAAGCTCAATGTCGTTTTTGCGTAGGTCAGCTGTTGATCTTACATTTCTGGTGCCAAGTGTGAGGGAGGAGAAGGGAAGATTCGTGATGGTTGCCCAGGGATCAAGCCATCGCAGAGTCTTTCCTTCAGGTAGAGAAGCTGCAAGATTCGGGTATAAGGACTCTAACACCGACACAAGTGGTAAGCGTTGCGCGGGATACAGTACTCGTACGAGTATTTTGCTTCTGTAAAGATACTCCGTATTGAATCTGCAGTCAGCCTGACCAGGCCTGACCAGACAAACCTCATCGGCGGGGTGTCTCAGCCTTGTAGGGCTAATTCAGGGGTCCGATGCCCGTGGGAAGTATCAAGGCTCGTCCCACGGCGGCTTCGAAGCGGGGGAAGGACAGGACTCCACACAGGAGGCGTCCAGATTGTTACATTTTGTGTACGAGGGTTCAAGGCATCAAAGGAGGTGGGCTTCGACTAAAATCGCCAGGAATCCTTCGAGGCTGACATGGCTGTGAGCGGGATGAGAACGATCCAGTAGCCTGACGTCCCCAGTCTCCATTAGGAAAGTCGACTAACTCGAAGTATCGAAGGAGTCGATCGCATGATGAAACGGACCATGTTCGAAGTGTTGTTGCTGACTCAAACCATTCGGCGACTCCGATCGTACAAGGTGATTATGGTCGTGGTTTTACGCCAGTTTTTGTATGACTGAGAAATTGGAAACGAGGTCAGGTAGTCAACATGGCGCGTGACTGAAAAGCCAGGCCGGAGTTTCAGCGGTGTCAGATCGAGCACGTGCCGAGACTCGCCAATCTGGCCTTGAAGCGTGGAAGTAACAGAGGATTTATGATGAACTGAATAAAGGGCTTTTCGAATGCTTTCAGATTCCTCCTAATGTTGATCGAACGTGTCATGTTTCAATAACCAAAACTTTGCCGGTACAAATATCGACCCTCATTCAGCCTCGTAAGACGTCACGGAGGTGAGAACCGCCGATAATCCGTTTCGCTGCACCATCTTGGAGTAGTTCAACCGATTCGCTTGTGGCGCATAAGCATCTCTAGCTGGCGGAAGTGTGCTTGGGATTTGCCTCGCGCGGGCATCGAGCAAAGTAGTCCTGCTCAAAATTGTACTTCAAAATCTCATCTGCATTCGGTGTGGATGATGAGATGCACACACATGCTACTGGACGCCACTTTCGCGGTGGTGTTTCTCGGCGGGTGGCCGTATTGTGTAAATCAAAGTTCGTGACACAACAGCTCGTGCATGCGTCAGCTGAATGCATGCACGATGCGAGAGGTCGTATGAAAGGTCTCTCGCGAGTCGGGTTTCCCTCGATACGTGTCACAATTGCAGTCGCTGATGCTTCTTGTGGATTTAAGCAACCACTTGATATTCTTGGGAAGCCCAATCATCATCAATTGCGCAAAATGCCTTCAAGTTCTGTTACTGACAGCAATACTTGCAATCTTCATGGCGGTTGTGAGCTCGGATCAGCCATGACTATCGAAAACTCTTGCCGGTCCGATCCTTAGCGAAGACGACGACCTGTAATCCAGAGAGTATGAGAATGTCGGACAGGACGGCATGGATAAACAGGGGTAAAACATGCTTCAATCGACTGCAAACCACTCCACAGCGTATGCTGGGCTTGTAATCGTCGCTTCCGAGGTGCGGATGTGCTCCCTTGTCACTTTCACATGCAACCCGTTGCTTCATCGATTTGAGAACGTCTGCAGTCAAGCAATGTCACCCCGAGGCGCCGCTGGAAAGAAATTTGGATCTTTTATTCGTTGCTGATTGCGCTTTGCGATTTCCATTTGGCGTTGTCGATCGATCCTCATTTGGAAGAAGTTTCTGAATGAATGGTGAGCCGATTGATCTCGTGCTGGACGGACAAGAGAGATGACATACTTCTGCAATGCATACACACGGGGCAGGTCCTCAGCTTTGGGAGCCAGACTTTCACCAGCCTGGAGAGCTTTGATCTGGGACAGCATGTTACGACGAATGTACTACTAGGTGAGTTAGATCCTCACCTTCTCATCCCTTTCTTTCTCAGCCTTATCGTCGTCGTCATCAACGTTGTCCTTTTTCTTGTCCTTGTCATCGTTGGACTTTTTCTTTGCCTTTCTTTTCTTTTGCTTTTCTTCGTACTCTTGTTTTACCTTTTCAATTTCTTTCTCCATCAATTCTTTCTTCTTCTTTGCAGCTTCCGCCTCAGCATCAACAACAGGCGAAGCAAAGCCCTTGTCAGATAAGTGGGACGGGCAAATGTAGAAAAAGTCCTAGCAAAAGTCTGTTGGAACGGGAAGAGCAGAGGGATCACATCCACATGATGGAGGCTGATCTGATGATGAGTCTTACCTTATTGTCTGGTGTTATCAGCACTCTGACAGTTGGTTTGTAGCAGACAAAACAGGCTTTTGATGACGCCTCGGCAACTGTTCGTAGATGGTAGACGTTTGGGAATGGTAACGACATTGTGATCCAACCTCTAAGCAGTCGAGGCAAGCAATAAACGACTTGAATTGATCTTCAAAGAGTCTGTGACCAGAATGAAGATGAGATTGTTGTTTGAAGTGATGATGGAAGGCGGATAAACAGTTTGGTGGTTGTTGAAGATTGAAGCTAATCCCACTTGGCACTAGTCTTTCCAGTGCCGGAAAATGGTTCTTCCTTGCGGACATCAGTTTTCTCTCCTCGACGACATCATGCCTCTGCTTTGAAATGAGTCTCTTTTCATGCTAACTCAACATACGGGACGTAATCGGGAGCCAACAAAGAAGTCAAGAAACGCATACCAGGGCTAGGCCATCAAGACCAGCCGCAGAAGGAGGCGCGAAACAAAATATGGATGCTTCTAAGAAAGCACATTTCTCGAAGCTACGATATCTCCACGCCACAAAGTCGTGCCAGTGTCACTCACAGTGGCATCGAACGTGCGGAAACATGATGAGTCTGGACAGAGCTGCGATAGCTCGTTGTCATCCCAGGAACATCGCCTCGCGACTTGGTACCAACCTTTGACAAGTCCTCCGCAACCTCTTGTTCATGTTGATGTTCTCTGCGTTAGGAACTTCCCGATGCAGGATGAACAACCCCACCAGCTCAGCCATTTGATTATGGACCACCATCAGCGCTCCAAACTCTCCCAAGATTCATACACCGGGTGTGGCATCAACCGGACAAAGTGGATATATTCCAACGCAGCCAAACTCGGTGAGCAAGGCCTCCGATTTAACAACCACCTTGTTTGAAGGCTTGGACTCGGCGCTCTTGCTACGTTTGTCTATACTCGGATGATTTTTGTGTATCTTACGGCAAACCAACATCAACTGGGATGTGATGGGTACGATAGACGACAGCTCGAAATACTACACCTGACCAGCATCGTTCAATGAGAATCATGACTGTCCCAGCCTCGAACCAGCTATGATGACACAATTACAGCGTGCCAGGCTTGATAGAAAAGAGACTCTTGTGCCCGTCATGCCCTTCGATCATGATCCACAGCTCTGGAACGTACCTCCGCTTCAAGCAGGGCCTTTTTGAATGCAGGCGGCGAAGTTTGAGGATGCAACAGTAGGTTGTAGGTTTAGCTAAGGCCAGGCTCTCTGCAGACGAACTATGCTGCTGGACGGCTGTGGGCCCAGAAGTTCTGGTTTACTGATGATATTCGTCTCAACAAACCTCTGTCAGATCGGACCAAACCAATTGCTGGAACAGCCCGAGCTCACGCATCCTATCTCCAGGCTGCAAAGCTCCTACACCTTCCAGCCTCGATCTCTCGACGAGCTTGATGCTGTCTATACATCAAAGGCTTTTGAGGCAATGAGTCTTACACAGCTGGGGTCTCATCGCTGACTTGGCCATTGTCAAATCTTCCTGTGAAGATGAGGATCTGAAGACAAGAGGGCAAAGGCAAATGGTCTCGATTTACCGATGGATTCCTGTACTCGACACCTTTCATCCCTAGCGCCTTCTTGATCAAGCAGTCAAGTTCTGTGTGGGCGTGGGTATAGGGCTTGCCTATACAGCAATAGGAAAGTCACTCGCAACATACTCACGCGGCGAATTTGGGCAACTTCCATCGGCCACAAAAGACCAGAAGAAATGCTGGAAACCCTCTGATCAGATCTGTCATACCAGATGTGTCCACAGTGCTTCTAATCCACCAGCCCATCACTCCACCACTACCACCCAAGGAGCTCCGACAAGATTCCCAGAAGAAACAAGACCCAGGCGACAGAGGAGGACGTTTGCTCTTGCAGGAAGTTGACCAAAGGGTTGGGATCAAGGCGGGTATTTATACCTAAAAATATTCCATGCTGGCTCATCAAAATCGTTCTGTTTTGGTATGTGAGCTACTCCCTACGGGGGCGATAACGTGGAATAGTGTCGTACGGAACCTAAAACACGATAGGCGGTTGGTTTTCGATTTCATGTACGCCGACCCCTTTCGATTCTAGCTGAAGAAACCCAGCCATCCCTTGTCAGCATCAGGCCTGGCTCCTGCCCTATTCCAGAACAACGACATGGGCTTCATGGACGGGACGTGGATGAAACAACGAAGGAAGAAACGGCAGCAAAGAGTTGGTGACCTCATAACTATACGCCCTGAACATGTTCGGTTTTGGCGGATCAAAATCGCTTTGCTTATGGTGGTGAGGTATGTGAAGGTACTCTCCAATGAACGATGGCGCGTGCAGAGTACAAAGTGTGCAGGCAGACGCGAGAGAAGGCAGAAGAGAAGGTAGTAAACGAAAAGCGAGGATTCGTGGGGAATGCCTGCAGATATACGTACTCCCAGGCCTTGCTCGATGCTGGCTCATCAAAACGCCCGAACAAGCATACCCAACTACCGTCTGTATGACGATGACACCTGATGTGTTTCGACAAGTACCGGCGACGCGGAATCAACAGCAAGCAAGAAGTGCAAGAAAGGAGGGGGTGGGCGATTGTTTCCACTCCAGGCCTCATAGCATTGAATTTCTTTTGCAGATCCTGGCGCATCAAAACACCTAGCCCGGCTTACCATGTAAGCATGAGACCTGCTCTTCACGGTCCAAAGAATGTGGCTCTGCGTGGGAGTATGCTGGATATTGCCCCTCTCAGGTGGACGGGTATCTTGATGCAATGTGAGTTATTTTTTCCCGGTGGCTTTGAGGTGCCCGGAGGCGTTTACACCATACAGGGATACCACAACCAGAAGAATGTATACTCTTGCAGACAAATGTTCCCCACGATCATGTCCAAAGCTCTGCCAGCCACATCAGTGCTAACAACAACGTTGCTGTTCGATGACTCTGTGCGGCATTTAGACAGATGGAGCCCTGTGCACTTGAGATTGAGGTCGTTGATCAGACGACTCTGGCACCATTCGTGCCTCCATCCACTATTGGTCTTTCAGTCCCATTCGCATTACACTACATTCAGGAAGAGCTAATAAGAAGGAAACTACCGTATCATTGAAATCAAAGGATCTGGCTGTTCCAAATCGATCACGAACGAAGCCTCCCTTTTTACCTGTGGGTATCCAGGATGACAATTCGACAAGCCTCCGAGGTCAAAGATCTGTGATTGATCGTTCTCTCTTTCAGTGCGTGTGGGATTCCTGGTTTTGTGTGGTCTCCTTACCTTTGGACCAATAACAAACACGCTTCATGTCTGGTCCTCTCTCTCTCTCACGACGACAACGACGACATCACAGTAGAAGGAGTTCTTTTCCGTGATGGCGGACCGCACTCAGTACGACACACGAGATCGCAGTTTGAGGAGCTTTCTGCAAAACTCTTGGAGGACCTTTCTCATTCGTATTTTTTTGTCTCGGTCGAAGTTGAACGAAGTTCCGAAAAAAGCCGCGTCAGATCAGAGAAGCCGCGCGCAAACAGTACCTTCTTTCGGTCTTGTTCAAAACAGCAGATATATTTTCCGGGAGGGTTGGGTTTCAAAAGCAGCGGACCAAAATTGATTCAGCTCGATTGAGGTCCTCCTAGGATAAAGGGAGAAAAGGCAAAGGCATTCGATGCGAACCGAAGCCATCGTCGTCTGTGGTGTGACCCAGTCAGTACCGCTCTCCACAAGATGATACACACTCGCTGTTGTGGATATGTTCCTAATTCGCAAAAAGATTGGGGTTTTCTTTTTGACGAGATAGAGAGAGAGAGAGAGAGATGGTATTCCAGGCAGTAAGATTACCAAGTCAGTCTGGCGGAAAGCATATAGCGGTGCTTTCAACCTTTGCGAACCTTTTATTCAAGTTCTCTAATACGGCATTCACCCAAAATCGACATTTTTCGTTTTTCCAAAGTCACATCCCTTTTCTCATATATAGATACTGACAGTGGTCCACGATTGATCATTGATTGGATGCATCATCTCAAGTCATCATCACCTCGATACCTACCGCCTCGGGTATTCATCGATGAAGATCAAGATTTACACGGAAAAGGTTGATGCAAATTCAAAAGAACCGTACACATTCAACTATTACTTTAGACAGCTCAAAACGGACCCTGTGATATGTGCGCGCGCAAGCGTTTGCTTCTTGTTGGTATCGCGTCCTTCGTTGCCCGTGCAAATCCCCAGGGGCCTACAAAGTCCAGTCTGATAAACTTGATGGCAGCTCGTACTGTCCCGCCCTTCATGGACTTGTAGACCCATCGCTCTGTCTGTCTCTCCGTCTTGGTCACTCCCTATTCTCTTTTGCCATTAACTCCCTTCCAACTCCATCTCGCATCTCCCCAACCTCGACTGATGAGCTTTCTGACCACCTCTCCACCTGAAAATCTTCTGGAACAGAGAAAAAAGTCCTTCTAGAACCTCAGCTGTACAGGAGGGGGAAAGGAAATGAAGTGGTAACTATGAATACAGCGAAAGTGACCTGATCCCACCATGATATGCGCAGGCTCGAAAGGACCGTTGACAAAAAACCTCCCATAGTACACAAAAACAAAAACATTCAATCGCATAAAAACAGGCAGCCACCCGAGTTACATTTCATTCCACCGTTCGCAGTTCAAAAGAGAGGGCTCTGATTGCCTGGACCACTGCAGCTTTGCCCCGCCGCAACCGATCGAAAAAGATTTTGCTCAAACAGCCACCCAGTGGGTATCCATTGAAAATCTAGCCTCCCATAAGATTCGCTGGCGAATTTCGAGTAAAGACCGATTGTTGTGGGGGATACAAGAACAAGGAAATAAAGGAAATGTTGGGTTGCCCCGAAAGTTGTATCTTTTTGGAATCGATAAGAAAATAAGGTTGACAAAAGTGTTGGTTGGCGTATGATGATGACCATACGGGAAGATCATAGCAAATTCATTGCTTGCCGGTTTCTGAGTTGATCAACCCTCGTGTGTTGAAGATGCTCCATGCATCTGGGAATTCGTTCGACTTCGAACTCGATTAGACCGCTTACTTCTTGCCGTCGAGTTTGCTCAGCATTTCATTGTCGTTTCTGGCCCGTTGTTCAGGAGGCACTCCTGCCGCCGAAGGGTTGCCAAGCATATCGTGCACCTTCATGCTCCGGTTGTTAACCAAACTGTTAGACTGACCTGGTGGCGGAGTTCTACCGTCATCGTGAACTGGTGCATGATGAGGCGAGTTGAAACTATGTGCTGATTGTGGCGTCAACCCCTGTGACGGTGAACCTGTGCCCTTTTGAGACTGGGTGCCGTTGGCGTAATGAGTTTGCGGCTGAGGGTGAGATTGATAGCTCATGTTGGAGGTAGCAGGTGACGTCGGGGCACCACTGTTGGGAGCATACTCGTAGCTACCGCTGCTGTTGGCACGAGAATCATATGTGCTATGACGAGGACGAGAGTTGGGATGAGGAGACTGAGACGAATGAGTGTTCTCGTTATGCGGGTCATCATCAGGAGGGGGACGCTTATGACTGACACGATCATCATGTTGGGCCGGTTGAGCCTGCCCCTGAGGGTCATACGGGGATCCAGCCGGGGGGTAGGGAGCCATGCCGGGAGGAGGGTAGGAGGAGTAGGGCTGCGGAGGAGGATATCCATGGGATTGAGGTGGAGGATAATTGTACGTGGGTTGTCCATGAGGTCCGGCAGGTCCTAGGGGTTGTCCGTGGGCACCATACAGCATTGGTTGCTCTCCTTCACGGGGATAGTGTCCATTACGGGCGTCCGCGGAGCCGGCCACAGGCGCGCGAGCAGCATTGGGTCCGTAGACGGCGTTGGCAGGTACAAAGGCGGCTTGTGAGGACACCGGGTGGAACAGACATTGCTGATTGAAGCGCACGCAATTCTGACAGCGGCCATCGGGTGAGCTATCGTAGCCTGAGCAGCGAATCTATCCTCCGTTAGCCGGTCATACTTTTCACATCGTCGTCCCTGGAATGCTCACCTTTCTCTTTCGGCAATATTTGCAGGCTATCGCGGTACGTTGCCGCGGTGCCGCCGCTGCGGGAGGTGGTGGCGGAGCATAGTGCTGCGGAGGATAATAGCCTGGGGGAGGATATGGAGGGGGAAGGCGATAGGCGTCGGGGTGCATTGGCTGAGGCGGCTGTCCGACATCAGACCTGGGCGGATAGCCATAACCTTGATGTTGAGGATCCTTGACAACGTTAGCGGTGTGTTTGGTGCCCCGTTCTGATCGATCTCGACTTACCGGATAGTGAGAAGGAGGCGGATACGCAGCATGCTGAGGCGCCCACGACTGAGGAGGAGGATATGAATGTGCGGCTCTTGGATCCGGATACTGGCCTGGACGCGCTGGGTCTGGCGGAGGATACGAGCTGCGGTCGTCCCTCACCGGCGGTCTCGAGGGAGACTGCGCGGCGTAATAACTACCTTGACTCGGGTCGTCCGGAGGGGGGTACTGAGGACGTTGGGCATCCCTGGGATCGGCCATTTGCGCCATGATCAACGATGGTGATGGGTGAATAGAAGAATCCCAAAGGAAAGGTTACACAAGGCCAGGAAGGAACCGAGGCTAACGAAAACCGGCAAAGAAAGGACCGTCGAGGCGTGGGGTGAAAGAGTCGGCTCCCAGAGCGTTTCGCAAGGAAAGGTTCGAAGGGATATCGACCGCAGAACCAGCTTGAGGTCGACAGCAGAGGAGAGACGCGCAGTCGCAAGCACTGCACGGCAAGGAAACAAAAGGTGAGGAAGAAGAGAGTGCTGCTAGGGAGCGTGCGAGGCGATCGACCCCCAGATATTATTTGCTGAAAGGGCGAAAAAGTTTTGGTCCCAAGTCGCGGCCCTGGCAGGAGAGATGATCAGGTGTTCGTGGGAGGGCGGATGACGGGAGGGGAGAGGTTGGCTGAAGAGCCGTCTTGGTGGTGGTGGTGGTGGTGAGGGAGGAGGAAGGGCGAGGGAGGAGCGGTAGCGGTGGTCTTGAAGATGCGGTGCGTGCGTGAGAAGAGGTGAGAAGTCGAGGTGAGAGTGGACGGGTCGGTGAGAAAGTGACAAGCTGAAGGATGACGATGATGGGAAGGAGAAGCGGTCGAGGAGGGATGATTGGAGGTGTGATGAAAGGCGGCGGGTGGATTGTTAAGCTGCGTGGCAAGGTGTCCGGCGCGGCTTATAGGCTGCTGGGTCGCCTCAGGCACCGTCCAGGGAGGCCAGGGAGGGCCAGGGAGGGCCAGGGAGTGTCCAAGGAGGGGACCCTAGGTGTCCCCGGTAGCCTGTGGGAAACTTTGGGTCCTCTGACCGAGAGGGGGGACGCTAGGCTGTTGGCGAAAAGCTGCTGTACGTCGGCAGCCGTCTTCTGGAAAGGCTAAACGCGTTGGAGGGAGTGCGAGTCCTTCGTCAGAATGCTACGAATAATAGCTCGTACTGCACAGTAGGGCTTTCCCGGCGAGTCGGGAAGGGAGGGCGGTAGCGCAAGCAGGCGTGTGCCTAAGCAAGGGGTTTATCTGCACTGCCAAAGCGGCACGGCACAGCGGAGGCGATGATGTGACCTCTGCTGCGACCACCGTAGCGTAGCAAGTCTGTGCTCGTCCCAACCAAGACTACTGCTAATAGCGGCGCGCACTGGGCACGGAGGAGAGACAGGAAATTGCTGGTCTGGTGTGTCTTGCGCGAAGCGATTGAATAATGGTGGTGTTGAGGGTGGTGATGGTGATGGTGATGATTGTCCTTGTGATGAGCCTAAAATTTTCGATAGGCGGATAGAGCCAAAAACTAGGCGTGGGCCAGCGCTGGCGAAAAGTGTGTGGCCCCGGGATGCCGCAAAAATGATTCCCACTCTAGCCACTAAAATCTGCTCCACCGAAAAATCAATGACTTGAGTGGCACCTGCTTAGGCTCACTAGTGGTCGTTACTTCTGGGCTGAGGTGAATGCCCCGAAAGAACACGTTCAGAAAAGAGGGGGAGAGAGGGCGCGTTGAGGGTGCCTGGCTAGAGACGCAGCTTGCCTTGACCGGACTGATGCTCTCTCCTCTCCTCGAGGTTTGATGAATACTTGGCTTGTACTCGTCGGTAGCTGCTGGTACCTCGTACAGCGACGAGGTACTCTTACGGAAATCTCTCCCTTTCCCTGCCCTTGTGCTGCGGATGTGTCACTTGTCAACCCCGGCTTGTGTTCGGCATGGATCGCGCCCTGTGCAACGATGATTTGTCTTTCTGCCCCTCTTTCCCTCTTGATCTGGAAAATTCGGCGACGAATCTGGCGAAAATGGCAAAGGGGACCCCCTTGTGGCACGATTGATACTTTATCTCTGACAGCGACACTAGCTGCTAGATGTACGCCTGGCAGCTGAAGCCGTAGAGTAGGTCGCAAGCCAAGATGGGAAGTCAAAAGGAGGACGCTTTGGCACCTTCTGATCCGGCGGTCCACAGACCAATGCAGTACGACAATTGGATCCGGGCGTCGAGAAGGAGGGTGTGTCCGTAACGGGAACGGCAGAGAATAATTGGAAGCTGTGTCGGTGCTGGCAGGTAAGCTGGCAGATACAAAGCGCGCAGGGTCCACTTCGGGACCAGGCGAGGGCGCAAGGGCGGATGCTGGGCGTGGAAGCAGGTTCAGAGGACGAGGGGTTCCGGATGTCAGTGAGGGTCGGAGCTGGAACGCTGCAGTTGTCCAGGATATGGTGGGAAGATTTGTGTACGAGTGCGTGCCCTGGGGCCCCGAAGGCAAGATGTTGTACTGTACGAGTGGGATTCGAGTAACGAGCAGCAGCTCAATGGCTTCTCAGCTCACTTCGGTCGCTCTCCGTCGCCAACGTGCGAGGCGCATTGCCGTGTCCTCCACTGCGTAGGGTACCGTCTGGATGGCAACGCACTAGGTTCGTCCCTATGCTGGATCCCTGATGCAGTGCAAGTGCGTGCTGAAGAAGGCGGGACGCCCGTGTTCGCGGCGGCTGCTTCTACAATCGATAATTGGCCGGTGCTGGCAGTCGCTAGTCTCACCTAACAAGACGCTGAGGGGTAAATTCAGGTCGTATACGGAGCATGCGGTCGCAATAATACCAGCTTCAGTCGCTCTATTGGTTCGCATCAATTTTTCTCGACGTCTTGCTGTTCGTGTAACTTCCCTTTAGGACAACCAGAAAGCCAGTCGTGCTCCGGGCTTTGAGAAGAAAATGTCTGTTCGTCCGGAGATGAGTGCTCTTGTGGCGGACAATGCTGGTTCCAGAGTTACAAGCACACTTTTTGCAGATCGCATAAACCTGCTCCGCCAAAGGATCTACCTTCCTTGCTACCGAGTAGGCCGTGTTGAGAAGAATGTTGAGTGCCCGCAAAATTGCCGTGAGGTTGTTGATGGTTGTTTTGCTTCGGTTAACTGCTACGAGGACAATCCTGGCTACGATACGGAGTAAATGAGACAATATCCTCTTCTTATGCAGTCAGCGGACAGGATACGGGGGTCATCGCTAGCAGACTGACTACCACAGATTAGATAGGTAGGCATTATTGTACCATATAGTACTAGGTACACCCTGGTTCGGTGGTTTCTACACTTACATTCGTAGTTTCTGTACGAAAGATGCGGATCTCGCCTATAATTCAGCGGTCGGCGTTTTGTCGACGCCTCACAAAAAGACACTCTCACCAGAGACGAATAACACCGAGGATATCGTTTCCTACTGGAGTTCATGGATGCAAAATCAAACGATAGGTAGGTGGTTTGAGTTCGCTTCTGAAGGGCAGGGAAGGAGGGAGGAGCGGCCCTTTCAGAACGTGCAGCATGCATATCCTGGATATGCAAGTACTAAGGCATCGTAGGTCAGGCAGTTAGGGGGTAATGATGGGCCACCAGACGAAGTACCCTCTCCATTTCTGCACGCATCATGCACGCTGGGCCGGGCTCCGCAGGGCCTTACGGTCTGGCAGAAGTCTCCAGTGGCCGACGAGAAGACGCGTGACGGGGTTTTCTTTGCTGGCTCCATATTACGGATCGAGATTCCACGCCGTCTTCCATGCTGGCCCAAGCGAGATAATAGGCGGCGCCAGTCTCTTGGGTCACCCGAAACAGTATCGGGGAACCCAAATGTCAGTTGGTCTGTAACCTTCGCGCGCAAAAAATCCACGAAGTATGGGCGACTATCATCTAGCACTGCTGATCCCTCTCACTTACAAAGTCTGTCTTGCTAGCCGACAACGGCCGGCTTCGCGCCCGTGGAGAAGCCCATCAGCAAAACTGTACTCGTACGGAACCTCACACTCTCATTGGGATGGATTGCGAATGCGATGAAGGCTTTGATGCGGGTCGAGCTTTGAGGTACTTTGAAACTCAATGGCAGTCGTCATGACTTCTCGGCTCCTCAAAGGTGTGCGAGTATTGGCCCAGAAGGCCACCCACATCGAATGGGCAGATTCTCTTTCCGTAGGGGCTGCCGGCAACGATGAAAGTGTGTGTCGTGTCAGCTTGCACCATCCCTCAGAAAGGCAATTTTGTCGCTTGCCTTTCAGCGCCGGCTCCGTTCACTTGTGACCTACCTCTTTCGACGTAGGACAAACCAGATATCACTCGCACCTTGTCACTTGTAGATTGTGCCCCGACCCAGCCTTGATCATTCTAGCCGCTTCCTCAACTAGACTGGCTTGGGCCGCAATGGACTAGTTAATACAATCTGCACTGTAAGGTGGGCGCCTCAGGATGCAATTGGCGGTGTGCCGAGATGAGGTTAGAAGGCTGCGCCATTTGACTCAAATCCCCAAACACTGCAATAATAAACGGCGAAGAGTAGCGCGCTTCACGCGAATGATGTCCAAGTCCAGTGGCCCGACTCCATGTAACCACGCATCATTGTCACTTGACCATCAGGCCGCTGTCGACTCTTGCATATGCATGCATGGATGTAGCCGCTCGAGAGCTGCGATATCTCATACCCCAGTCGACCAGCTGCCACTTAGACCCGCCTTAAGAGCTGGTTGTGTTGAGAGGAGGGGTTCATCTGCAACTGTCTGCAAATGTTGTGGGATTGGACGGGCGGATGCGGGATTGTCCCTTGCAAGCAGTGATCCTAGTCTCCTCTCTGCGAGCTTGCGTCTGATCACTGAAGGACCGGTCAGAGGATGCCGCGTAATCCTCGGTTCCCCCATTCAATCGCATGCCTTCAAACTCAACTTGCGAGTGTCGGGTGCTTGAAGGGTCTATTGTGCATCACTGCTGGAAACCTCTTGGTGCACTGGGTGTAGCCAAGGTGTGATATGGTAGCACAAGTCGGTGTTCTCTTGAATTTGGCTTGGAGACGGCCCGCTGGCGGCTGGCAGGTTCGTCGTTAGGTGTTGATTAAAGGATCGCGGAGGGCCTCTGGCTGTGAAGCTAGCCCAAGGGAGAAATTGACGAGGCAGTGCCTCCCACCGCGCAGGCGAGGGTGAGGGTCGGCTCTAGCCGCAAGCCCGCTGGGCCATCGCCCGCCTAGGAAATCTCCCCTTTGCAGCATCACACCAGCAGTCCTCCTTGCATTTCTCGTCTCTCCAGTCCCGCTAGTCCCGCAAGGAGCGCCGACAAACTCACAGTAAGTTGGACATTTGAGTCATGATCGCCTTCCTGAGGCCAGCCAGCGATGGCAATGTAGGACAAGGTTAGCCGGCGCGTGTCTACGCATTAGCCCACTGCAATGTGGCAGAATGTCATCTAGTTTGAGGGCATGAGACGGACGATCTTTGGTACAAGCCACATGCTTGATGGTTGCACCCGTAGCAGCAACGGCGGTCAAGAGTCTGAGAAAAGGCGTGCACGTCGTTCATGCGTCCAGGGCGAAGCGCCCCTTCGACACCTGTCGGCTATGCACGGAGAAACGGTAGCCAAAATGTTGAGATGGTGTGTACAACATCGGCTGCCTACAGTACAGAGTTGACCCATCCTCAATCATGCCATGTCTTTCCTGCGCTTTTACTGGCCAAAGAATGTGGCTTTCGCCATGAGGGTGTGCCCTATCGCTTTACGAAACCCAAGGTGTTCATGAGAGTGTTTGCAGGTGGGGCGGTAGACTTCCTGCTGTCGTCGAGTTGGAAGTGTAGTGCGCCCTGTTCGGGCTGCTCGCAGGGTTTGGAGGCACCGCCATTGGCACTTGGGGGCGAGGCGACGGGTGTCACAGCAAGGCACCCTGGCGGGACAGTTTGGGCGGTCTGTGGAACATCAATCGGATCGCATCTCCAGCGGGCCGGCGCCGGCGCTTCGATTTCGTGCAGTTGATGATACAGTAGCCTTTGAAGTTGGCCCAGCTGACCTCAAGGGCTACAGCAGTGATCATCCCCCTCGAAGTCTCAACGCGCTGGACCAAACTGCACCCCGTAATGATTAGCTGAGGCACGCTCTTGTAAATCCCAGTCAAATGAAGATCATTCGAGCCAACGGAGATGCTCAGTCTGTTGCTTACTGCATGTCCCTTGCTGGGTTAAGAGTTCCCTTCGAATCCAATTTGTCAATACTGGGAGTTCTTTGACGTATTGAATTCGTTCAGAATTGTGTAGATGGTACTCCCTACAGGTACTCCGTGCATACCTAGTCTGTCCCTTGCTTTCAAGAACAAAACCTCCCTGGGCTCCCTGGAGGCGGCTCGGTTCGGCCAGGCACTAGTCCAATTCGAATGAAAATCACGGCCACTTTTGTCAGCCTATCAGCATATGTCACATGACAACTCGTTCATGTCAAGCTAATGTAGGAGAAAGGGAGTGTGGTGAGCATCTGCAGATGATGGACAGTAAGGTACCTTCAGGGATGTACAGTGCAAGATGCAAGGGCGGAACCGCCCCGCGAGACCAGGGCAGAGAGAACGATCCTTTTGTTGGTGGGCTTGCTTAATGCTCACCGCTCGCCGCTCACCCGCTCACACCGCCTGGGGGAGCGAGGGGACAGTCATCATATGGTTGGGGGACTGGTGCACTAATAGTATCCCTGTTATTGGTGTGGTGAATTTTGTCCTTTGGAGCTGCTGACTCGGTACATTTTCTGCTGATATGACACGAGCTGTGCTACTCTTACTCGTATATTGTGCAAAGTGCGCTACTGACAATCATTGGTTGCGTTCCGCATGTGCATTCCTTGTTGACGCCCGACAAGAACCGCATCGGTGTGGCCATTGATAGATGTCACTTTCACTAGCAGTACAGTAGACCAGATTTACCATCACGCTGTCAATCGCTAACAGAGATTCTCACTTCTAGGTACCTTGGCGTTGCAACAACACTCCAATGCAGACATTCTTCACAATTGACATCATTGACGACAGTGCTAAAGCACGGAGCAACCTCCTGAATCCAGCATCGTGCGTACAACATATTTCTCTTGCTCCACCAGCCATGTACAAACAGTACAAGTACAAGGAGGTGTGGAGCTGGAACGTGCGCCCTGCACCGGAGGACTGCCAATATAGTACTTCAGCACGAGCCTGCCTGTGCTCAAGGATACACCCTCCTCACCTACAGTACATATTCCCCAAACGGACACCCATCTCTTTTTGGGGTCAAGGTGAGCCTCGCAGTAATGCTACATCATCGAGTCGATATATCGCCCTGTCACTCATCTGTACCATCGCTGCCTGTATCATGGCTGTCGGGCATGACAACACTATTGAGATATGTGACCTGTCGAGAGAATGTAAGCCAAAGCACCGTCACCAGTCATGGAAAAGTCTCCTGAAATAGGCCTGCAGAGATGATCATGGTGGGGGACATTCTGCTCGTCCAGAAACGCCGCCTAGAACCTATTCCGGGTCATTTTTGTCGCAAAGTCGAACCACCGGCTCAGCTGGCCCGGGTCATAAATGGGGCGCTTCCCGACAAAGGAGGGAACCGTGTTCCATGTCTATTCAGTCTTTGATGGAGACGGAAGCCACCCTCCTGGTGACCTGCGGGAATTTCTGGACGAAGACGAATGAGGAATTGAGGGTGGGCTCACAAATGGTTCCAGCACTCCAATCAAGTCGAGGATTGTTTGCAACCCTTGTTCCCCAGTGATCTTTTCGTCTGGTATTGACTTGCCGAGCGTGAAATTACGCAAGCGAAGCAATTCTATGTTAGGATGGTCTGCCTCGTATCCCTGCAGAAAGCAATGGTCAGCGAAGCTCGACAAGCCGGACACTTGCGAATGAAGGCCACAGAATCTGGGCCAAGAGTACCCTCTTTCACGAGATTGGTACTGAGAGCTGCGCAGTTAGGTATGAGGGCAAAGCCATCAGCCGCCCGAAACGCGGCTGGGAGGGGTACGCTGCACTTCTGCCCGCCTCTTAACTCTTCCCGATTGATGATCCTTCGGTAAGTTCGGTGACTGTGCTTCCACGTGTGAAATGCAACCTGACGCCACCGCCTCCGGACGGGGAGAGCTGGGTCCGGTTGGACTAGGGGGTGCGATGACTCGGAAAACTTCGCTAGAGCAGGCTCCCTTTCTGGCGGTACACCCCTGCTCTGAGGGTCATGTGGCTCTACTCGTCCCGAATGGAACCTCTGCTCTCCTCTAAGAGTATTGTCCAGGCGTCGAGATTTGTGTTTTTACGTAGGCGACCCAACAGCACTGTTTTCCAGGCCTGGCCCCGAAGAACACAGCCTCTGCATCCGAAGTCGCCGTGCAGCGAAACGGAGTACAAGGGATGCACAGACCTCGTGGACCAGTCGCTACTGCAGCCACCACGTTGCAAGCGAATATGGAGTTTTGAACTGACTGTTGACGTACCTTTGGCTTCGTTTTCAAAGCATTTTCCGAATTCTGAGACGCAAAAGCTTTCAACACCTTTTTCTCGTCATTCGGCGCCCCCGCCAATATTTGCTTTCGCATTTGAGGGTCCATCAGAATCCGCTTGAGTTTGTGAGGCTTATTATTTATGTCAGTCCTCAGGAGAGCCAAAGGCTGTGCTTCTGGATGCCAGAGTCCAGATCCTGCAAGGACAGCAAGTCAGCGCGAGTTTGTGATCCAGGTTAATTGCCATACCGACGATGCTTCTCCCTCCAGGCTGGATCTGTACGTAGTAGCATGCATAGGGCCCCTTTCGTCCTGTTCGAGACCTTTAAAAATTAGTATCTGCCTCATTCAAGCCCGCAGATCCAGTTCAGATTACCATGCTGCCGAAAAGTGTGGCTAGAAGCAATGTCAATTACACAAGGCACGTAGAGAGACAGGCTTCGCGACCAGTCGTACCTTGTAAGGGGTGGGATCAGATGAGAATCTAATATCTCGATATATTCTGAAGACCTGGCACAGACTTGTGAGTGGAAGCGACATGGAATGGGTTCGTGTCAGCCTCACAATGTCCTTAGGGGGCAGTTCAGGGATTGTCTCGTCAATTTCTGCAATCCTTTCCGTCAAAGTTTCTACAAAGCTTTCCCAATCTTTCCATGATTGCCGGTAATCGGGGTCATGCACTGGCAATCGTTGTTAGCATGAACAGACCCTTTTAAAATGGAGGCATCCTTTACTCTTGAGCCATTCTCGGTCATTGTTGTTCTTGAGATCTTTCAAGAATGCCATTGTGTTGGGGTGAATTCTCTCAGGCACATATTTGATGCCCCCGTCTCCTCTGGGTTTCGGCTTTTCGATAAACACTTGCTTCCCTGGCCCGAGGCCGGTCGACACTCCAGGCCTCCAGAGCTCAGTGTCCTTTTTGAGAGCCGGCGAAACAGACGACCCGACACCAGCGCTGGGCCTCTTGTTAGTCTTTCGCTTTGTCCGTTGCTTTCGTTGATCCTCCTCCGAGTCTGAAGCATCCTCAGATTCAGGTTCGCTTTCACTGGCGTCCTCTGCGGCCGATGTGTCGTGGTCCTCATAACCAGAGTCCTCGGCTTCCTCGGGGGACAGTGCTCCAGCATGGTCAGAATCGCCATCAGTCTCCTCGAAGTATTTACTCTTGGTCGGCGTCGACTTTGTCTTGGATGCCGACTCCTTGAGCCTTTTTGAGGTTCTGCTGCCAGGCGTTGCGGAAATAGGTGTGTCGGACAAGTGTCGTTTGTGGGAAGTTCTGGAGCTTGGGGTGGCCCCAGAATCCCTGGGTTTCCGAGGAGGCATGTTGAAGGTCCTACAATATTCCCAAGGTGTTCCGGAGGTGCGACACCAATGCTTGTGTTAGATGTTTGAAGATTTGAGTCAGCGATGAATGTTGATTGATAACGAGGGTCGTGGTCGTGGCCATAGGCACCTACTCTACTCCGTACCTCGGGCGACCAAAAACGCGTCTCGACAGGGCGTCGTGCCTTGATGACGTCAGCATATTCAATTGCACTATTCTTTCGCAGTATCTACGAATACCCAGACAAGTCTGCTGGGAGAGTTGTAGCAGTATATTTGGTGTTTGATGGTACTACTCTGGTAAACTCACCTCCTTAACTTGTCAAACATTGTCTGAACGGCACCTTTCTCAGGTCGAACCAAACGAACACAGCAGCGAGGAACCGAGTGCTCACGTGACTGCGCGTTAAAGTGGTGGCATATCCGATGCTCGTCCCACAGTTCGAGTAGAATGTAGAGTGATTGCTCCGTCCCCAGTTCTCTTCTGGATCCTGCCGTAATGCCATTGATCCTGGGCAGGTCCGAGCGAACCATAACTTTACCCTGTAACATCACATCGGCGGCTTCACTTTGCACTTTCTCAATGTCCTTTCCTCATGGCGGCGAGGAGGCAGAAACCCTCACAACCTTGACGAACAAACATGGGAGGATCTCATCCCAACCTACCATCTGCCCCTCAACCAAGTCGAGTATTCTTTGACCCATTCAACTCGTCCTCCACCGGGCACCAACGGGCGGAAAATCGACTTTCGGGGAGCACCTCATGGCGTAAATCGCGGTCATACAAACTCAGTCACCAGTTTCGAGACACGAGTGGACGAGGTGGCGAACAGCACCTGTCCGACCTCGTCGGCGCAGGGAGTGAAAACTTTGGCAAAGATGGGAGAAAAGAGAATGGAGACTGGGAACCCGGTGCCCCTGGACTGAGAGAACAAGGGTGGCAAGACATTCGTGGGCTTTGGGGAAGCAGTGGAAGAAAACGACCCGACAGGAATGTGGAAGACGAAGGACATGAGGAAGAAGATACTGTTCAGGCTCAGAAGAAACTTCGGACGCCAATACCTCACCTGGAGGACCCATCTCAAGGTTATGCAGATGACGATGATGATGTACCGAGCGACATTCCCTCCTCCACGGCGAGGCGGCGAACACCCAAGGGAGAGACTGAAGAGTTGTCCCTGCAAACACCACAGATCTTCCGCAATCTCAACATGTACCTCAATGGGTCAACGGCGCCCTTGATCTCGGACCACAGGCTCAAACAACTCTTCTCGCAGCATGGTGGGAACACATCTATTGCGCTTGGGCGTAGGACCGTCACACATGTGATCATCGGTGCCGACTATGGGGGTGGGCTTGCTTCGGGAAAGATACAAAAGGAAGCAACACTCGTGCGGGGCAAAGGGATCAAATATGTCACTGCGCGATGGGTGCTTGATAGCGTTGAGAAGGGGATAAGACAGCCCGAGGCGAGGTATGCGCCGAAGAATCTCGACGGAAAGATCGGAGGGAGTGGGCAAGTAAGCGTGAGGAATATGTTTCTGAAGGGAACGACGAAATGACTCTTAGTCAGGCAGCCGAAACGCATGGTAAGGGATGGAGACACCTCTCTCATACACAGACCTTCACGGTCTACGGTTTAAGCAGGATAGTTCACGTTTCACGTTTCACGAATGAGGTACAACAGGACTCTAGCGTCACGATATATGTACGAGACATGGATTAGAACGGAGTATTCAGTATTGAGACATGGGTCAGAATAGAATATCCAGTTCTTAAGACGGAGATTCAGATACAGAACAATGACCGAAAAGATGATTGGCAATGTTTTGACAAATCCAAGGCGAAACAAATCTGTAGATCTTGAACATCAAAGGTTACAAACCGCGATAAAACTCCACACCGTCGTGACGCGAAATCTACCAGTTCCAAGTCGAATGTGGTACTCGTAGTGGATAGATACAATTCGAAAAGCCCTGTAGTCGTGGAGAAAAGGTATTCTGATATCAATTCGTGCTCAAGTTTGGCCATTCTGTAAAAGAAGATCAATCAAAGGTCAGTCAGTCATCAGCGATTTGAAATTTTGACCAGGGAGGTCCCGGGTATGATTTTTCTCCCCCGACTTTGTGACTGGTAGAGAAATTTAAAAAAAAAAAAGACTTACCAAACCTCGTACGCTCACCGTTCCTCTTGAGGACCGTGACTCGATCACCGACCTTGATCTCCGCCGCACTTTTACCCTCGGGTACCTTTGCCAGGAAACCGTACCGTCCAAAGACGGGTGACCACTTGGCTCCCGGGTCGACCCGTCTGTCCTTTTGTAATTTCTTGAGGATCTTGCCCGCCTCCCCGGCGCCGACCTTGCCCGTGGCGTAGTCCACGTTCAAACTGTTGCACCGGGCACAGTTTTGGGTGAGGACGAGTTTTGCCGCGGCGGCGTCGTCGCCGACCCGCAACTCGGCCCAAAAGTCTTCCTCCCACTCACCCTCGGCACCCGAGACGATGATGTTGGGTCGGAACTTGGATATGTCCATGACCTCTCCTTCGGGGAGGCGGCGTTGAGCATCCTCCCAGCTCTTCTCGCTGACCACCAGGTAAGGGGCCACGTCGGCGAAGGAGATGCCTTGGTCGACCCCGTCGTACATTTTGTTGGAACCGGTGATGGAACTCACCAGAGAAGTCGCCGTCGAGGTCAGACTTCCCAACCATCCCCTACCGCCATTGCCGTTACCATCGGCAGGGTCGTTGTCTCGTCGTTGTTGTCGTTGCTGTCCCGCCACGTTCGGTGGCATGTTTCCCAACACTTTTCTGCTGTTGGACCCGATGTACAGAAATTTCACCTCGTATCCGAACCTGTCGCTGAACCATTTGTTGTAGTCACCTCCCAGGTCGAAACCGACGCAGGGGGACGAGTGCATGGTGATCTCGACCTGGTCCAGACCCGCCGTGTCGGGAGTCAAGGAGACACTAAGTTCTTCGGAGCCAACCTTCTGTCCGGGTTTGTCGAACGCGTGGTCCAGAGAATACTCGACAATCACTTTGGTGGGGTTCTCGGGGTCGTCAAAGGCCGTGGTGAATAGGCACATCTCGGTCTGGTGCGCGATGTGCATGTTGACTCCTTCGTCTACCTTGTAGAGCATAAAGCGACGGTCGTGCGGGAAACCGGTGTACATGGCCGAGAAAGACGGGAGAGATATCCCTCGAAGTGACTTTATAGGATATGTATAAAGCTGGTTCCATATGGAATGGTCAGTCCAGAAAGATTACAAGCCACAACAGACTAGGGTATCTAGGTAAGTGAAATGCGAAGGTAGATCTCGAATCGAGAGACCATCATAGAAAAATATGATAAACATGGAAGCAATGAGATGGGACGAGGAGTATTGCAGGGTCAGGTCGTTTGAGGCATAGTCTGTATATCCAAGAGACCGAGGAAGTATTAATAAAAGATTCATACCTGCTTGACGTGCATCTTGGTCGTCGCTGTGTCTGCCATGATGAGTTGCTTTATCGTTTGGAGGGATTATATCCGAGTCCGTCTTATCTCCAGTCTAGAGAAACAATCGAGGCAACTTCGCTTTTCGCAGTCTTTCATCAGAAGAAGAGCGTCAACAAGTGTGACTGCCGGGATGCAGCAGGCTCGTCGTTGTCTTCGATGTCTACTTCGTATCTCAAATGTCTTTTGCGGAGATGCGCGAGGCTTCGCGAGGGGCAAAGTTTCTGGGTTTGCTGCGAGTATTCGTACCCTACGGCGCTGGTGAAAGGCGAAAAAGGCAGGATCTGTAATGTTTATTTGTTACGAGAGTATACAAGTGAAATGAGATGTAGTTGGAATACAGAGCATGGAGGAGAGTGAGTTGTTGGACGGAGTAAATAGTTACGGACTGTTCAAGCGTCAGCTCATCAGAATACGATCTCGACCCCGCACAACAAGGGCACATTAACCTAGGTTACGACTTGGAGGCTGGAAGCGTATAAGATCTTATCAGACAGTAAACAATAAAACGTCAGAGAAGAATGCTTTGATGGTTTTCTATTCAAAGTACTATTTCAGTCTAGCTGCAGAATCTGTCCAAGCATTGCTACCAGTACTGCCTTTCACATGAAAAGCCACTTCAAAATCTCGTTGAGAGATCAGTCTCGAGAGCTAGGTTGACCAGGTGCCTTGGATCTAGTACTGCTTTTCATGACTCTTGAATCTTGCGGAAGAGTGGATTGCGGGCAGTGAAACTTCGGCAGCGCTTCCCAAAGATCCACATGGGGATCGTGAGAAGGAGAATGAAGATGTGGACACCGCCAATGATCGAAAAGACTTCCAAGGGCCCTTGATTCGAGATCCAACTAGAGATGAAATAATTCATTCCGAACGAGTAGATGTTTCGTAGATTGATCGAGGCAAATGCTTCTGGAGCCTTGTTTCGGTGGCACTCGGTGATGTAGCCATAGATACTGGATCACGTTAGCATATCAAGCCGGGTTTGATTTTTTATTGAAAAAAACAGAGAATGATCAAAACATACCCAATGTTCAAGAACGACATGGAGAAGTAGATGATGCCGTAGAGCACGACTGGACCCGCCCATGGAGCTTCATTCTGCAACGTAGCACCGAACCCAAAGAACCCTACCACACCCAAAACGAGAGTGAGGACGTTCAAGGCAAGACGGAATTCGGGCTCGTAAATGCCGTTGTTCATTCTGGCAAGCTTCTTGACAGTCCAGTCGTTGAGAGGACCGGCCATAAACCCAAGTAGGGAAGCGATCAATGCAGCAATACTGATCAGTCCGACGTCCGAGACCGAAAAATTGTACGGAGGCCCGGTGAACAGTTGTGCCAACACACTGATCATGACCACGAGCCAGGACGTCGAGAGACCGTAAGTGATGAATCCGTAGAGCACTTGAGGGAAGAGAAGCATGCCAAACGGACGGAAAATGATCACAAGCAGATTCTCATCCGATTCGATGCCTCGCACGGGTCTCAGTTCTTCCCAGAATGTGTAGGGCTTCTCGTCGGCACCGGTGTAGATGACCTCGGTGTGAACTTTGTTGCCAGTCTTGGTCTTTTCCAAGTGTTCGGGATGCCCGCCCTTGACGACCTGAGCGTCAATAGCATCGAAGGTGTGGTCGTGTGTGCCCAGGTCCAAGTTGTATGCCGGGTCACGCTGGTAAACGGTCTCGGGAACGAAAAAGAAGATCAAGATGATGAATGCGCCGTAGAAGCATGCGCAGATGCCATATGTCCAATTCCAGCCAATGTCCTATATGACATTAGCATGCGAGCGCCGATGGGTGTGGGATGAGTCAAGACTTTACCTGAATAATGTAGCCAGAAATAATGCTAGCGCCGCCTACACCGATGCTGAGACAGAGGCCCCAGAAAGCGAGCCGCAGACCGCGTTCGTGGACAAAGTACATATCTCCGATTATTGCCGTCGTGAGAACTTCAAACGGACTCATACCAATGGCACCAAAGATACGACTTGCCAGGAGAGAGTGATAGCTGTGTGCAAAGTAACCCCAAACTGAGGAGATGAAAAGAATCAAATTTCCCAGGATCATGACGGGTCGACGACCAAACTTGACAGAAAGTGCGTTGGTCACAAAGCAACTGATGCCAATCGCAAAAATGGCCCAGCCGAGGCCTCCATTGAGCGTGTTGTAGGACATGTGCCATTGCTCGGCCATTTCAGCAAATCCTGGAGAAATCATAGGTCCCCTGAGCATTGTCAGAAAGGATCATCATGAAACCAGACATGACTTACCAAGCACCGACAACAGCCGTGTCAACAGAAATGATCAGCAAGGCGAGGTCTTTCTTCCATCTTGGCCAGTTGAGAGGATCTCTCGGCGAGTCACTTGGCTGAGGGACAAGAACAATATCCGCGTTACGACCAGTGCCGTGTTTCAGGTTGCTGGTGTCACGACCTCGGACAATCAGCAAATATCCTAGCAAAACCCTCAAACAGCTTACCATGAAATTGATGATGCTGAGTGTCCAGCATGTCAGCCAGCAAGGCTGTGCCGGGGACATGCTCGAGTTTGTTGTCATCTAAGACACCGAGTCCCATGTTGTCTGATTGTCGTTGTGCTTTTCGATTGGCAGCCCAGAGACTAATTGTCGAAGTGATCGTCTCAAGTCAGACGATTTCGAATGAAGCCAGATCTGAGCTCTTTATAGAACCTGCACCCGATTGTTGCGGGGAGGTCGGCAATGTACAAAGGCGCGAATTGCCGCCAACAAAATCCCGAAATTGAGGGAAGACGCGATGAATGAGATCTGCCGTTCAACCTGGCTGGGACAACTCCGTATCCCCAGATGCTTTCCCCGGGCACAGTTGGGGGCAGGTGGACCGTAGCCATAGATGGTAGGTGAGGGTTGTAAGGCGGGCACTTGTGTCCCGTGCAATAAGATCCCCGGTGGCAGGGTAAGTAGCAAATGCCGGGGTCTGAAGTCTGACCAACTAGAGTCGTTTTGACTGCATATGGGACCTCCTTGAACAACCCCATGTTCGGAGGGTCCTGCAAGTCTGGTTGAGATTGATAGTTGCTCCTGTGCATGATTGGGTAGAAACTAATCTGATATTGGAAAATGCGTGGCAGAAGTCACAACAAGCGTGGATGCACAATGAGCTAGACCATTTCCAGACAATGGATATAGACGTATCAACGTTGGCAATTCTTCAGCTCCACAAAGCCCCTGCCCTGCCATAGTCTGGGGATTTGGGGTGTCAGAATAATGACCGAAGGGAGAGGTGGGAATTTCCCAAGCGTTTATACAATAGTTTGTGTATGCACAAGGGGTGCACTCCATTGCAGCCATACGATGATCCGAGGTTCGCATCGTCGCCTGTAATTCGAGAACGTATCTGGAGAAGTGCAGAGTGATGAGGGCAGGGATGAAGGATTGACAAGACTCGTGTTTAGTCACCGGCATTATTTCACACCTTCATTCCCTGTCTAACACTCGTGGTGTCCTGGACAAACCCTACCTGAGATCGGGAAGCACTGAGGCGAACCGCACCTGCATCGTTATAGGCCAGGCGATGCCTGATGGACACACGTGGTCTTTTGTGATCAATCTTGTATAGTTGAGTGGAATATTGGATGCCGGAGGATAACCATCCGCTGTCCACCTCCAACATATAGGGTCAGCACAAGGGGCTTGTCTTGTCGTCCTGAGCAAGTGACGTTGGAAGCAGTAGAAAGTGCCCGGTCAAAGAAAATGAAGCATTCTGCCACTTAGATGGGAGGCAGGACCGCCTGCCCGTGTTCGAGACCAAAGGCAACGCTTCCTGTTGTGAAAGTCCATGGAAGGTTTAGACGCAGCGTGGATTTCAGGGACCAGATACGCGTAAGCTGGTGCTTCGTTTAGTACAATCGGCAATACACGTAAGACTTTGCCATTGATGAGGTGGCTGTCGCTGTTCGAGCTGATTCTGCCTTCCTCATCTCACCAGCTTGACAGAAAAGCAAACACTGTTTTGCAAATCCATACGGGGAGGTGGTCATTTACTTCCAGAGTCCCAAATGATCCTGATTTACCCTTCACCATTGTCAGGCATGTATGTCGTGCGTGTTAGACTGACATATGATGGACTGGCATCTATTGAGCATACACTTGAATGTGAGTTCCAGATATGTTCGAGCGTGGGAGGAATACAGTGAGATGAACGTGTTGAAGGGGCGAAGTAAGGCTCAATACGAGAACAGATCCACTGATAACGATAACCCGAGTCACGTGGGTTGCCATTAATCCGGTCAGCGACATTTTCCGTTTTCGCATCGGTGACAAAAGTTGAAGAATCTCAAACCGCACGCGCAAATTCCACCTTGTTCTGACCTTTCCTCTCTGTACTGCACTGTGTTTAACTTGCAGTACTGTGCTTCATTCCACAGGCCTGCAGCAGGCAATGAAGACGCCCTGGGCGCCTTCCCGAGACCTGCTCCGCTTCCTGCGTACTCAGGCAAATTCAGTCTTCATCACTCCCGTCGCGCCAACACGGCCTCCCCATTCCCGGGCCTTGTCCACCTCTTCCTCGCGATGCTCTCGCTTGCAGACATCTTCGGTTGACGATATATGGCAGCGTCAACGCGATCCTTGTAAAGCCCTACCTGCACCAAGATGCGCTCCCCCGGGTCCTCTGCAATCTCGAAATGCCAGCTCTGGCAGCCACAGCCCAGGGTTCTGGTTACGCTGGTTCCGTCGGAGGCAAGCGGCCGTGAGATCGAAATTACCACCAGACCCTCCAGGAAACAGTTCAAACTACGACGAGACCTCAGCTCAACTCTTCAATCTTTCACGAGCCTTGTCCAGAAACCAAACCGGGGCAGATCTGAAACTGCGATGCACCGAATTCGATGCGAATGGTTCTGTCACTATGGTCGCGGGAGAATTCAGGAAATCTGAGCTAATCGCAAAATACGGCCTCTTGCCTCGCGATCTTCGCAAGATTGACTCGTCCGTCCTCCCACACATCCTTGTTCGCCCTACCGCAATACTCATAAACCTTCTACATCTTCGAGTCTTGATCCAGTCCGATCGTGTTCTTGTCTTCGACGCATATGGCAGCACAGACTCATATACCCAGTCGTTGTTCATGTATGACCTGGAAGGCAAATTGAGACAAAAGGCGGATCCCAGAAATGGGTCTACGTACCTTCCCTACGAGTTCAGAGCTCTGGAAGCGGTGCTCATATCCGTCACTTCGGGCCTCGAAGCTGAGTTCGCTCTGGTCCGTGATCCCGTGGTTCATATTCTACGCGAGCTTGAAGAAGACATCGATCGAGATAAACTGAGACACTTGCTCATTCATTCCAAAAAGCTGGGTACTTTTGAGCAAAAGGCCAGGCTTGTGCGAGATGCAATTGATGATCTTCTGGAAGCAGATGACGATCTCTCGGCTATGTACTTGACGGAGCGGAAAGCTTCCAAGACTTCTCGGCCGGAGCATGACCATCAAGAGGTGGAAATGCTGTTGGAATCTTACCATAAAATCTGTGACGAGATTGTCGAGATTTCTGGTAATTTGATCAACAACATCCGCAATACAGAAGAGGTTGTCAAAGCGATCCTCGATGCAAATCGTAATCAGCTCATGCTGCTCGAGATCAAGTTCAGCGTCGGCACTCTGGGATTGGCCGGTGGTACACTGATTGCTGGACTCTATGGCATGAACCTGAACAACTTCATTGAAGAGACCGATTGGGGGTTCGGGACAGTCAGTGTGGTGTGCTTTGCCCTGTCCGCTGTCATTTGCGTCTATGGAATGCGCAAGCTCCGAAAGGTGCAGAAAGTCCGCATGTGGGGCGAAGGATTGGACACAATGGGCCATCGTGCTCGCATTGGTAGTCGTGGCAATTGGCATAACGAAGCCTTCGAAAGTCAAGCCCATCGCGCCGGCAGGTTGAAAGGGGGTGGCATCAACCTCGGTGGCAAACAATCCGGTCCCGTCTACTGGCCAGGCATGGAAGGACTGGGCGCACACCGGCTACATGCTACAGGGACGAACCCTTTCGGATCCGGAGATGCCGCCGACACCACCGGCACGAGCCATGAGCCTCAAATGACGATTCAGGATGATGTGGAAGACGTCGAGGCAAAATGGAGGGAAGATTCGAAGAAGCAGAAAGGTTTAATGACGAAGGATCATCACCATCCCACGACTCACCACACACCCGGAAAGAAATAGACCTCTGTTGGTCCTTTCTTTCGTACTTCGTACACAAGAGGCGTTCTTCTGACATCTGAGGATCCTTGCCCACGGGACGAATACTCACACGACACGAGAACGGCGAATGGCAAACGAGTGATTCCTCCATCCCCTGCTCTTGTACATTCGATGCACTTTTTTCTCCCCTCTTGAGCGTTTTTAGCGTTTTTGTGACGAGATGATGGGGTTCTGTGGAAGGGGGCTAGCATTTGGACTCTTGTACATTTTTTTTATTCCAAAGAGTCATGCCTTTGCCATCAAAAGGCAGGTCAGATACGGAGCACCATTTGACTCGCTCCCATACACAGACTGTGTACTCACACATGTACATAGATATACCACCACCACCAACTTGATGCAAAAGTCTTGCTGGCGTTGTCTATATCGCCACTCGAGACTCTCTCTTTCACCCCGCTCTCTTTATCAGAGGCTTTTACATACTCGGCACCCGTTGACGGTAGATATATATCTAGTACAGTGAAACAAAGCAATTTACGGAGTACACTTTTCCCTTGAATTATCCTTCTACAAAACAAAAAGCGGAAGAAACTCTTGTATGCCTAGGCAAGGGTAATGGAATACTGGGAATATCTTGTATCAGGCATTGTATATTAGACTGACCGGTCGCTCTGCTTTTTTGTTCATCTGTTTTTTCAACAACGCTCGCTGAGATGCTTTACCTCTGTTTTTGGGGGTACCTAGCTAGGTGCCACAACAACAACAAACCACCTAATTACCTTACCTGGGTACCCAACAACGCAAACAACCCCACGATACCATCACCACAGGTACCATGGTATCCAAGTCCACGCATCGACCACGCAAAGTGTAAAAACCGGTTTGGTTTGGGTCTGGCAACCCTGCCGCGCGTTGTCGTTCATCCCACACTACCCCCAGTGTTGGATTTGCCTGGTAATGGTGTGTTTGCCCATACCTGCTTTGGACGTCCAGGGGGGCAGAGACAACTTGGCATTCGTGTTTTTCCGCGTCGTACCCGGGCCCTCCTTTCCTCTTTCCCTCTCTGTCTCTGTACGACGAACATCCCCCGAGTCACATTGGAAAAGTAGGCCGAGTTGAAAAGGTCCACGCTTCGTGCAATGGAGCGGAGCCAGAAGATCCTCGACACGTGTGCCAACTTTATAAGGAGGTGGGGATGATCCCAAAAACCCATCGCACTTTCGCACCATCAAAGTCATCTTGTCCCCGTCCTCGTTCTCGTCCAACGGTTCACCAGTCGTCGTCGTCGTCCTTTTCATCGTCTATGCAAAGTGAGAATGTCAGCGAAGATCTCATATCGTGTATACATACAAAAGCAATAAAATGTATCCAGGACAAAAAAAATCGGACAGGCAACTTACCACTACCGCTGACTTTCTTCTTCCTCTGACTAAGGGCCGCCGCAAGTGCACCGGCAAGGCCACCCTGGCCACCATCACCTGCACCAACTGGACTTCCTGGACCAGCTCCCGGTGGAGGTGGAGCGGCCGATTCGGAGCCTGGAACCATGGCGGAAGAACGGTCTCGTTTCTCGTTGTCCTTAACTTTGCGTAGGCCACCGCCTCCACTTCCACCGGAACCTCGAATCGCTGCGAGCAGTGAATCCCGTCCGTCGCCGCCGCCAGATGGAAGAGATGGTGGAGGCGGGCCTGAACTTGCACCTGGCATCGGCGGCGGAGGAGGTGGCGGACCACCAGACGACGGCATGGGTGGTGGTGGAGGAGGAGGAGGCGGTCCGGACGACGAGGGCATGGGCGGCGGAGGAGGAGGACCAGAGGACGATGGCATTGGAGGTGGGGGAGGGGGTCCCGCCGAGGATGGCGGAGGAGGCACAGCTCGTGTGTTCGGAGGTGGTAGGGGCGGCGCACCACCGCGAGCTGGGGGCGGAGGAGGTGGTGGAGGGATAAACGCCGGGGATGGTGCGGGTCCTGGCGCTTTGGGGGGCAGCGGAGGTGGCATCGACTGCGGCATCGATGTATCCCTACTTGGTGGAGGCGGAGGCACTGGACCACGGCTCGGCGGTGGTGGAGGAGCGGAAGATTTGCGATCGCCCATGAAGGGAGGAGGTACTCTAAACATCCCCTGTGGCTCTTCATCGATCGGCGTCTTGGGCGGGCGGGGAGGCGGTGGAGGGCCTGGGTTTGCTACAGAGCCCGAAGAGGCTCGAGCTCGTCTTGGGGTGTATACTTCTGGACCTTCCTTGACGGCATATTTGCCTGCGTCTGCAATAGGTGGAGGTGCACGGAACCTGGGTTGAGGGCTGGCGACCGGAGAGGGCGTCCTTGGTGGAGGTGATGGTGACCGTGGAGGCGATGGCGCTCTGCCACCGACGGGCCTTCTGGACGGCGGTGGGGCCGGAGGAGGGCCGCGTTTGCTAGAAGATGAGGCACCCGTATTCTCTGGACTTATGCGTGATGGTGGTGCCGAGGGCGGCGGTGGTGGAGGAGGCGCGCGCGACCTTGTTTCGGAGACGGACGGTAAAGCCTGGGCAATTCCGTTGGCCATCTCCTCGGCCTGTTTCTGTTGGACATATTTCTTGATAAAGTCGGCATTGGCTGCAATCTGGTCCTCGGTGATGCCCATCTGGAGCAGCTCGTCCAGGATGGGCCGCCAGGTGGGATCGGCCAAATCGATACCTCCGGCGCCGGCACTGCTCTGCGGGCGGCTGCTGCTCGCGGGAGCAGGACTGTACATCGGCTGAGGAATGATGGATTGAGGCTGGGCCGCCTGTGGTATAGGGTTGGAACTGTGCCTGTGCCCTCGCAAGAAGTTGCCGACCCGACTGTGGTGTTTATGCGATGACCCAGAGATATGGACCTGGCCTCCTCCAGCACTCGAGGCAAAGGGTTGTGCTTTCGTCTGCTTGCTTGCATTCTTCTCCCGCTCGTCCATCTTCTTCTTGAAGGTCCTCGCCTCCTTCTCGTCGACAAACGACAGTCCGGCCAGACATTGTTCGAGTTCGAAGGAATGGAAAAAGGTTCGATCTTGATTGTATTGAAAGGTGTCGTAGATCTCCTGATCCCATATCACACCCCGATTCGCGGGGGAGACATCCACCAATTTGATCCAAAAGGTGTTTCCGACAAGATCATTGCAAAGGACGGCGGCGCCTTGTAGACCGGTATAGGTCCATCGGTTTCGATGGGGATAAGCGACGTAGAGTCGAGCGACCGCGACAGCTTGGATCTTGTTGGCAGCCTTGGGGACGGTCCGTTTCACGGTTTCTTTGTCAGCATCGGAGAGGATCGATGGCATTATGAAAAAAAAAAAGAGGTGGAGGAAGGATACGTAGTTGGTATGGTATGGCTGTTGATACAAGACCTCCAAAGTGTTGAAAGTAGCAAGTTGAAGTCGCGCAGCCCTGACTCTCACAAAGTAATAATCAAGGACCCTGTCACTCCAAAGGACTCACTTATTAGCTTAGCGTTGAGTTGGGCACTTCCGGTGGCCGAGCTGCGGGCGGCTGTGATTGCCCAGGAATTTAGGTATTTAATAAAGGCTCAGCCACTACGGGTTCGGTGACCTTTGATGGGTGCTTGGAATTTCCACTTGCCGCGTGGCTTACCAGGCTGCTTCCGCTCTTTACCTATTGTACTCCGTACATGTATGACCTTCTACGCCTCCCAAGAATGCCACTCAATAGGTGGCGACTCGAGGTATTTGCACTTTACAGAGAGTATCTTCCTCGGTATTTATGCTTTACATACGGAGGACAAGTACAATATTACGATGCGACTGTCGTACTGAATCGATCCCTTAGATGTCGATTTGATATCCTCATCCCGATTACAAGGAGCTCGACTTTGGGCACCTCTAGGGACGAACAGAGGGACGAACAGTGGGCATTTCCTCCCGGTCTCAGCTGCGAATAGGCATCTTAGGTCAAACAAAATAAACAGTTTAGGCTACCCCCAGTCACTCCATTTTTAATCAGGCTCACCAAGCACCTACAATAACTTAAATTACTTGTGGCTAAACAGTTGCTTTCCGTCTCCAAGTTCGTCATTGCTGCGTTCCCCCCCCGCACTCGATACGAACGAGGTCTTTGCATTTCACAAACGTCATAGCAAAAGAGTGACACAATGCTCAAACCCCATCATCATCATCGTCGTCACCATATATGTATTGTGCTCGTACCCAGACATGTCAAGAGAATCTTACTTGTTTTGAATATTTATCATCTCTGAAACAAACACCTGACGCATTTTACCGGAACAGACTTCGACGTCTTCCTTCTCACTGAATACTCCTCAAATCCCTCGAATCAAATCAACATGCCTCAACACCCGGCAGAAGAGACCGCTCCCTCCCACATCTTTGACAAGGTGGCCAAAGAATCTTCCGACTCAACCGCTTCTGATGCCCCTCTGCACAAGGAGAATGAGCAACCCGTCAAGCAGGCCGCTTCGGCTCAAGACCACAAGGGCCACGGTCCTCAACTTTCCGACAGTATGCATGCACATCCCCCCCCCAAGGGCACTTGCATGGGATAACCCACACTGACGGTGCCACTGCAGACTTGCCAGAAGCGAAATCGAAAGACGAGTTAAAGGCAAAAGCGGCCGAGATGAACAAATAAGTGGTTCTTGGGTGTGATGCACTCATTACTGTAAAATAGCATGAAATGTCAGAACAAGCGCGGCGGAGCATAGCCCAGACCACGGCTGCAGCATGACCGTAGGAAGGGTGGCAGGAAAATATATACACAGGTTCTAATGACCAAAAGAAATTCATCATTGACCCTTGGTTCCCTGTTTGACCCATCTTTGATGAAGCGGAAAGTACAGAGGCACGACGAACAATATCCAAGGCCGGGGGCATCACTCCGCTATAACTGCCGAGTCAGCAAGTCGAACAAGGCATCTGAACGTCAACGCAGGACGCAATACGAGTAGTACAATGTCCAAGATATGTGGGAGTGTCAACTACAGTAAACGAACGAACCATGAAAGCAGACCGACATGCGCCCAGTGGACCTGATCAAATGTGCTGCTTGATCAAAATAGCCACTGCGATTGACTGTTCAGTAGACACTACACTCTCACTCTCATACGTCCTATCTTCGCACAAGTATTGTATCCTGCATCGCCAGATTCTGACCGTCATTGTCTCTTGGACCAACGAGCGAGCTCACCCATCGTGCCGACTGTATTCTTTTTGTGCTTTAGAAATACTAAGCATTTCCTTAGCATCAAGTGTTCAGAGCACTTGGAAAAGGTTCTGGGTTCTCGTCCCAGCTACTCCAATTTTTTTCCCTTCGTTTTTTGAGTTCTCTCGGTCGAAGAGACAATTTACTTGACTTTTCTGGGTTCTCGATTGTCACGAGTCTCTCACCCATCGCCGGGATTTTTTTTGATCCTCTCCCAGGCGATAATGAGTAATGACCATGTCAAATGCTATTCTATATCTCTATATGCGAAGTATTGTGCTAAAGTTCTACATATCTATCTATTGTGTCTTTTTCCATTCCGGAGCCTGTGCATGGCTCGATAGATGTACCTTTGGCAAAGGCATTATGTTCTCTTCACCACATTTCTTTTGACGGGCCACAGAAGATCACGTTGTAGACAGGACCAGGTAATTTGCCAGGAACAACTTGAGTATCTTTGAGTTCAAGTCTTCTTGTCTATATGTCAAGAACAGAAACCCGAAAATGTGCATCGACAATGGGACAGAAGCTGCTGCGCTCGGAATCGGCAAAGGAATTCTTCTTGACCATGTGGGCGGTTCTGAAGCGGCAATGGGGAAAAGAGCAGACGATCATCGTGAAGCTGATCGATTCAATTGAAAGACGCACCGGTTGGAATGTTCAATGGCAGATCAAAGACTTCGAATGTACCTGATTCTCCAGGCACACATCTTCACAGCACTGAAACGTTGGTTAAGCTGAATCACCAGTCAATGAGGAACTCTCTCGATTCAGCTACTATGCGTCAAGCTTCAGCTTCAATAACATCGCCGAGGACACTGAGTTGCGTGTAGGCAGTGAGACCTCGAGACTCAAAGAGCTCGCCTTGACACGACACCGTTTGATTCTGAGTGAAGCATCCCTTTCATACCTGACTCGCAACAGTCACTGTGGTTGTTCGCGCCAAGCCATCAGGCATTTGCAAAAACTACTTAAGGCTGGCCCATACCCAAACCTCGCACTTTTCTCATTCCTCAGCTCAATCATCCTCTCTCAACCAAACATCCTCTCCTTCCCCTCCGCAATGGAGTGGATGATGAGGCCGAAGAGGTTGACACTCAGCACCATGAAACCAGACCTTCCAGTTTCACGAAGACAAAAGCGCCTCCTCCGCTACCTCACAAGAATGGAGGATTCAACTCAGTATATATAATTAATTCTCACAGTCAGTATGCCCTGGAGGTTTTGCCTGCGCTTGTGGAAAGCTAAATTGTCCAAAAGCATACTTGAGCACCTCTGGTCGAAGAACTCCAGAACACTCTGAAGTCAGAAGCAGTCATCGATTTCGCAAAGGAATTCGATATGAATGTCGATAATTTCTTCGACTTCCAATTCCTCACATTCGTTGTCAACGACTGGTCGAAGACCCGCAAGGCAAAAGAACTGCAAGTCAACATGCAGCTCGGTCTGATCATAAGATATCACCTTCAGCAGTTCGACCCTGCCCATCAAACTCTCTGGATCCATTTGGATGAGAATCTTTTGAGACAGAAGAAAGCCATCACCATTCTGGAGATTAATATCTTGGGTTTCAATATTTTGGATTTGAACCATGGTTTGCAAGAATGATGCCAAATCTACCATATGTTCCAGAGAACTACTGCACCCTCTTGGTCAGCAGAAAGTGGTACGCAAAGCGTAGGGAAGACGGCGACTGGGATAGCAGAGTGGTCAATCTCATCAATTCAGATGGTTAAAACGAGTTCGACGTCGCCATGCTGATCGAAGCACACTCTGGTACGAAAGTCAAGCTCCAACATGTCGCCGACCCGCATCCATCGAGAAGAGCGACGCAAGGTGCAGAGAGCCTTGCGGTCCAGGCAAAAGGTAGCCCATGGATGCTGTTCAACAAGCAAGCCAGAATCTGGTACACTGACAACAACTTGCACCACTTGGAGTCTTTTGATATCTTCGAAGCAGTCTTTGCCGATGGAGATCACACTGCCAAGATGAGACTGAATGCTGTCCAACAGAGGATCCTTCCTGGTATTGAAAACACTCATGGAAAGGGAGTACTTGCATTATTCTGGACGAAGCAGTGACTTCATCCTCTCCGTCCATCTAATCGGATAAGGAGAACCGCAGCCCAATCAATCCTATGCCCCTGAAACGCAAGCGAAGTGCTATCTCAGAATGTCATTGCCACCATAGGCATACCAAGAACAAGTGGATTGGTGCTAGACAAGGCGTCTATTAAACATCTCCAGAACCGGAGTACGGGCCTTGCTCGCTTTGGACTCGATCTCCATCGAGCTTCTCATCCCAAATGTGTCTGCGAACCTATAATGCACGGGTTCTTCTTGAATCAACTGAGCTCAAACGCCTCTGCAGTACAAGACACGAAGTATTTCCATATCGTTAAGCGAGTTGTCGAAGCACTCAATGAGTTGAAGCAAAAACAAAAGCAGGGCGAGATTCGGTTTGTCGCCAGCACCTCTGATGGCTTCCTCACGAATCCAAAAGGCTTTTTCGGCTTCTTCGAACCTTATCGATCTCTCAACATCACCTATACTGTTTACGAGGGAGAGTTCGATCGTCCTCGAATCATGAAAGTTTTGAATATCCTTCGAGCGATTCAGGAAATCGACCAAGGAACAAAAACAAAGAGAACGATGAGCGTAACCTTGTCAGCCACACCATTGCTCACCTCTTTTGAAAAGCTCACGTGTGCCTTTTATCTGGCGTCTGAGCCAGTTTGAATCAAGATGATTCAAACTATATATATATATATATATATGTATTCGCTCGAGGCAACTTGATTACCGCGTGGCGTCTCAGCTCGCCGAAAGGTTGTTTACTCGGCTTATCGAGGTCCAGTCTCCAGTAGGAGAAGTCTACAAACAGTCAAGAATGGAGCCATATATCTGCCAGTTGGTCAGCGGAATGGCTTACTCGTCCAGGCTCAGCTCGACACCGAAAGCAGCATATGAGACTCGGAAAAATTTCGCCATACAGTTTCAAAAAACTGTCCAGAGTCACTATTCGTTCACGAAGGCAAGCAGTGTCGATGGTTCGATGGTCACACACCAAAGTCACCGGTACTGGGTCCAAGTACAACCATTTCTACACCATGACAACAAGCAGATTGGTCCAAGAGTTGCTCAAGAGCAAGAGTCCAGTACCCACTGCAGCGCACCCAACAATTGCCATCAGTCCCGCATATGCTGCCCAACGAGACCACTGCACGTCAATGCTCGCTTCCGTGGAGCTTCAGCAGCTGGGAGGTTGGGATCGTGAAACTGTCGGATGCATTGACGCCATGCAGAGAAAACTGTTCAACTTTGATATTGTCATCCTACCAAATTTTGAGGCGCCTCGGCCCAGGTTTCTTGGAGGATCTGCGACGTCTCACCGTCGACTGCTCGAGAGCTAGCAATGGCCTCCTCCTCGTCTCTTCCAGAGAGGAGATCAATAATGCGCGTAGAACCATCGACCATCGAGACGAAAAAATGTAAAGGCGACGTCGACGACCGAGCGACGGAGTACAGATGCAAAGTGATGTTCGAAAATGTCGGACCCAACTACCCACAGATCTCGACTATCTGAAAAGCTACGCCGGAGGAAGAAATGAGTAGGAAGGCAGTACTATCTAGTGAGGAGGATCATGGGATGCAATGGATTCAATGAACCCAAGGGATCCTTTGTTGTCATGGAGAGAGAGAGAGAGAGAGCCTACTCGAAGTACTGCTCGACGGTGTACACGGAGGCATTGGAATCGGTTGCTAGTCCACAGTGCGTTCTCGTGGATGTCGATTCGGTCTCAACCGCCAGATCAGAGAATGTAATATTGCTTTTTTGCGTTGCAATGAGAGACTCGGTATTGAGTATCAAAACCAAAATCAAATGGTCCAATTTCAAAGATTTTGCCTGTTGATAAGAGGAACCTCTTTTTTTTGCAAAAAAAAAAAAAAGCTCGGCTGTACTGCAAAGAATGAATGAAATCGGCAGGGGCTTGCCGTAAGGGTCGACCTGTAAGAAGGCTTGCTGGGCTGCAGTTGTAGCGAATGATCTCGTGTGTGCTCTATGCTGTCACGGCGCATCTGGCGGAAGAGTGGAATCGAGATGTCGACCAGGTAGGTGCATCTGGCAGGTGGTGCTCATGACGAACATCTTTCGAATTGGGCAGGGAGAGGTCTTTTGGATGAAAATGGTAGAGCAGTCGTCCATGAGCAGACATTATGCGCTGGTGTACAACTCACGGCGAAGTCCGAGGCCTGTCGTCCGGCATCGATGGACCGCCGTGGTGGTTGTTCTACCGAACGACAATGTGGTATTAGTTGTCCTCTGGGTGTATGCATCTAGGATAGGCACCCTACCCCAGATATTGACGACCTCTCTGTCATTTGGGCGTGGTGTCCCTCGAAGCATCATCGAGAGTACCGTTGGAATGATTGTGTATTCTGAAACTTTTCTGGCCGTGACAACCTAATATTATTTTACACCCAATTTAAAAAAAGAATCAGCTTAGAGTAGTACTCAATGTGACTAGTCATTACTCCTCCCTCATCGTCTACGGAGAGAATCAAAAAGAACCGGCGGTGGGTGAGAGAGAGACTCGTGACAATCTAGATCCCAGAAAAGTCAAGTAAATTGTCTCTTCGACCGAGAGAGCTCAAAAACTAAGGGAAAAAAAAACTGGAGTAGCTGGGAATCGAACCCAGAACCTTTTCCAAGCGCTTTGAACACTTGATGCTAAGGAACTGTTTTGAGGATTAGCTGTTGCTCTTGAGGTGGTCGAGATGGTGTTAATGCTTACACGTCATACCACTAGACCACAACCCCTGTGATCTCGAAGCTGTGATGGCTTGAGAGGACTTGTTGGAAGAAAATTCGCGACTTTGAAATATGATCATATTTTTGTGGTTTGTGTGTGGAGACTGAGACGAGATGAAAAGTGGGGATCAACTACAGTATCAAGTTAGACCGCTCGGGCCCTCGCTACTTGCAGCTATGGTGCTCCGTAGGTATTGTATAGTACACATGGGATATTGCTCAAGCATGGCAATATTAGTAGAATACGAAATCATAGTAAGACTACAGAGTACGTAATTGTAGAGCTTGCCAGTCCCGTGATGGTAAAAGCCCTAGAAAAGAGTCGCAAATACAAATATAGTACGGAGAAGGGGTGAGCAATGGCCGATTGAAACTACTGTCACTTACAAACAAAAATATAATTAAGTAAATATATTCGTGACAATCTTGCAAAGTACCTAGTTGACTCACCACCCGACAAAAAATACTTTTCAGTGGCCATGGTCCCCCCTCAAATTTTCCACTCCTCAATATCAATATTGAGTTGAATAGTAATCGACACCAACAAGGACAGTGACAACGCCTAAATCGAGTTACCTTGCAAAGAAGACAGTCTCTGCGTTTTATATCAATCGCCCCCACGTTGACGTGAATGTCCATCAAAGGCACGAATAGTAAAGACTTCCACATTTGCCACGGCGTGCACACCAAACAGATCCTTCACTACGGAATAGGTAATCAAGCACTTTTGGATGTTGCCGATTGCCTCGACGATGACCCGTGTGTCGATTTGCATGTGTGTGTCAACGGCGGCATTCGGTGTACAGAGCACGCCTATCCAAATGTCGAATGATGGTTTTACCAAACTACGTGCTAGAATCTCGGGTCCGCGATCGTGTCACTTTTCTAAATGTGACGAGACAAATCAATTCTGAACAAGGTACAATGTACAAAGTAGTATTACAGTGTATATAGATATATATATATCATCATCTCTAAGATCATCGCTTCATAACCAAGTCTTGAAACAGACACCAACAACTTTACAAAGATTCCCAAAAATCAGAGCCACTCCAAAAGCTGTTGCTGAAATGCAGATAAAAACTCGCTAAAACGCAGGACGAAAAATGTCACAAAAAGAACAAAACAGCTACAAATTACCCCAAACTGATGCTCGTCCCGGAGAACGTTGCGGTGCCGGACCACATGCCTCGTATCAGAGGTAGATTGACGTCCTTGACGGGTTTGCCGGTGGATGCGGAAATGGCTTGAGCCTTCTTCAGCTGCGCAGGGTCGTTGTTGATGGTCATGTGCCCGTGAAAGACGACCAGGTCGCCTCCGATGAGGATGTCGAGGCCGCCAGGGCCGACGAGATCGGCGTCACTGGTGACGAGGAGAGGCCGGTTGCATCGCGTGTACGGTCCGTGGATGTCACTGGCGGTGGCATATGAGACGTCGTACTTGGGCGTCGTGAAGCAGTTGCTACTGAAAAAGAGAAAGTATACGCCCTCGTCGGAACGATGGAGCGTGGGGGCCTCGATCAGTGGGCCGTCGTACACGTCCCGGTCGAGGATGGCGACGGGGTCACCAATGTGGGAAATACCGTCGGGGCCGACTTCCTGTAGCATGAGCGGCGTCGGCACGATGGGTTCGACGGTGTTGCCACACGAGCCGCCGTGGCCGATGGAGTTCCCGTCGACCTTGTACACGACGTACCGTTTGTTCGTCGACACGTCCAGAAAGCCGTCGGGGTCGATGGCACCGCCCTGGGTGGTGACGTCCGGACAGGCGAAGGGCTGGTCCTGAGGGATGTAGGGTCCCAGGACATCCTTCGACACCGCCGCGCCGACGCAGTGGTGCGCGGTACTCCAGGTGACCTCGTCAGCGTAGTACAACACGAACGAACCGTCGTCCTGGTCACACGTTAGAATCTGGGTTTTGACGTGGCCGGAAATTAAAACGCACCACCTGAACGACGTCTGGCGCCCACACACGAGCGCCCGTCTGCCACGCGCCTACATCGGGCAACGCATCATGGTGCTCCAACAGCGACCACGTTTGATTGTCTTGGGACGTGGCAACTTGAACATGTACCATGTCCGAACCGACACCTCTGTTGTTGGTCGCAAAGGCATACGAGACGCCGTCCACGACGATGATGGCGGGGTCCGGAAAGTTCGACGAGACCAGGGGGCCCATGACTGAGGCGAACGGACCTGACGCGGGGTCTGTCTGTGCGCCGGTGAGTTGTGGTTCCGGTGCTGGGTCGGGAGACCGAATGACCGCGTCGCGCGGCCACAACGGCCCCAGAGAAGTGACGGCCGACGAGGCCAACAAGTACGCGGGTATAGCGACCATGGCGAGTATGATAATCTTGGTGCGTGTTGAAAGTGTAGATTGCCGTCGCTGCTCAGTATATGCGTGTGGAATGACCGACTCTTTGTGTAAAGAATGTGTTCCAAAGCCCTGACCCGGGCGACTGGGGTGAGGAAGCAAAGGCTGTTTTTCCAAAATCCCTTCCGTGGCCGCCGCCATGGTGAAGGGTGGGCGGTTGGCCATGTTATAATGCCCAGGGGTGGATCTGAAGTGGTGTTTGTCGCGCCAGGCCGTGAACAGCCTCAATCGTGTGGTAGTGTTGGCGGGTTGTAGACCTCAGGGGTCAAACATGTGTCAGGACGCAGGCTAGAGGAGGAGGCTCGATTGGGTGCGTCAGGGTTGCCTAGAACCAAATGGGCCGGGTAACCCTCTTTTGGACGCCACGATGGTCTCTTTGGCACGGTGTAGATTGTACCGGAGATGGCGACAGGACTAAAAATCGATCGTGAGGCCAGACTTGTAAAGGTTGAAATGGTGAGACGCGACACATGACGGCGCTGAGATGAGGTGAGTGTGGATTCGAGCTCGGATGAGATTGCTGAGGATGAGGGGTTTTGGTCGGTAATAGGCTCTTGTATTGGGCAAACATAGCCTCACATCGGGCTACCACACGCAACGTACGGATAGGGATACCTAAGTAGGTACCTAGACAACTCGACACCATGACCATCCCAAGAACTTCAGAAAGTCTACAGGGTATCACGAAGAGAAAAATTTGCCATCCTACAGTCACTCTACGCTTGACAACTGCGGGCCTGGGAAAAATGGCTGGACACAGCCTCAACTATACACACGCACCCCCGGGGGCTGAACCCTTGGCATGAGAGTACTTCGTATGTACTCTGTACGAGCATGACCTTGGGTAATAGACTCTAGGTACGAGTTACATTGGTACTATTTCGCATCCGTACCATGTGCGAGGCTCTCTTACAGTAGTTAATCTCTTCAAGCGAGTCGACTTTGAAGTCTAGACTTCATGTTGACAGTTCTTCTTCCTCGTAGTGACAGCGGTTGTTGTCACGGACGCTCCTCTTCTCTGCTTGGGCACCTCAGCTCGAATCAAGGGCCTATTCTTGTCCTCAACGACGGTACGGATAGAATCACATACTGACTGCACTCTACAACACCAAATACCCCTGCATCGACAACGCTGACTGTGACACGAAGATACCCCCGCCTACGACTTGCCAAACACATTGACCCTTTTAACACTTCACAAACGTAGGATAATTTTTCTTCTTATCATCACACATCCTTTTTATCTCGTTTCCTGTTTAAGAAGGACAACGATCGGGATATTTTAATATATTGCCCTGTCGCTTGAACTTTTTCATCTTCTACCTCTACACGATATATCTTCCTAGTTCCTACACCCGCCAGATGAGATCTCCTAATTCTACCATAGCCCAATCCATGAGCACAACATACGCAACCGTAAAACTGCAAATATATCCTGACGTGGACAATTGGCGGGTGATTTTTTTAACCGGCTAGCCTTTTACTTTGTATCGTCCTTTAATTCTCTCCTCGTCAATCCTTAATGAATGGATGACCCTATGACCTCCCAAACATCACAGACCATAGTGTGTCTAAGCTGCAGCAATCTCAATCTGAACCCATCTCTCAAGGCGACCTTTTGGCAATGATCTCTTGGACGTTGGGAGGTAGTTCACCAACCTTTTCTGTCCACTTTTCCCCCCTGGGCCTTCGGTGGCTTCGATTTGAGATTCCTTCACATCCCAGACCAAAGTCCAGCCAGTCCTACGACTCAATTGTTTCTCACGTGGTGTTGGGGGATTCGGCGGAGGAGAATCCAAGCTCTGTTGATTCTCTTTGTTCCCAGTTGGCTCAGTAACCTCTCCACCGACTTTGGATCCCGGGAGATCCGAGAATGTTTCACGAAGTCGAGTGACCAGCTTCGGCATCTCCAAGCCCATCAGAGCGTTGTTGACACTGTTTCGAGAAAAGATGTTGCCAAAGCTACCGGCAACAACCAAAGGAATTTCCTTGGCCAGGATCGCCGTGGCAGCTTGCTCACGAGAACTGCCGCAGCCAAAGTTGAATCCCGAAACCAGATCGTCGCCGGTTTTCGAGAGGGATGACAATTTGGGATCATAATTCTCCATGCAAACCTCGGCCATCTTCTCGACAGGAACATTGTCCTGGTAAGTGTTTTTACCCGGGTAGATGCCGTCAGTGTTGATATTATCGGCATCGCAAAAGACGATATCTCCTTCGACACGTTGGGGGAACCCAGGATGAACCTCGGTCGAGGAGCCTGGCGCGACTTCAATGCCTTGTTCACTGCCGAAATTTTGTTTACCGGCTTCGATCATGGCATCTAGCTGGTCAATGATTTTCTGGAAAGCCTCATCCGCGGTGATCATTCGATCCTCCTCTTTGATGCCGTCGCCTTCACCTCTGGCCACACCAGTCTAGCCCTCGGGCCGTTCGTACCAACCTGGGCCGCTGAGCTTGCCCGTCAAAGCACTGGCCGCGACCACCTCGGGACTGGCCAGATATGCCTTGGCATCGGTGCTAACCATGCGGCCTTTGAAGTTGCGATTCGTGGCACTGATGCCGACCTCGCCGGGCTCGAGAAGTCCGGTCTCGAGGCCTATACATGGACCACAACCCGCAGAGAGAGTGATGGCACCGGCACCAAGGAGAGTCTGCCAGTCGCCGGCCTCCTCGGCTAGTTGCTGTTCAGGGAGCGAGGCTGCCGCAATGTAGAACTTGACCCCTTCCGCGATCTTGGGTACCTTGCCCCCGTTGTTTTCGGCGGCGTCCTTGAAGACCTTGGCAGCCGCAGCCAGGTCGGAAGCCCGTGAATTGGTGCAAGACACGAGATATGCTTTGTTGATCTTGATGTTCTGGTCTTCCAAGACGTTGAGAGGTGTGGCCACCTTGAGCGGATTGGGTCCAGACACGTAAGGTGAGAGAGTGTTCAGGTCGAGATAGAGTGATTTTGCGTATTGAGCGCCTTTTTCAGCAGTAAGCTGGTTCTCAAACAGCTGATCGAGTCTCGGGTGCGAGAAACGCGGATTACCTGCGCGTCCTTCGGACGTATCTAACGCGGACATTGTAGCTTTTGCCCTCAACCAACCTTGTAGGACCGAATCCATAGGGAATAGTCCGGTGAGTGCACCCCATTCGGTAGTCATGTTTGCAATCGTCAGTCGGGCAGCAACAGGCAGACTTTGTAGGGTTTGTTCTGACCCGGCGAACTCAATGGCATGGTTGAGATTATCGTCCTTGTCGAACAAACCACAAAGTGCCACGATCACGTCTTTGCCCGTGACACCCTTTGGCAAGGTGCCTTTGAACGTCACCTTGGCTACTGGAGGGATTTGCCACCACGTACGTCCGGTGGCCCAAATGCTGGCGGCATCTGTGCGCACGATGAATCGCAAACTTTGAAGCGAGAATGCGCTGGGAATGAAGACCACCACCGGTTTATGCGCCGACCATAGCGAGATCCTTTAGTTTCTTTCGCCTGCTCGTCGGCAGGACAGCTTTGGTGTGTCTTTCTCACCGACTACCACACGGGAGACGTCTTCTGCCTCCTCTTGTTCGTTGACAGAGGTAGCATGCGCGGCGCTCAAAAAAATCCTTGGGCGGCCTCTAATAGTATACTACAAGTGAGCTCCGATTGGTGTTTGGTTGTCCCTGATCCGATCTCGCGGCATCACGTGCCGGCACCATGACTTGGGGGAATAGGGGCGGCCCAGCCTTGCAGAACAATGTGGCTTTTGTGGAATTGATTGAGATATCTTGGGTTGCCTGTTTACTGCACGAGGCTACTTGCCGCATCTGTGGAAATCTTACGCTTTGATATTTGTTGCAGATCTTGTAATATTTCCCCCCTGCAACGAGTAGCCAATATGCGCCCCGATCAGTTGATACAATGACGCTGTACGTTAAGCACCGACGTGGTCAAGTTTCGCATTCAAGGTTTGCCTCACATGCCGACAAGGTTGGGACTTGATACTGGAAGGGCAATTGGGTCTTTCGTCAAGAGTTGACATTCATAAGTCCTGGAAATGACTATCTGCTGCTGGGGTATAATATGCAAGAGTAATTGTTGGGCATACTCATTTTGTGTTGTTCTGACCCAACGTCTCTCATTCGGGTTCTCAGTGACTCTTCATCAACTCGCGGATATTTCCGACGTAGTTGAAAGACTCTGAATTGACCCATATCGAACAACGACAAGATTGCAATGCTAGTGCGCAAGAAACGAAATTTCAAGCTATATGCAAGATTTCTAGGATCACCACACTGACTTCCTCCGCGAAATATAGTGAAAGTCTTCACACTCGCATCTTTGGTGATTCCGATGACGGGGCAGAACAACCAGACAAACCCCTGGTTGGTCTCGAAGTGCAAACTTCAAGATCATATACGACCAGGCATATCTCCACCCCAAGCACTGCCGAAATTCATGGTATGCTTGATCTTTAATCTGGGTTCGTCATCTGGGTCTTGCGTGTGTGGCTTTTCTGACGCCTCTGCACTTTTCATTTCGTCATTGTCATCAGACAAAGCCGTTTCGTATCTTGAACGCACAGCCGCTTCTTCTGAAAGCATGGCATCGACTTTTTCGAGGAACGCATTTGCCGCCTCTGACTTGGCACTGGAGTCGAGCATGAGCGGACCTTGAAGACTGGGATCATCCTCTGCTTCATGTTGCGGTTCGGGCTCAACTTGTTCAGGGATCGCTTCTTGAGCCTTTTCCACTGGATCGGGAATGGCCGAGGAAAAGGAAAAGTAAGAGTCGGAATTTTCTGCAGGCCGAAGAGGCGGTCTTTTCGTGGGTGCTGGCTCTACAGGGTTTTCTTGCTTGGGAGTCAAGTTGTTCGTACTGTCAGTGCCCGAAGACAATGTGCCATCGAAAGCCATCGGAGTGTGACCGGCATTTCTTTTCAATTTCTCATCTAGTGGCGAGAGCAGAGACTTGACATCAACCTGCAATATTTCGTCGAGAGGTCTCTTTGGTTGCGGGGAGGGCGTATGAGCAGGCGAAGCAAACTGTGGACTGGTGATTCCCGTGTCGAATGTTGAGGCCAAACCAGCCGACTTTAGAGTGATGCCGTCGAGAGTCTTGTCTACCTGCTCAACGGGTACAGGGACGTTCTCAACCTCCTTCTGAGTGGTTGGAGAAATTTCCTTGGACAGTGATGGGAACTGTTCGTTCTCTGAGATGCTCGGTAGGTGTCCGGCAGTGTCTTCGTGCGAGAAGACTCTTGTTACGGGAGGAAGAACCTCAGGGCCTTGCCAGATTGGAGGTGCTCCACCGCTTGAGTCTGACGAGGCTCTAGCTCGATTGCTGGTGCGTGACAAAGGCTTGATCTCTGCTCTGAATGACCGTAGGCTTGCGTCCGAAGAGTCATTGCTCGACCTCCTCTTGGAATCCCGGCTTCTTGACAGACGTCTTTCCAATTCAGAAATACGAGCCTTGAGTGCAGTCCGCTCTATATCCCACGCTCTTCGTTCACAGTCGTGCGCCTCTCTCAACTGATTGTTCAACATTCGACACTGCTCCATGTACGCGGTAATGTCGACTTCTGGAGTTGGATTCGTCATCTGAAAACCATGCTTCGGTATTTGACTCGCGGAGGGAACAGGGGGTAGTAATGGGACGGTCGTGGTGGCTATAGAATGACGGCCTTGAGGAAGGAGTGACGGCGTTTCCGAGAAGCGAACACCTTTGGAGGTGCCATTTTTCAATGGGTCCATCGAGCCCGAGAGATTTACAGGGGAGAAATTGTACGGGTCGTGTTCAAGAGCGGGCGTTGGGTCGAAGGCGTGCGTTGGTGAGCGTGGTGCCATGTGTTCGGGACGTTCCCAGACCGGCGAAAGGTTAAAATTGTATAATTTCGAGTCTAGAATGGTTGGCACAATTCGACGACCTGTAATGAAAAGAGCGTGTGTTTCAATGAAGAGGAAACGTCGACATTCGAGACGTGATGAGTGGTTAATTGCCGAGGTACTGAATAGAATTATACAGATGGCAAGAAAGAAGTAATCAGAATTGCTAGACGAGATAAATGATGCTGTTCATGATCGATGTAGATTAACTGGTATGGCCAGGACGATGAGGTAGACGTAGAGAAGGGAGCGAGTGAAGAGAAAGTGTGTGGTGGTGCGTTGTGCGTGTGGCAGGCGCAGTTTCGGCGATGTAGCAATTGGAGTAAAAAGATTGGAAGTGACGATGCCTTTGTCAGTGGTCAACTTGCCTTCCTTAGGTACCAATCTCATCGAGAAACCCAATGACGTCGGTGCGAGTGATACTAAGCCATGGACAAGCCCGGCTAAGGCATGCAGGGTCTTCTTCGGGGGCGTTTGTTGGCTGTGGGTATTTAGGGGCCCAATGCCTGAGTGATGACCCCCGAACAGAAGCCTAAGCAGCCTCCCAGAGGAAAACGAACCCGGAAAAGAAGCCTCTAGTTGGTAGAAGGCTGCTGCAGGGGCCGAGGCTGGTCTCCGCCCGGGACAACACTTACTGAGATACGGCAGTACTGTATTTATTGATTCCAGGCACGGCAGGAAATTATTGCTGGGAAATCCCTGGTCTCTACGGCTGATCTTCCGGGAGATCTAAGTTAACTTCTTAGCAGGCATCTCACACGCTGTCGAAAAATACACGACTCAAATATCACTTCTTTATTCGGGTCTGAGAGCCTCGCCAACATTGTCTACACCGCACATACCAGCAAACCCGCGCGTCTTTTGACACGTGGGACTCCCCTTGCATATATTGGAGCATCGTACGAGGACGGAGGATGCCTTGATGCCCCTGCTGACGACATAAACCCATTATCTGCAGATTGTGCCACCAGGGAAGAGGCCCACTAGAGATACAGACATCCCTTGTCGATGGCTGATATGTTGCACGTCCCAGTCTCGCGGTGAAAATTTCCTCGCGTACAAGGTTCCATCACATACCGCACATGTCTTTACTGATTTTGTTGATATCTACCTTGTCGGGCCCGCTGCGAAATGCAAGCCGAAATTTTCTGTCCCTGGCACCGAGTTGGGTATCCTCGCAGTGTCCAGCAATGGCTGTTCGACCCTGGATGGATGGTTTGTTCCACAGATCTTGATCTTCAGGAACAGCCAAGGCCAATCATGAGGGTTGCTACTAAACAAACATCCATACTCCGTAGTTGCCGCATATCACGAGCCCAGACTGAAAATTCATCCTCTCAAGCGGCAGACTGGGTTTTCTCTGCTTTCGAGCGTGTGTGATTTCTCCGCAACACTACTGAAGTATCTGGAGGAGTTTCTCGAGTCGCAGTAAGACAGTGATGCGTCGCGGCCTGAGAAGATGAATACCACAATAAAAACCTGTAAGAATGTCACATGTGATGGTTCAAAGGCGAGCAGAACTGTAGACCTCGCAGTCAGCCACACAAATGCTGATTCCTGAAACAATATCCCAGGACTAGGATGGTAATCGCTCTTCGAATTCACCCAGGCTTATTTGCCTAGCAACATCTATGGGGGGGCGGCACCCATGCTGCAGAAAAAAACACAAGGACTACGCACAGCATGTGCATGTGAGAACTATCTCAGATATAGGCCCAATAAATGTCGCCAGCTACGGTTTCATTGCACACGAGGCTCGACAAGGTGAGGAAGGAGACTGAAAGAAAATAAGTATCCACGTGATCACCTTGTATCCGGTAGGTTTGCCGGACCCTGAGTTTCTCAAGCTCCATGAAATTTGTCCGACACCTTCTGTAGAACGCACCCAACAAGAAACCCATACTAAACAGCTTTCCTCCGTCAAAAGAAAGAACAACAAGGAGAGGTGCAATGTTATGATAAGTCGTTACTGTACATTAGACTCAGACAAAGATTAGCCATGCCTCCTCGAATACCTCCCTCGACCGCATCGATTGCTATCCCTATACCCTCCGTCCACACACACTGCAAATCATGTTTCAATCGCGCCTTTTCCTCCACTCCAACTTCCCAAACACGGCTCCGAGCTGAAATGTTTGCATGGCTGCAGGGTCCCGGCGCAGTCTTTAAACGGCCTCTTCCCGGGTCAACAAACTACCTGTCGGCTTATGACAGACGAGGAAATCTCTTGCGAGATCGCGATGGACAATCTGGTGCCTCACCAGACGGATCTTCTGAAAATACTACCCGCGCCGAGTCGGAAGAAGATCTGAGGCCGTTCCCACGAAACTCGCATTTCATCTCACAGAGTGTATTATCAGAGGAACTACAGCACGAAATATGGCACCGTGTACAAGTGCTGCAGAAATCTGTTCGACAGGTGTCGGTGGAGATGGGGGTAGATATGCGCAGAGTTGCTGCCGTCGTGCGGCTGATAGAAGTCGAGAAGAAGATGCAAGCAGAGGTACGTTTGACAAGCTCTTTCTCATTTTTCTTATTGCCTGCGTCCGACCTTCTATGATGAACAACCAAATCGATTAGTCTTCCAGACTTCCAAACATGGTGATCTAAACAAAAACAAATTACAACTCTCTGAGAAAGAAACAAATCAATCAGCCCATTACATGACAAACGCTGCTGTCTGATACCGAAGCTGACCTGATCTCTTCGATTTCCAGGGCCAAGAACTCGCAATACCGTATGCCAAAGCCGTTCACTCAATGGTGCCAGTCAACAGACTCAACCAGACGACGCGGAAGCCGATGGAGCCACACGAGTCCATCAACGACCTCGAACAACATCCCCTCACTTTCCCCCAGCTCTTCCACCCTACCTCTGAATCTCGCGCGTTTAACCGTACCGATGCGGGTCGGGTCTTCAGTGGTGCGCCTCGATTGCCGGACGATCAGGACGCCGGACAAGGAGGCAAACCTGCTCGAGAGCCCTGGGAGGACACGAAGCCAGAGTACGTCGGCAAAGCAGGCCACTCTCACCCCATTTTGAAACCGGCCGATGCGCGTATCCCCCACCCTCAAATGATCGCATACGAAATAGACAGGCAAAATCCCGAGCTTGCCGATGAGCACCGGGAGCGCCAACGGCTACACGCCCAGCGTCTCGAGGAAGACGCCCGCAAGAGAAAGGAAGCCAAGGAGTTGAAGGCCCGATTGGAAGAAGAGAACAGGACTCGCGTCGACACGGGCCGATGGCAATTCATCTTCACCAACGTCGCCGCCACGAGGGAGGGCACCAAACTGGACGGCCGTGGCACCAAAAGTCCCGGATTTCGATACGGTGTGCCATCCCAGGAAAGGAAGAAGGGACAAGTCAAGATACCAACAAAGGTGGAGGTCTAGAGTTGTCAGTTGCACTCTTGACTTCATTTCCACTTTGTCTGCATATACTATTATACACCACTGGGCAAATCTGTATATTTTGTACTGTATTGTATCGTCAGGTGAGAATTAGCACTACCATATCCTGTCCATGTACATCAACTACAACGATGCAAGAGAATGTATCAAAATTCCATATGCGTCGACTGTAGTCGAGACTCCCAGTGCCTTCTGAAGGTCCGATATTTCAAACTTTGTAAAGTCTTGAATTAATTAGTATTCATTTTGCTTGGTATTTATTTCGTATATCTATGCGAGGACTTTGTTCCATTTCATGAGGACCTCGCATGCCTTGCATCATGGGCCGTAGCTGTAACGCATACCCCAAAAATGGATTGTTCATTCATCCCACCAGGTTTCATGGTTCGTGGGCGCATTTGCAAAAAGGTGAAAAAAGTAGCCAGCCAACCACCGGATCCATCCATCCATGAGGGTATGCACGGAAAAGCCCTCCCCTCTTGCCCAAAATCATAGCATCGTGTCCGTATTGACTCCTCAAGAGTCAGGATGTGCCAACTCTGAATATGAAAGTACCCTAGGGTGTTCCCACCATCAAAAGTGTCATGACGCAACTGGCGAGAGACAAGAAGATGGGATAAGTCTGACTGGTTCTTGATTGTCAAATAACTTCACGAAAAGCGAAAACGAAAACAAGAGGGAAAGTGTTCTCGAGACGCCCTAGACGCCGATCGGTGACACACGGCTCCCATCCCATCCAAATGTCATACCTCCTCGACGTACTTTTCGCTCTGTGATGACGGGGTCGTGCCCTTGTTACCACCCGGCTTCGCGAGCAATCTCTTCTTGGTCAGGCCTCCGCACAGGGAGGCCTTGATGATCGGAAGCGGATCTCGCGCCTCCGGCAAGACGAGAAGGATGAACACGACGGCCACGCCCGCCGTGGCGGGCAGGAAGCCGTACAGGTAGTGCGCGGCCGGCGCAAAGTCGTGGGGCAGGCTGAAGATGGCGCACGCCAAGGCAAAGGGCACGTATATCAGGGCGATGATGGTCAAGTACCGCGAGTAGTCGGCTTGCCTGGTGGATTCGAACTCGATGGACGCCAGGGACGTCGTATCCTGCACCTGTGAGACCGCGAGGATGTGCTGCATTTGGCTGTCGCACTCGGCGCGGTAGTGGTGTAGGTCGATCAGCAAAGCGCGGTAGTCGTCGTTGAGGTCCGAGTCGGCGCCGACGAAGGACTTGATGCGGGTGAGGATGGGTTTGTACCGGCTCAGCATCGAGTCCAGGGAGATGACCTTGTCGAGGATCCTCTTGGCCCTCTGTGGCTCGAGCGCGAGCGCCGTCGAGATGGGCTGGCTTTCGAGCGTCGACCGGATGTACTCGAAAAAGTTTGTGCATTCGCTGGCGGCGATCTGAAAGGCCGGCCGCATCAGGTTGAGCATGTTTCTGTCGGAGGGGTTGAGGAGTCCGTCCCGGGCCATGATGTGCCAATGTCGACAGAGATCGTCGAACGGGTTTGGGCACATGGGACGAGAGCCACACGCGCGGAAGTCGTGAGAGTCCTTGCTGCCCGGGCGGCGCATCTCGATAAAGTCGAGATATCCACCCTGGTATCCGGATATGTCCATGCGTTGGGTGTGGGAGTACGCCCCGAAGCTCGTCTCAGCACCGAGGGTGAAGTGTGTCATGGGCGGGTCCACGAGGACGACGCCTGAAAAGGTTAGAGACGACCAAAGAGGCAAGACAGAATGGTACTTACATAGCCACGGTTCCAGTGATTTCTTCATGTAGAATGATATCTTCCTTCGAGCAAGAGCGACCTTGTGTTTGCCGTATTTCGAGCACACCTCCACTCGTCTCCGGTAGTTGCCCTTGCAGTAGAGCTTATCGATATCCACATCCTTGCCGCAATTGTGCGCAACAAAGGCACATGGGTATTCGATGGTGAAGAAATGTTTTTGATGTCGTTGATTCTGTGAGGCCAATGGTGAGGACGTGTTGACTTCCCCTGTGCTTCCAATTCCATGATCTGCAAGGTGAGAGGCAAAGAATGCCGGTTCAATGTTGAGGAGGCCGCCGAGCGTATCGACCATTTCGGGGCTGATGTTGTTGACCATGACGATGCGTCCTTGTACATTGGACGGTGTGGTGGACGTGGGCGTGGATGGGGTCTTCTTCGTCCATTCTTTCAGCAAAACCCTGAGTTTCGTGGTGTCGGTCAAATCTGAGGTCCGAAAACTTGATGTTCCAAACTCCAACAAGATTGTGGTTGCTCGTTGGGGTCGTGGAACTGCTGGATTTCGAGCTGCTTCCACCCCCCACCGAAGATAGTCGTCCAGGCACGCGAGGTTGTGGAAGCCGTGACTTCGTAAAAAGCATACATAGTCTGTGTAAGTCCAGCGATGCGGATCTGGTGGTGCCATGGTACACGTGTTACAGCCTACGGCGGCATGGTCCGAGGGCATCGAACTTGAGCTCGGTGCGGCCAGAGAACAATGCGGGTACCTTGACGCTTCGACGAAGTGCGATGTGCTTTGGGCTTGCTAGTCTGAGATGAACGACTTGCAGCAATAACAATGACAATTCTGCACAATTGGGACTATATGCGAGAACAACAAAGCCAGACAAGAGGAGGTAAAACCGGTTCCTTACGGAAGAGACGAACCCTCAAAGCTGCTTTCTCGAGAGCTGGACGAAGAAGTACCTCGAATACGGACGGCTGGGAAACATGGTGTGTCGTCGGGCCTGAGAACAAGCCATGATTGGTCAGCCTTGACAAGGGTTCCTTGTATTAGTGGTTTGTAGCTCCCACGAGCATCAACTGAGGGAGAAGACAGCTGCGATCCATCAAAGGGCCCATTTGTCGCTGGAACGTCATCTTCGATCAGTCCTAACTTGGAGAGCGGGCAACGAAGAAGCTTTGGCTATCCTGTCAGAAGCTCTTGATAGTCCTGGAGTAGCTCCGACGTAGCGAGAACGCTTCCTTTGCAGTAGTTGGCAGATTCGCCCTTTGGCTCCGACAGGTTTCGCTCTTTGGTCAGCATACAGAGCTGTTTCCTGCCACCAGGAACGGCATTCATGGCGCCACTCGCCTAATTACGACAAATGAGGGCGTTGAAATCAGAGGGCGGGGTTATGCACAGTGCGACAGCCCCAGCCACCGAAGTAGCATGTCATCAGCTTGCGTACGACGGAACAGACTGAGACATACGTTCATCGCTCCAGTCTGCATACGTATTCGAGAAGGAGAGGGTAATCGATGGATCTGAAACTCGCACAGGCGAGCATGGTTTCGCATTGATGCAAGGCGAATGTCAGGTTCTTATTTGATTGTCACGGAATACAACAGGGAATTATTTATGGAGATGGAGAAAAGTCCGACGCCCAGAATGGAGAAGTTCGGGGCGTGTCTCCGATGCCTCACTGGGACGAAATAACGGTTGCCGTGTTTGATGTGTTTGCACTCCTACGCCGTCCTTCCCACCAAACATTTCTCCTGCGTTGGATTCAGAATTGTTGGCGAAACATAAATGGCTACCGACACAAAAGATCCAGAGGCTGCGGCCCGCGCCACACTCGCACTCCTGGAGACGCGCCTTCGTCATCTGGAATTCTTACTAAAGGGTACCACTGATCAAGATGGCATCCCAGAGCCAGCGACAAGCCCAGCCCACGGAAAAGACACGGTTTGGTCTAGGCTCGATCATCTCGAAGGCGAATTCGAACGACTAAAGAAACACAGTGGGGCTGCAAGCACTATGATTCGTGATATTGAGCACTTGTGTAGGTGGCAGCAACAATGCGAGTTGCGCAATCAACAAGTCGGCTAACATCACGCTTTAGCATTCGTCTATCCAGACTTGTTTGCTTCCACATTGTCGGCCAGCGAAGTGCCCCCCAAATCCCAAGATCTAAGCACCCTTGCCTCGATTGTCCTTGCGCATGCGACCTTGTTTCCCGAGACAGCCTCGAGACTCTCCTCCTTGCAGACCTTGCAAATTCCTCCCGCCGAACAAAGCTCGGAATTACTGTCTCTGGTCCCACGCCTCGAACAGTGCAACCGAACCGAGGAAGAACTGGCGAATGAAGTACAGGTGCTACGTGAACGGAGTGCTCGTTGCCTCGAATGGTGGATCAAAGTGGGCGTTGTAGGAATGGGTGACTTGTGGGAAGACTGGGAAAGAAGAGTAGGCGAAGTCGAGAAACACCTGATCCGCTGGGAACGGCGAGCCAAAGAGGAACAAGGATATCTCTGATCGACGAGCTATGATCTGTTCACGAGATATTTTTAGTGATCCGGGCATCTTGAGGCCCTGGTGGCATGATTCGGGCAAACACAGAAGAATTGTTCTTTCGCCATCAACAGACTGCATCTGGGTCTGATGACAGGCTTTAGTGGGTGTCGAGCGATAGCACATCAGGAAGGATAATCCGGCAGTCTGCCAGTCGATATAGGTGTTGCTTCGTTAAACCAGCATAGCCATCGTGAGTGCATGGCTAGCCCGCCAATGGGAACATCTGTGCCGGGCGCAGATCATGCATTCGCATTGGAGTGAGCAACAGAATGATGGGGGGCGTGCAACAGCTACTGTAGGGCTCTTCGGAGGATTTAATAAATGCACTTCGAGGAGTCGTTGTTGATGATCGATGGCTGGACCACAATCTGTCCTGGGGTTCTACAATATGGATAGCTTGGGTTAGCGTTCCAGTGCAGGATTGCGAGAATACTGTACATACGGAGTACAGGACTGTGAGCACGGGCTGGTGGCGCCCTGCCAGGGGGTATTTGGGTGGAGATGCGAAGATTGGTCGAGAACCATGTATCGACGGTGTCCACAGCCATCAGGGGGCCATGTCGCGTCGTGTCCAATGGGTGGTGTCAGGACGCAGCCCAGTTTCATTAATGAGGACAGCTCCGTCTCGCCAACGGAAAATTAGCCATCCGAAGGTGAGGAGGCGTCGACAGCGTCTGGAGGTCAATCCTCAACGGGCATCTGGAAATGGAGATCTATTCTATGTAAGCATCCGTCGAGGTGAATGAGCATTGTCGAGTGTGTATGGCAGCCCTTTGCACAGCCGTGGTGCCACCCAGCGCTTGCTGGGCGCATGGCCTGTGCTACTGCGGAACAAGCGCCGGGGACATGCGACATGCCATTGAGCGAACAGGGAGATTGAATTGATGTGAGCGGACCTGGAAAACACTACACTTCTTTCTCGCGGGCATATTCGCATGGTGTGAGTACGAGTACTCCGTAGAATACTCCGTAGGTGTGTTGAAATTGTAAATCTGGAGACAACGATCTCCCGCTTGAGGGGATGAAACGTGCATGTTGCAAGGCTCCTTAAGGCTTAAGTTTTTAGTGGCCCCCGACACGTCTTGGGCAGGCGTGTTTAGGGTTGAATCCCCTGCCCTGGGCGCCCTTTTTTCCCTCGTACAGGTGGGTGGGTTGGCCTCCGTCCTCTCTCGCATCCAGTCGCACCAGTCTGCGTCTCTTTCCGTGCCAGACTTTCTCGCTCCCATTATTCCCAGTCCTGTTCCTCCTCCTGAATACGAATCCTCATTCCTCAAACCCTTCAACCTCCATATCCACGCTCTTTCAGGCACCACTATTTGTCAAACAACACACTTTTTTCTTTATTCTTGTCGATCGTTACCACTCTCTTTGTCGTCATTCTACGCCTCTTCTACCTTGGATCGGCGACTGTGTCGTTGGCATCTTTATTTCCTTAGCTGACTCCAAAGAAAGTCGACTTCGACCAGCCAGCCCACGCCCTCACAGACAGCACTGCACACGGACACAGCCCTCCAGCGCCCGGTCCTCGCGCCACCCAGCCTGCGCCTAGCCATCACCAAACCTCGTCCTAGTCTTCTTCGATCAACACTCTTCTTTACTTCTCGAACCTATCTTGACAAAGAAACAAAAGTACCTAGTGTAATCGACCGCGACGAGAAACCGCCGACCTCGTCGACCCTTCATGCCCTCCTACGGATCACTGCATTCTCCCTCCTTGAAGAAACACAACATGTTGGAAGCTCGAAGAGGAGGCAGAATCGACTTCGGTCATATCATTGGCGACCCTTTTGCGCTGGCCACGATTTCCATCAGCTTGGTAGGTCTCCTTTTCCGCTCTCGTGTCGAACGCGAAGCTGACCACTTCTCTACCAGCTCGCTTGGCTCATTGCCTTCATTTCCTCCATAATTGCGAACGTGCAAGATCCGTTCCCAAAATATGCTTGGTGGACGGTTGCCTACATGTTGTGCTGCATCCTAGGTGTCGCGTTTGTCTTCGCAACGAACTCCAGCAATATCTATAGCATGGCTGTATGTACCCTATTTTCTCTTTCCTGGTGGAAAGGTATTGACGTGTTTTAGGTTGTTGGATATCTCGCAGCTGGTCTCGTCATGACGACCTCGGCCGTCAACTCGCTCGTCTATCAGCCTCAAGGTGCCATGGAAGCTGCAGCTGCAGGCCACATCTTGCTTTCAATGGTAGCTGTAAGTCACCCTCCCGCGTCAATATTGACTCACGACTAATCGTGACCCAGATCATTTGGATATTCTATTTCGGCTCCGCGCCTCAAGCCGCCCACCGCGAATTCATTGACCAATTTGCTCTGCATAAAGAGGCGAATGGGTTCCGAGGCCCTGCTCAGAACATGACGAATGCTTATGACCGCCCACAGACGACAGCATCGGCACAGCCGCCTCAGATGTACACGTCCGCCCAGTTGAATGGCTTTGAGACATCATCCCCAGTGTCAGGATACCCTGGCGGACCGGCAGGCGCAACGCGAGCTTCAGCACAACCCATGAACACGAGCAGCACCCCTGCTCCAACATCCGAAGTCGCGCCTCCAACGGAATACCCCTACCGTGCAAAGGCCATCTATAGCTACGAAGCCAACCCAGACGACGCCAATGAGATCAGCTTCAGCAAACACGAAATCCTCGAGGTCTCGGATGTCAGTGGAAGATGGTGGCAGGCAAAGAAAGAGAATGGCGAAACAGGCATAGCCCCTAGCAATTACTTGATCCTGTTATGAGGTCATGCATGTCGACTTTGAAACACTTCTTACAAGAGATGGACACGACAGGTGTCGGGCACCATAATGCAGGACCCTGCACCTTCTAACGACTTCCTTTGATGATATTGCACTTCTCTTCTTTTGCACAAGGTCTTCCCGAAATAAGTCACCCCTGTTGCTTTGTTGTGTTCCGACATGTCTGGATTCACCTCCACCGCGACGAGATACAACGATGCTGGGGGGCCGCCATATTAGGCAGGGACAGCATTGATTATTTCCTTTTCTGGCTGAACTACGATGAAATGGGTGTGAAATTATCCATGGACCTGTACAGGCGTCCCGGCGCAGCCAAGCCGGCGGCAGGCAGGCAGGCATGGTTTTGTTTGAGGTTACACAGGTTACTGTCGGAGTGATTAAGCGGGTTTTTCTTGGTTGCTTCGGGTTTGGGCATCTCCTCGTCTCCGCTTCTTCTATCCAGGAGATCATCACGGCAACAGTGTAGCAATGATTCAGATTGTTTCCAGGAGCTGGATTTGGTCCCTTTGGAAATATGCGCTTCTCGTGGGAGCAGCTTCTAGGGAGGTCTATCGTGCGGAGCAGTCCGAACAAGGTACACACAGGCGGTATCTAATGGAGTTTCAGTTGGATGAAGGCACTTGAAGGTCGAATATGCTATGATAGTTGAATCATGGGTTTTGAGAATCGAGTCATACAGAGAGAACAAAAGCAGAATACAAAGATCAAATCAGCAATGGATTTCAAACTGAAGTTTTGGTAATTTTTCTCTAGATGACTCCCAATGATGGCCTAAGAGGCCCAAACAAACACAAACTTCTTGACCATAGTACACCCCCAAATCCGAATAGGCCCTCCTTGAGAAAATATTGCATATCGCTGAAAACGCTTCGACAGTTATAAAGGGAGAAGAGGATCAGCCAACAGAAGGTGAAGGGATGGGACCTCGTTTCAAACGACACATGAGACTACCACCACTACTCGGGCACCCGAGATTCCTATTTCCCCCAAAAGGTATCACCGACCGGGCATCTGATGATTCCCGTAACCGGTGTACGCGGTATTGTTGTAGTCTTGTTGTATCCCCAGGCCACTGTGGTTCAGGGGGCTCTGTGGCTGCACGGACGGCATGTGGACAATCTCTTCCTGCTCCTGCTGGTGCAGCGGCGCGTATTGGTCGTCGTACTCGGGCTTCTGGTAACCGTACCCCGGCCGTCGTCCTCCTTCGTCCTCCAGGTCCTCCTCGTCGGTCCGCATGTTGCTCGAAAAGGCGTCCTGGGTCTGTGCGGAAAAGTCGTTTGGTGGTTTCGAGTCGAAGTCGGACCCGGGGAATTGGGCATTGTCGGGCATCATGCCGGTCCTCTTGAAAGTCATGACGGTCCGGAGGGAGAAAAAGGCCGTGGCGACGAAGAGGATCATCTCAAAGACCCCAAAGACTATGATGGTCTCGCTGAGTTTGCAACGGCCGGGGCTCCCGTACTTGAAATTGTCGCAACCCGAGGCGTCCTTCTTGTCCCCTTTGCCCTTGCCCGAGGCCACGTACGAGGCGACGGCCGCCCAGGCACTCAGCCACAACACCACGGCCAGACCGTCGACGCAGGCGAAGGCGTAGACGTTGGCGAACCGTCGAGCTCGAGACCACATTGGTACCATGACTAGGTAGATCAGAATGGGGATCGTGAGCCAGCACTGCCGTCGGAGGGTTTGTCGTTAGTTTTTTTTTGTTCGGGATCGAATTGCTCAATGACCAAACCCGTGTGGAGGGAGGGGGGAGTGTTCACGGCGATACGTACCAGGCCAAAGTACCAGCCTACACGACCGTCGGTCGTTCCAGAACGAGTAAGGAGTGCTATCGTGAGGACCCATGCTAGGAAGAGGACTGCCGTCTGTGCGATGTGGATGTATGTTTTGATCTTGCCATGCTGATCGAGTTGTAGCCTCATGGTGAAAATGGAGGGGAAGGATCAAGGACCGGTGGATGGGAGGTGTAGTAGCTGGTCGGTCAATGGGACCTGCGGAGGCCAAAAAAGGGACGGGAGGTAAGGTCAAGGACAATTGTGGTTGTGGTTGTCCTGTTTACTGTGGGTGCGGTTTGTTTACTCGTGGGGTAGATGGTCGACGTACGTATCTGCGGACTTTTTGGAGGCTCAAACGACAAGTGTGTGGTAGAGAAAAGTGGTAGTGACAGTAGGAAAAGGGAATGGGGGAAGAGACAAGAAACGAGGGAGGACAACGACGCTGTTAGTACACAACAAAAAGCTGACTGCGGCGTCCTGCTGCTTCAGTGAGGCTTTCCGGGAATCTGAGACGCGAAAGGTCTCTCGAGGCTCAGCCGCATCGTGGCGCGGTTTAGCGTCATCAATGCTTGCGAAGGCCACAAGGCTGAAGTTGAGAGGTGGAACCTGTTCCATGACGAATCATGGTTGACGATTGCTGACTTGGAAGCAAGCCACCTTACGGAGTACACAGGACTCTTTTTCAGCTGTCTATAATTGTACTCCATGTTCGGAATGGCAATGATGGAGTTTTGGATGATGTCTGTTCTAGCTCGGTTCATCTGGCACGTTGGCTGCACGGACCTCCTCCTCCTCCGCCGAAAACCCCTTGAGATCGACCACGGGTATTTTTATCGTACCTCGGGAGTATGAATATGACTGCACCTCATCTGTAGAACTCAGGTCACACACCTCCTTCTCCATGATATATAGTGAAACAGTAGAAGTGAAGATACCCCGGATTACCTACCCATCCTAGACATACTCACACTAAGTTCAGATTCAATTCCCATGGGATATATATCTAAACCAGTCAATTTTCCTTCAACAAAGAATCGCCTTGATGGCCACTTGAAAGACTCACCACGTCGAACCGCGACTTTGGCTTAAGTGGTTTGGAGGTGGGCTTATCCTTGGAAACCCAGCTTAGTGGATTAAACTTGGGAGTCGGCTAGGTTTCCATGACTACTGTAGTATCTCTATAAACAGGGTATGAAGGGGTCATAGTCGGGATAAGTATTAGGAGCGCCGACCGTTGGCAGACGGCGGTCGGGGCTTCGAATCTCCAAATAACTTTTTTGTCAAAAATCTTTTTTTCTTGTTTTGCCGGTGGTGAAGAGGGTGAATACAAGTACATCTTGAACCACTGTGTGCGCCTCACCATCTCCGCCTTGAGACTGTGCAACGCGGATGAAGGAGACACAACATGGGTTGCCAGCGTGGTAGTACTCGAAGATGCTCACATGGTAATCATCAGTTGGCATCCTCGAAGTCCATGTATAGACACGTTCGATTGTGCTTTGTGCTTTGTGCTTTACGTTAGGAGGAAACTGGGCGCTAAGGATGGCGAGGCCAGCAAGGCTGAGATGAGATGGACTAGGCTGTGACAGGTTGTCTTGCTGACACATTGGATCAAATGCTATGTGTATTTGCGGTGTCCGCCCTCGATCTTGCATCAATCCAGCTGTGAATATAGCATTACAACAATCAATGAATTCATCCAATTCAAAGTGAATGCGACGCAAAAAGTCATCACTCCGTGATTGGTAGTAATGGCAAGTGAATCTGTCAGGGACAAGATGTGTTCATGCACAGCAATTGTTCCTGCTGTGCTAGGTCTGGCGCTAAGATCAAAAAGGGAAAGTGAATTGTCACTGGCCTTTCGTCACGTTTCTCTTGGCCTGTGCAGCCGGTCAAACAGACATTCCACCGCCGGAGCGTCACCACTTTAACTGTTGAGTAGTGGCTCTTAGTGCCGTAGTTACCGCCTGCCCGTCACTGCTGGTTCGTCACTTCCCCAACGCTAAAAGGAGCGCACCGCAACTGCCGTCTAAAACGAGATTTGTCCTTGTTTGCCCAAATTATTTTCTCAGCCTGCGCAACCCCCTTGGATCTTCTTCCTTCTTTTCTCATCATCAATCTAATCATCCTTTCTGCTGATCAGAAACCCGAGCTCATCTTCATTCAAACCTCTTGAATCTAGGGCACCCAGCTACCCTTCCAACCCCTCGTCAACCTCCGATTCCCCAAGGCAGCCTCTAGCTACCTGAGTTATTTGCAATCCACAAGTCCCAAACACACATCAACAAATCCACTTGTGCCTCAGCCACAATGTCTTCTGCCGTCGACAACCTTGCCGAAAACCTCAAGAACGCCAGCATCGAGGATACCTCTGCGGCCAACAACGAGGCTGTTCTGGCTTCTGCTGCCGAAGGTCGTCGATTGTACATCGGGAATCTCGCTTATGCGACAACTGAGGCGGAACTCAAGCAATTCTTTGCTGGCTACGACGTGTAAGTGGCGAACAAAAACCTTTTTGTCGATCTATGAGTCTAACATTGTGTGCACAGCGAGTCAACTTCCATCCCCGTCAACCCACGCACAAACCGTCCTGTCGGCTATGCCTTTGTCGATCTGAAGACTGCTGAAGAGGCAGAGAAGGCGATCGAAAACCTCTCTGGCAAGGACATCCTGGAGCGCAAGGTCTCTGTCCAGCTTGCTCGCAAGCCAGACCAGACTAGCGGCGAAGGTGCCACCTCCGGTGCTGAGGGTGCTGAGCGCAAGCGATCTGCAGGCCGTGGACGTGGAGGCCGGGGTCGTGGCCGCGGTGGTCGTGCTCCTCGAGGCGCAAGATCCAACGTGAGTTGTCCCAATGGCATCTCGTTCCATACAATCTCTCTAACACATGGACAGGAAAATGCCGGCGCTGAAGGCACTGATCTTGCCGAGAACCCACTTCCTCTGACCGACGTCACCGCTGATGCCAACAAAGGTGAATCTACTGACCCCAAGCAAACCCGTGCTCCTCGCCCACCCAAGCAACGCGGCCCACCAGAGGACGGCATTCCATCCACCACCAAGGTCATGGTTGCCAACCTGCCATACGACCTTAGCGAAGAAAAGGTAGGATTCTCAAAGGTCCTTCTCCAATACGATTTGACTAACCCATTGTGCAGCTCAAGGAATTGTTCGCCGCATACGAACCCAGCTCCGCCAAGATTGCTCTCCGTCCAATCCCTCGCTTCATGGTCAAGAAGCTCCAAGCCCGTGGTGAACCTCGCAAGGGCCGTGGCTTCGGCTTCGTCACTCTTGCCTCGGAAGAGATGCAGAAGAAGGCAGTTGACGAGATGAACGGCAAGCAGATTGAGGGCCGCGAGATCGCAGTCAAGGTCGCCATTGACAGCCCAGGAAAGGAAGATGGCACCGAGATCACTGGTGAGAACGGTACCAACGGAACCACCGAAGAGGTTGCTGCTGCCTAAATGTCAATACATACAGCACTACCAGAGGTTCCAACACAAATGAAGGATCCGATATTCTTTTTAGCAGGGCATCTTCTTACTCAAAGAACACGGAAGGCTTAGTTGCCCTTTCCACCTTTGAAGGGTGAAGCTGGGGCTGAAGTATCGATTAGTCAAGTGAGGTTGATAGATCAGCCCTGACAAAAGTATGATTCTTGCCGACCAGGCTGTATCTTGCAATACCATAATATCACTTCTTGAAAACACTCCACACTCAATGAAATCCATATCTTGCCGGACATGTTGCACCGCTCGGTACTATAATAGTGTCGCCGTTGGTCGCGGCCTTGACTTCCTTGATATTCAAACATCAGGATCATACTTGGTCATTTGTCTTGTTGAGAGCCTCCTCCAGTAAGATTGCCACATCTATACAAGAGAGGGGTCCGTCATGAGAAGAAGAATCCACGCAATGTCCACGTTTTGCGCTTGAGATATCCCAGGCCAGCCAGCTCGGTTACCAATTTCGACATGGCCACTGAAGGTCAATGGGAGATAAGCAAATCGTGTAAAAGGCTAAGGTACTCCGTATTCGCCTGCCGAATGACTTTATTACGAAGACTATGCTCTCTCTCCACGACCACCGGGTGAGTTGCGGCCGAGTTTCTGTACGATGAGAAGACGGTTCATTTGTTTCAACAGGAAGCGCAATAATTTCTTTCTCAAGTCCTCAAACACAAATTGGCTGTCGTGAACCGGTGAACACACGTTGCTTATTATGTAACAGTATATTTCATCTGCTCTAACTATACCAGTGTTGATGGGGGATTTTCTTACCCACTGATTGACGGAGTCCTCCGAGCCACAGCTAAATTAACATTTATTTTAGTTGACGAAAATGAACCAACCACCCAATCGGTACTTCACGATATCAGTGGGTTCAGCCTGGTGGTCTGGGCTGCTCGAGGGTTCGTGCTAACGCAAAGAAATTCCGCTTTTGATGGTTTCACATATATATGAACAGTGGTTGAACCCCGCGATGGGTTCTAGGACTTCTTTTCTGTGTCTCTAAAACCGACTTTCGACACACACTCATCTTATTCAGATCTTTCCACAAAACGAGGTCATCTTGATTCGTATACCACACACATTCAATCCCCGTGCCTTCAAGATGGCGACCTCCACGATCACTCCACAACCAGTGCCGGATCCGTTATCATCGACCTACGTACCGTTCAAGTCACAACCTTCCATTCTCGAGGAGGTTGCTGCAAACCAACAACAACTTCGTGATCGCCTAGCCGGGGCGCTTTTCCGACCACCTCCAGACGTGCCGGCTGAATCGCTCCCCACGGTCCCTTTGATCGACCTTGGGCCATCGTTCGACGGGACTCTCGAATCTCGAAAGGCTGTCGCTGCTCAGATCCGTGAAGCATGCGTCTCGTCTGGCTTCTTCCAGATCAGCAACCACGGCATCACTTCTGAAGCCATGGCCGGTGTTCTCAAGCAAGCAGAACGCTTCTTCAAGGAGATGACCCAGGAACAGAAAGATGCCATGCACGTCAAGCTGTCCCCTTTGTTCCGTGGCTACGAGCCACATGATTTCTCCTATGTCAACCCGGACGACGAAGGCTCCCAACAAGAAACCAAGGAGTGCTTCAACTGGGGTTATGAATCTGCTATGGACCCGACGGGCGGCGACGGCCAGTACCGTGATCTCGACGGCTCCGCGCCCGCCGGTGAGCATTCGGGCAATATTTGGCCTCTCGAGAAAGATCTCCCGGGCTTCTACGATGCCATCAAGACATACTACGGTCAGGTAATGACCTGCTCACGGCATCTGATCCGACTGTTTGCCCTGTCGCTGGGCCTGAACGAGGACTTTTTTGACTCGCTAGTCACTCACCCCGGCGGTGTTGCCAGACTGCTCTACTACCGGGGCATCCCCGAGCCTGAAAATGCGCACCAGAAGTCTGAGGAAGATGTCGAGAACGACGCGAAACTAGGTCTCGGCGCCCACACGGATTACGAATGCTTCACTATGCTTCTCAACTCCGCGAACCCGGGGCTTGAGATCCTGTTTCCGCCCAGCCCTATCACGGGTAACAAGCCCATCTGGCGACCATGTCCGGTCCGTCCCGGTACTCTCACTGTGAACGTTGCAGATTTCTTCATGCGCTGGACGAATGGACTGTACAAGTCGACCATTCATCGTGTGGTGAGCAAGCCCGGTGGTGGCGAGAGATATTCTGTGCCATATTTCTTCAGTATAAACTACGATAGTGAGGTTCAGCCGCTGCCCGAGAAATGCGTGGGCAAGAGCCAGTTTCTGCCGATGAAGGCGGGAGAGTACGTCCTGGAGAGACTGAGAGCCACTGTTCCACAAACGGACAAGTGAACATGACCAGGGTTTCATTCTACGAGGAGGTGGAGATGAGCATGATACTATCGATGTTACTGCACGGCTGAACTGATTACAGCAGGCATTGTTCGCAATTCTACTGAGTGTCTGGCGTAACAACAGCCTTTTAGATCACTGCTGTGATGCACAGCTTCTGTATATATTTGAGAGGTGTAACGTAAAAAGGGTGGACAGTCTTGCCTGGTACGGGAAGGAGAGCTGATATGCCGTCTCAGGGCAGCATGACCAGGGGAAATCCAAGTTGTTTCCATGGGCAATCGTTGCCATTAGAATGAACAAGCGAACAACATGAGCAGTCGGAAATAAGTATTTCCGCTCTCCGAACCTCAGACGTCTAATACTTACACTCGGTAAAAAATCCTTCGTCTGCCCATCTTTCTCGGCTACATCAAGATCGCAGAACTGGCCATAAAAAAACCTGCCGCGCTCGTCTAGCAGCGCTACACTTGCACGAATGCAGCTGAACTACATCGGCTATAGATCGAGGTGCTCCAGGCCATGCCTATGAGATACCTTCGATTATCAATCCGGAGGTGTCTTCCCACCACGCCTAGGCCTCATTCTCTTTGAGAGCCGATGGGCCTCTCGGATGTAGATATCTACGTGCTATTCGGGGCCACTCTTCCGAAGCCCTACCCCGGTCCCCGCCTTCTTGGTTCTGGCCCCTTGGGATCCGGGGTAGAGCATGGCAAACCCCCTGGATAAGGCTGTTGGGGCTAAAAGGAGAAAGTAATATATGTTCGCACTCAAGCCCGGTGAGAGAGGCTTCCCCACCAGCCCTGCCCCGTCACAGCTGCCTTGACACCAGAGTTACTGAACCACCACCATGGAGGCAGACAAAGCAATCGACGTGATCTCTGGCGTAGAGGGACGCGAAGAGTCCAAGACTGACAGTCAAGCAAAGGCAAACACTTTTGAATACATCGAGGAAGAACCCGAACCACACCTCCATTTGAAGACATATTTGATTGTCGTGGTGAGTCCACCCCCCTGCAAGGCAATCCTGGCGCCGCACTCGATCGCTAATTGGTACTATCAAGGCCGTCTCCTTTGTTTCGTTTGCCCAATTGATACAACTGGTTGCAGCAGGCGCAGTAAGAGGAATACCCCAAGAATCAAGGCGAGTATATCACTGATCTTGGTGTGAAGCTTTCCGCCACCGTGGCCGAAGCAGTTGGGGGCGCAGATAAATCCAGCTGGATGCTTTCCTCGCTGACCATCACCTTTGTTGTCTTTGCGCCTCCTGTGAGCCAAGCGGCGGACTACTGGGGACGCCGGTGGTTGTTGATTATCCTTGCATTGACAGGATGTGTCGGAACCATCATCACTTCACGAGCAAAATCCGTAGGTGCTCTCGTTAGCAGGCGACGACCTGGTATGGCAGTTGACCTGATACGTGACAGATTGGCGTGGCCATTTTGGGAGAGGTATTCGTTGGTGCTTGCTATGCGGCCACGGTAAGATTTGAACGGGCAAAACAACAGTTGTCTTTCATGAGTGTTAATCTCTTTTCACAGCCTCTGCAATTTGCCGTTGCCTCTGAAGTTTTGCCTCGCAGACAGAGGCTGGTTGGACAAGCCGCCATCAATGCAGTATGTTCTTTGGGAATCCATCCTCTAAAGATTCTGGACTGACGAAACGACTAGGCCGGTGGTGTTGGGTCAATATTTGCTCTACTATCGGGCGGAAAGCTCGTCGATGTCTATGGCCCTCAAGGATACAGATATGTGAGTTTCCTGGTTGGCCCAAACACATTGGAATGGGCTTTACTGATCAAAAGTACGACAGATCTACTACATCAATGCAGGGATTTTCGCAGTAGCTGCTGCTGTCGTCTTCTTGCTCTATCGACCACCAGTACTCGAGCTCCAGAAGTCATTAACAACCCGTGAGAAGTTGAGTCGTGTGAGTTACTCATTCCACCTTGCTCGCTAATCCTACTTTTTGAACTTATGTTGAATCTTTTTAGCTGGATTGGCCTGGATATGGTATCACAATGTGTGCAGTTGTACTGTTTTCTATGGGTCTCTCTTGGGCCAATAATCCATGTAAGTGTGAAGGTACGAACCTGCAAGGTTCATAATTGCTGACCATGATACAAAGACTCCTGGAGGAACCCACATGTTTTAGCACCGTTCCTAGTCGGTATCGCCATGTTCATCTTGCTTGCGGTATACTGTTGGAAACTCAGAAAGAACAGCTTCATTCCACACGCTCTATTTTCGTGAGTTGATCCGCCGTGGACTCGTCACAACACGGATACTGACTTTGTTTGAAGCCGCGATAGGAACCTTGCTTTGTCACTGTTGGCGATATTCTGTGAAGGTCTGAGTAAGTATCTATCCCCCATAGCGACAAATTGTGCTGTTGATAGACTAATTAAGTCGTTTAGTTTTTGCCGTATGTTTTCGTGGCCAGACTCTCTCTCCAGGGGAGCCTCAGACACTAACTAATAAATCAGGCTGCGAATATCTATGTTCCTACTCAAACTGCTATACTATATACGACGACGACACTAGGCGTCTCCTTGGTGTAAGTTGCTGTCGAACCGCAGTCTGCACATCTCCTTCGATCAGGTGGTTGACTGACACTTTAATTAAAAAGCTTCACGGTATGCCTCGTATGCTATGTCCTTGGTAGCCCCATCACCGCCATAATCAGCTACAAGTTCAAGAATCTCCGCGTCCTAATCATGGCGGGCTTTGTCTTGTTCGTGGTTTGGGCCATTTGCATGGCCACGAGCTCTCTCGGTAGTGCCGGCGCCAATTGGGGCTATCAGGCCATCCTCGGTTGTGCGCTCGCTCTCGTTCTGAACCCGGTCGTGGCCAGCTCACAATTGAGCGCTCCCCCTGAGTTGATGTAAGTCGGAACAAACAAAAGTCACACATTTTTTTCTTCTGCATGTCGGCTGGTGACTGACTAATGGGATCTCAATCTATTAGTTCCATCACAAGCGGTCTCGTCGCTGGTATTAGATCTCTTGGAGTGACAATCGGCGTGGCAATCTGTAAGGATACAAAGATCTCCGGTTTCCCCCATTCTAGGGGAAACTTCTCAAGGACCACTCCGTATGGTACTCGCTAACCACGAGGAATTCACAGATGGCGCAATATTTCATTCCAGGTTCACCAAACTTATGCCAAGCAAGGTGGCAGAGGCTGCTCTGCAGAATGGTCTACCTGAAGCCTCTCTGCCATCGCTGATTCTAGCATTGCTCGGAGGTGACCCGTCCAAATTGACAACCATTCCTGGCATCAACAAGGAGATCATCGGCGCGGCCGCACATGCCTTGAAGGGGGCATACTTGGACTCATTCCATTCGGTGTGGATTGCCACCGCCTGTCTGTCTGCTTGCGGTCTTATAGGTAAGCAAGCTTTACAAATTACCATACATCGCGCGGGGTTGATCAAATGGTGGCTAACACGGAGGAAAACAGCCTCTTGGTTTATCATCAACCCTTCCAAGGATCTCAACAACCACATAGACAACCCTGCGGAATCTGAGGACGCATTATATGGCGACAAATAATGTGTGGCGCGATTGGAAATGCATCGTGAAAATACATCAAGGGACACCAGTGTAACCACGGGCGAAATGTGAGGTGGTGGCTCTTCGATAAATGGGGGACAGAGAGCGTGCTGACGGCTTTTGCACAGCAAGCAACCCGAAGGTCGTTAGGCGCAAGGAGAAGTGACGGTGGAAAGAAATCAGTTTGATGGGCTGCTAGAGCATACATTTAGTTGCCAATGAGATCGTGTGTTCTGTATATCTGGCATCCAAAAGTATCTATCTTCACCTCAACCCTTCCACATCGAAAGCTACGCCAATTTCTAATAGGAAACTATATTCCCCCCAGTTCAAGCATAGTTATCACAGGTCTGAGAGCAAGTTTGAAGGTAAAAGAGTCTCTATTGGGTCCCCTTGAAGGTCTGGAGCGAGGTTATGGTGACTATATCAAAGGCCCTAGAATAAGGAGGTGTCACCATGACCAAGTTTGACAGTTAGTGATAAACATCGCAGGCATGGCGAGAGCAATCCCGGAGAGAAAGCCAACATATCACAGCTTCGAAGTTGGTCCTGTCGTCAAATTTTCATCCTTTGCGAACTGGTAATAGTAACGAAGACTTTGAGGGTTGAGCAGCGTGCCAGAAGGTTCGATGGTCTTGCCGCTGACAATCTGCTTCACAGGTAGTTCCACCTTTTTGAGGTTCACCGTCGTCTATGATATTGTTAACAGCGTGTCAGCAAATAAACAAGCGTATCACACGACGAGGAAGGCATACCGGAATCTCAGGCGTCTCGAAGACGTACTTTGGCACATGCCTCGGGCTGTACTCCTTCCGGATGGCCTCCTTGATCGATTTGGCCAATGTCGACGTAAATCTTTGTCCGGGTTTCATCAACAGAAACAACATCACACTCTCGTCACTGTCCTGCGGTCGACGTTGTCCCACACAGATGGAGTCGGCGACGACGTCTGAAAATTTACCTTCAATGACCGAATAGATCTCGGAGCTTCCGAATCTCACTCCACTGGGGTTGAGTACTCCGTCCGCGCGGCCCAAGAACATGACTTGACCCGTGGTACTGGTGTTGATCTGAATGAAGTCGCCGTGTGTCCAACAATCGTCGAACTTTTCAAAGTAACTCTCGAAATATCTTCGGCCTCCGGACTCGCCCCAGAACGCAACCGGCATGGAAGGCCAAGCTTTGGTACAGACCAACTCCCCAGATTCGCCGTCCTTGACCGGTACACCTTTGACACCTCTACCACCTTCGATCGTCGAATCGAGGACGGAGACGGCCATACCAAGAGACAATGACTGACAACCACCGGTGTAGATTGGCAGGACGGGATTCGAACAGCCAAAGCAGCCACCGACATCTGTGCCCCCTGAAATGTTGTCGAGTTGGATGTGGCGTGGGAACCCGACATCATAGACCCATTCGAAAAGTGCGTTGGATAGAACCATGCCTGTACTCGTCATTACTTTGAGGTTGCTGAAATCGTTCTCTTCTCTCGGTTTGATTTTGTTGGTTTGTAAGGTTTGAAGATATCGAGGGCTGATGCCCAAGTGGGTGACTTTTTCTCGCGCCACCAGGCGTAAAAAGTTCCTTGGATTCGGAACAAAGGGATTGCCGTCATACATGATCATGCGACACCCAGTGAGAAGACCTTGGACGGAACCGAGGTACATGATCCAGCCCGTCGTCGTATACTGAAGTTGGCATGAGTCGTGATCCATGTCTCGATGTAGCCTACATTCCTTGTGGCCGTTGAGGACGATCCCCCCGATACCGTGGACGATACATTTCGGTTGGCCTGTGGTCCCCGACGAGTACACAATGAGGAACGGATCGGAGAAGTCGAGTTGTGCGAATTCGAGCTTCGAGGTTGTCGCTGCCGATAGGAACTGACTCCACGAGATACATCGAGGTATGGCGGTCATGTCGGCCGGTGAATTTGCCCATCGGACTTGAGCAATCACCCCTTTAAACTCCTCGATTTCCTTCATGCCGTTGACGATCTCGGCCATCTTCTGCCGTAGGTCGATCTTCTTCCCGTTGTACAACGCTCCGTCGTCCATGAAGAGCAGCTTCGGTCGAATCTGTGTCAGCCTATCCAGGATCCCTTTCACACCCATATCGGTGCTGGAACTCGAAAAGATTCCACCCAGAGCCGTCACGGCAAGAAAGACCGTGAGAGTGTCAAGCGAAGTGCTCGAGACTACCGCCACGCGATCCCCTTTTGTGATACCGTGTGCCTTCATTGCCTGCTCACAACGGCCAACCTTCTGTCTCAGCTCTTTCCAGGAGATCTGTCGGATCGGCTCCAAAAAGCTGCCCTCGCGAACCTCTGTGCAGGCGATCTTGTCGTCTTCCTTCCCGGGGCTCACCGTAGGCCTTCCTTGAGCGTCTCCACAAAACAAAATGTTCTCGGCAAAGTTCATCTTGACGCCTTGAAACCATCTTGGGATGCTATCTATTCTCGCGGTTTCGTCAACAACGCGATCCGGCACCGTCCCACTGTAGACGATTGGCAAGTAATTGAAGCAGTGCCGCCAAAAGTCCGAGATGTTATCACGGGAGTACTTGTAGAGGTCCTCATAATTCTGTAAAACTCGTCAGTGTAAATGAAACTGAAGACAGGCGTGAGACAGCTTTACCGGAAATTTCGATCCAGTCACCTTCTCCATACTCTTTAGGAACTTCCACATCTGAGTAGACTCGGGGTTGTGGTGCTCCCATAGCTTTCTCGGTATAACTTCTCCAGAGGCCATTCTGTATTCTTCTTGTTTATCACATGGACCGCAGTTAGTAATTCTATGCTCTGACACTGGACGAATCGACAGGCTTGCAAATGAAGCTTTCTCTCATCCTTTGTGGTGGCAACCCTGGGCCTAGGGTCGTTACTCGAAATGGACGCTAGTGGCATACCGACATCAACCTTCCCCTGAAAAAGCCTCTCGTGGCCCGATCTCCTGGAGCAGATGGAACTTCATGCTGGCTTGAGGGCATCCGAGAGGGTTGCCGAGCGAGCAAATTCACAGGTCAGAGCATCCAGGTCTCGGGAGGGTGGTCGGGCTCGGGACAGTGGAGAAAAAGACCCACCGAATGACCATGCGACTTTTGCGTCTTCAAAGCGCACCAACTAGTTTTGGTGATTGGCATGCTCTTGCAATGGCTCTACGAGCTCTGACAAAAAGCACTGGTCGTCTCACACGAAGCAATCAATTGCTTAACAGGAACAATTCTACTCACGGATGATGGTGTTGTGTCCCCGTTGACAACAAGGATGTTTTTCACTTTACTTGCCGCCACAGGCCTGGTCCTCCTCGCGGTCGTTGTCAGGCGGATTTGGTTCCATCCTCTGTCATCATGTCCCGGCCCATGGATCGCGAGGTTTACGGATTTTTTGGACCTTTATGCCATCGTCAAGGGTTCGAGGACGTTCAGGCATCATGACATGCTACTGCGCTACGGGAGCCCCGTACGCGCCGGCACAAATCACCTCATATTTTCGGATCTTCAGTCGTGGACGGACATCTACGGGCCCAGTTCGAATCCGTGCCTGAAAGATCCAACGGTCTACGAAGGTTTCAGCGTGCTCGGAAACCCAAACCTTTTGAGCACCACCGACCGCGCCATCCATGGCCGTCTCCGGCGTCTGTTGTCCCACAGCTTCTCGCTGCGAGGGTTGGCCGATTCGGAACCACTCATCGCCGAAAAAGTGCAACAATACGTCGACCGCACCGTGGCCGGCAACCGCGGCAAAGAGGTCGACATGCTATCCAGGACTTACGAGCTGTACCTCGACATTGTCAGTTGGCTGAGCTTCGGTCGGTCTTTTGATTGTCTAAAAGGTCAAAACCTGACGGCGCGTCGAGACATTTCACATTATTTCAGCGTCGTCCCCTTGGTCGCTTTCGTGCCTATCGCACGCTACGTTCCTCTGCGAGGGATCCAAGAAGGCCTCGCGGGCTTGAACAGACTGATCGAGTTCGCCTCTGTAAACGTCGATGCGTTCCTTGAGAAGAGTAATTATCGATCATCATCGTCATCATCAGGGAATATCGTCGACAAGACCGACAGCAGCAGCCAGGAAGGGACTCTTCTCAACAACTTGGCCAAAGCCGTCGACCCCGATACAGGGTCCAAGTTGACCAGAGAGGACTTGATCGAGCACAGCATTCTGTTTCTCGCCGCGGGCTCGGGCACGACCTCTGCGACATTGACATTCTTACTGTGGGAGTGTGGGAGGAACGAAAAGATCAGAGGTCAATTGGTCCAGGAGATCCGGGAAGCCTTCCCCGACCCGGAGGTGATGCCAAACTATGAGAGAGCATCTCAATTGGTAAGTATCCAGTAAAACACACAGACCCGAACCAATTTCTGTCCCTATTGCTTGAAAAAAAAACACATTGCATCTCTACTGACACTAAAATTCGTCGACAATACAGGTATACCTCAAGTGTGCCATCTCCGAAACCCTCAGGCTATGGGGCCCCCTCAACGCCTCGGGACCGCGCCTGTCTCCCGGAAAGATGATCAGCGGCCGTTTCGTCCCCAAGGGGGTCCTCGTCGAGACGTGTACCTACACGACAGCTCGAGATCCGGCTGTCTTTCCCAACCCACTCACCTTCGACCCGTCACGCTGGGAATCCCCGACCCCCGAGATGAAAAAGATGTCTCGCCCCTTCAGTTACGGTCCTCGAAATTGTATCGGACAGCACTTGGCGGAGATGGCCTTGACGCTGACGGTGTGTCGGCTGTATCAGCTCTACGATGTCATTCCTACCCCCGCCATGGACACCGATTTCATGCGGCAGGAAGACAACGGCGTCCTGGAACCCAAGAACAAGACTTTCTACGTGACGCCGTACGAGGCTGACCGGAAACGTTAATTGGAAACCTCTAAATTGATACTTGTTCACACATTTTGATATAGAGGAGCGAGCCTGTTTCCTTTTGTTTTCACTCAAAAGTTGTGTCTTGGACACTCCCAATCACACCTAACTGGGGAACGCTATTTCAAAAGCGATAGGCCACCGGTTACCACGGATGCATGAATCTGGGTGTCTATACGTGTGTAGATTAGGGAGTAGTCTGGAACACTGACCCACCACAAGAAGAGTCCTGAACCTATCTGTGCGCGAGGAAACCGAAGATACATCTCCTCTCCAACCATATACATGTACTATACTCCGTACTAAACATTGATATAATTCTTGCATACATACTCATTCATACATGCACATTCCCGCATACCTACCTACCTAATCTTCGGTGAGTTTCCGGCGGCAAATTTTCGAAAATCCCTGCACGAGTCGAGACACCTCGCTTGTCGTCCAGGGAAGAATCTGAGAGCCCCAGTTACCCTTGATGAGGTCGTTTGCGAGATCAGACACCGAGGCTGGCTCGATGAGAGGTACAAAGTGGTTGGCCAAACTCGTCACACCTGGTTGGCCGCGCGACAACCTCAAAAATCTGGTGACAACAGAAGTCTCTTCTCCGTCCAGCACGACCGAAGACGACACGATGCTGGTGTTACTGTTGGTTCCTCCTCTTGCATCTAGTGATAATCCGGCATGCTGTTGCTGCTGCTGCTGACGAACAGTCCTTTGCATCAAACCCCACACCCACATGGTTTCGGTGGCATGGTAAAGGGCAATGACGGAAATGTCGGACAGCATCCCCGGTCTGAGACTTTTTGTGAAGCGAAAGATTTGTCCCGCGTGCCAAATGGCATGTTGGGCTTGCTGGCTCTCGAACCACCACTGGACATAGGGTTTCGCGGCTTGGGCGTCTTCCATCGTCCCACGACCTGAATACGCCGAGATGTCATAGTAGGCCGCGTTGAGGTGCAACAGAATCAGCTCCTGCAGGAGCACAATCTCCGTGCGCAGGTGTTCTACCTCGGCGAGCTCCATTTTCAACTGCTCCAGCAGGGAAGTCAATTCTGCGTGTCGAGATTTCAGCACGAAATTGTTCCAGTCCTCCACACCGGATTGAAGAGCTTCCATCTGGCGATATTCGTAGACCAGACCCCAATACCCGGCCAACAAGGCCGCGGCCGCCGCGGAAGTGTCGACGATGTTTCGCTCGGCTTGATGGATCAGCTTCGGTTCGCGCAGGACACGTTTGATGGCGTGTGGCTGATGGAGTCTGAGCTGGTCATCTCGCATCAAGACACCGTGCCATTCGTCGGCCGTGGCGGCGTCCCACAGCTTGCCGCTCGCCGGAAGCGGGGTGGCAATCTCTGAGTACGCGAACAGAGGGTTGAGTTTTCTGGAGAGGGACACCTCGGCGTCGTGTAGCATGGCAAAGTAGACCAGCCTCGTCCACGACTCTTGCGCCGCCCACCTCAACCATTGCTGCTGGAGAGAGAGCCCCTCAAGTGACAAGAACGCCTCCGGTGGCTGGTAGTTCCCAGCTTGAAACATTTTCCCCCTACGAAGGATCGTGGCCCCAAGCATCGAACTGCTCTCTGCCACTTCGATTTTTGCGCTGATGCCGCTCCAATACCCTAAGTACAGTTGAATGTAATAAGCTTGTGCCATGCCAAGCTCGCGTACCGAAGCACGCTCATCTTCGAGCTGGAAAGTTGTTGTTAATACATAAAGACATTGATGGACGGAGAGAAATACACTACCTTTTGGTTTACAGCGAGCCTAACAAGTTCTTGCATGGCGTATCCGAATTTCCGCATAGTAGCTGACGGCAAACTGACCGCACCGTACGCCAAGAGAGCACCTAGGAGCTCGGGGCATTGTTCATTGATATCGAAAGAGGCCAGGTGTATGAAGGGAATCATCTGTTGCTCTTGTAGATGTAGTAAAGCATGGTGAATCATCGCTTTGAGGACATCGACTGACTCAAATGTCGTGCCCAGGCGCTCCCAAATCGATCTCGAAGTCCTCGAGTAAATCATGGCCAGGATCCTATCCCTCGTACTGAGAGTCATGTCATCCAGTTTCAGTGCCAGGTGACTATCATGTACTGTCGACGACAAGACTTCCGACCTGACATTCGACGGTAGCTGCAGGCTTTCGGTCTCTGAGTTGGTGTCCCCAGGCGTCGGATTCCATCCCCTCCGGACGTTAGACCCTTGGTATGCTTCTGTGCCCATTCCCATCACAGGCGATTCAAGGGTTGTAGAGTTGGACGAATCGTGGTTGTTGATGGACTGGGCCGCAGGTGTCATGGCGAAATCCGGGTAAAGAGCCAAATCGAGGTCTCCGAAATTCGAGTCTATATCTTGCTGGATGAAATCCCCGAAGCTTGGTAGATCGAACGTGCAGCCCAAGACGTCGAGAGACACGACATCGTGTGATGAGCTCAGATTTTCCATGTGATTCATCGGATGATTCAAATCACGAGGATCGAACGTACAGTCCAGGACGTCGAGGGACATGGCATCATTGGATGAGCTCAGATTTCCCTCCGTTCGAGGCACCGGTAGGCCGAACATCGGTTGGGAAGAGGTCGACGCTTCAACATGATGTTCGACACTTGGTTGTCGCTGTACCCAATTCCTCTCCGGACTCACAGGAGTGTGGTGAGAATCTGAGCCTGCGACCGGGACTGATAAATTATCCGCCGTGTTCTCTTCAACCACCATTTGCGACTGGTCTTGCAGAGGCTCCGGTTCTGGACTCTGGTCGTATTCGCATGCGATGTTTTTGGCTGAGCACCTCCGGCAGGGTTTGCTGTCTGTACACTTGAGTTTCTTCAGAGCACACGCCCGGCATGCCTGTCGGACTCTTGGAGCGTATCTTCCAGAGGCCTGCGAACCATCTTGAATCTGAGACGTACTTGCACCATAGTCCGTACTGTGATGAGCTAAAGAATGTCGTTTCAGCAAGTCTTGCCTGGCGAACGCCTTGCTGCACACGGCACAGACAAACGGCCGCTGTTTTGTGTGCGTTCTTACATGGCGTATAAGGTGGTCTGGGCGGCTGTAATGCTCCTGACATATGCCGCATTGATACGCACTGGTTCTTGGGGGTGATAGAGTCGTCATTGTAGTTGATCAATTTCAATCGGACAGTGATACCGTGGCAATAGCGCCCCTCTCTGTTCGCATCCGAATGTTGAAAGAGTGAAGTTGCGAGAGCTCGCTCCAGTGTCTCAAGGCTTTTCCCCACGATGGTCCCCGTTCCCCAATAAAGACTAGGCCCTTCATGATTTGAGTGGGTCAGCTGCTCTTGAAGGATTTCTGAGTGCGAAATTCTCCGCATCTAGACCATACGAGTGGCGAGAGCCATGTAGAGGATTGGTAACTACTGTATGTACGCGTCTTCTCGATTGCGACACTAAGCCATGACACGGTGGAAGGAAACAGTATTGACAGGTCTACTCATAAGAGGGCAGCGACAGAAGCCTCCGTGTTCCTTGCAACGATACCTAACACTTGCAATACTCATAAGAAGATACCAAAGCTGTCAGTGAGCCAAACACCGAAGTGACATCTACATTTCTGCTGAACCGCACAGCACTCCCTTGGTGAGATATGGCTATTCAGTTCAGTAGGAATGACGCTCAGTGTGACCACGCTTGACAACTGGGCCTTCCTACCGCTCGGTAACGAGCGGATGGCATCGTCGGAATGATGGGCCACTTCCCGAATGTCAGGTCATCTCCAAATCATGGAAAGTATCGAGACGGCCCTAATAGGCTGGCACATTGCTTTCAGGCAGCAATATTGTTTACTAAGTATCTCGACAGAATTCATTGTCTGAGCAACAACAAAGTTGGCACAAAGCCATCTGAGCACTCAATAAAAGATGGCGCCAAGCGACATGTGTATCACGAGTGTCGAACCTCTCCATGTAGGCCAATTTATGTTTGTGCGGATTGTCACCGACCAGGGTGTCGTCGGATACGGCGAGGCAGGTATATGGGGTCACATCACTACCGCTGCAACTGCCATATCCAGGTTTGCCGAGTATCTGGTCGGGAAGAGAGCTTTCGACATTGAACATCACTGGAATGTCATGCACCGCTTCAGCTATTTCCAAGGACTGGCCATCAATGCCGCCATTTCGGCAATCGACATTGCGCTGTGGGACATCAAGGGGAAGGCTCTCGGGGTGCCCATCTACGAGCTGCTCGGAGGGAAATGTCGTACCAAGGCTCGAGTGTACGGACACATTTATGAAAATTCAATCGAAAAGGTACTCGCCGAATGCAAACGGAAAATGGACTGTGGCTTCACGGCATTCGGTCACATCAACCCCTTTCTGGACGAGGGTACGGATAAAGTCTGGTTCAAGACCCACATCAAGAAGATGAAGGACGCCGAGGAAAACGTCAGGCGGATGCGCGAAGTGGTGGGCGACAAGGTCGATTTGCTCATTGAATTGCACCGTCGTCTCACCCCCGCGGAAGCAATCACCTTTTGCAACAATATCAAAGATACCTATCCCATGTTCGTCGAGGACCCTATCAGACCGGAGAGCGCCGAGGCCATGGCACGCGTGGCTGATAAATTGTCAGTCCCAATCGCGACGGGCGAGCGGTTTGGTACCATCTATGAGTTTCAGAGTCACTTGTCACTAAACGCGTTGGAGTTTGCCCGCGTGGATGTGGCCCTCTGCGGCGGCATCACAGGCGCGAAAAAAGTCGCGGCCATCGCCGAAGCTCACAACGTCCAGATTGTTCCTCACAATCCCCTTTCACCCATTGGCCTGGCTGCCTGTCTGCAGGTGGCCGCCTCGGTGCCAAACTTTGCTATCCAAGAGTACGCGACGGGCTTCGAGGCCGGAGCCTTCACGTCGACGATGCAACACCTCGGCAGTGACATTGTCGACCATTGCCCTCCCGTCATAGAAGGGTTCGTCGACATTCCTACTGGACCGGGACTTGGAGTCAACTTGCGAGAGGATGCGACCAAGATCCGTCCTCCACTGACACAACCTATCAAAATGAGACCGCACAGAGATGGCTTTGTAGTCGACCAGTAGGAAGTAAATAGATCTCTCAGAGAGTCTCAGATGGCATATACCTATGACTATACAAAAGTATGTTCTCTTCTTCTCGGTCTTCTCGCATTAGGCTTCTTTCCTCCTCTATGTGTCGCTACGCAATGCTTGATCAAGTCCCTCTAGCAACACATAAAGTGTTTCAAGCCGGGGAATGTGTATGCCTTTTTCTCCTGCAATCTTGACAATCTCCCCTACTATTGCTTGGACTTCCATCGGCCGCTCCTCCAGGGCGTCAGACATCATACTCGGCTGGACTCCTGGTGGTGGCCTTGACAAGGTCCTCGACAGCTGCGCTTCTACCACGTCCGACGTCACAACATGCGAGTAGCCTGCACTTGCTGCGACAGCCGCGATCTCTAGCATGACCTCTCTGAAAATGGATATTGCCAACGATGACATCTCCACGAGCTTACGATCTCGACACCTGGACAAGGCACAGATGGGATTCACCGTGCCGTTGGCCACAATCTTGCACCATCTTTCGGCCTGGACATCGTCATGAATTCTGGCTGTGGCTCCTCCTTGACGGACGAGCTCGGCAAAATTCACCAGTGGTGGTGGTTTCGACGACGAAGATGGTGCTGCTAATGATGATGATGATGATGATGATGGATATAGACCGAGATGTAGGATCTCCACTTCCGAGTGCACAAATACACCCGGGGAAACCTGAGTAGTTGGCAAATATGTAACCCCAGAAATTATGGTGGTTTCTGGAAATGCCTTGTGGAACGGCTTTTCGACACCCAATCCATTCTGGATGAGGACTATCGACGTCTGCTTCGATGTAAGAACAGACTTGATTTGCTGAATTACCGATTTGGTGACCGAATCCGTTGCCTTTGTAGATACAACCACGAAATCAAAAGGCTCGTCCGCTTTTGAAACGGCTTCCTCCACGTTTCGAACCACCATCGGTCGGGCTTGCAGATCGCCGAAAATGGACGACGAGATCTTCAACCCGCGCGTCTTGACTGAGTCATAGTTGGACCTGCATACGCAAGTAACTCGAGCCTGATCTACTCGGGACAACAGGCAGGCGTAGACCGCCCCGATACACCCAGTTCCCAACACCAGAACCTTCGACATTTGGAACGAAATTCGAGTGGTGTCGGCTCTGGGCGAAAGACGGACTAATTCAAAAGAGCTAAGAAGGCTGTGAAGATATGCTCAGACAGGGCTGAATTTGTCGAAGGTAGCGGACTGTACAAAACAGAGCTCAAGCTTGCTCAGCAAACTCTGCTGCTTTCTGTGTCCTCGGGGTTCATGCTCTCAGCCTATGCCGGAGACTGCACAATTCGTCCCAACAGAAGCGCGATCTGGCCTTGCAATTCAGACAAGGCTTGTACAACATCGACTCGCACATAGACTTACCAAATCGGCTTTGCGCTGGAGCCGCCCGCAAACCCGAAGCCGACGACACAGTTTCATGACTAGGTGAGTCCCAGAAGTTTGGCTCACAATTGTGACAAAGTAGTAAAACGCTAGAGTCAGTAGCACATGTCTCGTCCTGGATGCGGTTTTATGGCGGCTCACACTTGAAAGACATTTAAAATCCTCTGTGCGAGTCCCCGAGCGTCAATAATGAAAAACCTTAAAGGCACGCAGCGACGAACAACTGGCCCCTTTTTGGAGAGACATGTGTGAAGTATTCTCACAGCAGGACAATTCGAAGTTGTACATGTTATGATCTCCCCTGAAGTAGCTAAGCAAATGATTTCCAACCTAGTCCTCAAATCTTCTTCGACTTCCAGAGATGTTTCATCAAGACCACAGAGCCACCTGCTGCCACGGCGACAATTGGGAGGAGGTAGAATACGGCGCCTACTAGCAGACCTTGTGTAAAGAAGTTCATGCTGCTGGGATTGGGTTGACCAGTAGATTTCAGTGGCCGTAGCGAGGACTGGTACAGTCGGTCCAAGCTTCTTCGAGAGGAGTCACCTGTCAGAAGATCCGCTAACATTAACCCATCTTCCTTTGGGTGAACGAACTGAGGGCTCGGAGATTCAATCATGACGCGGGTGTAAAGGGATTCTGGGGAGACTGGATGTCCGATAGGGGCACCAGGCCAAACTATATGGATATGTTAGTAGCGAAAGCAGTTGAGAAGTCTGCTTCACAGTCAAGGGGCGTACCTAGAATGTTGGTCGGAATGTGGTTCACAAAGCTGACTCTGGTGCGGATGAATTGACTCAAATATTTGGCCGCCGATGGATCTGCAAAGACATAGAGAGCGAGTAGTGCCTTTTGATTCGTACCGTTTATTGCATCGATTGCATCGTCGAGGCTGCTGGTTGCTAATAACTTTCCCGACCGAGCCCCTGAGACTTGGTGGACAGGTTTCCAAAGCTCGTCCCTAGAAATGGATTTCCATTATCAGTGTATGCAATTTTGGGTATGATGGGAGAGCCATCATACCTATTAGAGATCTTTATCAGTTGAAAGCCAGGAGCCTCCAACACAATCTCATCAGCTAATGCTGGAATGTCTTCCTTTGTAACACATTGGGCAGTGTGTGTCTTGTCGCTGGAGTCTACTTTCTTGATGGAACTTCTGTACTGTCGCGAAGCGTACCTGCGGAGTTTATCCAGGAATTCGGTTTCCACAAACTCGTTGACGAGAATATAGCTCGGCGCGTATGGGCTTCTACCGGAGAAGGCTATTCTGGACTTGAGAATCTCTTGTGCAGCTTGATCAACATTCGCTGTTCGGTCCACGATCGCAACGGCGGCGGCTCCGGTCTCGCTGCTTATCAATCTTTGCATACCAGCAGCTGAGAAAGTGCCGGTCTGGTCAACGACTATGCAGCGAGAGAGAATATCGACGGGAGGTCGTCTGCTGACAGTGGCGAAGGCAGTGTTGTCTAGCGCTTCCCGAAGAGCACTCCGTAAAAGACGTGTGCTCGCTCGTAGATCATTCGGAAGCTATGAAACGGTGAGCCGAACTTCCTTCGATGATACTCCACGGATTTCCCTAACCTCGACCAGACAGCATGCGCCAGCAGCTATGCAAGCATGCAGGATACTGAAAACGTTGGGGACAACGACCCATCTCTCCGGAATCACATAAACTAGATCTTCTGAAACCATTCGTGCTGCGTTGTCTCGACCAGTTTTGATGCTATACTCGTTATCAAGCTCACTTTTCAAGTCAAGCGAGTCATAGAACTCCCTCAACTTATTTGACATCAGGATGATGAGAAATTGAGCTTCGAGCTCTGATAACCCGTCGTCTGTCTGCAGTGCGACTTGTATCTCGGAAGAGTGCTGTATAATCCATCCGTGTAGTGCTTGAAACTGTCTCTGTCGGTATCGCAAGTCTTTTGTGCGCCCATCCTGGGTAGTACTCAAGACAAGTTGGATGTTTTCTGTGCTCATGCCTCCTGATCCACTACAGGGTGTTTCTGAGTTCTTCTGATAGTGTGCACTGAGAATCTAGCCGATGTTCTCCTCACAACTCATTTGTATCTTATAGTAATGTCTTGCCGGGTATTGAAATCTCATAGCGGCAGGATGGAGGCGTGAGGGCGCCATTGTTATGTCACATGAAGTAGGAACGGCCCTCCTGCCGAGCCCCTCCACCTGGCCCGGAGCGCAGTAATGATCGGGTCAGTACTTGCAGGCTGGATAGTAAAGGACACTAATCGAGAAATAGAAAGTCGACATAGACGCCATCGTCATCTCAGTCCTTCAGTTGAGACTTCATCAAGCATTGTTTGCGAGGTACTGCGCAACAAAATGTCTGTGACCAGCTCGAGTCAAACTGCAGCGCAACAGGCGATTACGGCTTCAGCAAGACTCGTTGGCGGAGATACGGCAGCAAGTGCGATTGAAACTGGCGAGCTCCCTTCCACGCCGCAGACAGACACTCACAGCACTCGAAGCTCTGCTGAGAATCCCGCTTGGTGGCCGACAGACCACCGCCACATACCCAGCTACTTACCCGTTCGGTACCACCCAGAGTGGCACGCACTTTCGGGGGGTAGCAGAGCGGCAGACTTGTTCATTATTGTACTATTCAAAGGTTGTGGATACATAGCGGTACGCAACGACTCCGAAATCTCACAATCTTCATGGACTAACGGCTCTTAAGATGGTCGATGCCATCAAGAGAAAACTCGGCTTCGGCAACAGCTTCAAAATTTCTGGGGAATGGTAGAATCGGTTCGCCGAATTTGGAGTCCTGAACATTGTAAAGCTGCATGTGCAGGCAGAAGCAGGAGTGGAAGGACGAGAATAAGACGCCGACAGAGTGAATTCACATTCCAGCCCAAGAAACAATTTTGTCTCCCAACGCTCATGGCGGCTTCACTGAGCGTAATCTATGGTTATCCTAACGCCTTGAGAGCCCCTGGGAGAGCCCCTGCTCTTCTCATCTCATCGCCAAAATCTCGTATTTTTCAGGTATCAGAGGACTCTTCTGCCCTCCACTTCGTAAACCTACCTATGTACTTGCATCGGCACCTGTTCGCAGACATAATAAGCAATTGCTATATTCGCTCTCCATTGCATAAGCCTACTGAACCACACCTAGCTCTAAGTCATCGTACACTCTGTCATGTGGTGACGAACCCCTCCAACATGGATCACACCAGGATAGTCAACGCCACCCCCAGTGTGGGTATCCGAGACCGATATGTCGGCCCCAATAATCGCCCACCTAGAGTGTTCCGGCTTCGAACCGAACTTGACACACTGACGTGCGGGATAAGGGAGTAGCTTCAAGTTGATTTTTATAACCCTTGAGCCAGCTTCTGCTTCGCCTTTCGGAGCTTAAAGCCTGGGTGGAGAATTCCTCTCGCTGTCCCTCTACTTGCTTATGTTGTCCAGCAGAGAATCCGATAATCATGAATGAGTCCCCATTGTTTCCACCAGTTCTACTATTGTCCCATGGGACTACGATGCTCGCTGGAGAGCAGTCCAATGTGCGCGATTACTGGCAATATCACGGTCGGAAGGCCGTTCAACACCCCGTCAAAGGGGTCATTATGATGGTGAGTCCAATTGAGAATGACCAGAGCCTACTTTGAATTGATACTGGGGAACAGGGTGCTCATTGGGACGTTGGCGGACGTAAAGTTCACATTGCAGCCAATCCCAACCCAAAACCAGAACCGGTTGGATTGGTCATACAATCAGAATGGACTCGGCAAAAGGCGAATACAGATGTACAAACGGCGCAGCGGTGCGTCAACATGCTCAAGGACGCTGGGTTCGAGGCGGTGCTAGACACTGAATTCAATTGGCTCATTGACACCTTTCCTCTGCTGTCACGGATGTTCCCTGATGGGATACCACCAGTTACCATTATCTCACTCAATTCCTACTTCGAGCCACACTTCCACCTCGAGATCGGACGCGTTTTGCGTCCCTTGCGCAGGGAAGGTTATCTATTCATCGGCTCAGGCGGTGGCGTTCACAATTTGTATCGCACGGAGTGGAAATACAATGCCATATACAGGGATAACTTTGCTCAAGATCTTCCCCCAGATGCCACCCATCTCGAATTCAGACAGGCTCTGGAAGATGCTATCTGCAAGAATGGAGGAGGACCAAAGCTGAAGAGAGCTGTTATACGTCTCATGAAGCATCCAAACTATCGAGATGCCCACGGCACCGATGATCATTACATGGCTACTTGCTTCGTGGCTGGAGTTGTCGGCGAGGAGGAAGATCGAAGAGACAAAGCCGTCTTGGGGGCGGAGGTGTGGGAACTCGTAAGTTTTTCCGCAATGTCTACACACTGATTAAGATTCCTGAATGTATGCTGACGATGTAAATGTAGCGAAATCAAGCCGAAACCCAGTTTTGTATAGGTGAATGGCCTCAGGGGATCGAGTCGTAGTTGCTGTATAGCCCCACTTTTCTACTCACATACCTTTCGTAGGGACTTCGTTCCCATTGTAACGCAGGTCTAATGAGAGCAGAATAGCTAGAAAATAACTTCAGCCTTCCAGACAACGTCCTGGGGGGCGTATTCGATCAATTCCGGACAAGAAGCCCAGGATTGGATCGAAGTTCGGGAGCTGGCCCAATCTCTCCGCTGGGGGAGTTTGTAACCCGAGCAAGTCTTGCTCTCATTGACGTGTCCAAAGCTCGGAACCCCACCTCTCAGTCGGGAATCTCGTTAATCCTACTCAAACTCATGGCTCGTGGCATCAATCCCATGCTCAATCGTGTTTCATTCACATGATTCGGGCCGACGGACCCCCTTTGCCTGAATAAGTGTCGGCTCGTTGGGGTATCCAAGATTCAACGGACGATCTGTTGATATGTATTGAGGGCTCAACGAGGCCTCGACAGGTGAAGGAGTATATGGTGTTATACATCCTTCTGCTTTCTGAAACTTGTGAACCTATCAAAGCACAAAAAACCCGACCCTCGTCTAGCCATTGAGTCAGCATCATCATGTCTTCTTCTCAAGACGCCGCCTCGAATCCTCCCGAGAGGAGCGGAGGCCTTCCCCCACCAGCCAGATACATCACGACCCACCGAGCCGATGGCAAGTCAATCTTCCAGACAGATATCCCCGACGCCGTCCCTGCTCAGGCTATCAGGCCGGAAGTAGATTTTCGCCTGGTGTACACGACTTCGGAATCTCCGGTATCTCTGCAAGGCGATGGCGACATTCAGAAATACCGGGCCTTTCTCGAGGGGGAGAAGCCAGGTCTTATTATCAAGGGAGGTACGGTTGTGAGGATATGTGACTATGCCCCCGGCGGCCCCCCAGCGATCATGCACAGGACGATGAGTTTGGACTATGGAGTCGTGCTCGTGGGCGAGGTGGACGCCATACTCGACTCCGGCGAGGTGAGGCATTTGAAGGCCGGCGATATCGTGGTTCAAAGGCAGACCAATCATGCGTGGGTCAACGCGAGCAAGGACAAATGGGCGAGAATGCTGTTCATCCTACAAGAAGCGGTACCTCTGACCATTGGCTCAGAGACCCTGGCTGAGGATTATGGAGAGATCAAGGGAGTCGCACCAAGCACTTGAGGGATAGCGTGAGGACATGAGCTGCAAACCAAAGACCTAGGCTCTAGCTTTTCGTCTTCGGAGGTCGAAATGCAGGCAGAAGACTACTGCAATAAAAATCCCCGTACCCAGCACAGTCTTCCTTAGTGAGAAACCCCAGACCATCACATGAGATAGGTCTGTGATAGCTAGTAGATTTGCGTTGGAAGGACATTGGAGCTAGGTCATGGCTGTTTATGTCACTATGGCCACTTTCTGTCTACCTGTAACAAATATCCTTCTTCTTTTAACCGGAGAGCAACACCGTCCCACCCCGTCCAGGCGAGCGGAAGAGGCGTACGGCCTCAGTGATTGATGACATGGGAAACTCCCCGGCGACCTTGAAGAAGTCTCGATTGTCTCTGACCATTTGAATGAGCCTGGGTACGTCGGCAGACCGGGTTTCGTAAGGCAATTGCGTCCAGTGGACCATGCCGATGCCACACACCGTCTTGGCCGTCATACAAAGATGGACGTGATCGACTGGGATCGGTTCTGCTGTGAGCGATCCATAGCTGACGAGGGTTCCTCCCGGTGACAAGAGACCCAACACATCCTCTCCAATCTTGCCACCCACCGCGTCGAGGCCCACGAAGATTTTGCGACCGGCGGCAGCCTTGCGCACTTCTTCCTGCCAATTCTCGTCGTCGTAACCGATCACGGGGTTGCCGGTGGCTTGTTGTAGTGCCGCCGCCTTGGAGGAAGAGCGAACCAGGCCGATGATGCTGAAACCTTTCGCCTTGAGGGTTGTTGCGGCCAATCTGGCGACCGTCGAACCGGCGACGGACACCAGGATTACCCCTGGCTCGGTCTTGGCGATCCTCAAATCTTCGACAACATCCTCAAGAGCACCGATGCGAAGCACGTCGGTCTTTTGATTCGCGGCAATCTTCTCGACGAGCCGCACGAGGGCCATAGCGGCGATGGGGTTGATGAATATCTGGGCGGCGAGATCATCTTCCAAGTCCATGGGGACCGGTGTCACAAAGTCCGCAGACACCAGGATCAGTTCCTGCCAGGTCCCCACCGCGAAGAAAGACACTCTGTCTCCGACGCGCAACCCTCTGGAATCGTCGACGCCAGGTCCGATGGCCTCGATCGTGCCAACACCTTCACACCCAGCGCTGAATCCTGACGCGGGAATCGGCCGCTTGATTGGATCGTGGCCTCCATCGACCATGAGCAGATCCCCGTTGTGAATCGGCCGTTTATTGACTCTGACGAGAACCTGTCCGGAACCCGGTTCTGCCGGCTCTGGGCTCCTCTCCAGCTTCAGAACGTCCAAAGGATTGCCATACTTGCGGAAAACGACCCTGTCCATCATCTTGACTCCCGACAATACTCCAGGCATTATTGTGCTGCAACGACCTGAGGGCACAATTGTCTGTGAGATGAATGTCTGTTTACAATTTGGTCGGCTTTAGCCCAGTCAAACCACCTTTAACGTGATACTCGAGAACCTTGACCCTCTCGTCGGCCAGTCACCTTAGGTACCCCTACCATTTCGGTGCCTCGGGCAGAGGATGATGTCGCAGGCCATGAATGTTATGTGGGGCCGAGCCCGATACCCCGGACCAAAGCTAAGCTAAGAGCCGCTGCGGCCATCCTTCCGAGGTGAATCATCATGCCCGGGTTGTCGACAGTCTTTTCACACCATTCTTTGTCTACAGAGGATGGGCGAGCTAGCTGTAGGTCCACAAATTTTGGTATAGGAATGTTTACATTCATGCCCTGGATTCCGCTCGAATGTGTTTTGCGGTCTTCATTCGTGCGTCAATTCATTGCTAACCTTTGAGACTTGAGAGTATGGGCAATTCCACGCAGCACTCCGCTTCAGGCGCAAACGGCGCTGGCCATTTTGAGACGGATGATTACTACAAACCGTTTCCCCCCAACTATTTCGCCCCAAAGGCTGGCGATCAACAGTTGAACATTGGCATCGTCGGAGCCGGGATAGCAGGATTGACAGCTGCTGTTGCTTTGGTACAATCAGGTCACAACGTGGAGGCATGTTCATCAACACCGTGAGAGAGTGAGAGAGAGAATGTGAACTAACAGTTCGACCATATGTAGATCTTCGAACGGTCCAAGTTTGCAAATGAAATTGGAGCAGCAATTCACATGTGTCCGAACGCGACGAGAATATTGTCCTATTACGAATTTGATTATGAAGGCGGACTGGCAACTCCTCTTCAAAAAGTGAAGATAACCACCTACACCCTACCTCGCCTCCCCCTTTCCCCTGTTATGCATGTGTGTGTGTGTATGTGTGTGTTGCAGCGGCGCTGACTCAACCATATACTCAGATGTCCTTACTTGATGCTCATACACTTGATGTCTTGAGGAGTGTCGCTGTACCAGACACTAGACAACGCTACGGCGCCCCATGGTTTCTCTTTCATCGAGTAGATCTACACTTGCAACTCAAGAAGCTGGCCACCGAGCCTCGACCCAACACCAAATCTGTCGCCAAGATCAATTTGTCGTCCGAAGTTGCAGACATAGACCTTGAAGGGGCCGTTAGTCTCACAAATGGTGAATGCGTGAAGAAAGATCTGGTCGTCGTTGCAGACGGCGTGCGAGTGAGTGGCACTATTCTTCATTACCCCCGGCTACGGAAGGTGTAAAGTTGTCAAACATCAAGGCATACACAATGCTAAACAATACCTCCCAAAACTGTGTAGAGCAAATTCCCATCAAAAGTCGTGGGCGAAGGAGTTCCAACACAAGCCAGTCCTACTGGGACAGCAGTTTATCGCTTCTTAATTCCGACAGAGAAGCTCCTACAAGATCCCGAAACCCGTCCTTATTTCGAAGGAGGGGGGTTTCACGGCAGTATCGCAAGACTGAAAGATGCCAGACTCGTGTGGTATCCATGCCGCCGGTATGATCTGATATTACCCTTCGGTTCCTTCATTGACAAGTGCTCCTCTCGGGACACATCGAAGAAGACCCTTTTTTATTGACTCGACATTATCTTTTGTAGGGGTGCATTACAGAACTTTGGGTTCTTCGTCCCGGATACAATCACCGGATTCGACGATGAAGGTATGTTTAAAAAAACCAGTTAGGGACCGCACCAATCCATTTTCCTGTTTACAACACAACGTTCATTGAACTAACTGACTGACTCTTGTGTTGTTGTTGTTGCCGTTCGTGTATAGTTTGGAACATTCCTGCATCGAGGGATGAATTCCTCAAGAGTGTCAGCCAACTTCACCCTGACCTACAAGCCATCTGCTCGTAAGTGACGCTATCCATGGGCCATTATGTGATATCTCAGATCTCAGAGTAATAAGTATCTGACACAAAGGCCACAGGAAAGCCGAAGATCTCAAACTCTTTCGGTTGTGTATGAGAAAGAAACCTATACCGTCGCTGACAAAAGGCAATGTCGTTCTTATCGGTGACGCATCTCACCCGATGTTACCTCGTAAGTTGTACCTACGATCCTGTTCTTTTCTTCGAATCCGCTAACCAATCTTCTACCCGTTTAAGATCAAGCCCAAGGAGGTGCGACGTCCGTAGAGGACGGGGCCGCTCTGGGGGTCTTGTTTTCCCACCTCGGTTCCAAAGACGAGGTTCATCGTCGACTGGAGCTCTTCCAGAAATTGCGATTCGACCGAGTCAGCGCCATTCAACTCCTGTCCAGCGTCGGGCAAGACGAGATACACAAAGTCGTCGAAAGTGCCCAACCTTACTTTCACCACGGTCCAGTCCCGAGTAAGTTTCTTCATCTTTTGTCCCTCCCCCGCTCCCCCTTGGTATACTGTGGCAGTTTTACAACAATCCCTCCTGCAAGGCCGTCCGGGCTTGAGAGAAAAGGGACATACAAGGACATCCGAAACTTTCGTTCCTTGCTGACACAGTCCTGGAACACAGCTACTCTAGATGGACTCAACGAGTATAATTTCACTCCAAACGTAATGCGAGATGCCTTGGAGTTACTACAGCAGGATTGCAAAACGGATCTATGAACAGATGTCGTTGTTGAGGATGATGCTCTGTACACTATAGGTAGCTTGATTACTGCGGAGGAGGTCCTCGCCGCTGTTTTGTAGAATGTCTCTCGACTCTTGTTCAAAAGTTGGAAAACACTTTACAACTTTAGGTCTCACGCTTCCTCATGATCAATAGAAACTACAAGTGCTGAATCTATGAATCGAATTGATGGAAAGTAGGTCTGATTGAAGTCATATCTTTCTTTGAAGAGATTCTTTCGAACTCAAGTCATTGTCCATTCTCGAGAATAACGAGGTAGCCTGGCCTCCTCTTTCTCCGTTCGTTTTGCGCTCAGACCTTTGATAGATTTTTCGTGTCCCAAGTCAACGGACTCTGTTGGCTACATAGGCAAGACAAATCCATTCAAATCCAGTACTTTAGACTCCTTCTGCCGGAATGATGGGCAAGGTTATGCAGTTGATGTAGCTAGGGCCGAAATGAATATGATTCTGGCCTGCGAGCAACTCAGCAGAACTAAACAGCATCGGAGAGGTTAGCTTTCCTGTCCCAGATTGTTCGGATGGGGGAGAGAGAACAAAGAAAGGCGAAGCTGCGGTGGAAAGACTAAGGACATACCGCTCGAGTGTTTGGTGGCCAAATAGGCCTGCGCCCTGCGTATCACCACTCGAGACTTCAAACACAAAACGGTCCCCTTTCTCGGCGACGACAGAAGTGACCCAGACCTCAATGTCCACGGGATATATCTCCCCGGGAATGACGGGCAAGACATCCGATGAGAAGTAATCTCTGTGCGGGAGCCAGTCACGGTGTCGCGGATGTTCCTTGTTTACTCGTCTGAAGCTCATCCTCTGCCAACCTTTGCAAAGTGGCACTGCCTCTCCGGTGATTCCAGTGTAATAAACCTCGGTGCCGTCGGCGGAGAAATGGCGAAGTGTCAGGAACACGTCCATGTCTCTTGGGGTTTTACCCCCGGGATGTGGTGTGACCGAGAGATTCAGATGAGCAACGATATATCCCGTAACTTCAGTCTCCGTCGCGAGGGGATCTGTGGAAAATGTGATTGCCTGCGGATCATCTAGGTTTCCGAGAGCTCGATAAGATAGCCTGTCGTATCTCAGTGTCGGTATGTCTCGGACAAGGCGACGATCTGGCGTGAGATAAAATTTGGTATACTGCGTTCGAGTAAGCGGCCACTCGAGTTCGAACCTTCGTTTGAAGGCCCTTTCTGCCTCTGGATTGTTATAGCCGACATTGCCCCTCCGCAGTACCAAGTCCACGGGTGGCCGTGATCCATCCGTCCAACCGCCACGATCTTCGCCTTTGCAGAAGGCATCGAGGAAGCTTTTCTGTACTTCGACGTGCTCGTCGTCATAGAAGGGCAAGTCGTGTCGTCCGGTAATAAAGCGGATGAATTTACGCTGAGAGCTTGCCAGCCGAAATCCCTCGTAGTTTCCGCGGAAATGAATCATGATACTTCCCAAATTGGCAAATGAGAGAATGGGAACTTCGATGTCCTCCAAGTTATAGTCGCGTGATGCGTAGTACAAGTCATCGCGATAGAAGTTTTTTGCAGTGTCAACAACTTGATCGTGGCGGTTTTGAGAGAGCTCTGCTTCAGGTAGATCTCCCTCGAGGGTGTCAGGACCCCAGTTACGTTCTGCCTTTCCCGCGAGTCCATACTGGTTCGAAAGCACCTGTCTACTGAACCAACGGTCCAGGAAACCGGTCAGGATACCACCATGGCGGCACCGATCTCGATAATAGTCGGCCATTCCGTCAGTGGGAGAGATAGCTACCAAGCCTCGTGGACGCCTGGCTGCAACCCTCCACTGACTGCCCCCAAAATAGCTGATGCCTGTTAACGCAACCTTGCCGTTGCTCCATGGCTGATCTGCAGCCCACTCGATCACATCGGCGAAGGCGTCCGATGTCGATTGAGACATTGTGTCCAGAACCCCTGGAGATTGGCCCAATCCAACCTCGTCAGCTCGAAGCACTGCATATCCGCTGGCAGTCCAGAACCCCGGATCTGGGGTCTCGAACGAAGTATGTGCGGACTTGTGCTTCGGGTTGAGCTCTGCAAACGAGGCTGGATAGAAACTAGCTCTTACTGTCAATCCGCATTCCTATGAAGGCACCGCGATTCAGTGCAGCGCCCTCTGAGACAACTCACTCGTTCAGGTGGATATCCTTCCCGTAAGGACCATATGTCACAAGGACCGGCACTTTCTCGTCGGTTTTTGGCCTATAGATATTGCACCTTACTAGTCCTTTGAAAACTCTTCAATTCAATGGTCGCATTCTCTTCGTAAATGTAGGGAAATGAAGTCGAATCCACTTTGTGGAGATCGTGCCTGACCTTGTTCGGCATCTTGCGACTCGACACGGATCGATCTGAAGCTTTTGATGCTGAGGTAAACCCTCAGGTGTAGAGCGTTGATGCCTTTTCATGGATATGAATACTCATGTTGAATGTGCCCGGCCAACCATGTGATCGACCGTACACCTACCCTATCGACCACCCTCCGAGACTCAGACATGCTCTGGCCTCTCGGTTCGGCATCGGGTTGGATGGTCAAACTCGGGAAGCGGCCTTCGGCAAGTTGTTACCCACATTGAGGACAATTGTAACAAAGGTAGTAGGCTTTGGTCAAGGGAAGACTTCAAGCAGGTGTGAACATTTGATCCTCATCGAAGTATATCTAGTGAGAAAACTAACTACATAGCTGTGGCGCCTCCTCAACCTCTTTCCAGGTCAGGTCCCAGTTCAGGGGTTGAGTAGGAGGTTTAGCGACGCGGTGAGTAGTCCTGAAAGCAGCGTGGGCTTGATGAGTGCAAAAGGCGACGCACTGCGAGTAGTATTCAAACACGGCTGAAAGGCTTCATGTCACTGGAAGTGTTAGGAGTCAGCCTGTGGCATAAGCAGGATGTAGCAACGCGGGAAACTGTGACGGTGACCGCTTCTTCAATAAGATATGTTGATGCACAAATATTGGAGGCATAGTCATAATGGAGGTTGTAAAAGCGGCGCAGTCGTGGCTGATTGAGTCGCCGATTCCGTAGTTCCGCGTCCCGCCGCAGCACCCAAGGCTGACGACAACTTGCTTGGTGTTATTGACCTCCCAGTAGGATACCGTTTTGTGTATTCATTTCTCTTCACGAGACATTTGAGATATTTCTCAAAGGCTACAACACTTCGTCGTAGCGAAAACAAGATGTGTCTTCATCGTCACTGACCCCTCCTCTATAAGTTTTTCAATACACGCGAATACCACATCCGACCGTCCGTCCGAATCGCTCGGTGTCCTTGCGAAAAAGGCAGAAACGAGGGACATCCACGATGGGATACATTCTCTACTCGATCTTCTTGGTCTCTATAATCCTCGGGACAGGTACGTTTTTTTCTTCAATCATTCCGTCCCTTGTACGTGTGTTTGTGTGTGTACATGAGTCTGACCGCGCGCGACCCTGTCCGCCATTAACAGCGCTCTACCTAACCCGTGCCCGATGGGTTCCTTACCTCCCGGACCGTATGCAGGACGCCATCTCCGGACTGTCGTACACCCGCGTCCCGACCACCTTCATGGGCGATGTCGAGTCGGGCCTGACGTCGGCCGATTTCGATCTGTCGAGTAACATTGTCGAAGGGGATTCTCGGTCCGGGCTGGACCAGAAAGCCAAGCGAGACGTTCAGCGGATCATGAAGTTGAGGGGCATCAATTTCGACGAGGCGCGGAGGGTATACATGGAACAACGATTCAAGAAGAACGGCATCAGTGAGGATGGCATTCCGCGAGATCCGAAGTTTGTGTCGTTTTCATGAGAAACCGGAGAAAGAAGTCGTGGGCAGTCCAAGCCAGCAGACAGACAGACAAGGCGGGCGGGTGTGCTACAAGTCGTCAGGATACACTCCGTCCAGGACGGATAGAGAGATGTCGGCAGGCAGGAGTCTTTCCTGTACAAAGTTTCCACCTCCCCCCGGGATTGATGCGAGCGTATGGTGTTATATAGGCGCTTGTAATGTGGATCGTCATCACAGTCGAAGCACTGGGACGAGGGCGTTAATGGCAATGCATTCTTTGTAACATCAGACCTCATGTTGGCTTCGCCTTAACCGCAATCGTAGCATAGTCTCGCCTGCTAGACATCATTTCTACAAACTTGACTTTGAACAACACCTCATCAATCACAGGTTGTGTTAGAGATGTCGACAAGCGACGAATTTCATTCTTCTCATTAAAAAGGTTGCCATCTTTCGGCACCCTGTTTCTGGGTATTAATGCTGCTCACAAGTACGCCAACTGACCCCAGAATTCCCAACTTCCACCCATAAAACTCCAGTCACCTCCGCCATGATCTATGTACAATCCTGTTCCAAGACAAAGAGTCGGTCCAGGACTAAGGAGTGTGCGTAAGCCACTTTTTTCCCGTCTCTGAAGTCGTCAAGGATAAATAACTTGATCGCTCAAATTCAACAAATAATATGTGCAAATGGCTTGAATTATAATCGCAATCACTGGACCTTCTTAGCCGTAGATGTGCCGTCGGCGAGATAGCCACGGTCGTCATCTCCTTCGACTTCCTGCACGATCTTTTCCATTTCCTTGGTCTGCTTAGCCCACTCGGCTTTGCCCATCTTGGTTTCTCTGTTGAAAAGCTCTTCGTTCGGCTTACGGTAGCTTCCGCCCATGCGGTCCCACAACGTAGTGAATTGACCGTAGTTGTAGTTGCTAGAGAGATGAAGTTAGTATGAAGAGGAGTCTAAATGGGCCGAACCAGACTTACAAATACAAATGGTGCATGGTATGGCAAGCAGCACCATTGATCAGTGGGGAGTTGGCATAGTATTCACCGTCGTGGATGAAGATGGTCCAGAAATTGATAAAAGCGAAGAGAGCAATGTATGCAAACTTCTGCAGGGGAAACAGGAAGGGAAACAAATGGTAAGGGATCGACTGAGCGAAGCCGTCGACTGGGTGGAAGGCATGCGAAGCGAAAGGGGTCGGCATGATCCATTTGTGGTGTGGCTTGTGGAGAGTCTTGTAGACACGCGGATGGTGCAGACCGCGGTGTATCCAGTAGATCAGAAAGTCCGTGAACAGGACGAAGAATGGAAATTGGATAATGTTGTAAAGCGAGAAGGGTGCCTCGGAGAGACTATCGTACATCTTCGAGTATCCACGGACTTCGGCCAGCATACATGCAGCCGTGAGTACGGCCATAACTGGGATGGCCTGCACTGCTTGGGCAATCTCGAGGCGGACTTGGTTCTTGAGATATTTCGGGTGTTGAGAAGTGGTCTTGTCAAAGACAAAGACATACGATAACGAAGCGAACACAAAGTAGAGGAGGAGACCGAAGATCCTAGGATAATTCATCAGAACAGCCAAAAGTCGGGAGGCGAGTAGGATAATCTTACCATACTATGAAGAACAAGCTGATTCCTTGCCGATAGACATTGTCGCGAGGCAAGGAACTGCTATATGTCCATTCAGTGGGCGGGAGGCTGAGGTACTGCGAAGCTGGCTCATAAACATAGCTGAACTGTGGCGCTCCGGTGCTGGTCTCTCGAATGCTAGACCAGGTCGTTGTCGTGACATTCTTCAGGTTGTGGTAGAGGTATTGAGACGGGCTCGCAGGCGCGACAAAGGAGTAGACTCGATCAAGGAGGAGGGTGTCGGCAATCTCGAGGACGATATCCATGGTGTACGTATGTGCGCGGATGCGCTGCTGTGTGCCGGTTCACTCGAGGATTGATCAGACAGAGACACTGGACAGCTTTAGACGAGTGCTGAGGCCTGTGAAAGACGCCTGTTGAAGTGAATGGTCGGTCTACGGAGACAGATGAAGAAACTCGGCTCTAGTTATTTTCATGGTAAAAAGAGTGGCGTGAACATGGATTTGGGCGCATCCGAAGCCGATAACGCTCAGAGTGGCACTTAAGTGGGTTGGCAATCACAAATTGATGGGCGTGGAGAGGCCACCAGCACCACCTATTGGACCCCGATGGTCCCTGGATGAACAAGCTTCCAGGGACACGCTCAGGTGTTTAACGCCGAAAAGAGCGAGCCCGGGAAAAAAATACAATCGGCTGATGGCTGTCATACACGTGATGAATGGTCTGCCCATATTGATATACTTTCGTGGTCACGTTTTCGTCCTTCTCTCCTCGGCTTAGTCATTCACCTCCAAAATGCGGGCTCGCCGTTATTTGTGACTTTCTGCGCGTCATTGCGATAAAAACGATAAAATTGCTTAGTACTTCGCCATTTACCTCGCAACACTTTGTTCGAGACCACGGTCGTGATGACCTGATCATCGGAATGCCGTCGACATGATATTCGACCTCGGGCGTACCACTTACAGTCGTTTCTCTGTCCCTTGAATCCTCAATCTCGCAGAGGGTCATGACTTCGTCCCAGAGTCATGGCATCTCCCCTGCGACTGTGGAAACCATCGCTGGCCTCTCGGCCGGTTTAGTGTCCACCATCATCGTGCATCCTCTGGATATCATAAAGACAAGACTTCAAGGTAGACTAGGATCCCCACCGAGCTTGTACTTTCCGCTGACAGTGTCCGACCAGTCGACACATCTGCCCATCCTCTCCTCAATTCCTCCCGGTCTGTCCTGCACGATATTTTGCGAAACGAGGGTCCGACTCGAATTGCAGCCTTGTACCGTGGTCTCACTCCGAACCTTGTGGGTAATTCTGCTGGGTGGGCATTGTACTTCTTGTGGTATCGGGAGGGTCAAGATGTCATCCGCAAAATCCGAGGTTATTCACCTGGTCATCAGCTTACATCTCTTGACTACCTCTCCGCTTCTGCAGGTGCCGGAATGCTGTCTGCAATTTTGACGAATCCGATATGGGTGATCAAGACACGAATGTTGTCTACATCAGCATCTCAAACTGGAGCGTACACCGGCATGGTGTCAGGTCTTCGATCCATTCTCAAAAAAGAAGGCATTCGCGGGTTCTTTCATGGAATGACTCCTTCACTCTTTGGTGTCAGCCACGGAGCGCTATATTTCGTGGCTTACGAGAGGCTGAAGCAATGGCGCAGACGGGTCAAGAAAGATCAGCCATTGTCCAATACCGATACCTTGATCACATCCTCGCTTTCCAAGGTGTTTGCTGGCGTCGTAACCTACCCGCATCAAGTAGTGCGTGCGAGGTTACAAACGCATCGTCCCAGTGCTGTCACGCATACGGCAAGACCAGGCGTGATTGGTCTGATCAAACAAGTTTGGCACAATGAAGGCCTGGTCGGCTTCTATAAGGGCCTTTTCCCTAACCTCCTACGAGTGGTGCCGAGCACTTGCGTCACTTTTTTGGTGTACGAGAATGCTCGGTGGAGCATCCCAAGGATGTTTGGGTCACGAGAAGATGCTTCTGAGATGGGAGGCGCAAGAAACAAGAAAGGATCCTTGTAATTGCGATCCAAGTTGGACCGGCCTGCAGCACATCACATGCAGGTCACCAAGGCAACTGACTCTGTTGCTCACTGTGAGGGATTTAGATGGTCGATGGCTTCCTGCGAAGGAGTCAAGGAGAGACGCGATCCTACTGCAAGCTGGGTACCATTCGACGTCTCTGTGACGCCTCGCCGGGGCTTTAGTCCCCCGCTATGGTGGCTGGCGGAGATCGACATCTCGAGTTTTCGACAGCATTCCTGCCAATAGTATGCACGATGCACAGATAGGAGTCTCCGGGTATCCCTTGTTGAGTCGGGGATCCCTACCCCCTCATCATTTCTGAGCAGCCAACATTGATACTTTTGTAGATAAAGCCACACCCAGAGCCGAGCATAGTCTTCATTGTGCCGTATGAAAGCTGATCTCATGAGCACTCGGTGGGCAAGAATTCGAAGCTAGCTGGGGGCCCGGCACAAAGTGTGTGGATCTTTGCGTGCCGTTCCTGCAGGACGCCCGAAGCGCCCAATGGTCTTGGACACTGTGATGAAATAATGTGGCAGAAGAAAATTCAGGCGCATATCTGGTCGGACTACGGCTGATTTCATTTCCCATCCCATGGTCCGCAAGTCAGCCTGGTTGTCAGAGAGAGAGAGTTGTTGATTGGACGGTCGTCGCTCTCACACACTGCACACCCCTGTTCACGCTCAGACTTGCCCCCAAGCGACATTCCCCTTCTAGCGTTCTTCTAGCGTTCTTCTAGCGCTTGTGGATGAGTCTCCACAATGGGAGGAGCATGCTTGCACAAGTACGGAGTACGAAGTGATTGTTAACTCGAGAAGAAAAGAAAAAAATATGGAGTCAAATGCAGCAACGGTCATCCATCATCATCATCGTCACCCGTCACCTTTTGGAGCCTTCCATTAGTATCATTCTCACCAGACTTCCAACATCCTCTGCGTCGCTCCCCAGCATCTTTTGATACTAACTACAGTATGTAGTGACTCGGTGTGTGAGTCCCCTCTCTCTCTCCACAGTCCAAATTTCGGCCCCCTTTGCGTGTCTAGACGATCGGCAAACTTTTAATATCCCTCAAGCCCGACCCTGGAGATGTGAACGACCACACCAACAAACAAAGATTCCATCCGTCTCCTCCTCCAAGGTTGCCTTTTTTTTCTTTCTGGTCCCCCTCAGTCTCTTGTTACTCGTACGAGGTATTTTTGAAAGGCAACTTTGTCCACTTTAATACTCGTTATCGTATCGAACGTCGACTTCCCATGTTGCCGCTATCCCCCCCCCACCTTAGGGAGTGATTTGTAGAGAGAGAGAGGGAAGAGAGAGAGAAAAAAAAACGCCTCGTCGGTAAGCCAGTCAATCTGGTACCTTCACCTGTCCACATGACATGACGTGACTCCGGAACGATTCTCGTAGAGGTGGAACTATATACTCGTACTCGTCGTATACTCCGTACGGGGATTGCATGCGTTGGATCTTTTATGAGTACATGAATTCTTCAAGGATGATGTATGCGGTGAGACCAAAAAACAAGGTACAACTACAAACGGCCATCGGAACTCCCCGGGACATGGACGAGATGAGAGATTTGCAAAAAAAAAACCCACAAACACCGCAAGACAGAACATTTTCCTTTTCTACGAGTAATTACGACAAAGTACGAGTTTGACGACGAATCACTACGAGTAAAGATGTCCAATTCCCAACCGCAGATGCACGGCCAAGTGGCAGAAGAAGAGGGTAGGGGCATATGCACACAGACATGACAAGATAGATCATCATCGTTTGTAGTGACAGTATCCAGTGTCCCATATCCAGCATCACGTATCTCACATCCAACATCCTCTACACCAAGTTACTACAAGTACGTACATTTGAAAAACAAACCCCCAGGGACGCCTTCCTATCGTGAGACTTCAGCCTTCTTCATCGTTCGACATAAATCAGGTCGACATTTTGATCTCCATGTCCCCTGGGACATGATACCGATTTCGTAATTTGGTTTATCCTCTCATCATACATTCATAAATTCCCAACCTTTCATCAGACAAAATTACCCCTCGAATTCAAACAAGGCTCAAAGACCGAGAGCGACAGGGTTGCAGTTGTATATAGAAAAAAACCGCCAATGAGGCCAGTAAAGAAAAGGACACAAAGTGTAACACTTTTGTAGTATCGCTCAATAGCTGATCCGTGTCGGAAGTTGTGAGAGTCGTGCCCACATAGTCATATAATCCCCTCTGATAGACGCCTCAAAGTTAGAGCTCACGACAAAATACAGCGTCGAGATTGGGTTTTTTTCCCCAACCAAGAAATCTCGGCGACTGACGTGAGGAAGCGGTCAATTCGTAAAGTCAATCTTCCCCAAGTCCGCCATGGCTCAGTCTGTGACAATAACTTCGACCCTTCTCCCCTTTCCTCTGCCTTTGATGCCCTTGTTGCTGTGCTTGTATAGATCTTGAAAGTATTCCCTTAGCTCCTTTTCGTGAGGAAGAACGGCTTCGTTGGTGGAGAATTGTTGGGCGAGTTTGGCCAGTGTCTCCTTGTGGAACTTATTCATGTGGGCCTTGAGGTTGCCAAGTTGTGTAAAGACCTTGCCTCCTTGTGAGTCCCTGCATGTGTCAAGCTTGCATTCATACTTGCGACCATTGGCACCAGGGTCGGATGACGACCTCTTTCGGTTTGGTCGTTGCCCGATGTGTCGGCGTTCGTGGGTTCGTAGATTACCTAGTTGAGAAAAGGTCTGCCGGCATGATGAGACGGAACAAATATACGGCTTCTCCCCGGTATGAGATCGGAGGTGGATCTTGAGGTGGGTGGGCTGGGAGAATGACTTTCCGCAATTTGCATAAGAGCAGATATACTTCCTGACTTTGCCTCTAGGGTCGGCTTTGGACAGATGTGGTTGTTGCATCATCTGGCTAGGCTGAAGTGTCTTCATGAGCGAGTCGACCTCAGATGTCTGTTCGGGCAGTGATGATGAAACTGGAAAACTTGTGGGAGGAGTAGTTTGACCGGAAGAGATGATCGACTCGAGGCGAGGCAGCTCCGAGAGGTCGGATGAGAAGTAGCTCGATGGGGTCTCCGAGTAGACAGAGACTACATCGTCAAAGTTCTCTTGATCATCTGCCATCCAGCTCGGGTCTGTCGTGGAGCCTTGATCCGGGGTGAGATAGTCCAAGGGCATGTCGTAGTCGCAGAGAGGAGGGAAGGACTGAGTCCGTCGTTGTATAGGAACTGGAGGTGTATGGGTAACTGGTGGCGTCGCAAGAGGCGGAGTGTACGCATTGTAGTTATACACCTCGTGACAAGGAATGTTTTGAGGATAAAAATCTTGCGGAAAGGCTCGTGGATTGACCATGGCAGAGGAGGTGGATGGAATAGGGATGGAAGTAGGCACCATCCATTGCCTCATTTGTTGCATGTGCCAGTCAATTTGCTCTGATGTTGGGTTGTAGGCCATCTTCTTCTTTCCAGAGTCTGGACTGTATCTTGATGAGAGAGTAAAGACACTTTCTGGTTGCCGTGGAAGAATGGTATCGTCACAGGGAAGCCCCGAAATCCTAGAGGTCTTCTGCGAAGTAGGGAGGAGATGATCAAAGGAAGACTACATAACAAGCAGGAACTGGTTGTCGGCTCGAGTAGAATAGTCTCGGGAGAGGTAGCAACGGAGCAAGGGTAGCGTAGTCGCAGATCGTTGATTGGCGGAAAGGTGGAGTAGGTATGGAGTGACACTGGAAGATCTTGAGAACCAAGGGAGTACTTATGCTATAGGAACAGGAGACACAAAGATGCAAGCAATATATGAACAGCCGACCTTGGGTTCCGGACGAGGTCAAACGAGGAACGGGGACGATGAGATCAGAATTGGGGGTTTATACCTTTGCATTGCGAGTGAAAATATCTTCAATAGATTCGACGACTGGTAAGTCAGCGTGGGCATGTCAAGCTCGAACCAAGTATAGTCAGGGATCAATCTGCAGGTGAAGAGATTGCAAGACCCCATCCCTCAATCGGACGAGGGTGGCTGTCGCGGCTAAGATACTAACATGATGCAGCCTTGTTGGAAAATGGAGTTTAGGGCAGACGCCGTAAGGCATCATGGCGCATCCGCTTACCGTGTTCAGGGAGGGCCAGGTGACAGTGGAAAAATTTTTCATGATCCGAAGCGTTGTTAGTGGCTGATCAAGAGAAAACCGACAGCCTCAAGCCAGTCAGAAGCCTCGAAGAGACAAGATGCAGGTGCGAGAGAGGGAGTGTCCGGCCGCGGGAGGCAGCGACATGGTTGGCACAAAAGTGCCAGGGGGTTCGAGATAGCGTCAGCGATCGCGCTCGAAGCAAAGTACCAAAAAATCGAGAAGCGACATGGGGGCGGGATCTCTCGACGAAGGGGAGGTACAGCAAATGTTGCTTCTCCGTATGGACGATGATGATGGAGGGTGGTGGAAGTGCATTAGGCCGGCATGATCGCTGATAAAGGCCCGCTGGGTTGGAGACGTCTTGGACAGCCAGACCATACCTGAACAGGAGAGTCGTTGCATTAGGAAGGCGCGTGGCTTTCGTGATGACCAGGATTAAGCGAAGTTGCCCTGCAATAAGAGCTGAAGTTGGCCGGGACCGGTGCCCGGGTGCTTGTACGGAGTACGGGAGGACACTCTTTCTCCGCTGCTTCTCAGTGCCAACGAACAGACACTCGGCCCCAGGCGGATACTTGACTCTCTGTCATAGGGTCGCTAGGTCGAGTGAGGATAGAGACATGTCCAGGCACGTAATCTTCGAGGTGGTGGCTTGGGAGGCTATGTTATCTTGCAGCGGCTGATAAGTCAATTTTTCTGTGTCCATGCTTTCTTGGTCCATTCCAGCACTTGTCGTCCTCCCCCCTGTCAGGCTTGCAGATTGAAAATTTTTCCTCGGCTGCAGACATGGCCTGATGACGAAGGGTAGCTGGGCCCATGCCTGACCAGCGTTGGCACCCCTTGTATCTGGGGATCAATAGACAGATCGAGAGCGAGATAGGACGGGATAGCCAAAGCCAGGGATTGGTAGTGATTGCTCGGCTCCTTGGGGACACATCCCACGCGCCCTTCGCCTGGAGGAGGGCCATTTACGCAAAATGTTCCGTGAAGAAAATGCACGCTGCGATACGCGATGCGGAGTAGAATCAGGAATCCCCTGGTTGACCTGAAGGGGGGGAGTAGAGAAAATTCTGCCCATACGCCCATTTGCTGTAGATACGAGCACATACTCGCACAGTTGGTCATGGCAGCGGCCAGCGGTACACCAGTGCCGCTAAATGGTCACCACGCGTACCGACCTCGACAGATGAAACGACCGTGGGAAGAGCGTAGCGAGCAACAGTAGCAACCGTCCTTCGAGGCGGATGGGCCCGGCCGGTAGAGGCCGGCGTGGGAGGCTGTCAAACACATGCTCTCTGTACTGTAGCCGTAGCAAGGTCGACGTGACCGACATTGACTTGGCTTCAATCTCGCATGGACTTCTGATATCTGATAGTGACATCTTCATCTCCTTCCTGCTCCCACGTCAGTTGTCGTATATTTTCTGTTGTGAGTCTCTAAACAATTAGCACCGCAGGGAAAAAACACCACAGATCAAGAGGCCAACGGGATCGTCAAGGATACTATTTGAATTTTTTGTCTCTACGAAAACCTCAATGCATGGGCAATCATGTCCATGCGCTAGTCAAAAGCCCCCAAAATCCCTCATGGATGTTCTCCTGCGAAATCAAGGGTTACCAAAACGAAACTGCACTGAGCGCACTCCTACCAGGGCTCCCATTCTGTTGCCCACTAATGCACTCGTCCCACGCCCCCAAGTTACATGATACCTGAAACCGAAAATTCGACGAAGCATCACATTCCATGCCAACATACCACTGACTTTGCCTGTGTTGCAATGTTCCCATCCGTTGGCCAGCCTTCTTGGTAGTACCCATCATCACCATAAACAACATATCTCACAGAGAGGTGCACAACAGATTTTTCCTCCGACCAGAGAAGTCCATGGAATTACGATTCCAATGGTTTCTCCTTGTCAGGAATTTTTCAGTATCGCTTTAGATACCTTGATGGGCTCCACGCCAACTTGTGTACTGCCAGATACGGGCCTTCATGTCTCCTGAGCCCGTGGCGAACAAATGTCCAGTCGGGCAGGGTGCCACCGAGATGACCGAGTTCTTGTGTCCTTGGAGCATCATCTGGGCGTTACCAGTATTTGGATCCCAGAATTGTACTCCACGATCCTTGGATCCTGACATGACCCATTCTCCGCCAGGGGTGAGACAGACCGAGAGAACATAATCCTGAAAAGCAACAGTTAGTCTCGTTTTCATGCGTCGAAAGAATGTCAGAACTTACCTTGTGTCCTTCGAATGTTCGGATGCACTTGCCGTCCTTACCGTTGGATGCGGATGGGACGAGGCCGCGCTGAGGAGAAAGCTCCCACATCTTGATCGTCTTGTCCAAGCTGCCGCTGACCAGTTCTCGGCCACTGGGGGAAAAGGCAACCGAGTAGACACTGTCTTTGTGGCCCTGTGGTCCTTCCAGACGCTCGATCAGATAACCACTGGAGCAGTCCCAGACTCGCACACTCTTGTCGAGCGAACCGGCCGCGACGAAGCGACCATCAGGAGACATGGCCACAGTGGTCACACCGTCTTCAATGGACAGGACCATAACTTGCTGGTTGGATTCAATATCCCAGAGGCGCACCGTCTTGTCGCCGGAGCCCGAGGCAATCAGTCGTCCGGTGCGGGAGAAATCCAAAGAGTAGATATCTTGCTCGTGACCATCGAAGATGGTTCGGATGCGCTTGCTTTCGATGTCCCAGACCCTGATCTTTTTGTCTTCGGCACCTGTGGCCAAGAGCTTTCCGTCAGGAGAAAAGCAGACTGATCGGATATACAAGTCACCGTCCTTGTCTTGGACGTTGTCATCGAGCAGCTCGCAGACCTTGCGCCCATCTCGAGCGTCGAAGATCTGTGCACTGCGGTTGCAGCCAGTGGCGATGTACTTGCCATCGTTGGAGAAGCGGACGCAGCAGACCACGGACTCGTGGACGAGGTTGTGCAAAAGTGTAATGTCCAGCACGCGTGGCACGTTGGGGTTGAATACGGCGTGCCATTCGCCATTAGCACCCATCCGCTTCAAATGGTCTGGTAGATCGTCTGGGTTGAGGTCTGCGAGAACATTGCCGACATTGGGGTATTGTCCTTGACCTGGCATCTGATGGCGCGGGCCAAGTTGCATGTCGCTTCCCGGAGGAGTCGGTCTAGGAATTTGAGGAGACGCTCTTGGGTCGTTTTGGTAAGGCATTGGCTGTGGTTGGCCCGGGTGTTGCTGAGGCGTAGCTGGTCCGGGGCCGCCCCTAGTTGTCATATTACGATTCTTGCCTAGTCCCGGGGAGCTGGTAGGAGGCTGTCCTTGCGGTCCGTAGCCATTCAGGGCAGGCGCCTGCTGATAGCCGGGAAAGGCATTTGGGCCCTGGGGTGGACCTTGAGGCTGGCCTGCTGGTGGCGGTGGCTGAAGGGGATGCTGTTGAGGAGCTGCCTGTTCTGGTGGAGGAGCGAGTCCGGGACCGCCTTGACCTTGGTTGGCCATGATGCCACTGAAGAGGCCGCCCTGACCGTGACCAAGGGAGGGAGGAGCCTGCACAGGAGGGCCGCTATGCTGAGGAGGTCCGCCGATGTGGGATTGAACCTGGGCGCCGCCGCGCACTTCGAGTTCGTGTCTGAGAACGCGGATCTCAGACTCGTATTCCTGCTTCATCTTCAATTGATTCTGTTCGAGTTGATAGACCTTGTTTCGGATCAACTCCATCTCCTGAATTTGCTGAGCAACTTGGTTCTCAACCTGCTCACTTGACCGAGTCTGGTTCTCAAATTCCGAGCGCAATGATTCGAAGATTTCGTTCAGCCGATGGTTCGGCGGCCCAGGAGGCGCGGGCCCCAAATTAGGGTTGCCGCGATGCTGGGTCGCGTTGAACATGGTGAAGAGATGGAGGGGGGGAAAGAGTTGCAAGAAAGAAGTTCTGGGTGAGAGAATCGAAGATTCAAGTCTGAGGATGAATTAGCACCAGGGTGGAAGATAATCGGGGGATGAGGGTTGCGATTGAGCGCAGCTATTAATTGTACCTTCTTTTTGGGTGGAAACGGCGCTAGTGGTAGGGGGAAAAAAGCAAATAAGCACTCGGTGTGCCAACGCCTGAGGTCCGACGAGATAGAGCCAATACGCGCAAGGATATCGCCACTGGGCCTACGTCCGAGCTCGAGGATGACGACAAGATTAAAGGTTGCGGGACAAGGTGAGTAGGGTGAGGCTGAAGGGGAGAAGATGAGAGATGGGAGAAGAGGCAAAGAAAATTGCGGGCTGAAAGAGTAGAAGATGTGACGGCAAGCCTCAGAAGAGGAGCGAGTTGAAGCACGAGGTGCTGGGACGAGGGAGACGGACCAGCAGCAACCCGGGGGGGGGAGGAAGAGACAAGCCAAAACAGCCAGAGGGACCAGAGGAACCACAGGAACAACCCTGGTGGCAGGTGTGCCTAGCAAGGCCGTGTGACATACAACTCCGTACTCCGTAACGAACCAAGCAGAAACCCTGGACAAAAAAGGCTTGCGGGCAACTAAGTTGGGCAGACGCTCCATCGAGCTTCCAGCCGAAAGCCGCAAGGGGGATTCGAACCCACCTAGCGCCGGGCCAGATACAAGTCAGTGGTGAGCCTATGTGGTGAGGGCTGTGGGTGCCTGTTTAGTGGGGACCCAAGCCTAATCAGTCAGTCGTTAGAGCCTGGGTGCGCCATGCATGCATGCGCTGTGCAGACCGCCCCCAGGCCCCAGGAAAATGACCCAAAGGTGGTTGTCGGTGTAGGGGGGAGATCGCTTGGGAGACGGGCGAACAGGCGACGCTAGGGCCAAGTTCCATCAGATACAATACTCCACCCTTATTATTGGAAGATCCTTGTCCGCGCGAATCATCGCGTGCTATCACTTCGTATATGTGCAGTACAGTATCCGTACCAGGTAGGTTACCTGCCAGATATTTCCAGACGCGAGACTTTGATTACAGTACTCGTACGATTACAATACGCCTGGATTCAGTTCTCGATGCAACCCGGTCTCGACTTTCTGATAGGTCACCTGCAGGTATCTAGAGACCAAGGGATGAACTGGTGGGCAAGGGACTTCAGCGAGTAGCATCAGCCCTGGTCGTTTGCTTCCGTAGGTAGTTAGCCACGGGGAGTCCGGCGACATGTTCAGCTGAAAGTCCATTTCGGATATGCAGAGAGTATTGATTAATCCCTGCTATGCCAAAGAGGATAGCTCCGCCATTTTTGCAGCCAGCTTGACTCATCGAAGACGTGCGAGGCTGTCGACCTCATGACCTCAAAATCAGGCGGAGTTCCATCTCAACTGCACTCTGCGCCTCGGGAACATCACGCGTAGCCCTCGCTGTTGTATCTCAAACCTGCAACAAGCTTCACCGTTGAAAGTGCCATGTGTCATAGCAATGCGCTGTTAGACAAACCTCAGGGTGCTCGTAGAGATCTGCCCCAATCTAATCACTGGAAATCATACGGCATTGGCAAAATTCAGGCATACCAGCCTTCCAGAGGACTCAAAGTGACCACAATAATACATTTTTGATCGTCAGCATGTAAATCTGGAATCTTTAGCATATCTTGCAGAGTTAAGATTATTCTGTTCAGGGTGCATCAAGGACCTCAAGGCTGTTATACAGAAGCTGCCATGCGCGAGCACACAATGGTTCTGACTTCTTCTCCCAACATCGGCTCACCAGCCTGCGGCCAACCCAAAGCCTCGCCGTCGGAGAGAGTCGAGTTCGTCACCAATTACTTTGCTCGCGGATTTGACCACAATCTAGCATGTTGTTGCGCCTGTTTCCGCTTCAGATTTCGCGAAGCTGTTCTCCTCCGGCCCCAATTTCCAACACTCTCACGGCTCTCCGTCATCAATGGTAATTTACAGTGCGTGGGTCTTTAGGAAGATCTCGTAGGATTTCAGTTCGCAAAAGGTGATATTAAGCTGCGGAAATGTCAACACTGCCCTTGGACACGACCTCTTGTGGGAAGAAGCGTACCTGATGAGAGCTGGTTTGGGTTCGCTCCGTGTGTAGCCTGCCTCCGTCAGTTGGCGTGTCATGTTCGAAGATCTCCGATCATACCAAGGTAGAGTATCAAAGGTAGATAGCCATAGTGAACCACTTCCTTGGTGATGTCAATGACCTTTGAGATGCGTTCCTAAAAAAGTCAACTTAGTTTGGGACGATATATGGCGGCCAGGGAAAAAAAGCCATACCTTGGTTTCTTCGGAAAATTGAATCATCTTGGCGAATCTCTGACCGACTGGTGAATGATAGATTTGCCGTTTCGAAACTCGATATCTTCTGAAATAGACCGTTGTACTTGTGATGCCAGCGCAATTGATTTGAAGCTGCGAGAATGATTTGGAGAAATCAGAAAATCCTGGTCACGTGGAATACGCACTAGACCCAAGATGGATAAGCTCTCTCGCTTTTCACGATAGGCTTCTTTGCCCTCGCAAGAACTTTTGTTTGGATGATTCGAGAGAATTATTCCCAGGTCGATAACTTGCCTTGCAGCACTTCACGTCGTCAACAACCCTAATAACGACTTTTCCAGACACTTTGACAATCTTGAGGTTAAGCTGAGAGACCTAGTCTGAAAAGATGTCTGCCGCTCGACACTGGGAGCAAGACAAAGATTCGACCATATACATTGGCAATCTCGACGAGCGAGTCACCGATGCCTTGGTTTGGGAGCTCTTCCTACAGGCCGGCCGCATCGCCAACGTCCACTTGCCCAAGGACCGAGTCACCCAGACGCACCAAGGCTATGGCTTCGTCGAGTTCAACTCGGAGGAGGATGCAGAGTATGCTGCCCGAATCATGAACCAGGTCAGATTATACGGGAAACCCATCAGAGTCAACAAGGCCAGTGCGGACAAGCAGAAGTCTGTCGAGGTCGGTGCCGAGCTATTTGTAGGAAACTTGGATCCTATGGTCGATGAGAGAATGCTGTACGACACTTTCGGACGATTCGGTACTTTGGTCGCGGCTCCAAAGGTGTGTATAATCTACTCTTAATAAGCCTTCAGCAGTCATGAATTTTTCTTCTCCTATTCTAACCTCGCTCCTAGGTTGCTCGCGACGAAAACAACTTGTCCAAGGGTTATGGATTTGTCTCTTTCTCCAACTTTGAGTCTTCTGACGACGCCATCGCCAATATGAATGGTCAATATCTCATGAACAAAGAAGTCTCGGTTCAATACGCCTACAAAAAGGACGGCAAGGGCGAGAGACACGGTGACCAAGCCGAACGTATGCTAGCTGCTCAGGCCAAAGCTCACGGCGTTCAACCCACCCCCGCCACCATCCCAGTCGGCGGCCCGCCAATGTTTGGTGCCATGCCTCAGACTCCTGCCACCCCCGTCGGCTTCGGACCACCGAACGGAAACTACCAGGCCGTCCCTCCTCCAATTCAGGCAAGACCTCCTCCGCCACAGAGTGCGCCACTGCCTGCACCACCTGGTGGCCTCCCAGCACGTCCTCCTCCGAGTCAAGCAGGATATGGCGGACCGCAGGGCTTCATGCCACCAGGTTTCAACCAGATGCCCGCAGGCTTTCCACAGCAACAACAACAACAACAACAACAACAACAACAACAACAACAACATGCGCCGCCGCCGCCTCCTCCTCCTGGGTTCGCCCCTCCCCCTGGCTTTGGAGGTCCACAGCCTGGTGCTATGCCTCCAGCTCCTCCCGCCGGACCGCCCGGCGGTTTCCAAGGATACGGGATTCGAAAATGAGAGAAGCCCTTGGTCGTACGGTACAGCTGCGAACACATCGAGTATCTATCCGCTAAAGATTGTCACTTAATTTTTGCGAAATGCAAGACCTTATCCAGGATTCGGGCGGCTCCAATGAACTCCCTCACACTATCACGATGTCGTTGTATGGAACGGCACTCTTTCTGTCACTTTGGCCGACCTTGCTACCTACCTGCACACAAGCAAACAGGACGCATCGTGTCACTTTTACAAGGCTAACAAGCAAAGTGCATGTGCATCCGATCAACCACTTTTGGCTGGCAACCGTACGTGCTATACAAACCAAAGGCTCAGTGAAAAAGTTGCTTTCGGTCGCGTCGGACTCTGTTGTTCGAATGAGGTCTCGATGATAAGTCCGGTGCAGCAGCCACCAACCAAGGCCGACTCGAACTTCTTTCACGGCTTTAACGAGTTCAACTCCTTGACGAACACCACGTGGGGGGAGAAAAGCCCCGATGGACAACCTCCGGATCCCGGAATGGCAGGGAAAAGGAATTCTGAAAACCTCTCTACGACCGGCATGTATATCGGCTAGACAATCGGCCAGACACATCACATCACCTCACACCGCCAGTGATTCCCATAGCCTAGCGTGTGCTGCGAATTCAGACACCACGTCGCCGGGACCATTACTAATGTGTCCGGATGTCTATCGATTGGGGTGGGTCAGTGGGTGTACTCTATTCGAGGCTCTCTCGCGAGAATGTGATTGCAGACCTCTCTCTCTCTCTCTTGGAGACTCAAACCCACTGTGTCCGTCTCTAACGACTCGGGTTGATGATGATGGCCTGTTCGAGACGCGCGATTTGATGGAGAAAATAGATAGAAATTTCCATTACAAGAGGTCAAGAACTATCTCTTTAAATCCTTCGACTCTTTTCCACATTCACGTTCCTAAATATTCTTTCCTCATCGTAGCCGATCAGAGAATATACCGCCTCTCCATGACCCTGCAATAAATGACAAGAGGATATGAAATTGACCGGCAATTGCTGCATTGCAGTCCAGCCATCCCGACAACCATTTGTAGCATAATATGGCAGTAAAATCTCAATGAAATGGGGCAAAGTAAAGACGTGAGTTTTGCTTGTCCCCCGTGTATTGTACAAGAGAGGCGGTTGCTTATTACAAAAACCTCCCAAGGCTCTCGATCCGAAGCTCCAGCACTGTACAGTCAACACCATGCCGATATGGCCGGATCTTTGGCCGCACCGTCCTCGCCGGGTGTCTCATGTCGTATTACTCGTACAAAACACAATCTACTCGATCCCATCCACGTCCGCGTCGGCGTTACCATTCTCGCCAGCACCGTTGAGGCCAGAGTCGACACTGTCCATGGTCATCGTCTGCTCCTTGACTTCAGGCTCAGGAATTGGTCTGGCCAATTCTTCTCGAACCCAATTCTCTTCCACCGCACACTTGCGCTGAAACGTCTTTGCCCATTTTCCACCCCATGACTTGAGTAATTCTTCATCCTCTGCACGAAGCGCATCGCTGCTCTCCATCATCTCGTCCTGGTTGCCGTCGCGAATACTCACGACCGCATCCTGAATGCTCTCATAAAGCGTCTTCATACTCTCCAACTCTTTCGTCAACGTCTGTTGCAGCTCACTCTTCTGATCATCTGTGAGCCCAAGCTGTCGAATTGCGTGCACAATGCTGTGAACCCGTGACCCCACCTTCTTGGTGGTCTTTTCCACAAGTTCGTAACACCAGGCACTCGCGAGTAGCGTGCCTCGAGCTACGTGGTCGACAAGTGCCCATTCAACAATACTGCTGGGCGTTAGGATTTGGTAGTTCAGCAATTTGTCCAGGATGATGACGCCGACTCCCGTCTGGGACTTCCAGTAATTCATGACTGATGTCATGATTTGTTTTCTGCAGGCGGGACTTTTAGAACTGATGGCCAGCAGTCGCTCCTTGCACCGCTCGATGCAGGCAAGTACGTGCGATAATGATTTGGAGCCGATCCAACATATCGAGGTGACGAAAGCGTCGGTGGATGCCAATTCAGGATCAGCCATCCCCGACGCCATGGCTTCCTGCTCAATGGTCTCCAGGAGGGGCGAAAACTCTTCGTTCGCAGCTTTGGTGCGGACGAGTTGTGCAATCGCTTTACCTTGTGTAGCGAACGGAGTTGAATCGTCATTATACTTGAAATCGGGTGAGTCTTTCTCCTTTTCTTCGGAAATCAAAGCTTGGTAGGGTTCAGGTAGTGTGTTCTTGATCCGCTTAGAAAAGCTCAATCGGATTTCCTTGTCTAGGGCATCTATGATGAATGCCTTCTTCGGGTGAACATTGAGAAGTTGAACGTCGTCGACCCTGTGCTAGTTAGCGACATTGAGAAACTGTGTATGCAGAAAAGGCCTTACCACTCCGTCCATTTCCAAGTGAAACCAAAATTACTCAGATGATGGGCAAACCAATCCAGAAACCGTTGAGACAGTTCGAAATCCATTCGATCAACGTTACGGTACAGGAACCGGATCGCCCTACCCAGACTGGGTGCGACTGCAGCTGGCGCCAGCTTACAAGCTTCCGTCAGAACCGAGTGATAGTAAATCAACTTGTGCTCCGGGGCAGGAAGCTGCATCAACTGGGAAAAGCATGCATCGACGATGACATCCTCGGGTTTCCAGGTGGCCTTGTCCCCAGCGACCTCTCGGAGCTTGTCAAATTGCGTGGCTCGCTTCACAAACGTGCCTGGGGCGAAATAGCAGTCAACGTCGATGAGGAACCTTGCCGCCGCCATTCGATTGAAATCAAGACCATTGATCGTGTCTGACAGGGCATCCCGGATCAGAATCGACGCCGAATCAGAAGGCCGTGGGACCGTTTCGATATCTTGTTCACCGTAGACTGAGAAATATACCTCGGGGAAGATAGATCTCGGCCCAATCTGCATTTCCTCAGGAATTTTGATTGCAGGGAATTGATGTGTCTGTGCAGCAGCCAATGCTTCCTCCTCTTCTGAAGATCGGTCTCCCTTCCACGGTCGAGGCAAACACGCCAATTCCCAGCCATTCCGAGATTCTTCTTGCATGTGCTTCTGGAGAAGAGCAAGAGCGCTTTCCGAAGAGGTCGGCGCGCCTCCCTCTGGGCTTGGGTATGGATCGACTATGACTTCCAGAGGGTGGGCTGTCGAGGCAATAATGTCGGTCTTCTCCAAAAGACTCAGTGCTTGGGCTTCGAGTCCTGTTGCACTAGAGGACATGGCGTACGGGATGGTCAACAGAATGATCTTGACAATTTCCAACCCGAGTGACTGCGAACAGGTTAACAATGCTATTCCGGCCTAGGAAGGATCTTGGGGACTTACGTCTTCAGAGGATTTCATTTGCAGGTCGGCAGCCTTTGAGAAGAGCTCCTCGAGGATTGTAAAGACACCACCTTCTGAGAATATACCTTGTAGACAACCAAGAAAACGCAGGTACAGCTTGGCTTCTCTCCATAGTCCGAGATCCAGGCGTTTCTGCAGTGCTTCGCTGATCTTACGCAGGACGTCCGTGACGAGCTCTGGTTTCTGAGCGTTCGTGAGGTAGACGATAGCGGCTAGGAAGGGCGTCTTAAGAGGTTGCTCGATAACCCTATTGGATTCAGCAGCCGTCAACGGGTCGAAATAAGAACGTCTTACATTTGAGTGACAAGGTCCACAAAGCTCGTGGACACCTCATTGTCGAAGTAATTGTCGGCAAGTGTTTTCGCAATCGTCGCAACGTCTTCTTCTGCTTTTCGGACAGGCTATAGCCGGGTCAGTGTCTAGGTTGACTGAATGGTAGAGCTCGACCTTACACTCTCAGCGATCGAAAGGACTTGTTTGCGTACTGTGACGGCCAGAGGTTCCTCGTAGCGACGTCGCTGTGGCCGTCGATCTTCAAAATCATCATCTGTACATCGATCAGAACGCCTGAAACATTGAGACCTTGGTCCAGCATCAGGCATCGTACCTCTATATCTCCTCTTGCGATTGTTAAAGTGACCTCCACCTCCTCCACCTCCACCTCGTCGCGGGCGTCGATTGTAGTCCGCCATTCTGGGAAGCGAGTGCCTGGTTTTGTTGGAAATTAAATATGGTGCGCTCGTCAATGGAAGAGTGAACTTCGTGTTAAGGACAAGGGAAGCCAAAAGTTCGCGTTGAGGTGAAACTTGTCCGCAGACGCGCATCTGCTTTAGCGGAAAATCGTCATTCTTGGCGCCAGAATATAGTAAGGCATTCAAAGGGCGGGACGCACTTCGTACCTCACTGGGTCATGGAGTCAACCACCACTACAAGTCCAGAACGGCACGACCAAAGGTACAATCTGCTTAGTCTATAGGGATAAAGATAATTGTAATGAGGTTTCAGGCCCTCAAGCTTCTGTGGTTCGAGTTCTCTAATAAGGTCCATCCAGTCATATGCAGATGAACGCACTATCAATATACGAACAGCAGCATATGGTCTGTTGCATATTCCTGAGCACAAGCCCGTTTGCCCAAGACGGCCGAGCATTCCCTTCACTTTCTTTCCTTCCCATTCATAACTCAAACACACTGCTGCCATGACCCGATGATGAGAGCAATCTTTCCCTGCCGGACCAATGAAAGGTCAATTTTTCATAAACGCTCAGCCCTATTTTGTATCAAGGTCGTTTTGTCGCGAGGCTACAGCCTGTATTTCTGACCAGCACGAATAAGCCGTTGTTGTTCGCGACAGATACCTTGTTGAATGCTAAGATATCCATCTAGAAGCGTGATGGCTGGTTGCCCCGCTGTAGTAGTAGGCCAACGCACTTCGCATGACGCCCAAACATGCTCGCATTGGTGAAGCAAAATTTCCTCTCGGCATGACTTCGTAACGTTGTCGGCAACTCTGACTCAGTCAAGGCGAGCCATCATCTCGTCTTTGGTAAGAGGAGTAAAGTTGTCCACATCAAGACCCCTGCTGGCCAGAAGTGATCGTGCGTGTGCAGGGACGAGCTTGTTGTTGAGGTGAGGTGCGATGGAAAGTTCTGTGAAATGTCAGCGAGAAATCAAGATGAGGAGGCGCCTGCCACCTACCATGACGAGAGAAATCAAAAAGAGGTGGAAGTTCGCGTGAAGCACCACCAGCATGTCGAGAGTCAGGAAGACGTGTGCTAGGGTCTCGCAATTCGTCGAAAAAAGGTTGAACCATTGCGTCGATGGCAGACAACCGTTGGGTGGGTGTGTACTCCAGAAGAGCGGAGATCAATTCAATAGCATCAGGGGATGCCTTCCGAAAAACCTTATTAAACGGATGAGGCTTGATCTGAGGAAATTTATGCTCCATGTAATTGGGATTCATAGTACGAATCTGGTCCCGCGTTGGCGTCCCGAGGACTTTGATGATCTCGACAAGCTGATCGATACCCGACTCGCCAGGGAAAAGAGGTTGACCGAGCATAAGCTCCGCCATCACACAGCCAGTAGACCAGACGTCTGCTACATGTTAGCAGCAATTACAAAAAATTGCAACGTGGGTACATACCGATCTTGGTGGTGTAGTTTGTGGCACCAAAAATCAACTCTGGGGCTCGGTAGTATCTAGAACAGATGTAGGACACATTCGGTTCATTTTCAACGAGAATCTTTGCGCTTCCAAAATCGCACAACTTCAACACGCCAGTCGAAGGATCGAGTAGGAGATTCTGCGGCTTGATGTCTCGATGGCATATCCCTTGCGAGTGAATGTAGGCCAGGGACCGGAAGAGCTGGTAAATGTACAATTTGACCTCAAGAATTGGCATGGTTGTCTTCATTTTATTGAAGTAGCGCGAGGCTCGGTAGACTGTCTCCGGCACGTACTCGAGGACGAGATTTAGGTAGACTTCATCCTTCTATCATATTGTTAGCATTCGCAGCAGAAGACAAACTTTGAAGGTCCGCATACCCGTTCACCGTTAGAATAGTAAAAGGCCTTCAACTCAACGATATTGGGATGTCGGACGATTCGCATGATCTGTAATTCGCGGTTCTGCCAGCGGTTAGTCACAAGTGTCAACGAATGAGGCGTCCACAATTCACCTTGAATCGTTTGTCCTGAAGAACTCGCTTGATGGCAGCATCTTCCCCGCTGGGAGACAATTTGGTCTGAAAGACGACGCCAAAGGAGCCATTGCCAACGATCTTGCACTGGGTGTATTGCATCTCCCTCGTTTCCCCAGTGAGGCCATCCTGCACCTTTTCCCGTACCACCTCTGTATGTGTATGTCAGCGCACGTGCCAAACACCAGCCAACACTGTTTTTCTTGTTATTATCAAGGGAGTCGAAAAACGTACCGCCCATGCGCAAGCCAGAGAACACTCCGCCAGGCCTGTTTTGCGACATTGTCAATTTCTAGGGAGGTGTGGGAGCCACTTTGGCGACGAAGCAGTCGGCTAGGGAGAAGGCGCTCGGGGAACGTCCAAGGAGGAGACGAGACGCGCGGAAGCCGAAGTGGGAAGACTGAGAGCGTTGACTTGCGACACAGTCGACTGCGAATCTCTCGGCCAAAAATTCGATGGATGGCGACGAGCTCAAAGTGCGGACGACCGTTGAGACTCGAGTCGAAAAGAGAGGGTCGAGGATTGGGTATGCAGCAGCAGAGAGAGTGCGGGAACAGAGTGAGGGTTGGCGGAAGAAGCGCTAATTTCCCCACTTTGCGTAGGTGAGGCTTTCGAAATGAGGTGTGGGAACTTTGAGCGGTCGATGATGAAACCGGGGGGTCTGACGAGGGCCGCGGTAGGGCGCGCGGACGTGCAGAGGGTTAAGAATTGTAGGATCCGAAGAGTTGGAACAAGACAACGGATGTCGAGATGGTTAAGGATGCAGGATGCTGGAGCACACTCGAGGAAACAGAGATTCACGGGGGGTGAAGAAGAATCAGGATCAGGTGGATGAAGCAGGGACGAGGAAGTGAAGTGGTGTTTCTCGCATGCGAAAAACAAATCAAGTGTTGGCAATTCAGTTGGGACTCCCGGGCCTGAGCGTCGATTGGCAGGAGAGAAGGAAAGTGCAGCGCAGGCAGTTCAACAAGCCTTTGAAGGAGAAAGAGAGAGGGAGAAACGCTCCGTAATAATAGTGGTGGTAGGCGGTGGTAGTAATAATAATAACATTAAAAGCTGCTTGACTGACAGGCGCAAAAAAAAAACAGCCTCCCTGCGGCCAGCCTGCCAGGGTTGCTTGGATTATTGTTTTGGGGTCTGCTTAGCGCATGCAACAGGCATCCCAGGCATGCCTCCTCGCTGGGTGCTGCACCAGTTGATGCACTTGTTCATTGACCGATTGATTACGGTGCCTTGGACTACCGGATATCTACCTGAATGCAGTGTTGCTCCATCTACAGCTCAAGGTAGAAATGTCCTCTTTCTATACGACTTGTTGATGCCCATCTGTCCATGCCCGACGAAGACAGCGGCAACAGGGCCTCCCGGTCAGCCCAACCACAGCATGGCTAAGCACACACCATTGACACATACAGGTCTGAGCTGACCAACAGGTCGACATCATCGCCCAGGGGCAACAGCGACGACAGTACGAGTAGGAGATCAGAAGCACACCAGGTATGACCAGCAACAGGGAGCCAAACAACGAAAGCAAACGATGCAGGTCAGATGATGGAGTGCCCCTCAATCACAGCCCGCTGCGGGTTGCATGATGTCTCCATTATGCTGGGTCCATTGTAGCTAACAAAAACACAGTTTTCCATCTGGGAATCCATTCACCTCGCCTATTATTGTCCATATGATCCACCACGCGTCAAGCGGCTTGGTGATGCTCTGACCAGCCCTGGCTTGAGGATTGACAGTACGAAAAGCCAGCGACGAGTATCTTTCTTCCAGGCTCCGGACTGGATGAGATGATGTTGAGCCATGTAAAAGCGTTCTGGGTCAAACACTCCCCTTCCACGTGCTGTGCGTAGCCCTGACAGACAATACGATACCTTGACTAAATACGAAATAGACTCTCAGATCGTGTGCTTTGGCCATGCCTTTGTACGCCTTTGAGGTCTCGACTAACCCCGCCAGACTAAACTATGCTACTTGTACTTCACGACTATCGAAAGACTCAGAAATCAAAATTCTGCATTCGAGATCTCGACCCTCGACGCCCAGACCTTTTTCATCGAGACCTGACTTCAAGGCCTGCAGAAAACCCGTATAAGTGAGAGAGACGCTTTCAGGGTTCGTAGGACGAATATCAAGCATCAAGCTGAGCCCGCAGAAATGGCACGGGCACCTTTGCATCAGGCATAGGCGGTGGGTCGAAAATTGGACGAACCACAAGCATCAGTAACGAGCTTAGGTAGCCTACCGGTCTTCCCTCAACGTCATCCGGCATCCGCTAGATGTATTTCGGCACCTCGGATTCGATCATCGCAGCAACCAGTGAAAAAAAACCACACACAGTTATGCGAGGAGAAATTCTGAGCCCAAATGGACTTCTCCATCCTGCTCCAGTTGCATACTCAGAGAGCCTGGACGTCGAATCATCATACGAGAACTCGAACCCAGACCGAACGAGCAAGAGAGGCCGAGCGGGCCGCCTACCTGACACGAACAGTGAGTCTATGTACGGACTCGTCCTGTGCTCGTAACAGGCATCAACAGCCCGGAATGACATTTCCAGGTTGGCCCCAGAGTATGACATGGACGACCAACTAGGTAAGGTAGCTAATGAGTAGGCACATTTTGCCGCCGCCAGCGAGGATCTCTGACACACAGCCCTCCGGGCGGCTTACAGGACGAAACGAGGCTCTGGCAATAAAGTCACGAGGCGAAATGTCCGCAAGGCCAAAGAAAGGCACAAGATGAACATGATCGGTCACTGCACTCGAACGGGCTGATCCAGGCCAACCATCATCCTAGCATCCATCTTTCGCTTCATGACGCCTACACAGCCATTTTTCCCCTGCACATGTAGGAGCGAGTCAAAATCCTCGTTCACGGGCTACGGATTCGCCGTCTCGCAGACGCACTTGGCACGATCAACGTATGGTATCGATGGCTGAATACGAGGTCATTATTATTATTGATCTACCTTGCCATTGAGGAAGCGCCAGTTGACACCCTGGTTCCCATATCCACCCAGGACCAAAAAATGATGTGCATGACGGCCCAAACCCAGGCCAGAAGTTACATACACAACATGTGCCACTGAACAAGTCAACACTGTGCCCTGCTTCTTCCCACCGTTTACCCTCTTCCCCTTTCTCGTTCTCTCTCTCTTTTGGATGAGAGCCGAGTTTGAGAATGTTATGCTGGTTTTCTCATGCCGTAGTAAGCAGGCTGGATTTCCAATCCCTCCGGCTCATGTACCTCGTATGATGCATATGCATGTAGGCACAATGTCCAGTGCAGCAGCTTTTCTTTGACTTGGCTAGTGAGTGGCCCGCATCATCTTCATCATCCCTGTCGGACTACCTAGTCTAGTGCGCCGCCGGATGTTCACTACATGGCTCTCAATCTTTCATCTTTCCACACCATCGTTCGCCGAGTCGCCTCACTTTTTTGTTCTATCTCTTTATGCATCCTGCAAGGTCGGGAGCCCGTGCCATTTGCGTATGCAAGTAGAAGGAAAGGAGGGAGGGAGGGAGGGACAGGCACACCACCACCCTCCCCTGCCCCTTGGTCCTGGTGAGCCCAGCCATCCCTCCCTTCCTCAACCCCCTTTCCGCTCCCAACACTCTTGACTACCTAACTTAGGTAGACTTTCGTTGGCTTTACTTTGCTTTGTGTTTGATTGCTGTATTCAACAAATCGCTCTCCTGCACGGGTATTCCCATTTTTATTATTATTACGGAGTACTAAAACTAAAACTAAAAACAACCACTTTGGGTTGGGTCGGGTGGGAAAGAACAACAAAAAGGCAGCACCCGACGTTCCTGACAACCTTAAATCCATTTGCACTGAGCCTTGCTTACCCTGTACTGCACTCACTGTACCTAAACCTGCCTGTTCTCTATACCAAAAACAAAGTACTATACCTCATCTTTATCGCTCTGCACCTTTGAATTACGCGGTATGAAAATGAGCCAACTTACACTACCGCGTCTCCCTCTTACCATGGTCCTTTCATTCGTTTCATGACAGCAAGAGAAGAAAAACGGGCCAGGTGGTTCCCTGTTGCAAAACCCCCCCCTTGACCGACCTCTCTTTCCATCTCAGATCTCAAATGATCCCGGTCAGTTTTTTTTACCTACCTAGGTACGGAGTAGGTAGGGGGCTTATGTAGGTCGACAAGTATCCCTGTCTGTGTGTCATGGGGTCCGATCCCTGGCCCTCCTTTGACCGTACATACGGAGTACAGCTTTCGTCTCTCTCTGTCTTTCTCAGCAAGCCACCACCCAGCCTTTTGTTTTTTGGGGGGGGGGGGGGTCATTGCTTTCTTTTCTGCCGGCCCTCCTGCTTGTATGGTCCATGATGCATCACTCCGTATCGAGTTGCTTTCCGAACCTTTTTCTGCCTCCCCCCGTACCTTTTGAGGCACCAACACGGATGTGAGATGTAAAGCACCGGCACCAAAAAAAAGGCAAACGCGTGTGCTCAGATTTTGACGGTTCTATCCGAGACGGAGATACTTTTGGTAAAAGTTGGGTTTTGTTTTGTGGGTGTAGTGTCCCTGGTCGCCTGGCCCCTGCAGGAGCACTCATCTGGACAAACAACCAGGCTGAACGAAGCTACTGTAGGTCATCTCTTTTTTTTCTTTTGATGTGTGTGCGTGTGTGCTTGACATGCATGTCGCGTGTCGGTCGAAGATTTCCTGGAACTATTCCTCCTCCCCCGTTTCCCCCTTGTCGTTGCTTTCCCCTGTTGTCCCCTCCTCCTGGGTATTGGGTTTGGGTTTACAGAGTGTAGACATCGCGCTCTGGTGAGAGCCTGGCCTACCTGCTGCAGGATGGGAGGAAGGACCTGGGAGAAGTGGTTGGTTTCACGAGAGAAATCGCTCACCGGGCCAGGGTTTTTCGGGGCTGATTGACTGGTTAGTTGGCCTGGCGGACCCAACTACCAAACCGATCATATGTATCGTCCCCCTTCGTCATGGCTACGCCCAAGTTGCAACACCTTGTTGAGGTCAGTCGTTTGGCGAGCTCTCGAGAGCTTTCGCTGATGAGCAGTGGCAACATGGGCCTCCCCCTCTCCCCTTGGTGTGCGCCCTTTCTTTCTATTGCTAGTCCTTACCTTTTAGCTAAAGAGATGTGCATCAATCTACCAATGCATGCATCTTTACGCGAGGGTCATTCATCAAGCGCGCAAGGCGATGGCGATGGCGATCTGTGCAACGATAGATCCCCCGTCGTCATGTATCAGCAGATCGAGAAAGAAAGAAGCACACAAGATAAAGCTGATCGTGTGTTCTTTTGTTGTTACAAGCCTTCTATTATGCAATATGTTTTGAATCTCCGCCGAGTCCGCAAGGCGCTACCATGTCAAGCACACCTTCAAGTCTCGTCATGATCCATCCCATGTACAGAAGAATTTTTTACCGGGCATGATCAAATGCCAACCACAGATCGTCACTACTTTCCCGGCCTTCCATGGCTATGCCAATGTCGCGACAAAGGTCAAAACGCCTGCAAGAAATTTCCTGTTCCAGTAGACTTTCCGCTGACTTGAGGGTGAGTACTCTGTACAGGGAAAGCGATTTCTCGCCCGGGCTTGCTCAGGAGTGAAGAGTACTAAAACAAGGTCAAGAATTCTTCGGTGAATGCTGCTGTCGAATCCCCAAGACCTCTAGATTAGATGGGAGGTGGCATGACCTGAGCGTTCTCAGGCCTCTCGGCAATTTCTTGAAGTTCCTCTGGCGCTCCTTCCAGAGACACAGCGAGACCGAGCTTGTGAGTATTCTGTAATTCCGTCAGTATTGTGGAAATGGCTGGAGAAGGAAATCAAAAGGACTTACCTTCCATTGGTCAATTTCAGCAGCAAAGGTCAGAGTGACTGGAGGCGCGACGCGCTTTTCCAAGACGACGCCGAACTTGCCCGCACTGTCGACCTGTGCACGATAGACCGAGGTGGTGAAGTTGTACTTGACGCCGACCGTGGTTGTTCCTTCTCGTCGAACGCCTCCAAACATGCCGGCGCCACCCATCCCCGGCGCAAACTGCAATTGACAATCAACACCAGCTTCCACCTTATCCGTCAATCTTCGCCAGTAAGACGCTCCCAGTGAACCTTGAGCCAAATATTGTGCACTAGCAATCCAATCTGTTCCCTTGTATCTTGCGCAGTAGGACACGGCTGTCTCAGGCCGCGAGTTCAATGCAGCGCGCTGCCATACACCTTCCAAACCCAAAGCGAGTCGAGGCGTGAGAGACTGCAGATAGCTTCCAATAACGATACCGGTGAGCCCACCTTCGAGGATCGAGGGACTGATTGCCTTGACGGAGGCCGAGAAATCTTCGCCAGTGTATTCGTTGTCAAATTGCACCATAGTCTGAGCCTGTCGTGGGTCGATCGAAGTTTGGGTTTTGGTAACAAATCGTGGTGACCACCTCAGGTTACCCCACGCCGTCAACGACTTGTCACTCGAATAAGCAGCTTGCATAAAAACCTGAGCTAGCTGTTAGCTTTGGTACACATTGAATAGAGATTGCAGGGAGATCAGACATTTGAATTGCCATACAAAGCCATCAACTGCCACGGTGGCAGAGCCTGCGAGCCCATCGCAAAGCCATGTTGTAATCGAAACAGTGGGTTGACGCTGAAAATCTTCTGCAAGTCACATCGCAGGCCGGAGAACATGAAGTTCGTTAGGAGAACATCTTTCTGCACCTCGCGTGCAATCCCATCGACTGTTCCAGGGTTCTCGAGACCCAATAGCCTTCGTCGTTCTTGCAGGCTAGAATATGTGTCTGTAATGGCCAATGCGATGGCATTGTCTGTGAGGAAGGATAGCGGAGATGAGGCCGATTTCTCTTCTATTGCAACGGCCATGTTGAAGGGATTGGGTATGGTTATCCTGTACACAGCGACCTTCAGGTGCGAAGTCTGGACCTTTGACGACGAGGGTCCCTAGAAGAGAGAATGAGGAGGCTTAGTGGATTGATGGACTGGAGGAGCCCTTGTGACTTGCGGAATTGCTGGCTTCTTTTGAGGAGCTTCACTTTTGTCTGCGCAGGGAAATCTGAGAATCATTTGCTTTGCTAGCTTGCCAAGCACCACGCGGATCCTCGCTCGCTGCCTTTTCCAACTCCGCAAGGCGGATGACATATTTGAAGGCTGTCTGACAGACTCCGTACACTATAATTTCAACCAACTCCATCTGTCAGACGATTCCATTCTTATGTGTCCCGAGTTTACCTCTTATCATCCCGCTTGACGTTCTCGTTAGCACAGGAAGGTCAAGTCGACGTAGGTTGGTACGGAAGTCGTCATCGCCCAAAGAGCTCTATATTATCTGGCCGATTGCTGTGCAACAACAGCTAATGATCAATCGTGGCAAGGTCGACCGCTGCTGATGTCTCTTTGCTACACATATCACAGCCGCACGGTGATCATAAAACCTTCCGGACGCCCGCTCGGCTGAACGACGATAGCCGACCAGCCTTTTAAATAAAACCTGCCTATTTACGCTTATATTTCTTATCTTCTACCACTTCATACTGATCTTACACAACACGCCATGGATACGCTTCTGACGGTAGACTCGGCGGTCAATGCGCCACGATATCGGCGCAAGTCGAGTACCTTCGTGGACGCGATCCATGACTTACCCCAGAAGGAAGAATTGGCACCGGCCCAACTCTACAGCACCGAATCAGGGCGTTTGTTCCACGCTGGTCGAATCGCAATCGCTACAGTAGGTCTGCCAGCTCGTGGGAAAACACACATCTCAGTGGCGTTGGCACGATATCTACGTTGGCTAGGAGTCAAAACTCGAATCTTCCATCTTGGGGATTATCGGAGAGCCATCATCGGACAGGGCAAGGATGTGCCTGATGACTACTTCTTCGTCAACGCTTCGGCTTCGTCAGTGCTTCTACGGCAAAAGATACTTAAGAAGTGCAGGGAGGACATCTACCATTTCCTGAATCATGAAAATGGCCAGATTGCCATCTATGACGCCGTCAATCCACTCGCAGCGGGACGAAGATCCCTTGCGAAGGAGTTTGCAAAGCACGACATCAAGTGCCTCTTCATCGAATCAAGTTGCGACGACCAGCGTATCATCGAGGAGAACGTCAGGAGCGTCAAAATCTCCTCGCCAGACTATGTTGGCTGGTCCGAGAGCGATGCGGTTAAGCACTACTTGAGTCGAATGTCAGCTAAAATTCCGCACTTTGAGACTATGGAGGAGCCAGATCTCGACTGGATCAAGATGATCAATGCCGGGGAGAGATTGGTGGTCAACAATACCAGTTTCGGCTACATATCTCACCGAATTGTATTCTACTTACTCAACCTACACATCAAATCCCGACACACATATTTTGCACGGGCTGGGGTGACGCTAGAAGAAGAATCATTCAAAGCAGATGCGCCTCTGTCTCCTGCTGGCCGAGACTATGCAAAGAAGATGACAAACACTCTACTTCAACATCGAGAGGAAGAGAGACGCACCATCATTGAGAAAGGAGGGCTAGAAGCGCCCCTTAAGCCGCTCATCGTTTGGACATCCACCCGTAGAAGGACGGTAGAGACATCAGCCTTCCTTGAAGGAAGCGGGTTCAAGGTTAGACAGCGGTCGCAGATGAGTCAACTAAACCCTGGTGTCTGCGAAAAGAAGTCCGAGAGGAGAATCCGACAGGACTATCCCGACGAAGTACTAAAGCATGACCTCGACCCATATCACCACAGATTCCCAAGAGCCGAGGTATGGCCGACTTCTTCGAGGTCTCTTGCATCGCTAACTTGACTAGTCATATCACGATGTTGCTGTCCGATTGGAGCCGATCATTCTAGAATTGGAAAGAGAACAGAACGACTTGCTCATCATTGCTCATGAGAGTGTCCTTCGCGTGCTATACGGTTATCTAATGGCCTGCAATGCGGCCGACATCCCTTTCCTGTCTTTTCCCCGTGACGAGATAATTGAGGTGCGTCTCCGGAGGAACGGCAAACGCTAGAGAACTCTACTGACCATGGCTTAGATTATCCCTGCAAGCTACAACAACGAAGCCAAGCGCATCAAAATACCAGACCTCCCACCAGAAATCATACCAGCATCACCTGAAGGTATCAAAGCGCCTGCTCCTCCAAGCGGTTTTGCAACCCCAATTCCTGGCCTGGGCAGCGGCATTGCAAGCCCTCGCATCGGTATCAGCCGGGGACCTGGGACACCAGAGCCACAAGCATCTGGGTCCAAAACGCCAGAAGACTCTGAGATTCTGGCTCACCGAATGCACGACGTCGTATGATAATATCCTGTGGTAAACTTGCTTGTACTGGCAATGCACGATGAGATGCGTGATGAGTATGTCGACCAAATCTTTGAAATAGTAGTGTTTGAATAAAGATAACGGCTTAGCCGCCGTGCAATGTTGAGACAAATAGGATATTATCCTTGTTGGCCAGTTCGTATTTGTCTTCGCCTTCGAGTTCCCAATCTGAATCGTTGATCAGAACTAGAACGCCGGGCCGTCTGATACATACATGTCAGGAAAGATCCTCGTAATAACTTTGGGATCGTCGACTTACACGGCGCCGTCAAGAACAAATAACTCCTTCCGGCTATCCTTCATCAGGTGGTCGCAAATATAGCTGACAAGATAGCCAACGGTTGGAGGTTTTCCACCATCAGCGTCTTTTGTCAGCGACACCTGATGTTTAGTCTCGTTGTCAAACAACACCTCCAGACCTCCGCTGAACTCGCATTAGGATTCCACAATCCAGGGATAGGTCAGGACATACCTAAACTCGACAGTGATGTTGATTTTTTCCTCCATCGTCAATGGAAAACTTATTGCCAGCCCGCACTATAAGCACTCGGGAGATAAAAGTGAGCTTGTTACTAGAGACTGGATAGAAACAATAATCTCTACAAAGAGCCGCTCTGGGTGTTACACATGAAGTTAGGACGAAGGTGAGAGAGGGCACAATGGAGTGAGTAACGAATGTCTCTTATTCACCAATCAGATCCTGCGAAATCGCCCGTATAAATTTCTGTCTTGGCGGAGTTGTTTTTCCTTCGAGGAATTGCTTTGCATTGATTCCTCAAATAGAGACAATACAGTCAATGAATTCTGTCATCGAGGACGAGTACTACGCTGTCGGCGGCAATAGGCATAGTGCAGCGGCCGACTGGTCACTCGCCTCTGGGCTTCTTGCCTTTGGCGCAGATCAAAATGTGGCCATCTGGTCACCATTGAATAATGATTCGAGTCGTGGCATCTCAGCGCTGCTGTCCGGACACACCTCGAAAATTACAACGATCAAATTCATATCGTCCAAGAGTGGTGGCTCGGATGAATTAATAGTGACTGGTTCCGCTGATGGAGAGATCCTGCTGTGGCAACATGGTAAAACCTGCTGGACACATGCCGACAAGGCTGCAGCTCATCGAGGGTCCGTCAACACCATTGCAGTTCTGGAAAACAGCAATATGTTCGTGACTGGAGGAGCGGATGCAAAAGTCAAGCTGTGGAAAGTCCAGGATGGTACATTGGAAACACTCTCGACGCTCGAATTGAAGCCAAAGTTCATGCCGCTTGCTCTGGCACTTGGACCCTTTCAAGCGACTTCCATCGATTCAGCATTCTTGGTGGTTGGAGGTACACGCAATGAAATACAAGTCTATTCGATTGAATCATTGTCCTCAACTCCTAAATATAACCTGTGTGCGACCTTGACTGGACACGAGGCTTGGGTCAGGTCTTTAGCTTTGACTGCGGCCCCGGATGGTGAGTTTCTCCTGGCCTCCGCAGCCCAAGACAAGTATGTCCGGCTTTGGCGCTTTCAGCCTGGGCTTGCTGCTGCTGCTGCTACTAAAGTGGCACCACCTGTTGATCCGAAACACAACTCCACCATCAACGATGCATTGACCGCGAAAGTCCAAAGTGTTTCTGCTGCTGATAGCAAGTACTCAATAACATTTGAGGCTCTATTGTTGGGTCATGAGGACTGGGTGTACTCGGCGGCATGGAGTCCAAACGAATCGAATCAGCGCCTACTAACAGCCTCGGCCGACGGATCGCTGTCGATATGGGAGTCTGATCCAGGCTCTGGGATATGGGTCAGCGTGTCTCGGCTGGGCGAAATCAGTGGTCAGAAAGGAGCAACCACCGCTACGGGATCCTCGGGAGGATTCTGGACGGGTCTCTGGTCCCCTGATGGACTGATGGTGACGTCTTTGGGCAGGACTGGAAGCTGGCGGTTGTGGCAATACAATACAGACTCACAATTCTGGACCCAGAAACACGGAATCAGTGGTCATATCAGTTCAGTAAATGGACTATGCTGGTCACCGGACGGCGGCTATCTGCTCTCCACGAGCTCGGATCAAACGACCAGGCTCCATGCTGAGTGGAAAAGGGGAGTGAAGCGGACGTGGCACGAGTTCGCCCGACCACAAATTCATGGGTACGATCTCAACTGTATAGCAAGCACGACACCTCACCAATTCTCATCGGGCGCAGATGAGAAGCTGCTCCGTGTCTTCAATGAGCCGAAAGACATTGCGTCAATGTTGCACAAATTGTGCCAGATCGGCTTGCCCCCAAATGACGAGATCTTACCAGACACCGCTGCTATTCCGGTATTGGGTCTGTCCAACAAAACCATGGACGATGCCAAGGATATGGAAGACGGCGATGCAGCTGAAGAACTCGATCCGGGCCTAGCAAATGACGGGTTGGGCACTTCGCTGCCTCATCTTGAAGAGCCACCCCACGAAGACCTGCTATCTCGCCACACTTTGTGGCCCGAGCACGAAAAGTTGTATGGCCACGGCTATGAAATATCAGAGGCCGCCACGCCTGTGGATGGCCGCGTGCTTGCTACCGCGTGCAAGGCAAGCTCGATTGACCATGCTGTGATTCGTCTGTATGACACAGAAACATGGAACGAGATCAAACCTCCGCTACCAGCCCACTCGCTCACGGTCACGAGACTGGCGTTTTCGGAGCAGCCAGGTGAATTCTTACTCAGCGTTGGACGTGATCGACAGTTTGCAGTGTTTCAGAATTCAGCAAGCGGCGATGTCAAGTCCTGGACCCGTGTTGCAATAAATGCCAAAGCTCATTCTCGGATGATCCTGGATGGAACGTGGCTACGAAATGCTCGCCGTCCGACCTTTGCGACGGCAGGGAGAGATAAAGTGGTTAGAATATGGGGCGGTGCATTGAAGGACGGACGACTCGAATTTAGCTGTCAAATTTCGATTGCTCGCAAAGTCTCGGTGACTGCCATTTCGGCCGCTGCCAGTGGAGATACAAACCTGCTGGCTTTGGGCGAGGATGATGGCGCAATATCATTGCATCTTGTCAAATGTACTGATGAGATAGAGCTCGTCAAAAGCGGTGACATCAACAAACATCTCTGCCCCTCGAAAACAGTCAACAGATTGGCTTGGAGACCGAACAAGGAGTCTTCATGTGATAGAGACCAAGGTCATCTTGCTATTGCTTCCTCTGACAGCTCTGTGCGCATCTGGAAGGTTGATTGGAGAAGTTGGGCCGAGTCATGATATATATATTCATTTCCGTACCGCCATTCCCAACGCTGAAAAGCCAACCTCTACCGTCGACGTGTATGGTGTTAAGACCAAATTCTAGCTTCTACCTCAGCACCGTCAATGCCAAAATTTGCTCATGATGGATCGATCTTGTTGAAGATCCGACGGGTATCATCACACAATGCATCAAAAGAAACCCCCCGGAAAAACAGTTCTAGCATCTAATCCTCACGCTTTCTCTTGTCCGTAACCGCCTTCTCCCTCGTGCGTGTCATAGGTCTTTGCCTGGCCCATCTGATCGCGAGGGCCTCTCTCCCTCAGGTCGTCCTTGAGCCACTTCAGGACCAGCTCGCCCAGTTTGCTGTTGCCGGTGTTGTTGTAAAAGTCCGTCTCCGCGTCGAATTTCGCCATGGCGCCCCACTCCTTGACTTTCCCCAGGTGCATGTGCACGAGGTGCGTGGGCCAGCCGACCAGGTTGTCGAGGATGTGGGTGGCGTAGACGATGGTGGCCCCTCGTCGTTCTGTTTCTCCCCGCAACCAGTTCAAGAAGTTGCTCCGGCTCAAGAGGTCCAGGTCGACGGTGATCTCGTCCAGCAGGAGCACGTCCCAGGGGCGTATCAGGCCCATGGCGAGCTGGACCCGCCGCCTCTCCCCGTCGCTGACGGCGTGCATCCTCCACCGGAGGTCGATGTCGAGGATCCGGACCAGTTCGTCCCGCCGCTCCGGGTAGTACGAGCCCCCCACGGAGTCGAGCAGGACCGGCACAGCGATGTCGGTCCTCACGATCGGGTTCAGCACCCACTCCAAACCCAGATACGTGACTCCCTCCAAACCGGCGGCGAACGGATCGACCCCTCCGATCGAGATGGTGTCCGCGGGTGCCAACCTCTTGCCCGACAGCAGCCTGAGCAACGTCGTTTTACCCGCGCCGTTGGCTCCGATCAGCAACGTGCGGCTTCCGGTAGGGAGGTCCAGGTTGATCTTCGATAAACCCGTCGAGCCGTCCGGAAATAGATAACTGAGGTTGGAGACCTTGATGTCCGGGCTCGCCACGTGGCCCGGAGGCACGTCGTACTGGTCTGCTGGCATCGTGTCCCTTGAGAAGCAAAAACCACCCCTGTAATTAAATCCCCGCGTATATTGACAGATTGAGGGCACACGCGCGAGTGAAACTGTGTGGTATCTCTCTTAGAAGTTCATGATGGCGAGGTTTTACAGTGAAAAAAAGTGGACCAATAGTAGTCGTAATAGAAAAAGCTGCTCGGTTGCCAGAAGCGGACACAACGAGTCCAGGGCACATATTTTTGGGCTGCGACCGACAAATCCCGAACCAAATATTGTTTACATGGCTTTCTAATAAGACAAGCGGCGCGCTCCTAGAAGCTCGGTAGAAGTTCACGATATATCTGAGATGCACAACAAGATCTGGGGTATGTACAGTATGTCCTAGTGCCATCGCGCAGGTTGTTTCATCGCGTATGGGTAGTAAACTCTCGGCGTCTCGGGGGCCACGCGCGTCCACTCATCCCTGGCGTACATAAAAAGTTCCTTAAGCACTTCTTATCTAGATCTCGACTAGTTGTGTTGTACTGGATACGATGTTCTTCTGTACAGTATCCCTTGTGTCTGGGCCTTTCTGCCACTTGGGGGGCTTCGCCGGTGATACACGGCCCTATAACCGATGCCAGGGAAAGGGCTTCGTGATGCCAAGATTACTGACCCCGGTCCCTAATCCCGCCCTCCTCACAACATACCTTATACTCCTGTTTCTTCTCCTTTAAGCTGAGAAGAGATTCCGATTGTTACAGCGCTCAAAAATCTGTCGAGGCGCATGGAAGGAAACCCATCATCATCCCGTTATCACCCGGCCTCATCAAGAAACTCCAAAGCATGACAACCACATCAGAGAACTACCGACTCGATGGCATGATGCTGCCCAGAAGTGCCCAGCCTTTTCCGCGTCTTGGTACTCTTGACCTTACAGGCATATATGTCCATGCATGTCCATGCCCTGAGTTCGTTTGATATCCTAATAGGTCGGCGACAAGGGTACTTCTGCTACATTTGCCAGCTTGGGAATGTCAATCTGTGCGACGTAACATCGTCCTTTGCTTTAAAGACCCAATGCTTCCTCCTCCGAACAGCTCATGCAGTACAAAACCGGGGAGATGAGGAGGAAAGATTTCTTGGCCGCCTCCTTATCGGCCTTGGGGCTTGCGTCCAAGTTGCCCTCGACATGCTTCACATGCTTGAGCGGAACAAGATCTACAGCTGTCGCCGGAAGGGACGAGCTTGACGGCTATTGGAAAATCCAAAGCTGGGGGTATCATCATCATGATCCGCTGTAAGAGACGGCTACTGAAGACAAGGTGAGTGCTTCAATTGGTTGTCGCTACGAGATGCTCTTGCTCCTCCTCCAAGGTAAATGCCACATTCTTTTGCTTCCGACCCTCTAAGGACGCCCCCGCCCTTCTGTTATCGCCAATACTGTTTTGTGACTGGAGAGGAGACAGCCTCTTCTGCATGGCATGCATGACACGAAGTTCCTGATACTACCTTGCGCCGATCTTCTGCTCGGAGTGTGTCCGTATGGCCGACTCGTTGTGTGATTGTGGAATATATATCAGGGACATGTAAAGACAACATCGGTCTCTGCCTCTTCTTCGTTATCCTGAATATCTCTCAACACCTCACCTCTGGCTATCATACCCGACTTTCGTACTTTCTCAGATTCAATCCCCTTCTCAGGCCCTTCTTCCTTTCGACGATAAACATGGCCGAGAGTCGCAATGAACCCGCTGACCCCATCGTCAGAGGAACATTCGCGACGGCCAAGCAGTCCTGGGCCGACCTCTTCAAGTGGAAACAACGAGTCGCCGTGACCAACGACTACGGCGAGACGTATTGTGAATGGCAGTCCCCTCGTCCCCTGAGGAACCCCATCAGTCTCTTCGCCCAGCTCAGCGCCCGCGACTGGCTCTTCTTCCTCGTGGGTCTCGCGGCGTGGACCGCCGACGCGTTCGACTTCCACGCCCTGTCGATCCAGACGGTCAAGCTGGCCAAGTACTATGACACCTCTAAGACGAACGTCACCACCGCCATCACCCTAACCCTCCTTTTGCGCTCCATTGGCGCCGCCATGTTCGGCCTGGCCGGTGACAAATTCGGTCGAAAGTACCCCATGGTCGTCAACATGATCGTTTTGGGTCTGTTGCAGGTCGCCACAATCTACAGCTCGACATTCACCCAGTTCCTGGCGGTCCGGTCTCTTTTCGGCTTGTTCATGGGCGGCGTCTACGGCAACGCCATCGCCATGGCCCTGGAGAACTGTCCCGTCGACGCTCGCGGTCTGATGTCCGGTATCTTACAGCAGGGGTATTCCCTGGGCTACGTGATCGCCGCGTCTTGCAACCTCGGCGTCGGTGGGAGCACCGACTCGTGGAAGACCGTCTTCTGGATCGGGACCGGCCTATCGATCGGTGTCGGTCTGATCCGATTGTTGTTTCCCGAGTCCAAACAATTCATCGCCGCAAAGGAAGCCGGTGGAGGCCACACGTCGTCATCACCCCGAGCATTCTGGATCGAGACTCGTAAGATGTTAGCCCAGCAATGGCGCATGTGCATCTACTGTATTATTCTCATGACCTTCTTTAATTACTTTTCGCAGACAAGCCAAGACAGCTATACGACCTTTATGCTCACTCAAAAAGAGCTGAACAACGCCGCGGCCAGTCGAGCCAGTATCATCATGAAGACGGGAGCTTGCGTCGGCGGTACCATCATCGGTTACATCTCTCAATGGTTCGGACGTCGACGTGCGATTATCGTTTCTGCCATTGTTTCGGGACTCTTGATCCCAGCTTGGATATTGCCTACCACCGAACGTAGTTTGTCCGCCACTGGATTTTTTATGCAGTGTGAGTATTCTTTTTGGGTCATCTCACTTCATAATTCTCTCCCCTCTACTGCCATCCTTTTTTTTTCCAATGCATTACCCATTTGAAACCCCGCAAATTTCCTTCCATGTCTTGTGAACTAACACCGGTGACACAATACAGTCTTTGTCCAGGGTGCCTGGGGGGTGATCCCGATCCACCTCAACGAACTCTCCCCTCCCGCCTACCGATCCTCCTTCCCCGGCATCACCTACCAACTGGGCAACATGATTTCGTCGCCGTCGGCCCAGATCGTCAACGCCATAGCGGAACACCGTACGGTCACCGCCGTCGATGGGCAACCCGCTCCCGCCTACGGACCCACCATGGGGGTCGCCACCGCCATCATAGCCTTGGGTATCGCCGTCACGACGGCCCTGGGACCCGAACGCAGAGGCCGACAGTTCGAACTGGCCAAACCGGCGGGGGTCGCCACCGCCGACGAGATCGAGGTCAAGGGAAAGCTGAACGACGTGGAGAGTCAAGTGGCCGTCGACGGAGAAAAACCGGACGTGGGTCAGATGGAGAATGTCGTCGTTGACGACGACGAGAAGAAGCGTTAGGTAAACCGCCAAAAAAAATAGGCAGACAGACACCCCGTTGTTTGTACTCGTACCGAGAATCAGACCCACAACAAGAAGTACTGTACTGTACCTGGTCACCAGTACTTGTGTTACTTGCATTGCTTTTGGGATCTCGACGGAGAGGACTTGTCTGTACTGTACGCCGCGTCATTTACACCTCCGTACAAGTTACTGTAAGTGGGCGCAATGAAATATCTAGGTACGTGGGCTTGTTGGCCGTATCCTTATAGACCGAATCAATAAGTACCAGACACATGACACGATCATGAACAATGGCAAGACCAAACACATAACCTTGCCTTTTACTGTACGGTAGAAACGATAATGGCTTTACGAACCAAGAGAGGTCAATGTACAAGCCCTTGGGGTGGAACAGAGACACAGGTCCAATAACCTCGGTACCAGTATCCCATTTTGAACTGTTCTACACGAAATCATATCTATGATACATCTTTCAGCTGGTTCTTTTCATCAATCATTAGACGGGTCATAACGCATTAGCATCATCACGTAAAAACTGCCTCGCTGTGGTTATCATGCTCGGGTATCCTGATATAGGACCACCCGCTGCTGCAACAGCGACGGGAGCGGATGGCTTTTCAACAGTAGCAGCCCAGTACTCTGGCTTCTCCATCCCAGGTGGCCACCAGTCAAACAACAGGAAAGCTTCGTCGGATGTCCAAGGCCCAGTCTGCCCTTCTTGATCCTGCCCATGTTCTTTGGTGGGAAATTCTTCAATCGGGTCCTTCAATGCGGCAGTGTCGGATGCACAACGTTGGAATTTTTGAGGACTCTTGGATTTCACACTAGTTTGTCTAGTTGACAAATCATTCAGAATCTTCAGCGGGCTTCGGGGCACGAGACTGGTTTGACCTGGGTTTTGAACGGCATCATCTTCCACGACAGCATCGTTTTCCGAAAAGACTCTACGGAAGTCTCGTGTGTGAGGCATCAGAGTAGGACCCGTTAAAACCACGGAGGGTGGCTGGGCTTCCCCTAGAGCTTCAGCCGGTGGAGTACTTGATGAGAACAGGTCCGCTATGTCCAACTCAGGTACATTGTGCAATCGTTCTTCCACGGAGGTACTTTCCAGAACAAAATTTCGATGATTGTTTTCCACACGCTCGTGCTGTTCTAGCTCGTTCATGGTCATTGCTAGGAAGGGAAATTCTTCTTGAGTTGGCATTGGAGGCGGCGTGGGTAGTCTGGGTTCTCTGTTCCCATCCTCGGGTAGGAAAAGAGGGCTTGAGGCGATGATGTCTGTTCCATTACTGCCCGCAGTAGCTTGACGAGGACTAGATTTGATGTTGGGGTGCCTAGGAGATTCTCGGTAGGTGGGGTGAGGGACATTGTCCAGTTCGTCATCTGATATGGGCGGCAGAGGAGTAGGACTGCGCGCTTCTTCACGAGGTGACGCTCTTTCAACCGGTGTACCGGCATGGAGTCTCAAGTCAGGTGTCTGAAAAGGTTGCAAAACCAGCAACTTTGATTTGGGTCGCGGCCGACCTAACAGCAAACGTGCTTTACGCTGAATAGAAAGGCGAGGTTTGGTCAATATGGCCCCGGTTTTGGGCTCGGTCACGAGCTGTTTGGTGGTGTCTCGCGGAGTTGGTCTCGTTGTCTGAGCTTTGAGAGCATTCGTCTTGGACCATTTTCTTTCTTGCAGCATCAGTGTTGATTCGGAGGCTCTCTGAGACCTTCCAATGGCTCCCGGGGGCTCGAAGGACGATACAACATTGGTCCTTGACTGCGTTCTTCGATCATGATCGCATTCCTCGTCTGATGAAATCTCTACCACGGGACGAGGCCTTGTCGGAGGAGCTTTCTGAACAAGTGGTGATCTTTCAAGGTTGTTTGATCGAATAGGCTGAGGTATACAAGGCTTACTAGGCGTGGCAACTCGAACGCTCTCACCGGGACGATTTTCTTTATCATTGGATAGTCTGCGTCTTTTTGGAGGAGGCTCGTTCGGCTCTGGGCGGAAAGTTGCCTGCCTCTGCTCGTATGGCGATTGTAGGGGTAACCGTGAACGTCCCAAGCGTCCTTGCGATGGTCCGAGGACCTCAAGCAATGACTTGGGCCTCTGAGAAGGGATTGACGACAACGATTGAGCACCGAAACCTCCTGCTGGTCTTTTTTGTGGTGTAGCCTTCTCTGGTCGCTGCCTTTCGAGTATTGGAGCTAAATCGGTCTCAGTCTCTCCCAAACGTTCGCCAACTTCGACTTTGACACCTCGGTCGAGTTGTATTTCTACACCTTCACCAAATTCCTCCTCTTTCGTATAGTGAAGGTCGCCGATATAATTCTTCGCGTCATCGTAGACCATGACGCGTCGGTTGAAGGTATGAAAGCGTAGGGAGCCATCGTGCCATTTCTTTGCCTTCTTGTGTAGATCACGAGTATACAGACAGCGGAATTCGTGGACGGGGGCGGTATTCTGGGTGGGAGCAACACTCAAGGTAGGGTTACCACGGTGTACCGACACTGCGGTCACCATAATCACAGTCGGGTGGGTAGGAAGATGAGGTGGTCAGCAGCATGATGTTTCCACATTGTCCGTCCACCTCATCAAATGAATATGGAGGGGATGTGCATACGGCTGTGAAGGTCGGTGGTGGGCGTCTGAGGCAAGGAGGAACTGGTGAGGCCACTTTGTTGTAGGCTTAGAGCGACAATTACGCGCGTCAACTGAGACCAACTAAATAAATAGCTGCGCATTCGTTCTTGGTGTCTGCGTCTTTGCGGAATCCAGATCCTAGACTGTTCCCTCTTCAGATAATTAGCTACTCGTTCTAATTCTTGTATTTGTTTGTCTTGCTCTTTCCTCTATCACACACGTTCAGACTGCAGGCCAGTCCTCAAATGTAATGCATATTCCCGCCCGCCATCACCATCGACACTCGTTCCGACCCAACATTCCTACCAAGTCGTACCACCCAAAGATCAGCGGCCCGACTTCTGTTGATATCCTGGGAGAACGATACCTGGGTCTCTGCGGACACCTCTGCGACTCGATCAATTGCCCTGACATTGCTGGAGGTTCTCTGATGGACCGGCGGGTCCCAAAGACTCACCATGCACAGTGTTCAGCGACATTTTGGCAAGTACATGAGGAGGAGTGCAGATGAGCAACAGATCTCCGTTCTACTTAAAGATTTCGAAGAGGCGGACCGTCTACTGACCAAGGTATGACCGGCCATTCAAAAAGAGAGGATGTTCGACGACTCATTAACGTGTCCAAGGTCATTGAATCCTCCAAACAATGGCGAGAAGCCTGGATCGCCATTCTCACCCACCAACACCGTATGTTCGAGGAGTTCGAGCTCCTTTATGCCCCGATTGTTGGCGCCAGTGAAGATTATCAAGGCCATGTTGCAGTCCTCACCCCCGAGCATCTCGTCGGAAGAACCAACCGGATCAGGATGGAGTCCTCGGATTTGAAGAGGGATTTAATAGAAGATCTTGCCCATGTCGAGGACAAGTTGATCCAGCCGGCTCAGAGTGCCAAAGATAGTCTTCACACGATGAGGAAGACAATCAAAAAACGAGAAGATCGGAAGCTGGACTATGAAAGATATCAAAGCAGAGTCGAGACGGCTCAGAAAAAGGCAAAGCGTTCAGAGAGAGAAAATGCAGCACTTGCAAAGTCCCAGTCTGATCTTGCTTCAGCAACAGAAGCATACGCTGCCGCCGACGAGAACCTAAGGAACTGTCTACCACGGTTACTCCAATCTGTCTTCTCACTGCTACCGCATTTCCTCGCCACTCTCATCAACATCCAGAACAGCTTACTCGGGCATTATTACACATCACTGCACGCATATTGCACAGAAGAGGGCTTTCCTTCTCCGAGTCCACCCATGGATGAAGTCATCAGGCTGTGGGACGATGCCTTCAAGCCTGTACAACGGGAGATCGAATCTTTTGCACTCCTGGCCAACGGAAAAGCCATCAAAGCGTCAATGTCTCAGGAGAACGGACATCCACCTGCCAACGGCTATCGCCGCCCCAGCGCCAACTCGTCCTTTGCTCGTGGACAGTCTGTCTCACCTGCCAGGGCACTTCCACCTTCTCCATCTTTTGAGATCAAGCCAAAGATTTCTTCGTCTCCTGCGCCATCGACCTTACTAAGCCCGACAACTCCTATGGAGGCTACACCGTCGCCTTCGCACTCAGTGTATCAGACACCAATGTCTTATTCCCCAGCTGGACCCCACACGGATTATTTCTCCCGAGAGCGTCAGCCTTCGACAACGTCTGTTACATCTGCGACTTCCATCGCACAGAAAAAGCGCCCTCCACCCCCTCCACCACCACGGTTGCCGTCGCAGCAGGCAATTTTTGTGACGGCACTGTACGATTTTGACGGACAAAGCGAAGGTGACCTCGCTTTTCGAGAAGGAGATCGAATCAGGGTTCTCAAGAAAACGGAAAGCACAGACGACTGGTGGCAAGGGGAGCTTCGAGGAGCCCAGGGGCCTTTTCCTGCCAACTATTGCCAGTGAATCTAGCTTGCATCACAAATGGATGAGGAGCAATCAGTGTAGCTCTCTTTGTTTGTTTTTGAGACGAGTAGTCGGGCGATGGTCAAAACGGCCAGAACAAACGATTGGATCAAGGATGAGAAGGGGGTTGATTTGGCGATGAGAATGAAATAAATGACCTGGTTTAGCATCGGGATTCAGCATGAGCAAAGGTATCGGAAGCATTGTAAGTTATCGAAATATACCCCAAATCAAAAAGAGAAGTCTATTAAATGAAATCTGTTTCCTCTTGTCTTCGTCATGATATCTGTTGAGGTGACCAAATCATTGTTTCCATCTAGTGTACTCTTGTACAAGTCCCACTTCTGGTATTCACTTGACACCCCCCTCGTCTTCACTCTTCCTCGAGCCAACCAACCGACGAGTACTAAAAAAAATAGAAAAACTCTGCCGAAACAAAAAGTTTGGAGGTTCGAAGCCCAGACCTGGCTTCTTCTTTACTTATCCCGACTATGATCACACTGTCATCCCCTCGTACCTTGGTCAAGGGATGCTCCAGTCACATCATGGAAACCTGCCGACTCCCAGTTTAATCCACTAAGGCTAGGTCTCCAAGGATAAGCCCAACCTCCGAACCATTGGGCCAAAGTGGCGGTTCGACGTGGTGAGTGCTTACTAGTGGCCATCAAGGCTGTCCTTTGTTGGAGAAAAGTTCACTCATCAAACCCATATACTCTGGAATAAAATGGCGGATCACTGAGTGAATCACCAAGTGAATGAATTCTTGGTATGAGCAAAGTCGGGTAGGTGTGTATATACACCCTGTTCAACAATTTTCCTTTGCCCTCTCTGGAGGCACCGCACTTCTTGCGTGCACCACCGGGCACACTGGATCATGAGAGTCTCAGTCGGGCAGTCATTGATCGGCCCAACTGCTCACGGCGGGCCTCCAAGTCTTCAAGATGCCTCAGCGATTCCTCGGAGCCACTCTTGCTGGGAGAAGGCGGCATTTCCTGCCGATCACGTCTCATTCCTGCCCCGAGGCATCTGCCTTTTCCCAATTACTGACAACCGTCACCCCTTTCGGTTGCTCCACTTCAACCGGCTCTGCTTCTTCGACGGTCAAGCCGGGGAGGACTAAGCGAGGATGGGGGGTGACGCCCAGCTTGGCTGCCTCCTCGACCGTGAACGTTGCAAAAATGTCTTGTTCATCAATGACACCCAATCCTGGAACGGGAAAGAGCCGATTCAGAACATAATGCACCAGAAACGACAGTGCGAACCCTTCGACGTACGCGAGGTAGAATATCTCCTGTGCCCCTTTTGGTACGTGAATGGAAGGGTTGACGGCGTTGATGAAGCCTGGAAGGGCGGGGGCGATACCGATCAGCCACGAGACGTACGCCCGCCAGTTGAACCCACGGTTGTACCAGTAAATAGAGGAATCGTCCGCGGTGTACAGGTCCGAGAGCTTGAATTTCCGACCACGAATCACCCAAAAGTCGCACACCATCATGCCGACCATGGGTCCCAGGAACACCGAGTAGCCGTCGAGGACGTTGATGAAGGTGTTGGCAGTGTCGGCCAGCTGCCAAGGGTTGATCGCGATACCCAACACGAACGTGATGACGGCCCCGCGACGGATGTTGATCCACCGTGGGAACAGGGCGGCGAGGTCGAATCCTCCCGGCCACGCGTTGTCGACGGTGTTGATGCTCAGTTGAGAGACGAAGAACCCCAGACCGGCGAAGAAGGCCCCCGCGCGGGATCTGGCGGTGTACCCATCCTCCATCCAGCGTAGGGCGAGCTCGGCGGGAGACCAGAGCAACTCACCTCCGTATATCTTCTGGGCGGCGGACGTGGTGAGGGTTCCCATGAGAGTGACCAGAGCTCCGACGATGACGGTGGAGTATATCTGACCTGGGATTTGAGCTCCGGGAGTCTTCGCGAACCGGTTGAAGTCGCTCTGGTTGGTGAGTGACACGGCGATTGACCCTATGACCGTGGTTATGCCGCGGATGACAGCCCAAGCCTTTTCGCTCGTCGTGGTCAGCGTGCTGTTCGCCGCCAGCAACGGTCCTCCACCGCCAGCGGTCGCCAGAGCCCAAACGGTCACTGAGAACATGGTGACCGCCGTGAGGATGTTGGCCCATCTGAAGAGTATGGCCGTCCGCTCGGGTGAAATCAACAAGCAAGGAAATTGAAAGCAGAGAAACACGACAAAGCCAACGAATTGCTGGGTCGTCATGTGAGCACTGGCCGGGAACGTGTTGGGGATATGTCTGTAGCCAGAAAACATTGCATAGAGCATGACTCCGGTCATTTGACCGCCGATCCAGGCTTGAACTCCGTACCATACCAGGCAGAGCATTATCCTCTGGGCTAGAGCAAGGTACGACCCTCTCAAGCCCCAGACTGCACGGTTTCCCACAGAGAAGCCAACGTGCCACACTGCTCCCCACCAGCCGTTGGCAATGGCGACGCCGGCGATCAGAAACTTGATGGCCGCCAGGAATTAGTCTGTTTGTTCCACCGTCAGGTATTGAGGGCATTTTGCTCACCTTTGCGATGATTGTTACAATCATCGCCTCCCAAACACTGAGGCCTAGTGAGATCAATGAGCTGGCGGTCTGCCAACCGACAGTGTTTAATTGGATGACGGCCCAGAATCCTAGGAACCCCCATACCGTCCATGTACGTCTCGATGGAGGGAGCGGCGCAAGATCACGATTGTTCCAAGGCGTAGCTGTCTGTCCGCCTAAGTTCTCGTCGACGGGGACTTCAAGCTTCTTACTGAGCCTGGAGGCTCGTCTGCGGATAGAATCCATGGTATCGCCCGGGTCAAGTTTTCAACCGTGGATGGCAGTCTCACACGGCATCTGCGAATATTCGAACATATATGAATATGCCATGATCAGGGCGTCCTTGAGCTCCTGATATCAGCAAGTCGGGGAGGATGTCAATCCGGCCATACGCCGTACCGCCTACATACCTGGACTCACGTTGTCGACAATCGCTATTTCAGGAGTATCATCGCTGATCTCCATATCTGTTGTATAGCGGTTTGCCCGATGGTTGATAAGGAGAGCACCCGTGGAAATGACTGGACAATCATACATTGCAGGGGTGGGCTCACGGCCGCCGATGGCCAGAGTAGCCCGCGGCAGACATTTGGTCGTGCCAAATGGTAATGGAGCATTGTCATCACATCGGACTTCCGAGATGATGAATGGTAGCACACAAGATGCCAAATAAGCTGTTGGCGTTCGTGCTGAGTGTATGATAGACACGATCAAAGGGGAAGGAGAATATGCACCGCATTCGACTCCGCACAGCAAAATGCCAGGCGTTGTACGAGGCCATACCAGATGGATGTACGGAGTACAACTTGTGTGGAATGATAAGCACAAGGCTGCGGGCTCAGGGCGCCTACCTCCGTCCCCCGCAGCTCTCAGGGTGCCTTTACTTCTGTGGCACCCCCAACTTCTGAAGTATAGTTGCAGAGTCTTCCTGGATGGTACTGGTGTCACTCAATATACATCATTTGTAATTTCCGAATCACCAGCAACAGTCGTTGAAATTATGTCTGTAGTTGAGACCAAGACAGAGGCTGAAGACCCACTTGTGATCAGGCTTCAGAATGGCCAAACCCTCCATGTCGAGTCGAACGAGGCGATTGATGCTGACGAGATACCCATCATCAATGTAGCAGGCATCTATAGTGACAAGCTGGAAGACCGACAGGCTGTGGCGGAAAAGGTGCGGGAAGCCGCCCATCGCATTGGCTTCTTCTATGTCGTCAACCACGTGAGTATATATTCGACATGGCATTTCGTCCTGCTGAGTGTCAAAAGGGTTTCGACTCTCGCCTTACAGAGGGAGTATTTGAGCAGGCCAGGTGTTTCTTCTCATTGCCAATGGAGAAGAAAATGGAAGTCGACACAAACCTTCTCCCAAAGGAATACTTAGGCTATCATTCCATGGCAAGTTATAACAGAAACGGGAGAAAACACAATGGTGAGCCTGACGCAAGAGGGTAAAAAGGAGACTGGTATCAAAGAAAGGACGCTGATGACTGCATGAAGACCTTAGCGAGGCATTCAACCTGGCATATGCGGCTGATCAGGACCCGGAAAATCCAGACAATGATCGGGGGAGTTCCATCTGGCCAAGTGAACTTCCAGGGTTTCGAGAAGGATTGTACGCATATCATACACCGATGCTGCAATTCGCACGTAAAATGGCCCAGATTTTCGCTCTGGCGCTACACCTCCCCGAGAGTTATTTTGACAAGTGGACGAGACTGCCTGAAGCCGGGTTGAGAATTCTCCATTACCCAGAACAAGAGGCGTCAGTCGATGACCAAAATGGGATCGGTGCGCACACTGATTTTGAATGCTTCACGATCGTGAACCAGGACATGTCTGGAGGCCTGGAAGTTTTGAGCAAGTCGGGACGATGGATCCGCGCAAAACCAGTGCCCGATTCGTTCGTAGTCAATATCGCCGACTGTTTCATGAGGCAGACTAACGATTACTTTGTCTCGACTGTACATCGAGTGATCAACAAATCTGGGAAGGAGAGATACTCGATCCCTTTCTTTTTCGGGATGGACAGGAACATGGTCATGGAACCAATTCCTTCCTGCATCTCGGAGGAGAACCCGGCCAAGTATCCGGTCATAACGGCTGGGGAGTACTATCTCTGGCGCGCGAAGAGGGCGAAGCAGGGTGACAACACAGATTGAGAAATGGCATATTGGATGGAGTGATGTGAGGATTGGAAGCGGTGTATTGGTTCTGTTTGAGCTTCTTGGGTGAAGAAGGGTAGAGTTTTGTCTGACAAGAGTATTTACACTTGTTTTCACCTAAACTTGATCGACATTGATAGTCAGACACCCGAACAATATCATCGGGAAAAAGTCTTGGGAAAGCTTGATTAACACGTCGTCGAGTCTCCTTTACAGTAGAAGCTGCAATAAATCGTTCCTTCAGCACAGTACACGTTTGCCATATCAGTGGCTCACTTCATACATCAGTGATGGAGAAAGTCATTGTCAGATCCAATGTCTTTTATCAAGCTGTTCTGCTAGGCCAAACTATACGCGTCCTTGAGTCAACCTCATGTGGCCAGAACGCGGAAATCATCAACGTTCCTTCTGTGAAGGAAATAAATGATCAAATCTTCCCTGGTAAGCATGCTGTGGATGTACCTGGAGGCTCATATTGACAGCTGTCCTTCAGATCTGAACGTTTCGTGAGCTTGAGCCGAAGAGACGCTGGGTCGTCGTTGTCGTCGCTCAATCATAAAGACATGGACGAAATGTGCCTTTCTCGCAGCAACACCAGATTTGAAGGCCAGATTGTGCCGCCTTCACTCACTCATGCTCACATCACCAAAGAATGAGTGACAACCACAAGCTTGGTGTTTCGAAAATGGTCTCCTCAGAATCAGACTTACTTCACTGCTCGACTGAAGCAACCTCACATTCTTCCCATCCCAATTACAAAACCAGAACCCTCAGCTTTTTGCACCGTCTTCTGGCTCAGCAGCGTCCGCTCGTTTCTCCTTGGTGTTGCTGGACACAACTGCTGTCATTGCTAGGAATTCTCTTCGCCAAAGCGGGCTTCATTGATTGTAGTCGATTTCAATCCTCTGCCTTTGACCGAGCCAGATCTCACTTCAGTCTCACTTGCGCTGAAAGCTGACTAGCACGTGAATTTGGAAATATCAGGGCGGTGAGAGGTCAATTCACCTCTCTATTTCCGGTTCACTTGTGTCGACCAACAACAAGAAGCTAGGACATTCCCCTAAAAGGTCGGCTCCCAACCAGACTCTGCTTACAGGTACTTGACACGGTGCTGTTGTTTCCCATCTCGGTCGCTTCGGAGAATCAAGAGATATTGATCTCGATTTCAAGCAAACAGGCTATTCACAGAATAGACACGATCCAGTCATGTCTAGCCACAGGTACAGAAATGACCAGGCCGCTACCCTTCAAGACTTCTCTAACAGAAATAAGCCTTGCTTTTAGGCCCCGTCAGGAACCCCTCGAAGTTCAAGGTCAAGAGCAAACTCGGAGAGCTCTCGCAGATCTATTGCGCAAGCATTCCTCGTCTCCTCATGACTCTATCAGAGTGAAATTCCGAAACTTCAGTGATTACCTCTCAACAGTTGGAGCGGGCGAGCACAAGTTACAGGAGCAAATCAGACTGGCAGAGACCGCACCCATTGAATCATGTAGCCTCATGCTGACGAAGCGCGCAAACAGAAATGTTCAAGAATTCAATGCCTTCTTCCGTACGCCTCCCTGGTACCGTGGCAAGCTTCAGGCCGGCGACAAGGCACTTGTGTCTCTTTATTTGCCGAACGGACGGCGCGAGCGTTGGCTGATGCGAGTCATCGAACCACCTCATTATGCACGGGCTTCTGAAATTGTAGCAGTGCTCTCACCAGCACCGGAATGGCGTGGCGGTGATCAAATCAAGCCTATCACGCCTCCTCCACCCAAATTCACAGGCCGCGAAGAACTTGACTGGATCCTAAAACAGACAGGCATACGAGCTAGGATCGCGCCAGAGTTTCGTCACAGCCTTTGGTATTACATCACGAGAGCTTCAGAGGAATTATTTCACCGCTCTTGTCAGGTCTCTATTGATCCATTAGAAAAATCAGCCCTTGACTTCTTAGTGGGTAAATTCGAAGACTTGCGAGAAGTCAACATCTATTCAACACTCCATGACGAGTCCCTCGCGTCAAACGCGCTTATGGATCTTAACGACGGTCAGAAACAGGCAATCGAGATGGCGAAGAAGGCTCCAGGTGGATTTCTGATCTGTCATGGCGGCCCTGGCACCGGGAAAACGCACTTCATCATCGAGGCCGTGACTCCCTTCCTCAAGGACTCCGCAAAAAAGCACAAGCTGCTGCTAACTGCAGCTACCAACCGTGGAGTGGACTCGATGGCTTCCGCTCTCTCTGATCGATTGGAAAAGTTGTCGAAGGACGACTCTTCATTGAAGAGTCGCTATGTTCTACGTGTGCACAGCTATAAAACTGAGAAGGCCATTGTTATGAGGCAGGCGGAAAAAGACCGTCGGCGTAATTTATGCAAGAAGCCTGCCATCTCTACAAAGCCCGCTTCGGACCAGACCTCAGAAAACACGGATGCGACAGGTTCAATCTCTGCACATTGCGCAACCTTTTCCTCCAGCAAATTCGAGCTAGTCGACGACCACAGAGTCCAAAATATCAGTCTGTCTGTTGGGCAGAAAGTCTTGGAACTCCAAGGCCTCGTCAAGCCAATGCCCGAATCCAATCGTCCAAGCACGCCCGGAAAGTCCGAGGGTTTTGTCAGACTTTATAGGAAATACGGTGAGGGCATTCCATTGACGGAGCGCGAAAATACCAAGCTAGAAGAGTCACTCGATGAAGTCTTGGGTGCAGCTGTCCGAGGGGCCACAGCGTTATGTGGAACAGTTGGAGGCGCTGCTGAGTTCAACATTTCGAGACACTATTCCAATGCCGAGCTCATCATCATGGACGAAGCAGCTCGCATCCCAGAATTCGAAACCTGGACACTTTTCGCATTTTACCCAAAAGCTCTCGGTAAAATTATGGTTGGCGATCCTGATCAAATGGGGCCTCATATCGACGAATATGAGGAGGTCGAGCCTTACCATGAACAGTTGAGTATGTCTTTGCAAGAGCGATGCCAAGATGCAGGATTCGGATCAGCTTTCTTTACGATTCAGTATCGTGCCATACCAGAGATTGCAGACATATACAATCGAGCTTGCTACAAGAATCGTCTCTTGCATCACGAAACAACGAGCGTCGACCATCCAAATCGCGCCTTAGCTGATGCGTTAAAAAAGCATAATAAGGAGAAGTATGAATGCGACGCTTCGGTCGTTTTCTTCGAAATTCCATCGGCGATAGAATCAAAAGTCTACGGAACCTCAAAGGCGTGCGAACAATACGCAGCATGTGTAATCAATATTCTCGAGGATCTTCTCTCGGCCGATTTTGGAAGCGACGTCAGACCTTGCACAATCGCAGTTCTCACCCCTTACAGTGGTCAATTCAAAGTGCTTAGCTTGGCCAAAGACAAGATGCGAAAGACATACCCTGCAATTGAGAAAGTGATCATTGAAACCGTTGGCAAATCTCAAGGTATGCAATACGACATCGTCATTGCAGACCCGGTACTTGTCGACGGAAAGCCAAGATTTCTCACGCAGAAACGACTGAACGTGTTCCTTTCTCGTGCACGACATGGATTGTATGTTGTCGGAAGGTATCAAGTGTGGAGGGGAATGGATTGGGTAGAAGCTGAACCTCTCCAGGCTTTGGGTATGGCATTGTGGCAATATCGCGCGCCCTCGACTGTGCCAGTCCCGAGACAGTCAAAGTTCATCGATTCCGGAGTGTTCAGGTCCTAGGGACAACAATAAGAAGCTGAATACCAGCTCCTCGATTCATTCGCGCGTCAAAGCATAAGATATTGCAGGTCCCCAGAAAATTGCACATTCGGTGTTGAGCATGGCATGAATTTGACGAAGAACAGTCGGACGACTTCTACGCGAAAGGTTCGTCACGAACTTGGCTGTAACTTTGGCAGCTGAGATGCAGCATCAGAGCAAGCTTTTTGCGATTGTATGATTTTTGAGAACGAGACCGATCAAGGCATGGAGCTCATTCCAGACATCAATGACTCGGATGATCTGGTATAGAGGGGAAGCATGCCATCTGCAGGACATTACTGGACTCATTACGAATTGCCACATCGCCATTTCGGGGGGACCGGGGCCGGCCCCACTATGTTGATAAAGCACACGGAATGTCCCAGAACCGAGCATAATGGTCACTTATGACGTCATCTTTGGATCTAATGAGCAATGGATCAGGTAAGTTCGTACACCGCCCCTCAATTTTCTAATAATACCGCGACCAAGAAGTGTTCCAAGAGACATAGACCACTAACACCCTGAAGCCTAGTCCTCTAAGATTTTCAGACTCGAGTACATCAACATGTACGACCTTGTCGTAGTTGGTCATGGCATTGCCGGCCTCGCCGCCGCAGTATCAGCTGCAGAACTCTCGCCCTCAGCGCAGATAGCCGTGCTAGAGCATGCACCAGAGCATGCGAGCGGTGGAAACTCACGCTGGAGCCCTGCCAACATGCGAATGCCATCTGTCAATGAGGTATTACCAGGCTTCGTGGACGACATGGTGGCTGCAAGCGGAAGTGGTGGCGACCGCGCGTATTTCGAAAGGCTTACTAGCCAGGCCCCTGAAGCCCTCCAATGGCTCGAAAAGCAGGGGGTGCAGTTTCACGCCATGGACTATTTCTTGAAATCTTGGCCTAACAGGATCCAGCCTATTGGCAAAGGTGCTGCCATTGTCGAAGCCCTCAAGCAATCAGCCAAATCGAAGGGTGTCCAACTGGTGTATAATTGCCGTGCCCAGCGACTTCATCTTGGCCGAGGACAGGCCATAGTTGAGGCAGCTGATGGGCGACGAATCATTGCCCGGTCTGTTGTGCTCGCCAGTGGTGGGTTTCAAGGCAGTCCAGACATGCTGCGTACTCATCTTGGTCCTGGTGCGGAGACGTTGAGACCGATATCACCTGGGACGGCCTGGAACGCCGGCGACGGCATCCAGATGGCACTGGCCAACGGAGCCAAGGCCTCTGGCGATTGGAACGGAATGCACAGCGAAGTAATCGACCCACGGAGCAGTCAGCCAGCGCCACTGGTCCTCAATTACCCGTACGGGGTTGTGGTGAATCAGGAGGGAAAGCGGTTCGTAGATGAAGGTGCTGGACTCGTGCATGACACGTGGGAGCATCTTTCCAGAACCATACATTTTGACACACCGGGCCGCTTAGCCTGGGCAATTTGTGATTCCAGATTTTTTCAATTGGAGGACCATGATGCAGCTATCCGCTCCGATATGCCGCCGGTGACAGCGGACACGATTTATGGTCTGGCGGCACAGATGGGGGTGCCGGAACAGGCGCTTCTGAACACAATCTTAAACTACAATGCAGCCTGTAACGCAAACATGTCTGGCTTTACGGCGGGCCGGCTTGATAATCTCGCCACTACCTCAGGCTTGCAACCATCGAAATCGAACTGGGCTAGGCCGCTCGACGCTCCGCCGTATACCGCATTCCCCTTAGCCGCGGCCATTGTCTACACTTTCGGCGGCATTGCGACTGATGTGGAAGCGCGCGTTCTTGGCCAGAGAGGCATCATCCCTAATCTATATGCTGCAGGTGAGATTACTGGCCATTTCTACGACAAGGCTCCAAATGCAGTGGCCGTTATGCGGGCACTCGTCTTTGGACGTATTGCTGGCCTCAATGCCATAAGCTCCCATTAGACAGAGAGAAGTGTACCGTCTCCCTGGAGACTGGGCCTTTTACATCTAATACTATCCTCAAGCTGGTTGGATGATGGATACAGCGAACCCCCGAAATGGTTGGTCTAAAGGTACGCATTTATGACTTTTCACCCTTGAATAATGCGCTTGCATTTATTTGAATTAGCTGCCCTGGCCCAATTCAGCCTCCCTGCGGCTCAGTCGACTGCCTCTAGTCTATGGCGTTGCCGAAGTTAAAGGAAGGGTTGATTACTTTGCCTAGTGCAGTTAATGATGCTCAAACGGTGAACTACATATCTTGTTACTTCTTGCCTTCATTGTAATGGCCTGCTTCATATTCGTTTTATCATCTTTATTTAAATTCACTGAATAATAGCTATCGTACACGTGCAGCGTACGCAGGACAGTCAATTGTTTCCTTCTTATCCATTTACACCATCCCCGCCTTCAATCTCGCCATCGTGCTATTGTTCCTCCTAGCGGTCCAGTTTCTCCCACCCTACAACATGTATGGGAGATCAAGGGCGTACATAGACTCACTGATCTACATCAACATGGTGTGAGCTACCCTCCCCTTTTTACTTACTGATGTCGATATCAGGCCACGGCCCAGGGCAGCCTTCCCTCAACCCTCTTGGGGTACAGTTCTTCTCCAGCCTAGAAGGACTGGAGGTGGTGACATCAGGCAATCGACTGTTTCCATAGGGAGCCAGCGGGTTGTGTATCCTGATAAGATCCATCGGCAGGGTGGGCAATAGACCACCATGCCATCCTTTATGACACTGCTCATCCTCCGCGGCTGAACCGTTGCTGTCCGTCAAGGAACCGATACGTAATCCTACTCGGTTTTCGAGAAACTGCTGACACCATGAACAAGCTGACCCGCGCACACGCCCCTTTCCCCAATTACACAACTGTCTAACTTGGGCCTTGCCCGCCTCGGTCAGTTTGATATCTGTAATGCCGGTCGCCCTGCCCTCTTCGGACCATGTCGTCGCACCTACAACAAAGCGCACTTTGTCAAACATAAACACCACAATACCGAGATTCGGAACTTACCATGGCGGACAAGGAATATTCGGGGCTCCTGGCGGGACATTGTTGAAGTTGCTTTGAGCAACACAGCAGGAAGCCGTGGCAATACCGAAGCGCGACCAAGGTTGTTTGGACCATCGCACGTGATTCGCTTGGAGGTAGATCCATCAGGTGTCTAGGAATCCCCTTGTGATTGGGCCGCTTCCGACCTTTGTGGCGATGCCGAAGACAGTTGCTGGCGTGCGATATCGTCCACTTATATCAGCCGCCATGAGCAGCCAGCCGGACTCTTGTGGGCGGAGCCTAGCTCAGACCAATCGTCGCTTGTAGAAAGCTGCGGCTTCAGCCGGGAACAAATTTTAGAAGACTGTCTCAAGCGGATTTGGCAGGCAATAATTCAAGATATTGAAGTCAAGGCGATAGCTTAAACAAACCTTTGGTAGTACATATAAATGGATGTATTCATTATATAATAGCACGTATGTGATCTCGCCGCTGTCTGAGATATGTGATCTTGAGTCACGAATCGGGAAGCAGTTCCTGTTCGACCGGTGAACATCGGTTGTGACATGGTATCGAAGGATATCCAGTGATCACCACAAGATTGTGATCTCCAGCATCTTCGCAATTGCAGCACGTTGTAAGTAGTTCGATTGATCATTCCAACGTAGTGGATTCTTGATGTGGAGGCCACAAAAGAATGGCTTGAATGCTATCTGGTGCTGTCTTTTTGTGAAGACACAAATTCAGGCACTGACTGTGGTGACTTGCCGTACAGCTGAGTCTTGAAGATCTCGATGGTTTTGGTGAGGGCTTTGTTGGTCTCTTCCTGCTTTGTGAGTTGCGAGCGGAGGCATTTGATTGACTCGTTTGCATCTCTGAGTGCTTGATCTTTGCGTTGTCGACATGCGCGCTGAGAATCGCGATTCTGAGCTCGTCGGCGCTGGTCAGCATGTTAGTACTTGTATCAATAGAAGATCTGTGGTATTCTTCAGGCTCTATCCTCTATTCTTGCGAGGCTGGCACGTCCTAACATGTCCAAGGCAGAGCACTAATTGAATCCTTCTTCTCGGCCTTCGTTGTTCAAATCTCAGTGCTAACGACCCAGAGATGTCTCTTTCCATTCATTCACGTTTTGATCGCTCTTCTACCGTGTCCGTGTCCGACCGTGTCTCCTCGTACCGAGTTGACACATCTCCGCACTTTTCCTCATCCATCCCCGGCTGAATCTTTGTGGATTGAATTTAGCCGTGTCTCCGGACACGCAACGAAACATGGGACCTTCAACGGTCGTTTGAGTGCACTGTATCTCGTTCATTGGACAGACAACATAGGCATTGACCTCTAGCCTATACCGGGAACAGTTCGTCTACGATGATGATGATGATGATATTTACTTCAAGATGGAGAGGCTCTCTTCAGAACGAGGTATTAGCAGAACCTGATACAGTGGTGAATGCTCGACAACAACTACGTTGAAAACAAGATCAACAACAACAACAACGCCACCACCATGAACCTCATCAAAGTTGGAATCATAGGCTACGGCTTCTCGACCAAATGTTTCCATCTACCATTCATCCTGGCTCTACCTGATCGATTCAAAGTCACGGCATTCTTTCAGCGCTCGGAAGCTCCAGGGGATCCCCGGTCTGCCAAAAGGGGCACACACTGCACCGTCGACCATCCTGAAGCGAAACACTATCGTACGGCCGACGAGTTCTTCGCCGACCCGGATGTCCAAGTCGTGATTGTTTGTAGCAAAACAGACACTCACGCAGAGTATGCCGAAAAGGCTTTGTTGGCCGGAAAACATGGTACTACCAGACCCTCCCCTTTTCCTTCCTTCTTCTCATCTGGCATTTTGCTTCATGTATGTCACCATTGGGGGGAGCCAACGTGAACGGCTAATTTGTCCACCGAGGATCAGTCGTTGTCGAAAAACCATTCACCAGGACCACAGAAGAAGCCGACCGCATCATTTCCGTCGCCAGACAAACGGGATTGATATTGACGGTTTTTCAGAATAGGAGATGGGTATGATTGTTTTCTTTCTGCCTTTCCACTTCTACTGCTTGAAAATGTCCATCCCTGTTCTACACGTTCTGACCACCCCCGTGATGTTGTCTCTCTTCCGTAAAAATAGGACTCGGACTTTTTGACACTTCAACACCTCATTCAAAATGACGCATTGGGAGACGTCAAAGAAGTCGAAATTCATTATGATGTCGATTTCCCGTTTTGGATGAGAAATATGAACAAGAAGTTCTACACTCCAGGTGATGGTATGATGTTTGGTCTAGGTTAGTCAATCTCTCTCTCTCTCTCTCCCTCTCACACACACACACACACACACACATCCCATCCCATCCCACTACCTACCTTTGTCAGTCACAAGTCTAACAAATAATACTACTGTACAAAAGGAAGCCATACGATCGATCAAGCTCAACTCCTTTTCGGTCGTCCATCATCCGTGACATGTTTTCTACGTGTACTCCGTGGCATCGAAAGTGAAGTCGACGATTCATTCACCATGATTCTAGAATACGGTCCACCTCACAAGGACCTTTTGGTCACGGTCAAAACCAACATCGCTTCTTGCATGCAAGAACAATTGAAATATTTTGTTCGTGGGACAAAAGGGTCATATGTAAAGGTTTGTTTTTTTCTTTCATCGCCCATTACTCATTTACCATTTTCCACCATCACTTTTGAAAGACAGACATCAAGGACTAACGAGCTCCCCCCCCCCGGCCCAAATAATAGCATGGAACTTGTGTCCAAGAACAACAAATCTTTGACTCCTTATCCCCAAAAGATCCTCGGTTCGGTGTGGAACCTACCGGTCTCAATGGCACCCTCACCACCTCGTACTGTTTCGACGACGGCTCCCAAAATCTCGACTCGGCTTCGAAAAAGTACGTGGGAAGGTACCCCACACTCCGGGGACACTGGTTGGGATTCTACGAGAACCTGGCCGACGCGATCCAAAAGGAAACCAAAATCGCCGTCGAGCCCGGACAGTCTCGTGACGGCATCAGGACCATCGAGTTGGGGAGGATGAGCCACGCGCAGGGGAGGGGTGTGCCTTGGGCTTGATTGAAGAAACCCAGGGTATCACAGGCATGGTCTAGAGGCACGATGGAACACAACAAAGAAAGAGAAAGATTGTCAAGGTTTCGAGGGTTTTTGATTGACTGACCCATCCCCGGCATTTCGACTTGTATACCTCCAGTAGGTAGGCACGTACCCAGGTGTGTCTTTTTGAGACGGCAAAGAGGAAAAGAACATTTGTATACGAATACTTTCCCCGCCGACTCCAATAACTTACGCTGGCATCTGTGTGATTGCAACCAATTGTAACTGAAATTGCCTCGTACTCGTACCTGCTGGCCCAGCCGTACTGTGTTCTGTCGACTCCTGGAGAGATACATGATTGAATTTTGACCTCTCTTTCTCATCCTCGTTCTGCCATTTCAGATATACCTCGAGTGCCTAATCGATCCCCATTCCTGAATTCCAAACGACCCAAAACCCCCTCCGAGCAATGTGTGTGTATAAAAATTCAAGGGGAAATTACGCGCATGACCTCGACCCATAAAAAGCAAAACAAGTCCCAATATCCTTACTTTCCACCCATATCAACATCCCAACAGTCAAAAACGAACGTCGAAGCCCGACAACGCCATGCTTTGCAGAGTCCATGTCATAGCAGCCAAAGTTTCAGCCCATAGCCATGCCCGCTGAAGCAACAAACCATCCACAAAAGCCCTTCCCTAGTCAGGAAGTCCATCGCACTCCGTACTTTTTTGATCAGACCGTTGCCTTCTCATTTGCCATTTGCCAGCCCAAAAAACAATATGCCATGCTGTGCCAACTACCACTCTCTTTTCTCCCAACCCCGAGAATAACAGCAAAAACAAACCGAAACCCCCATGTGACTTTGACAAAATTGTCCCACTCTTACCCCTTTTGTACCCGCACAAATGTATTCCCAGACTGTCGGATAGTGTTCGTTCAAATCGTCGTCGATTGCGGTTGCAAAAATAAATGAGTTGTATATCCACAACTTGTGGGCTCCGAAGCGCACTGAACATGAGGTATTTCTTTTCCCATCCACACACACGATACGCGCTATGCAGAAAGCATCCTGAAGACACCGACATGCATAACAAAACACACACGCACACACGATTCACTCCATCCCCACAATTGTGCCCTGTACACCGAGGATATGCTGAATGCTGTCAACACAGCTCCCTATATACAGATCGTATCATCTTCTTGGTCGTGTCGTCATAAAAGTCGTTTAACCCCACACAGATGTTGTTCCGATCTTATTGGAACCCCAAACACCACTTCCTGTGCCCCAAGCCCCCATGCCCGAGTTTCCAGATTCTTTCTGATTGTTGACGTTTGAGTTGGCTGATCCAGATCGATCCGCGTTCTGTTCATTGGTCACAAACCCGTAGCCAAGAGAGGAGGGCAGAGGGGAGGTCGTGCGCTTGTTGAGAGATTGGCTCGGTGCTTGTTGACCACCTGGTCGGCTCCCGATAGGGCCCATTCCTCCTCCTGTTACGGGTGCTGTGGTGGATTTTGAGATGGTCCGTGAGTGAGAGCTTTCTTCTCCTGAAGGCGGCGTGGATACTTTGCCTGATGATGAAACTGCCGCATCCAGTCCTCCAAAACCAACTGATGGCTGCCCGACTGGGGAGCTAGCTTTATCACCTCGCGAGATATCAGTAGATTGAGAAACGCCTTCGCCTTGAGGACCTTGCCCTCCCATACCGAAAGGGTCGTTTCCTCGTGGTGACTGTCCACGCACAGCTCCAGGTGCGGTATCCGAGCCGGGACCGGCCTGATTCTCACCAAATGGAACCTGTCCCATGAAAGCTGAGCTTTCGCCACCGTAAAGTGCACGATGTTGGCGGGCAATTAATTCGCGTCGGCCTTCCTCACTCAGGGTACTCGGACTCATCGAGCGATCAGATTTATTGGATGACATCTCTGCCAACAAGCCTGTCGAAGGGTGAGTCGGACGAAAGGGCCTCTTCTCCGTCATTGTGCTTACTTCTATTGAATTGTTGCTCTTGGTGGTAATTGCGAAGTTCTCTTTCTCTTTGTGCGGCCATCCGTCTTTTTGCCTGCATCATTTGATCACCATCGTTATGGCGACCTTGATGTCTTTGGGATGCGTAAAAACTCTGCAGGTTGGAGCCTGGGTGAGGACGAGAAGGGTCGAAGTCGCCCATGGAATGGCGACCACCGTGGCCGCGGTGACCTCCTAACGCACATTGTCAGCAGACTGCTCTTGATTTATCTTGCGCAAAAAGCATACCAAACTCACCACCATGGCGTACGTTGGGTCCGGCCGGGTTTGGCCGAGACATGCCAGCGTAAAATTTACCACTCTTGACGAGGTTATCCATAGCTCGGTCCACCTCTGTGCTTCGGGTCAGAACCTCGTTTTGACGTGCATGTTGTATGATTATACCTTCAAATTGGGTGGCAAAGGCATTGCTATCCTCGTGCTGAGATGCAGAGCTTGCAGCTTCTGGGTTCTATCAGTATTTTCCCCAACATGTTTCTGCCTGCATATTTCACTGACCCGATCTTGATGGTGGTGGAGGCTGTTCCCAAGATGCTTGCCGTACAGGCGCCTGCCATCCTTGTGGCTCGTAGAACGACATGGTTTGTAGGAGGTAAATTTATGGACTTGTTGGCCGCGGGTAATGGGGCAACTCGTGGTATAAAGTTCCGGTCGGAAAGGCGCAATTGGCGTAACGAATATTGACAGAAGCAAACTATTCGAGAACCAATAAGTCTTATTGCACCTTCGACGGTCAAGACAAATGATATGGTACGCGACTGGCCAGATGTTTGGTACGAGTAGAAGGAGATATGCAAGTGGAATGGGAGAGGGGGTGGAACATGTGGTGTATTGTCTGGATGATTTTGGTGCGAAGGTTAGGTGGGGAGAGAAGTGATATTTTTCGAGGGATCGGCTGGATTCGAGCCAATGATGGAGACGGTGGAATCGGTCGAATTGCCCGAGGCACCACGGGGAAATGAGGAACGAAGAATAAGGTGTCGACCGAGAACTTACAGTTAGAGGGGGGGAAGTCCGCTGACAGACCGAGATGGTCGTATGATGCGCAGAAGTCGAAAACAAAAGGCCAACAGAGCCTGTACCGCTCGAGATGGCAGCAGGCGACACGGAGGAAGGGAGGGAGGAGGAGGAGAAGGAGAGGGACTCGAGATGAAGGTATGTAATCGAGGTGCGTGAGAGGAGATGAGAAAAAAAAAGTTGGGATGGGACCTCCATTGGTGGAGAAGCGCGGTGGGAGAGGAAATTCGAAGGTGGAAGTGGAAAGGGAAGGGAAGAGGATCCCGGTCTGATGGGCTCGCGCTCATTGCTCCGTACTCCATACGGATATTCACTCAAGACTGAAGAATGAAGAACGAATAATACTCGCTGCTCGCCATTCATCAATCAGTGCGCACTCCAAACCTCCAGCTATACACTCACAGACCACCGGCGCGGTAGTTCTCCCTCCATACTCCCCATGCTAAAGTCGCGCTTACCGTGTTTTTGCCTCCTACACGAACGAGCTGAGCTGCAGGAGCACTCACAATGTATGTGTCTGTAAGATGTTATGCATGCGTGCGTGCATTACACCTCAGGCCTCCTCATGCCCGAGAAATTGCGCAATGACACTCTGTAGGCACTGTCACATTGGGTGCGAACACCAACCTGGGACGGGACACCCACGAGCCTAAAGAATGACCGGTTGCAGTAGGTCGCTAAGCGGCATCGCTAGGCAGTAGACTGTCGAGTCGTCTCAACCTTGGGCTCTTCGACTCGACTGTCGATGCTGTCAGCCGAGCTATGGCATTGGAGGGCAGAATAACCTTTGCTAGAACCCTTGATGCTCGACAGCCACTGGGATGCTTCGTCGACGCATGCTGTGCCCTTTGATGAGGCTCAAATCAATGCCCGAGGTCTTACGGAGTACGAGTACAAAGTAACAATGTTGGCAAAGCCACGGAAAGGGTTGCCAGGATGTGCGCGCATCCAGCCGGCGAGCCGTTTTTGCCCACTGCCTACCCGGGTCTTCCCAGAGCCTAGGGGAGCTTGAAGAGCACCATTTGTCCTCGAAGCAAACACAAGAGCCCTTCGCTAATGGACTATTCGCCGCGTGTTCGCAGGTGGGGAAGACGGTGGTGGGCAGCGTCCACACTTCTGTTTGTTCAAATTTCCTAATTTGAGGTCGACTCCGAGTCGATCGTCTGCAACCTACCGTTGCCTACATGTCGGGCCATGCATGGATGACACTTTTTCGAGAACCTGGAGGCGCACAAGTACCATGTTACAGAATCCGTGGCCGAGATATATATGATGGTATGATCCTTGCAGTATGCTGCGACTGCCCACTCGAAGGCTGTCTGGTTATAACTATATTACGGACTTCTGTTATAACTACGGAGTACAACGAATCTCCAATTTCGTTCACGTACCGAGGTGCGTTCTGCTTAGCAGCCGCGTCTTCCGAAGCGCACTGCTCGAGACGGCTGTATCTACCTACGGAGTACTGTATCTCGATTCCAGGCCTCTAGGCATCACAATCACATTCAGCTTGCAAAATTGTGACGACGATGATGCATGGTTTGTGATGTAACTACATGGCGACTATGATGAATAATTCAAGCCAATACGAAGTCAAGGCCACACACCCGCTCATCGCCTCTTGCATCAGACTCTCAGCATGGAAGACCAGGGATGCCCCGGAAAATATACGGCTGTCGGTGCGCAATCTTACATGGCCTGAAGATGATCTCGCTGTCCGTCCAATAACATGACTGTCCTACTAGTGGTTGTGGGATCAGCCTGACGCATTGGCTTTTTGCTTCTATTTCCTCTGTATTCTTGTCTGTTTGAAAGCAAGGTACTTTGGCAAATGGACGCAGTGGCCACCGTGACAATCTTCAGTGCCTTGCCCCATGCGTCGGGCGTTTCATGAGGTCCATGAAGAATTGAGCCCTGCAATAATGCTACAATACCGCAATACTGCAACATTTTTGTGACTGATTTTGTCCTTGCAGGGAAGACCGTGTTGATTTAAACGATAGCGGATCATGATGGTCAAAAATATAGCCATGACCCTCCCTCGTGTTACTCGGTTCGCATGAACGAAACACTGGGACCCATTCTTCATTTATAACACTCGGTATGGAGTAACGAGACCACATATTATGTGCTACGAGATACACAGTAACTTCATGCGTACTACCTCGTGAGCGCAGGACCTCCAGGCCTTATGACCGCAGCTACAAATGCATATGTTTTAATACACCACGACCTCTGCATTGCTCAACATTCAGATTTGCCGTGGACTTAGGTATCCTTACCAAAAATTGCTCCAGCACTCGTTGAGTGACAAACTATAGGTTTTGCATTGTGCTATCCCCGTACGTCGTAAACACATGCGTCTTGCAATGTACCTATAAGGCCGTGAGACACACGAGGTCGTAGATGGAGGCTACACAAACGAACGACCTGTCGAATGAACATCGTATGCTATGTACACAACTGTATTCCGTAGAATCGTACCAATTCCAAGCTTCGCCTCCGGAGTAGAAAAAGTGCACGTGCGACAGTGGTACACAGATCTCTATCAACCTTCTAGGAGAATATCGTCCCTTGATAACAATAGATGGTCAAAAGGGGAAAGCTATTTGAGATCATGTCGTCGCGGGAAGGCTCGAGCTGATTTCTTTTCAAGGAGCGATGCATTATTTTGAGAAAGGCGGAGCTGTATCGTTCAGGCTATAAATGGAATTGCTCATTAGGCCATGGTGGTAAGATAGCCACCGTACATTGATTACAATGACAAACCTGTGAAAATACCAGATCTCCGTCTCAGCTCGACGAACGACCTGGAAAGATCATTGCTGACCCCGTCCAAAGTACGGATACAGGAGGTCTCAATTGGCACGCGTAAACAGTCAAAGCTACGCGTTGGTGCGGATGGGCGGTCTGTGGTCCCTGTTTGACCTGAGACCCAGGGGAATTTCGAAGTGATCCTAGCGTGGAAAGGTGGCAGCCACCACCGCCTAGTGGCCTTAAGTGAGCCTACAGGGCACATCACCTCCAGAAAGCCAGCGCAGCACGTTCGAGAATGACATGCGCTAATCCGATCTGACATGTATATGGGTGTGGTTCTCCCACCGCTTCACCCACATTCCAGCCTACCTAGTAAGGCTCAAACACGCAGGACGAGGAGCAGTGAGGCACAAGGCGTGTGTGCAGGTCGCCTGCAGACACTGCATGGCCGTGACTTGAGGGTCCGGGGAGGGCAAAAGGCGTACGGGCGCATGGCAACATTGAATAGTACCCCCGTAGGCCTCGCATCCCTGCGTGTTTCCGGGGATTCTGCTCGTAGCACAGCACCGTCATCCTCACGCTATTCCTGGTGAGCTGTGCCTGGTGGGTTTGTCCATACTCTGCTGGCGACCGAGAACGAACGAGCACAGAAGGACGCATGACTAAGATGCCCCCCGAGGGCCTGGTGTGTGTTCGCCATGGAAATTAGGTAGAAACAGCCAAAAAAGACACGAGGAAACGCTAGATTGAGTGCCTATTCTGAAGCCTGGAGAGCGCGTGCAATTGGCGCTTGGCAAGCCTTTTGGTCCACCGGTGCCCGCTAACCCCAAAGAGTCGAACCCTCAATGTGAGCGAGTGCGGTTGGGATTGGAATTGGGACACAGCCAGGAACAAGCGTGCCCATTGTGTCTTTGCAACCTCATACCTTCTCTCGTCTACCTTCTTTTGCCCTCGACTCTCACCTGCATCCTCGTCGTCTTCCTCACCTACACGCGTCTAGCTGCCCTATTCTGCTTCTACTCGCATCCTCAATCCTGTATATCGCCAACCCAGCCGTATTCTCCCTCAAATTTCCCCTCGACCAAGGGCAACTTCACCCGCATCAGACCGACTTCTCGTCTACCTTCCTACGCCGCTGTCTCCTAGACTTAGCTACACCACGGCTTCGGCCGTCTTCCCAACCGTATACCGTATACTTCCTCCTCGCCGGCCTACCTCTCTTTCGCCTCCCTCATCGTCCTCGACGGGCCTACTCCGCTCAATCGAGCACCCGAGTTCGAGATACTCGCAACTGGCTGGCCAGCGGTTTCAAGACACACAGGGTGGACAATATTTCATCCGATTCCCAGAGAGCATCGCTCTGTACCATACTCGAGGACTGTAATCATTCCGCCCCTGGTGTCTGTGGACCTCCCGCTACCCCTTTGAAGTCATTGCCGCACGCCCACGGATCTACAGGTCTATAGCACAAAAGTTGAATATCATTTGCGATAGTTGACGTGTGTGACACTTCCAAGCCGATTGAGGCTCGTCGCCGAACTGTTTCATCCACCCCTGGAGAGTCTGATGAGCGAGAGTGTGCCGAAAGATGATGGGAATATTGTTTCTGACTCGATGACCGTGCCATCTTCCACGGCTGATACAACCAGAATGGACAATCGGCTGCGTACGCACAAGGCGTCAGCATCGTCACATTCGCAGTCACAGTCTATGCCGTCAACACCATCTCAAAGACCACAGTCTCCACCGGCCCCGAGAATGTCGCGGTCGCCAGAGCCCGCTCTCAAGAACAGCTCTCCCAAATCAGCACCGTCAGATAAAAGTCATACGCCGCCGGCGCGAGGAAAACCATATGGCGGTTGCAGATTCGAAACTGGAATGGCCAGGGCGAGACGGCGTGTGCCGTACTCATATGGACCAGATCCGTTGGAAAAGGACACATCCGACCTGAAGGTTAGGCTCAATCACGAAGAGGATGAAAAGCTCAGCCGCGATATGCAAGGTTTGTACGCGCAGCTACAACCAAGCGCTGAAAGTGAGCAACGACGCTCACGTTTCATTGACAAACTCGAGAAAATCCTGCGTGGACAGTGGCCGCAGTCGCGCATCAATGTTAACGTATTTGGCTCGACCGGCAACAACCTGGGAACTTCCGACTCCGATGTCGATATTTGCATCACGACAGACTGTCGAGAAATGGAGCGGGTGTGTTCTATCGCCGAGCTTCTCGCCAAACACGGTATGGAAAGAGTGGTCTGCGTGTCCAGCGCAAAGGTTCCCATTGTGAAAGTCTGGGATCCTGAGTTACAAGTCGCATGCGACATTAATGTCAACAACCCTTTGGCCCTAGAAAATACCGAACTTGTCCGTACATATGTCGACCTAGACGAACGGGTAAGGCCCCTCGCTATGATCATCAAACACTGGGCAAAGAGGAGGATTCTCAATGACGCTGGTATGTTCCCCCGTGACTTTCGGAAGCGCCCCTGTACTGATCCCTTTCGTCAAGCCCTTGGAGGCACTCTCAGCTCGTACACATGGATATGCCTGACCTTGAATTTTCTACAAACGCGAGATCCACCCATATTGCCTACCTTGCAGCAGCAGCCCAAGCTCGAGCCCAAATATCTAGCTGGAGTCAACGTGTCATTTGACCGTAATACGGAGACGTACAAAGATTTCGGCGCTCGCAACAAGTCTTCTCTGGGCGAGCTACTTTTTCATTTCTTTCGATACTACGGCCACGAACTCGACTTTGAACAGAACGTGGTATCAGTTCGATTGGGCCGCTTGCTATCGAAAGTTGAAAAACAGTGGCATTTGCTCCAAGATAATCGTCTCTGTGTTGAGGAGCCCTTCAATTTGTCTCGCAATCTCGCCAACACAGCCGATGACACATCAATGCGTGGCATCCACCTCGAGCTCCGAAGAGCCTTTGACATGATCGGACGAGGAGATCTAGAGGGGTGCTGCGAACAATTTGAATATCCTGCTGAAGAAATCAGACCATCTGAACACTTCGTCCCGCCTGCAGCGCGACCTGTCATACCTCAACCGCCTCCTGCACAAAGTACAACTCCTGCTCCCCCACAACTGTCGCGGTCAGGGAGAACCGGTCAGCGTGGTGGACGGAGTTCCGGTGGGCCTAGCCGCAACAGCAATGGGCGGAGGTCATCGAACCCCCCAGGGCGAAATTATCTGCGTAGTCTGCCTTTCCAGATGACTCCGCAAGAACTACAACTCCAGGCTCAGCACCAACAACACCTTCTTCACGACCAATTGTTCCAACAATATCAGTATCTACAGCTCCAAGAGCAGGAGCTGAGAATGCAGTTGCATCAACAAAATCTTCGGTCTAGAGGACTCCTACCAGCGGGGTACCACCAACCTACAGCTTATGCCCAGTATGCAAACCAAGATGAAGGTGCAGATCATGGTTCGAATGGGCAAACCAACGGCATCAGTCGAGCTCCGCTCTCGGCACCCCTGTACCAACAACGCTTCGCCCCGCCATCTCCATACCTTCCGGCAGCCGGCCTAAACCACGGTGTATCTACCAATCCTCCGTCACCACGGATTAGTTCCGTTATTCCAGACACTCGGAGGTATTCTCGACGGACATCGCTGACGCAGTCTTCGTCGGGCGGCTCTCTCCGGGCTCATTCACAACCCGCTCGGGCCATTCCTTTGTCCGCCCTCAACCACTACTCCACCAGAGCTGATGCCGCTGCGTTACGAGATAGCCTTGCGGGTAGGAGATCGTCTGCCTCTTCGAATTCTCAGGAACAGTATGCTGGATATATTGACAACGTCAACGGTACCATATATGACATCGGGCGTAGACCCGCAGAGTACCTTGGTTATTATGTAGGGCAGTCTCCTTCATTATCTGCATATACCCACAGCACTGCAATCTCTCCAATACCCTCGCATGCAGGTCTTGCAATCCAGGGTGGAGGACTGTCCCCTCGACTTGCATCTGCCACCGTTCGACCCCCGTCGGGAAAACAGTCGCCCTCATTCCAATCGGCCGCTCCTGTCACGAAAGAAAGCCTAATCAGTCAGCAGCCCGAAGGCACAGATGCCGAGAAAGTCGAGCCAGCAAAGGCGCGATCAGGCCCTTTGATAGTCGATGGGTCGATCAATTCGCCCCGACGGAGACGGACCACTCGATCCTTGAACGGAAGCGATGATCCGACGAATTTTAGCGCATCTACTTCGGAAGATTTGGCTTTCGATACACCCTCAAGTTCAGACGAGCAGTCGCAAGATGCTCTGGAGCTTACTGGTGATAGAAGCCCCCCTGGGAGCCCTAAATCGTCACGGCAGCCTGTCTCGTCATTACAATACGCGAACGGCCATTTGCCATTTAGAGCTCTAGGGCTTGTCTCTGCGCCACAAATTCCACATTCAGGGCCCAGGGCTGCCGAGTCTGTGGGAATGACAACTTCAGGGTTGGGTAAGTCAGCGGGCACGGTCTGGCCGCTAGAACGACAACTGTCCTCTGTCGAGGAGGTCCGTACACCATCTCCCCGAGGAGAAGGATTCCCACCAAAGACTCCGTCCCCTCGAGCTACATTCATGGACAAGTATAGAAGCGATGCTCCTCCTCACAAGAAGTCACCAGGCATGCCTGGGGAAAGCCGTGAGAATACTCTCAAACAACCACTTTCCCCTAGGACAAATGAGTCTGTTAGCACACCGAGCTCAAATTTACCCCCTCCACCAAGTGGTGGGGCGACCCCTCGGTGGCAGACACAGAAGAAGAAAAGAAAGACTAAGAAAACAGTCAAGTCGGAGAATGAAGGGCAAGATTCAAAGCTCACAGGAGGCGAAGCCCTCCCGGCTGACGAGTCACTACGAAAAGGCGGTTAGGTTCTCCTTTGCAGATGTTCATAACGCGCAGTGTACAGCAGTCGAAAAGCCCGAATGAGAACGAGGGCGGAAGAATGGTATCGTCAGCGTATATTTACCAATCATGATTTTTGGGTTATGCATGGAAAAAAACCTTGTTGGCGTTTGTCACTTGCTTTATATGCAAGGAATGCCAGTGCACGCTGGATAGAATGGTGATCCGGGCAAGCATCTGTCAAACGACGACCATCAAAGGAGATATGGTAACGCCTATGTATATACGACTATGGCGGCACACCGGAAATGCAGCCGGACCTAAACACCTGCCTGCCGGCTGTCAATGTGTGTGGGGTTTTCGCGGGCGTTTTCAACGAACATGGAACGGCATCAGGAATGAATGCATAGCGAAAAAAAGCCAGTGGTCTAGGCCATTGTTGTTGTTGTTTGATTTCAGGCATAGAACAGGGAGTTTTCACACCGTACAGAAGCAGTTGATGGGAGTCTGTGCAGAAAGAAACGAAAAAGAGAATGGGAAAAGCGCCAAATGAGGCGAGTGGGGAGAAATTGCACTCTTGTACTCTAAAAACCGAGAAGGACGTAGATGGGGGAAACGAAAGATTGAATGAAAGAAGTGTGGTCATTGTTAAGTCCTTGAAAAGCTCCTATATATGGTGCGATGACGGGTGTAGTTTTGTACTCGTATCCGTAATGAAGTTATTAACTCACGAGTCACTCGGTGGCGAGGCTGAGGCTGAGGCTGAAGGCTGCGACAAGTTGTCGGGTACAGTACTGTACGTCGACGCCTCGTACGATTCGGAATGGCCATAGAAATCGATGCGGTTCCTGCGTGACATGTGCCTGGAGATGATGGTATTGGTCAGGCTACATTTAAGCTTAAGTGTTGCATTTTGTGGGTTTTTGACACCCTTTGGCCGCCATCGTCTCCATCATCACCAATTTTCGCTGCCATCTCAAGTCAGGACTCGTCAAATCCGCTGCTCTTCCCTCTCTCTAGTCAGACCACATCTCAGACCACAACAACACCCTCTACCTCTTCGCCTGAGCAACACCTTGACTTGTTACGTGGTACTATAAGATTGCAACGTTCGAACATCTTTCTCTCTAGTCATCCCTCCTTTTTTACCAATCCGAACCCGACGCAAAGTTTCAGATGTTGCGGTAGAGAGAGAGAGAGACAGCCTCCTTAGGACCGACTCTCTTTTTCCCTCCCACCCTGTGTCCTTTTGGTTTTCCTCCCTCGTTTCGCGTCTACGTCCACGATGCCTCTTATCTTGGACTCGTCGTCAGAATCCTCCGCCGCCGACGTCGGGCCAGATCTCCAGGAAGTGCGTCGACGGGTACACCATGAAGCCGACGTGGTGATCGTAGGGGCGGGAGTCGTCGGGTCCGCGCTCGCGGTGGCGTTTGCGAACCAGGGTCGGAGTGTGATACTTTTGGAAAAATCTTTGAAAGAGCCGGACAGGATCGTCGGGGAGCTTTTGCAACCGGGCGGTGTCGAGGCGTTGACCAGGTTGGGACTGCGGCACACTCTGGACGACATCGACGCGATCCCCGTCACGGGCTACACGGTGATCTACTACGACGAGCAAGTGCCCATCCCGTACTCTGTCATCGCGGGACAAGTGTCGGACAATGCGGAAAAGAAACAGTCGGGGGGGGGCCAGTTCGAAGGAAGGTCGTTCCATCACGGTCGATTCATCTCGAAACTGCGCGCGGCCGCCATGTCACATGCGAACATTACGGTTTTTGAAACAGAGGTCACCGGCGTGATCGGGGCCTCGCACGTCTCCCAAATCCTGGGCGTCGAGACACTCACGCGCAAGACACAAAAGGAGTGCTTCTTCGGGTCCCTGACGGTGGTCTGCGACGGGTACGCGTCCAAGTTTCGAAAGGGATATATACCCTTTGCGCCCCGGGTCAAGTCGAGGTTCTGGGGTCTGGAGTTGATCGATTGCCAACTCCCGACGTCACATCACGGGAACGTGGTGCTGGGGGACAATTCACCGGTCCTGCTCTACCAGATCGGCACGCACGAAACTAGGGTGTTGGTGGACGTCCCGGAGGGTCTACCGTCGGCCTCCCCGGCCAACGGAGGCATCAAGGGTCACCTCCAGAACGTGGTTCTGCCGTCTCTGCCACGAGTGGTCCAACCTTCCTTCAGGGAAGCTCTGGACAGGGGTGGTGGGTTGAGAAGCATGCCGAACTCGTTCCTCCCACCCACCACCAACAAGACCCCCGGACTCATGATACTGGGCGACGCCCTCAACATGCGACACCCGTTGACCGGGGGAGGCATGACGGTCGCCCTCAGCGACGTGGCCCTCGTTTCGGACTTGTTGTCTCCTGACAACGTGCCGGACCTGTACGACACTCGGTCGGTGCTGAAACAGTTGCGTTCGTTCCACTGGCGACGGAAAAACATGACCTCGATCGTCAACATCTTGGCCCAGGCACTTTACAGCCTCTTCGCCGCCGACGACTGGCAACTGAAATATTTGCAAAAGGGTTGTTTCCGTTACTTCCAACTCGGAGGCAAGTGCGTCAGCGAACCCGTCGGGCTGTTGGGTGCCGTCATCCACCAACCCTTTGTCCTGTTTTATCACTTTTTCAGCGTGGCGTTGTACAGTATTTGGATCCTGTTCAGGGAGAATGGAGTCTTGATGTTCCCCCTGAGTTTGATCCAGGCGGTGTTTGTTTTTGCAAAGGCTTGCGTGGTGATCTTCCCCTTTATATTCGCCGAATTGAGGAGTTAGAGATTTGTAGTCAAGGGGTGTATAAATATCAATTGATTATCAATTAACATTACGGAGGTTTTCTTTTTCTTTTTTGTCAAATTTAACCTACTAGCAGGCCCATGTCGTGTGTTGTGTGGTTTCGTACGTGTCAGGATATACGGATACCGAGATCTGAATATAATATTCCGAATTCCGACTACGATGAGCGAACCGTCTACGTCCCATCGACACCGGGGTACGAGAACCAGAAACGCGTTTCTTTCTTTTGACTCGGGTACAAAAATAGTAAATCACGACCAAGATGAAGACGTAGGTATATTCTTGTATTGTTGGTTTGTGTTTGAGTTTGTCGCATCCCATTCCACCACCATCGCGCGCAACGCGTCCCCTCGGGGGTCGCTGTCCATTACCCTCGAAGGATCAAACACCCGACGCTACCCGATTCTTTCAAAAATACACTGAATTTCCGATGGGTTTGGGTCGTATTCATCGGCCTGAAATCCCACCACGTACGACTTTGCTTGTTTCATTTTCCAACGGAGAAGGTCTTCTGATCAATTTACTTTTTTTTTGGGCACCAAACATTAAACGCGTGTAGCAATACGTGACAACCGCCACCTCCCACAAACTCGAAAGTTCTTGAACCAGGGTACCAACCAAACCACTACTCCTTGATCCAAGGTTGAGCAAAGGTCCCGACCCAATCCTCGACCTCTTGCCTCAGGGTCAAGATTTCCGGGACGTCGGTCCCGTCCTTGAGGTGGTCCAAGAAACTCTTGACGGCCCCCGGGTTCTTCTTCCCGGAGGCCTCGGCCTCGGCGCGGGCGGACCTGTCGACCTTGACGGCGATGCTGACGGCGCGGTCCACAATCTCGGCGACGCGAGTGAAGTCGTTGGGTTGGAAGCCGCGGGTCGTCATGGCCGGGGAACCCATCCTCAGGCCGCCCGGCTTCAGGGCCGACTTGTCGCCCGGGACCGTGTTCTTGTTGGAGGCGACGCCGCAGAGCTCCAGGACTCGCTCGACCCTGGCTCCGTCGATGCCTTTCGACTTGAGGTCGACCAACACCAGATGGTTGTCGGTGCCGCCGCTGACGATGTTGTAACCCAGCCCGCCGGAGTACTCGGAGTTGCCCAGGCGATCGGCGAGGGCCTTGGCGTTGGCCAGCACGGTCTGTTGGTACTCCTTGAACGACGGGGACTGGGCCTGCTTGAGGGCCACGGCGAGGGCGGTGATGGTGTGGTTGTGGGGACCACCCTGGTGGCCCGGGAAGACGGACGCGTTGATCGGGTTCTCCAGGTCGTACATTTCCTTTTCACCCTTTTTGGTCGTGCGCCGGACCCCCTTCCTGTAGAAGATCATGGCCCCCCTGGGTCCGCGTAGTGACTTGTGGGTGGTGGTGGTCACGACGTCGGAGTAGGCAAACGGGCTGGGGATCACGTCGGCCGCCACCAAACCAGAAATGTGGGCCATGTCGGAGAGGAGGTAGGCACCTACGTCGTCGGCGATGGCCCGCATGCGTTCATAGTCAATCAGTCGGCTGTAGGCCGACGTGCCGGCCACGATGATCTTGGGTCGGTACAGGATCGCGTTCTCGTGGAGTCGCTGGTAGTCGATGAGGCCGGTGGATTCGTCAAGACGGTAAGGGAAGGTTTCAAAGTATTTGGAGATCATGGAGATTTTCTTGGTGGGCGTCTGATAACCGTGGGACAGGTGACCACCGTGGGGGAGGTCAAGACCCATGATCCTCTCGTGAGAGTTGAGGAGAGCAGAGTAGGCGTAGAGATTTGCTGGGCTTCCAGAGAGGGCTGGGGTTGAAGTCAGTCAGATGGAAGATGATGATGATGAAAGACAGGAAGGGAACTGAGAACGGTCAGTACGTACGTTGAACATTGACTCCCCATTGTTCAGGGTCTAGTCTGTACGTCTCGAGGGCTCTTTTCTGGCACAGACGCTCGGATTCATCAATGTGTTCGTTACCACCGTAGTATCGTGCTCCGGGGTAGCCCTCGGAATATTTGTCTGTCACATACTGATTAGACTTGTGTGAACTTGGTTGGAGGCAAACAGGAAGAAAGTTTCAACCCACTCTGCATCACACTTCCAAGAGCATCCAGTACTGCTTGAGAGGTGAAGTTCTCGGACGGAATCAAGTTGATGAAGTGCTTTTGTCTTTTGATCTCCTAGGTATACAATGTCAGACCTGGCTGGAGTTATTGACGATGCGGGAGTAGCTAGACACGTACTCGTTGGAGGATCGCGTAGATCTCGGGATCGGCATCTTTGAGATGTTCACCCATCAACTGCTTGAGGATCAGTTCTATAAGACACTTGTTTCTTTTGGTTTCCGGATGATGACCTTGTTCTGTGCCTCACCATTGGTGGTGGTGGCTTTCAGAGGTGTCGTGGTAGACAGACTCCTCACTCTGGCTCGGCATGACATGCATATCGAGGGTCGGGAAGCGGTGCCCCAGATTCGTCGTGATATCAGGGTTCGCGACATGGTGAAAAATAACAGAGTAGCTGGATGAGTCCCGCGAGATCCAAGAGAAGAGATGTCGTTTGACCCCCAGATTTGAAGACGTGATGATTGATATATATGGGGTTTGCAGAGGGGCTCTTGGTATCGTCAGTTTTTCGTACATTGATTCATGGAACGAAGTCCAAGGCATGCGGAGTCAAGCCCGAAACAGCCCCCGAATGAGGCAGGTTTGGCGAATGGAACTTTTGCCCTTTTCCAGTCAAACAAATAATCTGGGCTCACACTTTCCGTTCCCTCTTCCTTTTTCCCTCACAACTAAATCCAAGATGAAGAGTACTTTTCTCGTCAGTCAACTGTTCTCGCGCTTCAGTCGTCTTCGACGCGCTGGAGGTCTGTGGGCGATGTTGATATGTCTCGGGTCCATTCACCACCTTGAGGGACAATTTGAATAAGACTGATTGGACATGTTGTTACCTTTTGGTTGTCTTTTTTGTCTGAGTGAACACGCCGTGTCTAGAATGAAAATCATTTTTCATCCATACTATATCCATTTCGATCGAGGATGCTTCGGCAGTACGGAGTAGATGGGAGTGAGATGATGAACCTAAAACCACAAGACTATATCCTGAAGCTATTTTAATCCCGTGAAGATGGTTGATCAGATTGCCTGCTCTGCTATCTTTCAAAGATGAACCGTTTCGACACATGACTGGGGACCAAAGACGACAACAACATTCATGCGCATGTGATTTGAATCTTGTACCGACTTGCTAGGACAATCTGAGAACAGAATAGTCACAGCACTATGTAAATGTTCTGGTGGAAGACTAGACATCATCACATATATCTCCAGGAAACTGCAGAAGGTCTCGGGCACAACGCAACACAGTAGGAGTAAGAAAGTAATGTCTATCAGAAAAGAACTAGGCTTCCTCCTCAGCCACAGTAAGACGCACTGGTCATGTGCGCAATGCTGCATGGGAACAACACTGTTCTGATGTAGGTCCATCTCCGCTGTAACCAAGAGTTCGAAGTTGTAGTTCCAATCGTGCTATAGCTCTATCCAGGATTGGGATGTGGCCAAAGTTTTCTCTCTTTGTCGTGCATGTATATTCTGTGTCCAATCACCGATTCCGCATACTTCGAAAGTCATCGCCATGGACGTCCTGAGTGTAAGCTAGGGACATGGAAAGTCGTCAACCCAGTAGTAGCATATCACTCTGTTCCACGCGATCCTGCTTTATTGCTGGCTGACGTGATCATGATCAAGGATCCTGTCCAGGCAGTCTCTTCCGCACATGTACACCGACAGGTCTTATTCGAGACTGTCCACTTGCCCATTATCTCATTGCAACCTGGAATGAAGGATGGTGTACAGGTCGGTCTGCTGACCATGGCACTGCACGATCGGCGTTCGTGAGGGATAATTGCACATGGATGTTGATCATCCCGTCAGTCAATAGACTGCAAGAGGTGGATGGCAAAGACCAAGAATTTCCGTGGTTGTTTGGGGGTTTGAAAGGGTATAGTTCGTACTCGTAGAACCGGATGGAGGGAGCCTCAGTTCAGATCAAGTTCATTCTACCCATAGATTTATCGAGAAATGCGCCTTGAAACTTCGCTGTCGTCGGATTTGCACTGCTGTCCCAGTCAGGTGTACCAGTTTCAATCGCTCTCTGAGCGATATACGGCTGACAGGTTAGAATGTTAGATCCAAGGGTATCAGACTTGCAAGTGAACACAAACGGAGCTTGCATAAAGCCTGACCCGGTTCAATTGAATGACCCCGATCTCGAGAGCCTGTTTGCATATCAACGACAGTGTAAAATGGCAAGCCTACCGACAGTCAAGCCGTAGCCATGGCCGAGCTGATGTATCCTACAGCCATTCCGACCTCCCTCGTGGGATGTTACACAGCTGGAGTAGTTCAGGTGTCTTTCCATTTCGATTCAGGGAGTGGTTCGATCAGTAGTAACGATTCGTGATAAGTCGCGTCTCGAATAGATGCTCTGCATGAAGAGATGTTGCGGAGTGCACATTTCCTCCGTACTCGTACGCAATCCAGAGTCACAAGTCCACTGTCCTACCGACGAACACCGCATTCACTCGTTCGAATCCATCGCAGTGCATCCAGAATTCAGGAGGAACGAAATGAGCTGATAATAATCAATCAAGCGCTGTGCAATCTTGGAGCGGCAGACTGTCCAATATCGCACGCTCCATCCAACCTGGTCTGTGGTTGATTTCTTGGAGATTCATGGGCAGATTGCGTGCTCCAGTCGAGTTGGGTCACGTGTCAGGGGTAAATCCTGCTCAACTCAGGCCTAGGCGAGCTATTCCCAGATCATCCACCACTTGTTACCGAAAGACCAAAAAAACTTGGTAGCTTTTCATTTCGCGATGTCTCAGACCCTGCTCTTGTAATTGAGCGAGTTCTATTTTTTCTTTAAGGGGGATCCGACTATCCTACAGTAGGTAAACTCACCGTTGACTCCCTGAGGTTTCAGGCTCTTTAGGCCTACTAGAGTCGCTAAGACTTTTGCCACACAAGGAGCGACGGAGGAACGCAGATTGCTATCTGGGTCCCGAAGTGTACCTTTGTCTGCTACTATGGGCTACGGAGTACAACGATGTCAAGTAACGACCTTCCGGGTATTTGGTAAAGGGATACTCCGTAAGATGAGCAACCTGACGATAGGCGAAAATAACGTTCTTTCTGTGGTTCCCTGGCTACTCTCAATGGATCATGGTTTGTCTACTGTATTCTGGGTGAGACGATATGGAGCAGTTACGGAGTACCGTACATATGTGGTGAATGATGGCTCCCTCTCCTACGACTGTGGCGGGCGATTTAGTATCATCGTACGGAGTACTATGAGGATCTTCAACCAAACAACAAGCCGGCCATTCCTCCTGAGGCGTGATTACGGGGTACGTGATGCATCAACAAACATCAACATCAGTTTGTTTGTTGTGCTTGGTGATCAATGCGCAAGACTGGTCAACAATGGAGCTTTGGGCCTGGATCGTCGGGTCAAAGATTCTGGACAGCGTCATGCCGGACACCACCAACAGCAGCTATGTGGACGGGTCTGCCAACATTTGTTTGTAGGTATCCGTATCTGTTGCTGTGACGGTGTGTACGGAGTACTCGTACCATCCATACTTCGGATGGTAGATTGACAAACCTGCTCCTTTTCGCAACAGTAATTCGCCATCTCCCTGGATTCGCTTCCGTAAATATATGTATGTGCCCACAAGTGGTATCGATAGTAGTATGGAGTACTCGTATCCGTACACTAAAATATATATTGTAAATTGTGAGCTTTCTATTTTCAGGAGACCACATGGAAGGTTGGAGCGAGTCATGGCTGCATTTGAAGAGATGATTAGTTATGCCACCATCAGACTTTTTTAGTCGTAATCATCCTGTTTGCGATGATCCTCCAGAAATGCCAGTCGACGCCTCTACAGTAACTTCCTAGATCAGTAAAGAGAGGCGGATGACGAGGTCCCGCACCGAGCTACTCGTACTGTATTGGCGTGCTCCGGATTGTAGGGGGCATGGATTGACGAATCTCTCAGCTCGCCTGATGCGAATCTGGAAGCTCAAAGACCAACTGATAGTCCTAACGTTGCCCGTTGTCGGCAGGATCTGCATGGACGCTGTTCATGCTCGAGCTTCCACTATGGCGAAAGTCTAGATGACCATGACGAGATGTTCCGTGTGCGTGTAGGGATCATCTGATAAACATTCCACTGCGCCTCCCTGGTGCGATCCGCTGCCAGGATTCTGTGCCTGGACGGCGAAGCTTTGGAGGAGGAAGCGCCCACTGGGGGCCATAACCACATGGAAGCAATTGGACATCCTGGCGCCAGAGAAGATTTGCTGAGGTCCTGTTTGAGTGAGAAGAGTCTGGAGAAATTGCATGGGGACAAGGATGAGAGAAGGTTGCAGGGTGGACGAGGCTAGAGAGTCCAGGGAGCCTCGTGATTTGTCCGCTCCGGCACCGTCTTGGCAATCAATCTCCGAAACGCGAGCAAAGTAACCACTCTAACCGTCTTTTCCAATTGCCATCGCCTACGAGGTACCAACAACTTGCGCCGACTCTGTTGGGTCCTGACAAGCTTTGCGTCGGTGCACACGGTCTGTTTGTTTGCATCTTGGACGTGGAGTCTGCACCGGTACCTCGGACACCACCCAACGCAACGTAGACGAAACATGAAATCAGGCGATGCGATGCGACCAGTGGCACTTGTCCTTCCCCTGGTACCAGCGGTGGAGAGGCACAGGAGCTAACCCATCGCGTTACGGCACAGCTAATTGGGTTCACTTTGCGCGCGGAACAAGAGAAAGCTACACTACAGGACGAGTACACCGTTGGAAGCGGTGGGTTACACACAAGCGAGAACAGGCACGACTCTAGGTAGCAATTCGCCTCTTTGGGCCAGAACGCCATCGGAAAGCAGGTACCGAGGGACTCAGCTCCAGCATTGATTGCAGACAGCTATCACAGAGCCAAATTGCCATCTGAGCGTCGAAGGATAAACAATCATATCGTCATATCGACTTTCATGTTATACTGTCAACAAAGGCGAGGGTCAACAAAGTGACAGGCTTCATCAGCAGTGGCCCGCGATGAGATGACAACGACAGCCGGCGAGCAGGCCAGGGGCAGCTCTGATGGGTCGGTGTTTCTGGTTAAAAACCACTTATTTCGTCGCACCACCCAATGACTAGGCCGGTCGGCTGATGAGGCTGCATCGGTGGATCGCGCTATACGACGCTACCCCTGACAGGGCCACAGCTGCCGAAATGCTTCCATCTCCCGCTCCACCAACGCCCAAACACCATCAACGCTAGAGGGCCACTCTAATTTCCAACACCTCATATATCAAGGCCGCATGCTCGCCATGGTCTCGTCCTTTCTTCATTCTGCATCCTTCAGATCGAACTCCAACTTCCAGTCGCTCGCTAGCAACTCAAACAACTCAGGTCTTCGTACCACGACACTCGTTTCAAACTTCAAATCCAATCCCCGCAAATCTACCAGTTTTCTAATTCAGAAACTACTACTCCAACCATCAAAATGAAGTACACCGCTACCCTCGCTGCCGTCGCGGCTTTCGCTGTCTCAGCCAACGCTGGTGTCGTTGCCACCACCACCACCGTGAACGCGTGGGAAGACTGGACCTCGACCACCACCACCACCACCACCACCACCACCAAGACTACGACCACCACCGTCCCGGTCAAGCCTGCTACCACCACCACCGTGAACGCGTGGGAAGACTGGACCTCCACCACTACCACCACCACCCCCGTTAAGCCGGCCACCACCACCAGCGCCGAGGGTGTCTGGGGTGACTGGACCACCACCTCAGTTCCTGCCAGCTGGACCACCGCTGTTGTCTCAACCATCACCACGTATGTGCCAGGCCCAACCAACATTGTCCATGCCGGCAAGACCTACTCTTGCACTGGCGCAACCACCCTGACCATCACTGATTGCCCCTGCACCATCTCCGTCCCCGTCTGGACCAAGACCGCCACCTCTTGCAGGTGAGATTTTCCTATGTTTCATTATCTTCTCAGACCAAGTTATACTAACTCTTCTTTTGTAACAGCACCCCTGCTGCGGCTGTCACCACCTGGACCAAGCCTGCCGGTGAGGCCTCGTGGTCCAAGCCAGTTGCTCCTGCTGAGACCAGCACCGCCCCTGCTGCCCCAGTCTGGACCTACGCTCCATCATCCGCCAACCCAGTTGCCCCAGCCACCTACACTGGTGCTGCCAACGCCCTCAACGTTGGTGCTGGTCTTGCTGGTGTCGGTGCCATCGCCGCTTTCCTCCTGTAAATGGTGGATTGCTAGAGGTTCTCGGCATGAGCTGGTCGCTCGCGTCCAGTGTCTAGTCGGGAGCTCCTGCATTTGCTTCTTCAACGTTTTCTGAGCCCCGAGAGCAACGATACGGTTGGGCGCTTCTGATCGCAGCACGCGACATTTCAGGCGGCATGTTTTATGGTGGGACATGACGACTTCATTTGACAAGTTTGTTTGCATGCTTCAGCCGGCGCAACTTTTAGATGACCGATCTTCACTTTTGTCGTTGTTGGATTATGGCAGACCCTTCCTGTACCTTCACCGGTATAGAAGGGTCTTCATGACAGATTCTTCGGGTTTTGGTATTATCTTAATGAATGGAAATCTTTTTGAGGCTATCTAGCATTGTACGCGAGTTCTTGGGATCCAAAAGAAATGTGAATCTTTGTGCATACCACTGAAATCGTCAATATCTTGTTTCCTTTGCAGTCTTTGTACTTAGAAACACATTATCTTAGGACTCCGAGAATCAGTATACAATTGATTTTTCCCTCTACTATGAGCCGCATGTTCATGTCTACCACATGTTTGTGTACATGGTCAAAGCTTAGCGAGAGCTATTTTCCGTGACAGTTCATCGGCAGCTTGTCGTGATGAATGACAGGTGGATTTGGTAAACAGTAGATTCAATTCAATTTCGACCTCGAAGCACGGAACACAAACATTGATGCAGTGTGAGATTACTTCCTACGGGTACGTGTCTATGTGAGTTTTCCTCGTCGCGTCAGCATTCATGGACTTGGCTGTGGGAGGGAGTGAGAACGCGTCTTCCTACAAAGTACTCCGTACTGGGTACCATCAACGACAACTCTCGGCATTCGTTCGGGGGTTCTTCAGAGCATCTCTGCTCCGATAAATTCGCCCAGTGTGCCCCGGGATCCTCCCATTGGCCCAATGGCTTCCGTCCCCGACCATCTCCTTCTGGCGGGGGAATTGTGTTGGGGCCTCCATCCTTTGGCACCGACTTCATCCTCATTACTCGTACAACAACCAGTGTAGAATCGCCAATCTCGCCTATTATATCTACTTGTACGCTCTCATGCCCCGATGCCTGGCTGAAACATACTCCCCTGCCCACTGCAAACCTCCGAACCTTCACCGTAAACTCCTGGATCGGATTTTGCCAGCGAGACTTCAACCAACCAAACAAGCAGCTGAATACATAGGTGAATAGGAGATGCCTCGGTCGAAATCCGCGACTCGGCTCTCCACAACGTGTGGTATGATTCGACTCCCGCTGGACCGACCTCCGTCATAGTCTCCCTTACCCCATACTCTCGGTGGTCGTTATGTTCCCTGTCCATTTCCCAAATCCCTACATCTATGCAAGAACATAATCCAGAAACTGCCTGACGAAGCAATATCGGAGGGGAAGATGGCATAGCATGTGCGCAAGTGTATGACTGTTGTTCCTCCCCTACATATGAGGCGGGTATAAGTGCTTCTCTTGTGCCACTTTATCCCTCAGCCAAAATTCCATCGTTCTACCTCCGCATACGAGAAAGTAATATACACCCCCTTACTGGAGCTTGACGGATCTTAAGCTCGCCTCAATTGCTTTCGCTTCGCATATACGGCAAGCCTGCCACATAGGCTTCGCACTGTCACTTCTATATTCTGATTTCTAGAGACCACCTCCTCCTAACCTCCTGCCGTCATGTCTCCCAACAATACCATCCAAGACGCCGTACAGCATGCCTCTCTCTCCAACCCAGAACAATTCTGGGACAAGCACGCCAAAGAACTATACTGGCACAAGCCATACTCGTCCGTCCTGAAACGACAGAACAAGACACTAGAGGATGGCACGTCACATCCACACTGGTCATGGTTCCCGGACGGTGAGCTCAACACCACCTACAACTGTGTCGACCGACACGTCCAGGCCGGCAACGGCGACAAGCTGGCCATGGCCTGGGACAGTCCGGTGAGCGGATGCAAGGAGAGATACACATACTCGGCCCTGCTCGAAGAGGTGGAGACACTGGCGGGCGTCCTGCGCGAAGAAGGCGTGAAGAAGGGTGACGTCGTCCTGATATACATGCCCATGATCCCTCCTGCCATCTTTGGCATGCTCGCCGCTGCCCGCCTGGGGGCTATGCACGCCGTCGTGTTTGGTGGTTTCGCCGCAAACAGTCTGGCACAGCGCATCGAAGCCGCGAAACCAAAACTCATCCTCACGGCGAGTTGCGGGATCGAAGGGTCAAAGGGCCCCCTCGACTATCGACCCTTTGTCGAGGGCGCCATCGAACAGAGCAGTTGGAAACCGAGCAAGACGCTCATCTGGCAGCGCGACGTCAAGCGCTGGGACAAGGTCCGAAAGGACGCCGGTCAACGCAACTGGCAGCGCCTCGTCAAGAGCGCGAGGAACCGAGGGGTGAAGGCCGAAGCGGTGCCCGTCAAGAGCACCGATGGCTTGTACATCATCTACACCAGTGGCACCACGGGTCTCCCCAAGGGGGTTCTGCGCGAGGCGGGCGGGCACGCCGTCGGACTGAACCTGAGCATCAAGTACCTGTTCGACGTCAAGGGACCCGGGGACGTCATCTTCACGGGCAGCGACATCGGTTGGGTGGTGGGGCATTCCTACATTGTCTACGCGCCGTTGTTGGCCGGTGCGACGACGGTTCTGTACGAGGGCAAACCCATCGGCACCCCCGACGCGGGCGCCTTCTGGCGTCTGGTGGACGAGTACAAGGTCACCACGCTCTTCACGGCGCCCACGGCGCTCAGGGCGATCCGGAAGGAAGACCCCGACGACAAGGCCTTCAAGAGGTACGGCGAAGCGGGGCAACTGAGGCACCTGCGCGGCCTGTTCCTCGCGGGCGAGCGGTCGGAACCCTCCATCATCACCCACTACCAGGACTTGCTCAGTGAGTACGCCGCGCCCGACGCCCGGGTAATCGACCACTGGTGGTCCAGCGAGTCGGGCAGCCCCATGACCGGTCTCGCTCTTCGGCCCGCCATAGGGCACGACCACCACAGTCGTGAGAGTCACAAGGCCTTGGCCATCAAGCCCGGCAGCGCGGGTAAACCGATGCCCGGGTTCGACGTTCGCATTGTGGACGACGAAGGTAAAGAAGTTGCCGAGGGAAACATGGGGAACATTGTCCTCGGGGTACCCTTGGCCCCCACGGGCTTCACCACCTTGTTCAACGACGATCCTCGCTTCTATCGAGGATACCTCAAACGATTCGATGGGGAATGGGTCGACACGGGCGACGCAGGAATGATTGATCAAGATGGTTATGTTCATGTCATGAGTCGAAGTGACGATATCATCAACGTTGCTGCTCATAGATTCAGTACAGGTGTGTTTTTGGAATCCTCTCTCCCTCTCCTCCTCATTGGTGCGGTAGTCTCGTTTTGTCGTGGCTAACAATGTGTCATCTCTTCAGGAGCCATCGAACAAGCAATAACATCCCACCCGTCCGTGGCCGAGGCATGCGTCGTGGGTATCCCCGACGCCCTGAAGGGTCACATGCCTTTTGCGTTCGTGGTCCCTTCGGAGTCCACGCCGTCCGACCTACCCGCCACGCCAACCAAGGAGTACTTTGCCAGCATCAACAATATTGTCCGGTCAAATATTGGAAACATCGCTTCGCTGGGTGGCATCGTCCAGGGTAAAGGCATCATCCCCAAGACTCGTTCCGGCAAGACACTACGAAGGGTGTTGAGGGAACTCGTCGAGAACGCGGCCGAAGGGAAATTCGACAAGGAGGTCAACGTCCCAGCCACGGTCGAAGACAAGGAGGTGGTCGAGGTCGCCAGGGCCAAAATCAAGGAGTGGTTCGAGGCCAGGGCTAGAGCTCAAGGGACGACAAAGGCGAAATTGTAAAGAAGTTTGGGTTCATCTTTTCTCTTTTTTGGGTTCACTAGCCCACCCCAGCCAGTTTGGTTTTTATGACATGATCAACTTGGAAGATCAGCAGTATATACCATGCTCTACGATACCCAATACCTTACAAGGTCATTGGTTATGTCTGAGAGACAGAAGGAGAGAGAGAGAAGGAAATTTGTAAAAGCAAGAGTAAGAGGAAATTTCTGGGAAATTCGTCGAGCCCGCAAATCATGCATCGAATTCAATGAGGATAACCTTGTAACGTCCTGATCTCTTCACGACGTGTCATACTCTAGGTACTATTACTGTACGCGTTCTGAATTGAAGTGGGCGTCACGGCTCATTGCTCGTTGTTTATTGTCCTGACGAACATGAGGTAATTTTACGCCCCATGTGCATTTTGTTTTTTGGAAAAATATCAAGTCCGAATTCGTCGACGTGTTGTGTTCCATTCACCCGGTGGTCAGGGATGGAACAGAACAGTAAATTGATATCAGCTCTTGATCATCCAGACGCCAGTAGAATGTCCGTTGATCGATACTCGTACATCTTGTTGACTCGTTGAACAGAGGAATGGTTAATGGTTTATAAAAATAAAAAAAAGTATGTTTGTCGTCGGTGTGGGTTGTGGTTGAGTGAGAGAGAGAGATTCACCGAATATTTTTATTCGTTTTCCCCGAACGAATACAAAAAAGGAAATTCCATTTCCGGCAATTTTGGTTGTCGTCCGACACCACCAACGACAACGACGCGTTTTCTGGTTTCTGTTGTTCACGACACGAAATATAAAACAATCAAGTCCAAATCTCAAATCAAAATTCACATTCGCAAACAAGACTTCTTCACCAAAGGTCTACCTCGACTCATGTTTGCTATCGACGACGTACCAATCAACATCTTGTCCGATTCTCTACTCCACACGGTTTCTTCATACGAGGTTGTTTTTCAGGTCCTGCAAGCAAGATGACGCGACTCTCTCTCTCTCTCTCTCTGAGTACGGCACGGCAAGGCCTCAACGTTTGTCTCTCGAATCACCATATGACCACCAAGAAACAAACAACATCAACACCCCAACATCAGCTATTCGAAAATGACAAAAAACATCCAACCTGCCATCAAAGAGGTTTGTTCCCCCCCAAAGAATTTCAAGCAAGTATTCCAACCCATCACGTCCTCTTCTCACGTGCCCCGTCGAGAGGACCTTCCTCCGCTCTCTCCGTACAGTTTCAACCCGACAAAGCCTCACTCCGTTCGTCCCACGACCCCACGGTTCCGAAAAGCACTCAATGCTCGATGTCATCCCAACTCCTGCCCTTGACGGCGTTCAGCTCTTCCATGCTCATGACCTTGCCCGTGGTGAAGTAGCCGGCGTGGATCTTGGCGTCGATCTCGACGCGAGAATCCTCGGGGATCATGTCGTCGGGGATCGGCACCCGCTCGTGGATGGGGATCCCCTGTTCGACGATGGCGTCGTGCTTCATGTTGCTCATGCTCAGCATGCGGTCGATCTTCGTGATGCCCAGCCAGTGCAGGATGTCGGGCATGAGGGCCTGGAAACGCATGTCCTTCACCCCCGCAATGTTCTCGGTGCGCTTGAAGTACTCGCTCGCCCGGTCGGCGCCCCGCTTGCGCGCGTTGTACACGAGGTACTTTGTGACCTCCCCGAGCGCCCGACCTTCCTTGCGGAAGTAGATGACGACGCCCGAACCTCCCCGCTGGGCCTCCTTGACGGCCTCCTCGATCCCGAAGATCAGGTAAGGGCGGCACGTGCAAATGTCGGATCCGAACACGTCACTGCCGTTGCACTCGTCGTGCACCCGCAGGGCCAGTTTCACGTCGGGGTCGGACATCTTGGCCGGGTCACCGAAGCAGTACACCGTCAGGCCGCCGATCGGGGGGAGGAAGACCTTGATGTCGTTCCGGGTCACGAGTTCCGGGTACGACCCGCCCGTGTGCTCGAAGAGGGCCCGGCGGAGGGCGCTCTCTTCGATGCCGAACCTCTCGGCCACGCCGGGTAGGTACCACACGGGCTCGACGGCGAACTTGGTCACGCTCAGTTCGCCCGTCTCGTTGAGGCAGATCTTGCCGTCGGGCCTCAGCCGGCCGGCGCGCACGCTCTGCTCGAGCTCGGGGATCTTCATGTGAGCCTTGGTCACGGCGATGGTGGGTTTGATGTCGATGTCTTGCGCCTGCATGATGTCCTTGTACAGCCAGGGGGCGAGGTGGCCGAACGGGTCCATGGCCACGATCTTCTTCCTGTCGCCCCACGCCGGGAACGGACCGATGAGCGCGGCGGGTTCGGTGTTGGTGAAGTCGGGCTTGTGTTCCATGTCGAGGTGGTTGCTGGCCACGGCGAGGGCGTGGTAGATCGAGTACGAGCCGCCGTGGGCGCCGATGGCGTTGCGTCGACGGATGGTGTTGTGGTGTCGGCTCACGACCACGGGCCCACGTTTCGCCGCGTCCCCTTCTCCCCATTCGAGGGGGATGGGGTCGATGCCCGATTGACCCGGGTACGTGGTGAGGATGATACGGGAGATGGTGGATGGCTTCCTCGCAGTCGGTGATCCTGGGGCTTTGGAGGATCCTGACGTGCCATCGGTCGTTGACGGTGGCGACGCCGTTCCATTGGCAGACTGTGCCAGTTGTACGGGATCGAGACTGGGTGAGCCCAGGCTACCGAGTCTGGTGGTGGAGGTGTCGGTGTTGTTGGCGGCACCTCGAAGCCGATTGATGGAATCCGAAACCCCGACCTTGCTTTGAAGAGCTTCCACGCTGGCCGAGAGTTGAGCGTGGTCGACCTGCATTTTCTTCAGTGTCGAGAGGATCTCCTCCAGAACAGCACTGTAGATCTGAGGCGGCTGGCCGCCACCACCACTCTCTGTACCCGCCATCTTCTTGAAATTCCAACAGCCCAAGGTGACAGATAAAGGTGAGTTCTGTAGTTTTATGCTGGGAATCAGAAATAAGAGCTTCAATCCAACAACAATTAAATGGCAAGAAAATTGTCTCTCCCGCTGCTGCCCCTTGCTCTCCGATTTGCCTGGGCGGGGTTACAATGTGTTGTCCCCCTGTATGACAAGAGGGATAGATTTGAACTAGACGATGTAATTGGGTGAGACGTGAATGGCAAAATGATGACCAGGGAATAGAAACAGACAGAAACAATAGGACAGAACAATTTCACAGTCAACAGAATTGTGAAAGGTAAGTGAGGAAAGGTGAGGAATGCTCTTGTTCACTGATCACCCTTCCTGCTATTGATGCGGGGGATGTTATTGGCCCACGCGGCGGACTCCGTTGATAAGCCTCCAAGGGAGATCTGCACGTGATATGGTGGTGAATTAGGCAATTAGGCGCCATCACTCAAAATGAATGCGTAGTTGTTGGTTTCCTCTCATTCATCATCCTCTCATCAATATATAAATGGAACGCGATCCCCCGGTCGAGTCGCATCGATAAAATCCATAATTTTGTCACACACATACGAAACCATCCTCGACATCTCTCCTGACATTCTCTAAATCTTGAATACCCTCGCTCTCAACATCCCATCTCAACTGATATAAATAAAAGACACAGACACAAGAATCAACATGGTATGTCTTGTTCAGACCCACAGAACCCCCCCAAGGACTCTCAAAACTAATGTTCCATCGCAGGGTAAACGCAAGAAGTCATCGAGCAAGCCCCAAGGGCCCAAGAAGGTCAGTAGTTCAGTGGTTTCCACTCGACTCAAAAGCTGTTCACCCCCTCCTTCCCCCTCGGTGTCGATGTTGATGGGAATCGTTTGGTTGACTGACGTTTCATGTGCAGCGAGAACCACTCGCGACGACCTTCACCTGCCTCTTTTGCAACCACGAAAAGGCCATCCAGATCAAACTGGACAAAAAGGCCGGGGTCGGCAATCTCCACTGCAAGGTCTGCGGACAACGGTTCCAGACCGGAATCAACTACCTCTCCGCCGCCGTCGACGTTTACTCGGACTGGATCGACGCCTGCGAGAACGTCGCCCAAGAGGCCGCGGCCCAGGATGCAGAGGATCAAAAGTTCAGCAGCTACGCCACCGCGCGTACGGGTGCTGGCGCTGGTGCTCCTGCGGCAAGGATTGACGAAGAAGAAGATGGAGATTATGGCGATTACTGAACCTGGAAAAAAACTTGCTGGCACAATTTCCTTTTCTCTCACGGACGCTCATGGAAAATGATCGGTGGTTGGTCGGTCGGTCGGTCGGCTGGTCGGGATAGTCCTGTACTGAGAGAGTACAGAGGACCTGGCGTTTTTTTACGGAAGAATGACTCTTTGCAACGGCCTGGGTCGAAAATTTCGGTGTGAAATAAAAACACCACGAAAGACATGATCATGGAGACTTGATCTTTGCCCAAATCATTCATATTTGGGCTGTATTATATTTGGCATAGCAAGTTGGGCAGATAACCTCCTACAACTACGACCGACCATCTTCAGACACGGAGGAAGGATATACCTGCAAGCTTGTCGCCTGGGGGGTGGTCTAATACGAAATAGCCTATGCCACAGCATGAATTCTGGGTTCGGATTGCACCCTTCGATGAGATGAAAGTATTTCCTGGACGTGTGCAAGGAGGTCGTGAGGACAGGCAGCTTTGGGTGAAACAGAAGAGAACAAAAGCCTCTTGCCGTGTAATCTTGTTCAATAGGAGAGTCGCTCTGGATACTCTGCAAGAGGAATTGCCGCGTGGAATGTGATATTGTAGGCCATACAATGGGTATTCCAACTCTCAAGTTGTTTCTGATGTTGCTGCTGCTGTTAATATGAGGGCGATATCCAAGATGCGCCTGCAGTGTGACCATCCTGAGGTCCTCGTGGGAAATAAAAGGCGTCTTGCTTTCCCCTCGATGATCAACGATTTCACTGTTTTCCGAGGAATGCTATCTTCTCTCCAATTGCACTACATCACGAAGCACGCGAAATACGATGCCCGACAGCTTACTATTTAGACTGTCGTGGTCCGAGTGACACACAGCCGAGACGCGTCTCAGTGAGAACAACTTCAAACGTGCCCACAGAAGGCATTCATCGTGTGCAAGGGATCCAAATTGTCAAGTTTTGGTGGATCCGGGCTCATGGTTCCTGGGAGTGGCTCATTTACCTTGCTGGCACACAAGATCCAATTCCAATGCCTCTGAAGGCCCCCGAATCTCCTGAAACGGCGCAACCATCAACTCCTCATACCGAACATGCCTGGCTCGTAAGAGGATATCAGGAAAAAATAAACAGAGTTACGCTCGGAAGCGAAAGAATCCACAGCTCGTATATTGACAAACTCACTCAGTCTCAAACCTTTTTTCGCGCCAGGGCTCTGTCAACTGGAACCGAACAATGCACAGTAAGACATCCTTGTTTGTTTCTGACGCGTCGAGGCAAGGGAGGAAAGAAAAAAATTAAACTCAGCCTGCCCCGTACTTTTGACCACCCTGGCTCTTATGCAACTGTGATGTGCATGAAGGAAAAAGGGGAGGTGCTGTTCCGATCACCTACCGACATTGTCTTGGACGGCCAGTATCCAATGGATCATTTTCACCGCCACCAGTTCGAAACGCGGCCATCTTAAGGCCTGACTTCAAAAACCTCGTTCGTAAGAGGAAGGGGTCAGACCGAATCCCAAACGGGGTGCTGGTGTCATGTCAATCCCTGGAGGCCTGGCAAGCCAATGGAGACTGTCTTGCCACCAGCGTGATCCGCAACAAAATCCTTTGAGTTCAGCAGGTGACAAGGTGCATGGCGTAAGTGTACTTCCAGACCTTCTCGTACTCCGTATGCACTGAAGATCAATGCAAGATCCTACGCTTGCAGACATCGGATCATGCAACGCGGTGCGGTGCGAGGTTGAGAGAACAAGGAAAACACGGAGGCTGGATGTCGAGCAGCGCGTGTTCCTCAACAATCCAGCAGCGATGGATCAGGCTGGACCCGAACAGGAGAATTTTGAGAAAAAAAGTCCTCAGTACGACCAGCCACTGATTTTGTCCTCGGCATTGTCGGCCCCCGTCACGGAATTACTGTACTGTACGCGTGCGTGAAGGTATTGTACGGAATAGGTTTGAGAAGGATGGCTGGGAAGAGGACAGGAGCTAACAGGGCCGCCCAGCATCCGACCTTTTTCAGGATGCAAACTTACTCCAGGGATGAATTTTTGCTCAACCAGACGATCCATGCGACGCTAACACCATGATTGGCAATCGACTCCAGCATCGGTCGACGACGGCAAAGGGGTGCGAGCCTGGGATACCCCTCCGCAAATCACAGAGTGACAACACATCAGTTGTTGGAGGGGGAGAAGCCAACGGCGTGTTTGAGACGATCCAACATTCCTCCCACTAAAGCCAATAGTGGTCTCCGACAAGAATCGAACATGTCTTCGTCCCCTGCCCCTTGCTCGAGTGAGAAAATATTTTAGTCAATGGTAGCAGGCGATACGTCGGCGCTCATCCGCCGTAAGAAAAAAGATCGAATTACCGTACTCCGTACTGTACAAAGAGTATCGAGCCCCGGAGACAGGAAACTGGTAGCTAGGCCTAGCCGACGTTCGTCCTTCCACTGAATTGCAGACCCCACTGCTGACCGTGTCCGGGACGTCGCGCCGCACAGCCCCTGCTCGTACTTTCAGAGGCCTTGGTTGCTTCTGTGTCGAGGACAACACCATCCAGTACGCCGTTCCGAGTGGCAACAATCATCGAGATCATCGTCTCATGCAAGATCTCTATGTGGCAGAGATCGGTGTTGAGGTTATATCGTGTGCCTGAGGAATACTGGCCGATCTCAAATGCCCAAGTCTGCATATTGGCTCTGTATTGCTGCAGTCGGCATGCAATGCGGCCTTAATTGTAGCAGCTGCATTGCGCCGGGAACCCTGCATACTGACATGCACGCAAGCACGTCGCTTCGAAGATCATATAGAGGTGTTTGTTTCAGAAGTGATAATGTCACCTATATGTTTGGCATTGCTTCTTCTGAGCGCTATCAAGCTACTATTGACTGGATGGAATTGTTACAAGCATTGAATTGGAGAGGCTGTCAATTCTTCACACCTTTGCCTCTGATCAGCGCACTTGTACGAGTCGATCTTGTCGGTCACAAAACTCCCTGCACTTGTGGTTTTCCAAGGATAATCGTGAGGCCCACTGAAGCCAACACTGCTGATATAATGGTCAAAGTTCTGTGCGCTCGGTCCTCCCGGGTAAGCACGGTTGTGACTCTGAAGCGGAAACCTTGACTTGGGCAAGCTCTGTAACATTGTCCGTTGACTTGCGTAATTCTGTTTTCAGAGGATTTCAAGTGGGCTTGATCGAAGAGGCTGGAAATCTACTCCATACTCCGTATGCCCGAGTATTCGACCAAGGACTTTGCTGGTCGGTCGTACTCGTAACAACACGTGAAAATGGTGGTCTGTTTGTTCCTATCCGCATGTGGGTGCCTGGCGATATCAACTGGTCCATGACGCGCAGCAGCGGGCCAAGCTAAGGAAGGGACTTATTGTACTTGTATCAGTGGGCATGCGAGGTTGGCGCTCGCCAGCCACGCGTTGACATGTGTGCAGCGCTTGTTCATCAACCTCCCAGGCTCCAGGAAGACCAACAACAACAATCAGGTAGGTAAGGGAACACAAAACAATTCTGTTACACGAGAAAAAAAAACGAGCTTGATTCACAATACAGCTGTGACAATCTCCGAGTGGGATGTTGGTTCTGGTTGTGATGTGCTCTTGACCTTGATTGCTTCAAATCCGAGATCTAACTCGTAGGACGGCCCAGATGCTGATGCACGTAATTCGTACAAAGAACAAACGGGGCTTGGTCAGTTGCTGCCGTACCTCACCTTAGCGCTGCCCAGAAGCATCTGGCGTCTCTGCAAGACTGTGAAGCCACCAAGGCGTCACAATCGCTAAGCTTGTGTTTGAAACATGAATGGCGAGGCGATGGTTTTCCTTCGTATTATCCTGGAGTATTCATTCGCTTCACGTCAGAGTGCCCCGACCGAAAGACCAGACCAGTTGACTAGTGTCGTGATTCTCTATCGGCGGCTGCAGCAGATGGCTTTGTGCTATCGGCAAGTCAGCGACAAGGAGCAGGGAAGCAGAGGGTGCCCCCCAGGCGACTAGGAGTAGCCTGTCTTTCGTTGCAACTCAGAACTTCCCCTCTTTTTTTTCTACTCTTACAGTAGTGGCCCCCGGGCGAGCCTGTCCTGTAACTAACGCCTTCCGTGCCGGACCAAGCGCTACACTGCCGGGAATGGCATTGACATGAGATGCGGCGGCTGGTTGGTGCCAGGTAGAAAACTTTCCGACATTGTGGCACAAGCCTTTTCGTCAAGACCGGCCGGATTACAATCCATGACAGAATATTTGAATGGTTTTGTATTGAGTAACATTGAGACGAGAATGTAGAGCGGAGCAAGGAAATCCCTTATGACATGGGCCACGGAAAGGAAAATGGTTGCACTTGGAGATCATCGACAATCATGCAATGGCTATCATGCGAGGGAGGCATGGCGTTGAGACCTTGACAGCCGAAGGAACGCCTCGAAGGGCTGAAAGGCCTTTCTAGGCGCTGAAGGTGGCAAGGATGTTAACAGACGATACGGACATGTAACTGCCAACTCTGAAATGGTTGGGATTTATTTTGGGGGCTGATCACGATAAGGTGATTCTCCGAACATGTTGATTCATTGATAGGTAGTTGGGCTTGCCGATGGTCGGTTCGGGGGGTCGAAAGAAGATGGTGGCTCTCCATCGTTGTCTAGCCCAGGCCGGTTGCCTTGTCCTCTGTGATTTTTCGTTCCTACTCGGGCCCAATTAGCGGTCATGTTGTAGGTGGGCCAGATGCTGACCTGCCATTATCGGTGGAAAAGAAAGGCTGGGGGAAGTGGGATACTCCTTCAGCGCGACATGTTTGTGTATCTCATAGTTTCCGCAGCCACGAAAGGCATGTTGCTATGATCTTCTGGACCAGCGAGGTTGCAGGGAACAGCATCCACTGGAGATCACGCTGTCACCCAACTGAGAAAGACTGTGTACAGTGCAGCTCTCAGTTGAGCGATACGGAGTACAAAGGCCTCAGACGAGAACATCGGACTCGACCTTCCCGGCTATGGATGTCGAAAGAGGGGGCCCTCCATCTTCGCCCATCCTCCATTGAACCGCCGTCCGCCGATGCCGATAGGATCTTGACACAGAGAGTAACGCGATGCGTTTTTTGACTTCTTCCTCTTGCTCAGCAGTGGTGTCTCTTGTTTTCCTTATCCACACTCCCCCGTAGCGTGTTTGTCCGCTGTCGTTTCTGTTGATGTCCATGTCAAAGCTTCAATGCCCACCCGTCAAAAAGCGAAACCTAGCTTATCCTGCCTCCACCACAATACGAAAATACACGTTCTGGAAATATAAGTAGCCAAAACCGTTGAAGTTGTCATGTCTCCGCGTAGCCTGATCTACATTGACGTTTTACGGGCGAGCATGGCTGCAAGGGATCAAAAATATCGAAAAAAGCCCTCCGGACGGGGCAGGCTCTTTCGCCCGATTTCTCTACTGTATGCGAAGGGTGCCAGGGCCTGGAAGGTCATTGAGCAAAGAACGGTAGCCGTAAATCGTAAGCAAGGTCTCGTCGTGTGAAAAAAGGAGCCCAGCCCATACGGGCAGCGATTGGCAAGATGCGCCCGGCCGTCGTGGATCCTCTTGTTGGACCTTTCGTGGATCGTGACTCGCAAGTCGCGGCACGCTGTGATCGTAGCAGCATTGACACTGGACAGCGGCTGGTGGACCGGGTCTGCCAGGGAGGAGTCATGGTGCCAATCGTGGGAGGCCGAAGTGGGCTTTCCTGGCGGTGGCTTGAGGGATGGAGTCGGCAAGGGTAAGGGAGTTGAGGGCAGGAAAAGCCAGAGGGTGAGGTGTGCAAGAAAGGCCTTTTCGGGGATGGATCAAGGGCCAGCACGCCAGCACGCCCAGCACACCAACAAGCACTCATCAGCCCTTGTCGCCCGCTGGCAACTCTTTTTCTGCTGCTTAAGCTAATGCACCCACCTGCACACACTCAGTCCTCCCGCTCGGCTACCAGCGCACCGTCGTCCACCTTGCATTTCTGCATCCTGCTTCTCACAACCTCGTTGCTCTTTGCTCCAGATCTCCATTGAATCTTTTTGTGCCGTCATATTCTCATCAGCCGTTGTTGACATGGCTTAATGCGCGTCAATTCGTTGTGCTGCTGAGTCTGATTTTGCTTGAGCAGTTTGGTATGTCAATGCACCCGCTATCATATCTATTCTACCGTGCCCGCCCGCCAGAGGAGAATACCTCAGCAGCTGGCCCAAAGAGCCTGCCCTGGACACCTTCAACCACATCCCCGGTCTTGCTGCATGTTGGATGTACCTGCATGTTTCAAGTCACCACTCTTTGAGGCACCGTCACTAATTCTTCAATGTTATAGTTCGTACTCCATTGAGCCGACGACTGACTTTAGTGCCGCAACTTGCGCCCAAGGCTCAGCGAAATTTCACGACTCTGGCGGCTTATCGAGGCGTCCGACCTTGACTCACGAGCTTCTGCTGTGTGTGCAGAGTCCGTCTGAGTACCCGAGCAGTTTGGTCTTCTTGGTTGAAAAATCAGCTGTTTGTGTAACTCACGGTCGAGACGAGTGGAAAAAAAGGTCTACTTGCAAGAGAAGAACAAAGTCTTGTGTGAGCTACGTTGGCTTGTTGGCTATCGTCGCTAGGTTTCTCGATTGACACTGTCGGGCAAAACCTGTAGTTGAGGGTGACGGTCTTCGATCGGTTGAGTTGAGTCTCGATACTTCAGCAGGAGGAGCGAGTCAGATCGCTACTCATACCAAATTACCAGTGGTTTGTCTAGCCCTGGCTCTTAAGTCGAAACAGCCCTACGAAGGAAGCAGTAGCACCGGGCTCCCGCAGGGTGGTATCGTGCTTTGCTTGTACCTAAGTCGCGGACATACTGTTGAGTATCCCAGCTGTCCTGCGTATAAAGGTCCAAGATGAATCAGACTCAACCCTATATGGATATGCATCCGGGCTCTCACATATCTTCCGGGCCATCCTACTCGCATTCTGCGACAGCTCCCATGGGTCATTATCAACCCTACCAGCAGCCGCCGATACTGCCTCCTGCTTCTACGCATTATCCACATCCCCAAGCGTACAACAGCTATGGTTATGCAAATGGTGTCACTTCTCCCCAATCTGCGACAGGTCCCGTTGGTCAACCCGTGCAAAGTCAGATTCCTTCTCTCCCGAGTGAGTAATGCGAGCTGATCAAGGTCCCATGATCAAGCTAACCAATTCACAGCTATGATGACTGGACCGGGTCCTCAGCATTCTTACGTGCCTCAGACGCCATCGCTGCCTGCTCCGAACCAAGGTTATGCTACTCAGCAACCGCAGCCATTTGACACGACTGGCCAGGTTGCTCCGCCTGGCATGAAACCACGAGTCACGGCAACATTGTGGGAAGATGAGGGGAGTCTATGTTTCCAGGTTGAGGCCAAAGGAGTTTGCGTGGCCCGTCGAGAAGGTGTGTATTATCTCGTTGACCCTTTCGATGCGACTAGTCCGTGTTGACGCCTTCTAGATAACCATTTCATCAATGGCACAAAACTTTTGAATGTGGCTGGCATGACCCGGGGCCGCCGAGATGGAATCTTGAAATCTGAGAAAACTCGCCATGTGGTGAAGATCGGGCCTATGCATCTGAAGGGCGTCTGGTAATTTGGATGCTTTTTAGTTCCATGGGATTGACTTGCTAACTTTTGTCAGGATCCCATTTGAACGTGCTCTGGATTTCGCGAACAAAGAAAAGATCACCGATCTTTTGTATCCCTTGTTTGTTCACAACATTGGAGGCTTGCTGTATAACCCAGAGAACACTCCTCGAGCAAACGCATTGGCACATGGATCCACAGACCGACGTCGTATTGACAGCCTCGACTCGACACGCCCTCTACCGTCTGTACAGACACCGTCTCTCCAGCACCACAACACAATGCCGGCAGGTGGTCAAGCTCCGCCCACGCCTCAATCCATCATCCCGCACCCCAACGCTGGCCGCCCAGGAATTGATCGAGCTCATACCTTCCCAACTCCTCCGACTAGTGCATCGAGTGTGATGGGTATGAGCAACCAAGGGAATTCATATGATTGGGGTAACCAGCAAATGCCTAATGGTACAAGCAGCGCCCAAGCGTTGTCCATCGACACGGGGATTAATGCTCGGTCGATGCCGACCACGCCTGCCACCACTCCACCCGGGACTGGCGGCCAGGGTATGCCACCATATCAGGGCCAGTCGGGCTATGATTCAAAGCATTATTACAGTACGACTCCGAGTTCTCAGACCGGATATGCGCAACAGCCTGATGGTACTCGTTATGGTCAAGGCATGCAATCTGGCCCGTATGGGAAAGGCGACATGGGCCCACCTTTGGGACCTGGGAATGCTAGCGGGGGAAGTGATGTTCGCGACAACAAGGCTGATGCGTACGCCCCACCTGGTCATGGCTCTCAACATGAAAATGATCACCCAGACAGTGGGTATATGAGTGCGAATGCCTCTGCATATAATTCAACCCGTGGTCAGTATGCCTACGGTGCTGGTGACCATGCCCATTTGTCTCCAGAGCAGATATCAGGGTCTCCACCACATCAAACAAGCTCAGGACACGCAACCCCTCGAACTATGCCTTCTGGTCAACCCCAGTGGCCTGCAGATTATCATACTCCACCTCGCGCCCCAAATACAAGTACTGTCTATAATGTTATGGGTCATGATCGAACACCACAAACAGGCCCGACTGATTCTTATGGAAACCCCGCATACTCAAGTGGACATTCTACTGGATTGACTTCTGCGAAGCGCGGAAGAGAGGACGATGAGCAAGATCGACCTGGAAGTCGTCAATATGACAACTACGATGCCAAACGACGCAAGATGGGCCCTCAGGAGACGTTCGGGATGCCCCTTCAACCGCCTCCACACATGCAAGCCATCAAGACTGGTGGCCAGCGATGAGACACTTAGAATGCCTCGCCAAGCGAAGCTTTTCAATACAGTGGTTCCACGGCCACCAACCCGAGGCTCGAGAAGTTTGATGGCGGTGCCGCCTACATAATGCCTCATCACGACATGATTGGAAAAGCAATAACGAAAGTTTACGACGGCCCATGAGCCAAAAAAAAGATCAAGACTTTGACGAACGGAACAACAAGCGTGCATTGTATGCTTCCCGAAACTCTAACGAATTTACGACATGATTTCCTATCGAAAGCGATTTTGACCTGGCGAAAATTATGACCTGTTACTTTGTTTGCGGCCTGTAATGGGTCGCACCACTGGTTTAGATGATGCTCAGATCTTTTCTTTTTGTGTATGAGGGAATGATATATGTGCGGATGGATTATGATTGGGATGAAAACGGCTACGATTCTCCGGCGCCATTGATGTCTTCTTGGCTGCGGGATTCGAGAGCAAGAACACACGCGGGAAGGTTGAACCTTGCTAATGACTTATTGCTCCTGGAAACAGTCCACCTGAGCTTTTGCATGTAGAAGACGAGAGGATTTTTCCAGTAGCGAGCAGAAGTTGGGCGGCAGGGATGAAAAAGGTGGCTCTCGTTTCCCTAATCGTGAAATCTTCCGTTGATGACATGTCATATACAATAAAAGCATAACTTATAATCTACCTGTGGACTTTTTTTTCGTTTTATTGAAATGCGCTGGTGTGACTGAAGTGGTGATAGATATGCGACGAGGACGTTTAGTCCTGTGTGTACGAGTATTGCTTAGTGCGAGCCGGATAATTCAAGTATGTATTGGGGGTCAGGCACAGCGCCCCAAGCCCCTCGTAATCGTATCCGTACAGCGTAGGCACAATGACTTCCAATCCCGAACCAACTCGCCAAGACAGGTCTTGGCACACACCCCCTCAGATTTTGATTATTGGCGACATCTCTTTAAGCTGCGACTTTTCGAGGCATCAACACCACGTCGACAACCATCCAGTCATCGCAGCAAGATGTGAGTCTCACTGTCTATACCACGAAGAAATCACCATCCTCCCTCCTTTGCACATTTTCGGCCACCTCCACCTTTCCTATACCAAAAACTGGAATCCATGACGTCCTGCATTTTGAAGCCATTTTCTCGAGAAGGAGACTGACCCGAGTTCAATCTAGGACCAACCTCCGCACCCAGAAGCGCCTCGCGGCGTCCGTCGTCGGCTGTGGCAAACGCAAGATCTGGCTCGACCCCAACGAAGTCAGCGAAATCGCCAATGCCAATTCTCGTCAGACAATCCGAAAGCTGGTCAGCGATGGCCTCATCATCCGCAAGCCTGTCGCCATGCACTCCAGAGCCCGTGCCCGAGAACTGAACGCTGCACGAAGAATCGGTAGACACAGAGGTTTCGGTAAGAGAAAGGGTACAAAGGACGCCAGAATGCCAAGGTACGAAAATACCCCATGACCAGGTCTGCGGTGTGTTGGTTAGGGACATATATACTGACAAATGCATTTTTATAGCCAAGTTCTGTGGATGAGACGTCTCCGTGTCCTCCGACGCCTTTTGGCCAAATACCGAGCGGCTGGCAAAATCGACAAGCACCTCTACCACGAGCTGTACCACTTGAGTAAGGGTAACACCTTCAAGCACAAGCGTGCATTGGTCGAACATGTATGTCTAAAGCCATGGGATACCCATTATATCGCTGACTTGATTTGTACAGATCCACAAGGCCAAGGCCGAGAAGCAACGTGAGAGAATCCTCAAGGAAGAAATGGATGCCAAGCGTGCGAAGACCAAGGCTGCTCGCGAGAGACGACAAGAGAGAATCCAAACCAAGAGAAATGCTCTTGCTGGTGAGCAGGAGGCTGAGGAAGAGAAGTGAACGACATGGAGATCGGGGTTTGAGTTTGACTTGTGACACGAACTCATTTGATCAAGTGTATCCAGGGACGATCTCGACGGCATGTCTTGCCACCAGGGTCGGCGAGCTTGGAGTCAGTCCGTTGCAGTCAGTGGGAAGTCAGAGCATGACCAAATGGTCGCCATAGATACCAGCACTTCCTATTACAATGTTGGTTGTGGTTTCACTGGGGCGCAATGAATCGAAAAAATGAAAGACCAATGCCAATGAACAACGATTATTGATTCTCTTCCTCGATGGTGCAATTGGTGTCGATGAATATAGCTGCCTTAATAGAATAGGAGCTTGAATCGTAGTCGTACCGTAGCTTTTTGGTGTCTGTGCACTCCCAGGTTATTGGGAGAGAAAAAGCGTGAATTCCCAATCAAAAAGACGGCAACTGCGATTGCTGAGCAAGTGGAGGTTGATGGCTGGCTACAGACCTGTGTTGTGGTGATCGACCTAAACTTGGTGTTTCCGTCTTGTGCCAGGAAAGATGATTGGACTTTCCCCCAGATACCTTTCATCATCACATCCTTCAAGCCATCTTGCCCATCACTGCAACGTCCCAGGCAAGCCCAAGATTTCTCCGACCAGTACGGAGCAGAGACTGGTCTTTCTGTCCGGCGTCCCTTAGCTACATGGTAGTACGCGAGGCAAGTGGCTTCTCTTGCATGCGACTACTGCACCGTCGGTGTGACAGTCGTGATTATCAGAACATACCCACATCAAAGAATCTTTTGCTCTTCAACTTGTTTAAGGCAGCTCTTATTTATTTCTGGGGCATATGCTCCGATCTATCATCGACCACCGGACCGATGAAATATCTGGTTGGACCGTAAATCAAGGTGCCTGAGAACATTTTTGCGAGATGCTAAAGACCTTCTTGCTCAAGCTCGGTGCATCAAGCTGTGTGTACTGAACCAGGCTTGAACCCAGTCCTGATATTGTATGCCGCATTGGTCTTGTGCAAGGCAGGAAAGACCACCTGGCAGTGTCAAATAGTCGAATTGAAGAGAGGACAGTTCAAGAATACCCGTGGACGAAACCACAGGGATCCCAATAGCTGATGCACATTAATCAAAGGTCGACAACATCCGTCCATTGCCGTCGCAAAGTAGCTAGGGATGTTTGGCGGAAATATATGGGGTGCCATTGGTAAGTGCAATTTCCATCTCACAGCAATCTTCGAAAGATTCTGGACCTCACATGCCCCTTTTTGGTTCCTGGCATTCGAGGCCATTCAGACCTAGCACCGGATGGTGAGCCATCTTGTGCTATCTTGTGCTAGAGAGCCACTCTTGAGGCACTGAATCAACGACATCTACAATGGGATCCGACTACCCATTCGCATGAACCATCAATGAAATGTCCATCTCGTGCCGGTCACGAGGATGGTATGACTTGCCAAAGCCCGAAAGCCTTGATGCTCCGCTTCGTCGGAGCCGCCCTTGACCCTGTGGTTGCTGTTTCGAAATGATTCACTATCCAAATGGAACTTGTTCTGACGACTTATAGCACCAGCAAGTGAGGCTCTTCTCGATAAAGAGCGTGCTCCGCCACCAAAACCTACTCCGCTCGAATTCCCGTGCTATGTTCCTCCTCGCTCAGACGATCCTCTTGATAGCCACCACCTTGAATCGTTATGCAAGGACCTTGCATCCGTGCGCAGACCATGGGATGTCAAGGACAGTCAACTCGCACAGTTCAACATCCAGCTAGAGCAAGATGTTTCCTTGGCCGACATGGTCCCCGATGAGAGATTCAAATCTCGACCATTATTATACGATTCTGATTTGACATCCATGCTTAAGGAGCTGGATGTTGAGAACGAAGATGCTTATCGCGAAGTTATACGACTCCCGCCCCTTCCAGGTAGACAGAAACCTCGATTAGCATACTCGCGCGCTTTTTTCACAAGCTTGGAAGATATGTGTCGCTATTGGGATGATAGCAAGGACGACTACTACGAGGTTGAAGTAGACGGCCAGGAAGGTTCCAACACAGAGTTTTCTCCAACGCCATCGACAACCAAAGAAACGGAGAAACGCAATGCCGAAAAGAAAGAGACGAAAGCGCTATCTGGGGAGACAAAACAGACCACCGAGGGCACCAACTCGGACGGGGAACAGGCCGAACACAACACGTCGCTAAATGCTGATAGAGTTGAGATTCCTCATCGCTCCAAAACGAAGCAGGTATACAGAGGCCTTCGAATCGGCAGTGGTCAGCAGATGAGTCCAGGTACAAGGGTAGCAGCAGTAAGGAACCTTCTCAAGATGGCCATCCACAAGTTCAATTGCAGGGATCACGACTTCCATCCTCGGGAGAAGTTCCGCATTCGAAACATCAACCTGCCTTCTACATTCTTGCACTTCTGCGTTGCCAAGATGCCAGCCGAATCCAGACTCGCAAGAGCGAGATTCGTTGAAGGCCCGCTGATGGGAGTACACAGTCGGATGGAGGTGAGGTTCAGACCCCGAGACGGATCCAATGATTCTCCCAACGATTTTGTTGGCGAAAAGTACGACCTCTTCCGAGAAGTTAGTGGTCTATTGATGCTCGCCAAGCAGCGGGCCCGCGAAGGCCAGACGCCATCCAAAGAACCTCATCAAGATCACTGGTGGGCCCTCAGGCATCGATGGGGTGGGGGACCAACGAGATGGGGACAGTTAGCCTGCGAGGTCTTTGAGGACGATGACCCCAGTTGGAGTCCAGAAGAAAGACAACTACAGCTGGATAAGAGGACGCAGGAAGAAGAAGAGCGGAAGAGAACTGATGTACTAGCTACGGCTACTGATCTGAACAATCTTAAGCCAGAAGACCTGCTTTCATTGGAAACCTCTTCCGGTAACGTGCGGCCCAAGAAGAAAAAGAAAGGCGACGATGATAGCAAGGACAAAGCAGAGTACAAGGATGGAAGAAGGCTGATGTTCACGGCACCCATACGTCGTAAGTGGTACCAAGAATGGACTAAAGTCAGGCCAAATTCGTCGACATGGGACGAAAAACTTATCTACAGGAGAATTGGAGTGCCCGACCCCGAGCAAGGCTGGGATGATGTGTACATGCTTTCGGCGGCGAACCATCATGTATGCTTGGTGAAGCTGAGTGTCCACGAGAACTACCTTCAGTGGCTGGAGACAGGCAACACAAAACACCAAGCTCTGAAGTCAGGAAGACAAGACCACGTCTTATACATGACTCGGAGTCGGTGGTTCAACCTGCTCGATGTCGACCAGCGAAAGGAGCTGTTGACAGGCATATGGTGCGTGTTAAGCTGGCTCAACCGTGATGAGGTGCCTAAAGTCGAGCTTGAAAAGATGGAAAATTTAAAACAAGAACAAGAACAACAGGAGTCCGATAACGGCGGAGATCATCCAATGGAGACATAAGCAACGCCAATGCACGAGTATGGCTGTGGTATGAAAGCATCTGTGAAGGCTCTTTACAATTGCAGGGTCTGAGGGATGCAAGCAATCAACCGGAAAGGAATGATTCATGATAGACTGTAACGAAGAACACATGTATGCGGTGCTGACGTATGTGTCTACATACCTAGGTAGGTATCATTCAGACACTGCCTACTTACCTGTACATGACTGAAAGTCAGTTGTCTCAATGTCCACAGTAGAAAAGGAGCAGAGATATGTTCATCTTGGTCTTGTGTTGCACCGTAGTAAAAACTTCCATTGTAAGTCAATGCTCGGCGGTAGATTGTTTAGGCTGGTCGGCGGCTCGAATCGGGTCTGAGTCACGTCATTCGAAAATTATCAGACTGCGTGAAATGAATCGCGGGGATTGCGGCCTCGACATTTTTTTCCTGTGCCAGGAGTCACTTGTTGAACAGCAAACGCGCCCCTCTCGCAGTCGTATCACGCCCTATACGCCACCATGGCTCCTTCTACCCTCACTCAGAATATCAAGATCCAGAACACGCAGAACAATGGCGAACCTCTCCGTCGAGAAGTGTCCCGCAGTCTGTCCATGTCGACCTCACCACATGAGACGTTTCACCAGCGCAAGATGTCCATAGGCATGGAGGGAACCTCTCCTGGTTTAATACGCACCAAGACCACCGGAGCGGCTCCGAAACAACTCAAGCCCTTCCGAGAACAGGATATAAAGATTCTGTTACTCGAGAATGTGAACCAGACTGGCCGGGATATTCTGCATGGCCAGGGTTACCAAGTCGAGTTCATGAAGAGTAGTCTGCCCGAGGATCAGCTGATTGAGAAGATAAAGTAGGGTAACCTTTTGGCTCTCCAGCCACCTGTTCTTACACACAAGTCGGCACGATATACTGACCAGTTCTTCAGGGATGTCCATGTAATTGGCATTCGCTCCAAGACGAAGCTGACTTCCCGTGTCCTTGCGGCCGCCCGCAACCTCATCGTGATCGGATGCTTCTGTATCGGCACGAACCAGGTCGACCTGAAGTACGCCGCCGAGCACGGAATATGCGTCTTCAACTCCCCCTTCAGCAACTCGCGCAGTGTCGCCGAACTGGTCATCGGCGAGATCATCGTACTGGCCCGCCAAGTCGGCGACCGCAGCAACGAGATGCACCAGGGGGTGTGGAAAAAGGTCAGCAACAAGTGTTGGGAGATCCGTGGCAAGACCCTCGGCATCATTGGTTATGGACACATTGGCTCCCAGCTCTCGGTCCTCGCCGAGTCGATGGGCATGGACGTGATATACTACGACGTCGTGAACCTGATGGCCATGGGTACGGCGAGGCAGGTCCCGTCTCTCGACCACCTCCTCGCCAACGCGGACTTTGTGACGTGCCACGTCCCCGAGCTCCCCGAGACGATGAACATGATCGGCAAGCACCAGTTCGACACCATGAAGTCGGGAAGCTACCTGATCAACGCGTCGAGGGGGAGCGTCGTCGACATCCCGGCCCTGGTCGCCGCCATGAGGTCAGGCAAAGTCGCGGGCGCGGCGCTCGACGTGTATCCGGCCGAGCCGGCAGGGAACGGCGACTACTTCACCAACGACCTGAACTCGTGGGCCGAGGACCTGAGGTCGCTGCAGAACCTGATCCTGACGCCGCACATCGGCGGCTCGACCGAAGAAGCCCAGAGCGCCATTGGCGTCGAGGTCGCTGAGGCCCTGGTCCGCTACGTCAACGAGGGCGTCACGGTCGGCGCCGTCAACATGCCCGAGGTGGCGCTCCGGAGCCTGACCATGGACGAGCCGAACCACGCGCGCGTCATCTTCATCCACCAGAACGTGCCGGGCGTGCTGAGGCGGGTCAACGAGATCCTGGGCGACCACAACGTCGACAAGCAAATGTCGGACTCGAGAGGGGACGTCGCCTACCTGATGGCCGACATCAGCAGCGTCAAGGAGGAGCAGGTCGCGGCCCTGTACAGGGAGCTGGAAGGCCTCAAGGAGAGAATAATCACGAGGATATTGTACTAGAACTTCAACCTCAACCTCAAACCGAAAAGCGATCTCATGAGGAGCGATTCAACAGCTGGATCTGAGACACGGTAATAACGGTGTCTGAGGGGCAGGCACAGAAGAGCATTTCGCGGAGTTGGTGGGCGTCTGCGTACAGTGAGTACAAAGCGCGGCATAACGGAAGGCATACAGTAAAGGAAAAAGGCATATATAAAAAGAGGAAGACCACGTCAATGGATCATAATAATATACTATTATCGGGCCTAAGCAAATCGCTGAAGAGAGGCTAGACTCTACTCCGTAAATCTCTGGAACTGATGAAGCTGACCTTCTGTATCTGGGCCAGCGACATCTATCTTCGTCATCTCGGTCGCATTTACACCTAGAGAAATTTTCATTCGCAGCAATAGACATTCAAAACTGCTCGGCAGGCTCCCCAGCGTGAGACGAACTCGGTGGGTTCATCCAGGAGGAAGTGAAGCAGGCACTATTTGTGATACCTGTGTTGGTTGTGGAATCACGAAATTACAACGCTCACATTGTGTAATATCGATCGCCGAAATCACCAAGGCCAGGGACGATATAGCTAAGACGACATTAGCATGGTCCTGCTTTGACTGGCAGTAAATTAGGGTTAGAGGAAAACACTCACTTTGCTTCGTTCAGACCTTGGTCAATGAAGGCGGTAATCACCCGAACCTTTGGAACGTGCTTGGCAAAGTTCTCAATACCCTCAGGACTTGCGATCAAGTTGACGAAGAGTATTCTGTCTTCAGGAACACCGTGGCTCTTCAAGACTTCAACCGCCATGATAGCACTACCACCAGTTGCCAGCATAGGGTCAAGCAATAGAACCCATCGGTTTGCGACGTCGGCTGGCAGCTTTTCGTAGAATAGCTTGGGTTTGCTGGTCTCTTCGTTACGCTGAATCAGGATTTTCCCTATCCTTACTGATCGACAACATTCTCTCAAGCCTTCTTCCATTGATTCACCAGCTCTCATGATTGAAACGCCACAGATCTTGCCTTCGAATCTGACTCCAACGTAGTCCTTTCCAACAGGAGATGTGACATTGTGTGCCACGACCGGAAGGTGATTTAATCCCTCTTCGACTAGTAGACGAATAATTCGATTCGAATAGAAGATGAAGTCGCCTCGTCTGGTATTCTTATCACGAATCATCCTGCGCGGCAATCAGTTTCTTCTGGCCCTGCGACTCTTTCCCGCTGTAGACCTACGTGAGCAGAGCAATGAGCTGTGGCGTCTGGCTGAGGACGTGAACATTGTCGAAGGGGACCTCGCGCGATACGGTTGCGGTTGGTTTTTCCTCTGCCGGTCGATAAGAAGGTCCTACTCCCAAGGCAGGAGACTGGACACCATTCGTGCGCTGGAGAGAAGTCATGATTCGTCAACGTCGGAAATCGATTCAAACAATCTGCGGTCCAATATCTCGAGAGAGCTCGCGTGACTGCGGAAGAAGTGGTGGATCGGAATTCGAGATCGATAGGGATCGAGGGGTCTGAAGAGGGGCCGTGAATCGATCAGAACAGCACTCCCATCCCCAACAGAGACAAGAATCGTCTTGGAACTCGGAAGCCTCCTACGGAATATGCATTAGGTTCGAACTCGGGTAGGTGTGTATAGGCCAGGGAGACAACAAAGGCATTCGATACGAAATATGTGAGTTGTTGACTAGAGGCAGTCCCAATCGAGATTCTAGACCACTAAGGAAAGCCGACCACTCTTTATACTCTAAGTTCCTCGGCGACCCCCGCGGCTGGCCCTTATGAGCCTCACCTAAGACGTCCCTATAGGCGGCTGCTCCGTAGTACCGACAGGGTTCCTGCGTACCTAGAATTCCGCCTACTGTTTTGTTTACGAGTGACATTCGTAAAATTCATCCAACCATGTGGATCGCATTTCATCCGTACCCTGCCAACTATTCTCCCTTCAACTGCGCTGGCTGAAACAACTCCCAAGTCCCTCGATCTACACATCGCTGTGTCCCCCCATATTCTAAACCACATATTTTACTATGGACTGCAATCGCGTGTTGAGCCAATGCCGCCTGCTGCCGTCCTAGATGCGACAATAAACAGACCTCACGAATGCGACGATTGGTTTTCCACTTGAGCGTTCCATTTCAGAATGGATGCCCGGACGGCGCAAGCGCGTCGAAAAGTGAACACCTATGGGAAAGGGACGAGGAGGATTGCCGTTCATGACCTCTTCGATGTGGGAACATTTCCTTTGTCCGAGTCAGCGAGACCATCGACGAAACCGGTCACACTACTTGGACAAGCCGATGTCAACATCTCGTCCTCGATACCGCGCTCAGAGAATCAGGCACTCGCCGCAAGCAAAGTCTCTTCAGACCATCGTCCGGAACATCATCGATCCATGTCTCCAAGCACTACTGCGTCTGCAGAGTCATCGCCTTCGGAAGAAACCCATCACTCGATGTTCGATCTCCAATCTTCCGATGAGGACTCAGCAACGTTCCGATCCACGCAACCTCTTAAAAAGAGAAAGATGACGCCAGTAGTGAACATACCGAAAATAAATGTGACCTCGAAGAGTGCCGGAAAGCAGAAGTCGATGAACGGTGTGACAACCCAGCCTGGGGTGCAAAGTATTTCTCGCCCCATTGCAGCATCTAAGGTGGCAGACAAGGCGTCGGTGCGAGCTATGAGCAAGAGCGAAGGTAGTGTTAAGAAACTTAAAAGGGCCCCGGTCAGGAGAGGGCAATCGCGAGAACGAGTTGACGACGGTATGGATGATCTGAGTAGGCTCGGTCAGAATAGATCCCCCAGCAGGAAGGCTCCTCCTAAACCAGTCCGTGTCAAGAAACAATCTCCAGCCTTGCTCTCTGATACTTCTGACCACAACGGCACTCCGAAAAGGAAACGAGGATTTCTTGATGAAGAAGCAATGGACTCACCGAGTCCACCAGCATTGCAAATGAAATCGCTCAGGTTAGCACCGGAGATCAATTCACTGGAATTGGATATTTCATCAACCTCATCCGATGAGGAAATGACGGGATCAACGTCTACGACACAGGCCTCACGAAAAGGTCGCAAGCGACTCATTGATAAGCTTGATGCGCCCCGCACGCAAAGCGTAGACAGACAACAGGTGAAATCTTCCGTGGGAAGGTCTATCAATGGAAAACAGTCACCACGTAAGACCGAAGCTGAGGCCCAGAGAGCTTCTGTAATGGCAAATGCTGGGCCACCGCTTCGACAACGTGCGACTTATGCTCGACAACGCTCACACCTTAGTGACATGATTGATGGCCTGGAACCTTATTCTGCAATCAATAGTCAAGACTCATCGCAGCCGAGCTTCTCTCAACCTACATCGTTTGGCTTAGCGTCGCAGATTGAATTGGAAATGGAGGACAGCGATGACACAGATGCTTTCACTCAAATCAAGAGCATTCACGAATTGCGACGTGGTGCTGCGATCAGCAAATTTGATCAAGACATCGAGTCCATACTTGAGGACGTGGAATCTCAGTCCAAGTCATTACGCATCACTGCACTCTTGCTGCTGATGAATAAAATGAAGGAACTCAGTTTTCTCCGACATTTTCAGGAGTGTGGCAATTTCTATCGCTTCACTGCAAGCTCCAGAGACGATGCTGACTTGATTACTGCAACCTTGATGGTCCTTGTCTTTCATCAAGTGACAGCTGCAAAACAATCATCGCCAAAGAACCAGCTGCAAGTATTAAACGGTCTATATCGACTACCCCCAGACTTGAGCCTGCAAAGGAAGTCACTATCATCTCTGGCCAAAGATAGGAAAGAGAACTTGAGCAAGATCATGGTCAAAGACATCATGGACTTTGAGCAAGATCACTTAAAACATGGCCCGGAGAAACAACATTTAATCAGCCTACTATATCTGAGCTCGATCAACGATACTTTGCGTGGGCTGATCAACAGTGGGGAAGAGATGCCCGATTTTCCCGGTGCTTTGTTGAATGGCGTTCTTGTCAACTTCAACTATGAACAACAGCATCTACTTCAAGAGGATGCAGCACGGAATCGATTTGAGAACATTCAAGTTCTTCTGTCGTTGCTTGAGATAGCGTCTGTGAATCGCGGGATGGCAACTTCTCAGCTCTCAATATCATCCATCAGCGAGGTTGGTAGCAGCGTATCAAGTGTCATGCAACTTGCTCGCGAAGGACGACCTGAGACAGAGCACTCATGTTTACGCTTGATCGTCAGTCTGAGCAATAACGAGCCAAAAGTGTGTGAGGCTCTGACGGAAGGCAAGCTCATAGCAACCGTGTTCCAGATCATTGATGACAGGTTCTTGCAATTGGCAGGATTGGCGTCTCGAGAACAGCAGTTTGACAATGCTCAGCTAGAGTCAGTAATTCTTGCTGTTGGGTGTCTCCTCAACATTGCAGAATGTGCAGATCCGGCTCGAAGAACGATGCTAAAACCAGATGCGAGTGGGAAGAGCCTGGTTGATAGACTGGTCGGCATTTTCAACAGCCATGTCGACCAGACATCGGAGGTATGTTTCTCGACCTGGACTGATAAGCTCATGCTGACCAAAACAGGCTCTTACTATTGATCAAACCCAGATCTTGGTGGCATTTGGCTACATCTCCGCGTTGTTGTGCACGCTATGCCTCAATGCGGATGCACGAAGACGGATCTCTGATAACATTAGAGGCGACGGCCTGTCTCGACTCTTCGAGGCGGCAGGTATTTTTCTTCAACATCTACGAACTGTTGAAGAAGCACTGGGAGGGGCGGAGGGTGCAGCGTCGGGATTTACAGCTCGGTTTACAACGGTGTTGGATACCCTAAGGCAAGACAGCGTATAAAGATGTTTGACGATGACTTCGGTATAGAACTTTTAAGACATGGCATGGCATATCAACGAACAACCTTGGGTTTGGTGGGAGAGACAATACTTGGAAAACGACTCGAGTCGAGACATGCAAGAGGGCATGTAATGAAAGATACCCCTAAAGATTTTGAGCTAGAGATGACAGTGTAATAAGACCGCCAGTATCAATGGATCCCTTGGACCTCCTGTAGACAACCAATGTCGCTTTCTTAGTCTGGTCAGGTTCTTCGTAAAGCTGTGTCCAATCCGTAAAGACCGTTCGAATACTCTAGTAACTTGTTGGAAGCTCGAAGACGGCGTTTCGTTCCGGATAAATATGCCTTTGCAAGCCTCGGGACGAAGTGATCACAGCCGATTATCGCGGGCTGATACTTGCACTCGTCAAACGCCTGCCGATGTTGAACGATGCCACGCTGACTGCTTGTTGTCTGATGCACGACTAGGTATTGATGTGGCTTTGTGTAGTTACCACCTTCATTATTGCCGGTTCCCCGGATGACGGGCGAGGAGGCTGTTTGGCATAACGGTGCTTTGACAAAAGGCCGGAACAGAGGACGATTGGCCGAGGCATCACTAGACTGGGCATCGCATGCATTGAGATGGAGCAGGCGACGGCGTCAGTGGAACTCGCAAGCTGATCCGGTATTCGTTTCCACTGCAGGACGAGTTTGTTCTCGAAAACCCCCCAGTCTGGTGCGTCCAGAAAAATATCCGTAAACACCTCTTCATGTTGTTGTTGTTGTCACCATCGTCGACCCCTCGTACTTGGAAAATGTCGGTGTGGTTGACCAGCATCCCATCCCTGGAGGCCCCGTTGCACCGCACAGACACATCGTTGCAAGCACGACTATGACATATCGTACCACTGATTCCTGCGTTTATCCAATTTGCATGTGTTTCCCCCCAAGTCCGGCCATTCTATCCATCTGCCATTCCATCTTTTTTTTTAAAAGTCCGCAACCGCTCTATATTCGTTGCTCCGCAGGAAGCCCGTCATACTTCCAATTCCCATTACATACAACATTCACCTTCCATTTGTCCCTTCATCCTCAACTCACTCTTATGATCAGCCACATGGCATCAGCGCGTCCCCTCTCCCGTTGACTTGGCCCATCTCTTACTTCGTCACCACTTACCCATATTCGTCTTTCGGGGCTGATCACAGTCTCGAAATCTTTTTTTCCCTCTCCACAAGCCAACCAAGGACAAGGTCTACCTGGGAGCATCTGTTGTCTTCGTGTCCCTTGCATCCTTGGTGTTTGTCGCAAACATGGCTCCGTCCGTCAAGCAGCGAAAGATTGCCATCCTCGGCAGTCGTTCCGTGGGTACGTACTCCCACTCACATTGTGTTAACGTGACAATTTCGGGGCCAAATCTGACTGACACCTGCACAGGCAAGTCTTCCTTGACAGTGCAGTATTGTGAAGGCCACTTCGTCGAGAGCTACTACCCTACCATTGAGAATACCTTCAGTCATGAGATCCAACACAAAGGTCAAACCTTTCTCACCGAGATCATTGACACTGCTGGACAGGTGAGAACAACTGCGGACAAAACGTCAAATGGCACGTTTTGCTGACTAGAAGAACAGGATGAATACAGTCTCATGAATTCCAAGCTGTACATAGGAATCCACGGATACATGATTGTCTATTCTGTCGCCTCCAGACAGTCGTTCGACATGGTCAGAATCATTCGAGACAAACTCTTGAACCATCTTGTACGTCACCCGCTACAGACTTACCTTGAGGCATAAAGACATAGGCTAATAAATCATTCAGGGTGCGGATACCTTGCCGATCATGATTGTTGGCAACAAGAACGATGTCGATGCAAAGAAACAGCGCAAAGTGACCGCCGAGGAAGGCCAGGAACTGGGAAAAGAACTCAACTGCGGATGGATTGAGACAAGTGCTAGGAACAATACAAACGTCGCCAAGGCATTCGAGTTGATGATCGCCGAGATCGAAAAGTCCCAGGAGCCAGACAAGCCCGCAGGCGGAGGCAAATGCGCAGTCATGTGAAGGTATCATGCCTTCTGGGCACGCAATCGCGCATATGAAGAGAAAGACGAAGAGCACGACATCACGCGAGGGCGAGGAGAAGATGTTACCGTTGCAGTCATTCTCTGATGCGGTGTTTTACTATGGTATGGCGTTTGCGATGGGTGATGAGCGTATGACATAGACAATCCAGATTGGGATAGATGGAGGTTGTCCTGTGGGATCAGTCTTTTCGGCGTTCCGGTCCTTTTCAGTTGGGATCTCTGTGTTGGTCTATTGAGCTTTAAGTTTCCAGATACTGGCAGATGTGAATCGTGCCCCATATGGGACGGTGCAAGAAAGAAGGGCGAGAGAGTGGCTATTGTGACAAGGCTGGGGATCATGATACCTTCTGCGATGTTGAACTGTCTTGGTTCTTTTCGAACCAAATTGTGCAGTTTCTGCATTCCAGACAACATCACTGGTCACTACAGCTAGCTTCATAAGAATAATTCCACTTAATGCAGCCTTCAAGACTTGTGGTAAATTGTTCTCGGTGACTTCTATTGAAAATCGGAGTGACTCACGAGGCTCCGACATTTGGCTCTCGGACTGCGGGGCAGAAATATTATTTGCACCAGAAAGTGTCAGGTCAGTATCAAAGCACGCGCAGGGAGAGAACAACACACGGTTGCCCATTTACCTACCCTGCATTTGTCTCTCCCACACAAACACACAAGGTTTCTTGTCCCTTTGTAGCCACACACACTGTGTAGTACACATCATCATGCTCGACGTCCAAGATTTCATTGTCTCCAGGTGTGTAACTACCCAAGTTCAACGAGGAAATGTTTAGTGTTTGTGCGACTGTCTTTTTTTGTGACTCGACACTCACCAGGATTTTGCGCGCAGAGGGGGTGACCCCAAGAAAGTCGTCGAGAGCCAACGGCGAAGATACACCTCACCGGAAATCGTGGACGAGGTCATTGCACTCTGGGAGGATGCCTACAAGAGTTGGTTTTGCCCTTTCAGGGGATTGGATTCGACCGGACTTGACCAGGAACGTCGCTAATATATATCAATCCGACCAGCAAGGTACCAAGCCACACAAATCGGGGCGAAAATCAACGCTGTACAGAAAGAGATTGGCAAACTGAAAAAGGTATGATATACTCCGTACATTCGCATTTGTCGTTGGTCCCCCCCCGGCTCCTTACCGACCCTCCTCCTCCTCGTCGTCGTCCTCGATTTGGTGGTTAACGATAAAGTGATATACTGGAGCAGGCCAAACAAGACGCCGATCATCTGTTGAAAGAAAAGGTCGACCTCGAAAAGGAAAAGAAAAAGATTGAAGACGAGGCATTGGAAAAGGAAAAGGCTAGAGACAAGAAATGTAAACTGATTGGGAACTACGTTCACGAGTCGGTACCGATCAATGACAACGAGGTGAGTGACCATTTTGTCTCTTCGCCCGCCACCCCCTTCCCGCCCCCCAGCTGGGGTCTTTTGCTCAATCGCGGCGCACACAACAATGAACGCACATCCCATTGACACATCTTTTGCTCTGGTCGTAGGACTTCAACGAGGTCGTCAAGAAATGGAGCCCCGAGGGGGTCACGGTCGAGAAGAAAGAGTGCCTCTCTCACCACGAAGTCATGACCCGAGCAGAAGTGTACGACGGCGAACGGGGTGTCAAACTGGTTGGGCACCGAGGGTACTTTTTGCGCAAGTGGGGTGTCCTCCTGAACCAGGCCCTGATCAACTACGGTCTCCATTTCCTCACGGGCAAGGGGTACGACCCCATCCAACCCCCTTTTTTCATGAAGGCCGAGTACATGGCCAAGACGGCGCAACTCGAGCAGTTTGACGAGGAGTTGTACAAGGTGGTCGAGGACAAGGACGCCGAGGACAAGTACCTGATCGCCACTTCGGAGCAGCCCTTGTCGGCCATGTTCGCCGACGAGTGGTTGACGGAGAAAGACCTCCCGATGAAATTCGCAGGTTACAGTTCGTGTTTCAGAAAAGAGGCGGGCGCTCACGGTAGAGATGCTTGGGGTTTGTACCGGATACATCAATTTGAAAAGGTATGTTCCTCCTTCACCTGTCGAGGCGGTTTTGTGGGATTATTTTGTCCCTGCCATGTCCTGTCTCGGCATTGTTACCCCGTACAAGAGGTGGCGATGTGTTTTGGGGGGTTTGTGTGTCTGCGGGGAAAATGGACGATTGCTAACAAGTGAGGTGACGGGTGACATTAGATTGAACAATTCCTCTTCGTCAAACCAGAAGAGTCATGGCAAGCCCTCGAGGACATGAAGACGGTGGCCGAGGAGTTTTACCAGTCTCTCAAACTGCCCTACCGGGTCGTGGCCATCGTGTCGGGGGCCCTGAACAACGCCGCGGCCAAAAAGTACGACCTGGAGGCCTGGTTCCCTTACCAAGGCGAGTACAAGGAACTGGTCTCTTGCTCCAACTGCACCGACTACCAGACCCGCGAGTTGGAGATCAGGTACGGCCAGAAAAAGGGAGCCATCGACTCGAGGAAGACCTACGTCCACGCCCTCAACGGGACCCTGTGCGCCACGGAACGCACCTTGTGCTGCCTGCTCGAGAACTACCAAAAGGAAGACGGGTTCGAGGTCCCCGAGGCCCTGAGACCATACATGCCGCCCGGGACGCCGGAGATCATCCCGTACACAAAGGAACTGCCCAAGGACACCGTCTCGGCCAAGGCCGCGAAGCAACCCACGAAACCCAAAAAGGACGACAGTGGTGGTGCGCCCGAAGGTGGTCCAAAGTTGAACATGCCCTCGGCCGCAAATGTGGCCGATAAGATGAAGGACATGAAGGTTTGATGAAAAATAAGTTTCTGTATCACGGGCATCGGTAGAGGGTATGATGCCGCCGCTGCCGCCGAAGAAGATTGCCCACCCCAGGTCGGGTTTTGAGAATTGGACATGGGACTTGGGACGCTGGTCATTTCGAGGTATGGGCCTGTCACTTTGCCAATGGACGACGGACGAACGAAAGAGAGTGACTGAATGAATCCCCACCCCCCAATGTGAATTATGCGTAGACATGGGGACGTGAAACTTTTCAAGCAGCAGCAAACGAGACCACTAGATACAAGAAATCATGAGCAACATGTGTTTGATACACTATGATGACGATGACTGTTTTTATTATTGGCGGCTTGAATGAAGGGAATAATGTGACATTACGTCGTTGTCGTTGTCGTTGTCGTTGTCGTTGTCGTTGTCGTTGTCGTTGTCGTTGTCGTTGTCGTTGTCGTTGTTCATCAAATAGAGCAAAGAATGATACAGAGTATGCGTGCAAAGATGACAGGAAATATACAAAAAGGTACCACGCTTTGATGGGGGAATGACTTCCTGGTATATTTTTGAAACGCGTCGTCAACATTATGGGATTAACATTTCGTCCGTGTCTTCTACATTTGCGGGGGTATGTAGGGGTAAGTATATAGATAGGTAGGTAGGTAGGTAGGTAGGTAGGTAGGTAGGTAGGTAGGTAGGTAGGTAGGTAGGTAGGTAGGTAGGTAGGTAGGTAGGTAGGTAGGTAG